TTGTTTTTCTTAATAAACTTTGAAAGACGATTTTTTTAATTAGTTTTGTTATTTCTAATCATTCACATTATTGTTTAATAATTACAGGTGAAATATTCAATTATGATTGACCTATTACTTAAGATCTTACTGATAAAGTATCTGTTGGTACTGTTGTTTACCTCTATAATTGATACTAATTATAATTTTTCTTAATAAATTTAATCTCAATATAATATTAATTGTATTAATTAATATTAGTGTTATTTATCCATATATATATAGTCTACCGATACATAAAGTTGAAGAATAATAATTATTTTCATTCAAACAAATTGTTTTTTAAATAAATATTTTTTTGGATAGGTTTTCTCTTTAATTTAAATTTTAAAGCAAAAAACAATAATTATTTAAAGACTTTAGGATGCCAAAATATATTAAGTGAATTGAATACAGTATTTTTTAGTATAATTTAATTAATAAAATATTAATTGCACTTTCTAATGTTAAAATATATTTAAGATCAAGATTTTGGTACTTTTGAAACATTACAAGTGCAAAGACAGAAAAAAGTGTTTTGTATGAATATGCCAATGTAATAGCTAATTAAGAGTCGATCAGTTTCTTAAATTTTACATGGTGAACTGATTACGTTATAAAAATCATCGGCGAGAAAAAAATAAAAAGAAGAATCTTATTTAGATAGAATTTCATCACCAATAAAACCTATTGAAATGTCATAATCTAATTAAGTTCTTCCAAAAATAAATTTATAAAAAACTTAGACAGAATAATTGAATAAAACAAAAAAGAGGATTAAAGTATTAAACAATATTTCGAAAAGACAACATGATTTCGATTAATGGAATCAAGCATTTTATTAAAATAGATCGATCAATGGACAATCTCCAAGAATATAAGAGATTAAAAAGGCACTTTAAGAATAGATGAATGATGGAAAATCATAAAGTCTAAATTCTAGTATTCTCTTAAAATTGAGTAGAACTGAGAGTCCCAAAAAAAGACCTAATGTATTTATCCGTTTGATTTTTAATAGCTTTAGACAGAGAAAGCATTAAGAAATCTTTTATGTGAATATGTTCTAGATGATAAAATTGCTTTTAATGATTTGATCCTAGATAATAATCGTTAAGTGCAAGATCCCAAATATATGATTGAATAAGTAGTTATGAACTATGAGATTCTTAAATAAATATTTCGAATTGAAAAAACCATCACTAAAATTATCTTAAAAACCCAAGGTTTAAGCAAGTAAGTTTTATTATAAAACAAGAAAAATCATTCATACATTCTTTAAAGAAATTAAACCTAATTGTCCTAATGACATTTCGTAATTTGAATATCATTTTAAACTAAGAAGAAATATCTCTAAATCATTCATTATCTCTAAGTTTATCATTGGAGTAGAACCGGAATTAGATTAAACAATAGAAAAGTTGCTAAATCGAGAAGCTCTATCACCTGATATGCAATCGATATTGCTATCACCTGAAGAACTGTTATAAAAAGCACTAGAGTCATTAAAATTTGATTACGACTACTTAAACAAATTGAATTATTTCAATATCAATTTACAAGATTAGATCAAATAGAAGTAGGTAAAAGCAATATAAAATAAATTGATTTTAAATGGAAGCATAATTGATTAAACTAATTTATCTTTGGATTTCGAACAACCTTAAAGTTTATTAGCTAAAATTAATGATTGTGAAAGGAGGTTGGGCAAATTCCAGAAAATAAGTAATTAGTCAAGATTTAAGTGTTTGGAGGCTGAAGCATATTTATATTATAGGTGAACACTCGTTTACTATGATATATTATTTATTTATTTATTAATATGTAAATTAATCAAAGGTAACTTTATATTCCTATTGGAACATTCGATTAAACCCTTTTTTGCAAAATTTGTAACGATCTTACTATCGATCCTGTTGAATGTACTTAGTGCGAAAACCTTTATTGCAAAGAATGCTATGAACTATCTAAATCATAAAATGATAAGTACCATTAAGTATGATTTTAAGATGCCCAGAAGAAAATTGCAATGGCCCCTTTCAAACCAAATAGCCTCATCGCATGATAAGAGATTAACTATCAAAAATAACTTATAAATGTATAAATCATAATGAAGGATGCAAAACTGAGATGGCATAAGATAATGTAATTAAACATATGTCATAATGTCTTTATCAATAAATTACATGCAAATGCGGATAAAAATTTTAGAGAAGAAACTTAGAATCACATGTATGTCTTTAAGAATATTAAGAAAAATTTGTGCTAATTTCATAAAACATAAAATTGTTTTATTTGTTAATAATAATTGACACTGGAGGATCTAAAGAGTCATAAATGTCTATTTGAACTCTAAAAAATGGTCATATAATTTTAGGAGAAATTTTAAGATTATAAAGAATAGTCAAATTTTTCTATTTTAGAAATGAAAAATTAATAGAATTAAAGAACTACTGAAATAAATTTATCAAAATAATAAATTTTAGCTCTATTAGAAGAAAATAAATAATTAAAAAATGAATTATAAATGAAGTAAAAGATGTGTTAAGAAAACCAGGAAAAAATAAATTAAGCAAAGGTTTAAATAGAAAATTAATAAAAATAATAACAATAATATTAATAACAATAATAGTAATAATATTAACAATAACAACAACAATAATAGTAACAGTAATAACAACAACAACAACAATAACAACAGTAATAGCAATAACAATAATAACAACAACAACAATAATAATAATAATAACAATAATAACAGTAATAAAATTAACCTATTACTAAAGGAGAGTTAGTTGATAGCATTTAAACCTTTTGTGAAAAAAATCATAAATTAAAATTTTGGAAAAAGCCTTGTGGGGAGGAAAAAAAAAAAATATGTTCTAATTGTCTAAAGTAAAACACGACTTGTAGATATTTTTGTTAATAATGTAAAATTTTCATGTGCTTCAAATGTTATTATCCTGAATTGAAAATGGAAAAATAACCAACATAACCTTAGTGTCCCGCCTTACATTATTTGCTTCAAATAACAGATAATTTTAGGTGTTCTGTCTGTGATAAAAAAGGAGAGGACATGATATAACCAATTGCCTTTTAATGTACCTATTGTGACTTTAGAATATGTAAATAGTGCATCAAAAATAAAAAATTTTAGGAAATTTAATGAATCTATAATTTAGTGTATTTTTTATTAATATAGTAAAATATCAATATATTTTTCAACTCCTTTATTATAATCGAGTCTTTTTTAGATCAAATTTAGGCACAATTCTACAAAATCATAATTTTTATTCTGATAGTTCTCTGCGATTAGAAATTCTTATTTTAGTAGAAATTTATTATTCTTATTGAAAGTTAGTGCGTTTTTAATTTTACCTTTAATAAAATAGACAGTCGAGACTAAAATTAAATTTATAGTATAGTATGTATCTTATTTAGATTATAAACTTCTGATTTATTTTCTTAAGATAATCGGAATTTCAATTAGTTGCTAAAAGTATTGGAGTAAAAAATTTATAATGTTATTATCTTAAAAATTTAATATTCTTAAAATATGTATTAAAATTAGTTGACACAATAAGAAATTATTTGAAGGAGTAATACTTGATAAATACATTAATAATATCAGTGATATATTTAATTTTATAATTGCTGTTATTTCAATAATTGTTTGAGATTTCTAATTTCATCTCTTAATTATTTTTTTTATTTTTTCCATTGAAGTTCCTTAGCTTAGTATTTGGCTAACACATTCTGAGTCTTTAAAAATAAATTGTGTAAATTTTCGTTAAGTACTTTTGATTTTCCTTTGGAATAATCAGACTTTTGCTTAGGGAAGTATTTCTCCTGATTATCTGGCTCATTCATTAATAATTGCTACTGCGTACTTCGTGCAGATTTACAAACTTTGATGCCTTCTCCAGTTCCAGCCTCTAAATTAATAAATTTATTTACACTTCTGTTAGCTTTTGCATTGGATATATTATTTCAATACTTCATTCAAAGACCCAAATAGTTATTACCTTTGGTTAGTGCTGGTAAAGAATCCTAAAATATTTGAAATGAATACCAGATGAATATCGATTTTCAGGACTTTTATTTTTTTCGGTAGCACTTTTTGCACTTTGAATTTTTAATTTCTCATTTTCTTCACCTAAATATTAGAGCAAAGGAGGTCTTTTCATTTTAAAACTCTCTAAGTTACTAAATTATTTAGGAGCACTAGATGTGCTTAATAATTTTTCTAAATTATTTGTTTTTTTAGATTAACTCTATGCTTTTCTGAGGACTGAGATAAGCTCATTTTTGATATTTTTATTAGTTTTGATTCCACTATCATTATTGTTACTAATTTTGCCAAGACTTTGTCTTAAAGATGAATCAATTGTATTTTTAGGAGTAGGCAATTTGTTTTTCATTTTAACATTCATCATCTCGCATTAACTGCTACTTAAATTTTAAATAGATTTTTAAAGACTCTTTTATTTCTATGATTCATGAAGTTTATCATTAAATTTTATTGTCTTATTAACTGATAGTAATTTGTGAAGAGCAGTTAGTGGTGCAATTTATAAATTATTTATCATATAATATTTTCATATTATTAATTTTTTATTGAATTAATTAAGATTTTATGAAAACCAAGGTAAATTAAATATAAATTTTTAAAATTAACAGTTAAATTGAGAAGAAGCAAACCTTTAACTAAGCGATATGATATTGGGTGAAAATGGGAAATAAATATATTCTGAAATCAAGTTAAGGATTATTTTGAGAAATTCCTAAAAATAATGTTGACAAATTTTTTTTTTTAATCTATATGAATATCAATTGGAGGAGTGCGAAAATTTCATTTTAGTATTTAAAAAAAGAATAGACAACACATCATTAATTAAAAATTTCATTTAATGATTGTTTATTATTTTCTATCAATATCCATTGATATTTAAATCGATTTTGAGATTTAAATCTGATATAATTTAACATTATACATAATTTCAATTAATTATTAGAAATGACTGAATTACCCCCGATTCTGAATTTGAGATAACAGACTTGGCTTGGTGCTGACAATCTTATGGCTCAAAATTATAATTTTACTCAACTACCTTAAAATGGAGAGAATTTAAAACATTAAAAGTAAGTTTTTATATATAAAAGGCGAAACTTCAACCTGAAAGTTGGTGATATCATCTATTTTAAATCCTATTTAAGTGATGATTTTAAGGGAGTAATATCTGGTGATGGAATTGCAAGCAATAAATTAGAATGTGTACAGATATTAGGTAAGAATAAAGTCTTAGACACCTAATCATAAAAAAGCGTATAGTACAAAGTAGGCAGCTTGTCATTCTAAAAATGTTTATTTTAAATTGTTACAGGAAAAAAATACTTATATTAAAATTAATATAAGTAAGAAAGAGAGAAACCAATAGATTAATTAAGGGATATCGCTGAAATTGAGACATACTCTAGAGAGTTGGGCAAATTGACTTCTGATTATGATTAAAGATTAGAAGAATATAGGAAGAAATGTGAAGAAGAAATGAATGAAAACGAAAGATTATACAATCGTTTATATGGATCTAATTTTGTTTATGGTTAAGAAATATAGTTATTACATATTTATTCTGGATGCACACTTTCTCTAAATAGTGACATTTTAGCAAAGGAAAATTGCTGTAGAGAACTATCCCTAGAAGAAAAACCAAGTTAAACTTCAAACTTTAGAATTCTATCTCTAAACTCTGTTAAAAATCCAGGAGAACCTATTTTGTATGGAGATTAAATTATTGTTCAAAATTCTAATTAGTCACAGTGGAAGGTAGGTATACAATAGCCATCCGTCAAGTTTTAAAAGAAAGATGGGCTAGAAGTAAATGCATCAGAATAAGCTTATCCATTGAAAATTTCAAGCTACATTGATAATAAAACAGAAGAAGAAATTAATAAATTACAGATTAAAGGAAAGTACTTATAGAATGGTGACGTTGTAACTATAAAAAACAGATACTTGGGAGGGTACTTATGTATTAAGAGAAAAAAAAGAATTACTGATGAATTGGAATAGAAAAAATTAATTATTAAAGATTATGAAACGAATATCAATTATTCAATTAATTAGTTTTATTTTGATGTAGATAAAATAAGAAATGAAAAAATTAATTAAATGTATTAATTATATGTTGATACTACACCTAAAGCTGATGAAAACTTAAATTCTCTCTGGTAATTTTAGCATGTAGATAGTTTAATATATTCAAGGTCTACTTATGAAAATGTATTTTTGATAAGGCATGTTTGCACTGGATTATTTTTGTAAATAACTAATAATGGAGTCGGATTAACCTATGATGGATTAAAGTTGGAATGCTAGTTTAATCTGAAATCTAAAAAAACATAAATTGATCCAATTTCTTATAGTGAGGCCTGTAAAATTTAATCGACCCTAAACCATTCAGTTGATGGTTTAGTCGCATTAGAAGGAGTAGTTATGGTTTGCTTGGATGAAAATAAAGTTGCGGTCTAAAGAAAAAGCTAAAAGTAAAACATTGAAAGAGCAACTTTTCTATTAAGATCAACATCATAGGATCTTTAAAAAATATCATTTAGAATTAATTCTCTTCAAGAATACTTAATTTAATTTTATATCTTTTTATAAGATTGGGGGGTAATTAAATAGATTGAATAAAATTAAGAAGAAAAACGAATCTACGAATATTATGAAGCTTTCAATAACTAAAAGTTATTATTTGATGAGATATTACAACTATTTCAAACTTTGGACAATCTTACAATGTATTTAACCAATGAAGGCAAGCCTTAGTCAATTGAATAATAATCGACTAAATAAAAGACGTTAATGGATAATGATATTATCAATTTGCTATTTGCAATTTAAAGATTATGTAATTGTATGATCTATGGAAATGATAAACAAAATATTCAACCATTATAAGAAAAAAGTCCTTAAAAAATTGCCAAAATGAAATTAGATCCAATGGTTACTTAATCTCAAAAAATGAATTGCATAAAAGAAATTTACTCTGTTTTGAATCTTTGTGTTTAAAGTAATCCAGAAACAAGCTATTATGTATTAAGCCTGGAGATGAATAAAGAGAGTATTTTAGATTTCTTGCTCTAATAATTGAAACATTAAAGAGAGTAAGTTTCCAATCTAATCAAAGAAAGCGTACGCTATACAGATATAAGCGATACTAAAAGTAGTTTAAAGAAATGGGTTAATGAACTTTAGCCAATAACCGAAGATAACATTGAGGATTAAGCCCTATATATTGAAATCTTAAGTTTAATGATGATCGATCCTTACGAAAATCCAAATTCTATGTGTTAAGATACTTGTCGAAGATTATTATTCGGAACAAAATTTAAATCTAGTTAGTCTCTTCCTTTTTAAAAAGCTTTAGTTGCATTAGATATTTATGAAGAAAACTAAAATTATTATCCGGTTGTTCAATTTTCTCCAAAAAGAGATAAAGAAACACTATTATTTTTATCACATCAGTTTGGATCAAATAATCCAACATTTTGTCAATTATATTTAAGGTTTGTTGAAAAATAAATTAAATCAACATAAAGATTTCAGAAAACAAGACCTCCTTTGGTAGATGTCACAATTGATTTCTTTACTACTGAAACGCTAAAGGAAAACCAATTGGTGAGACAAGAAGATTATAAAGTAGTACTGCCAATATTTGTAAAATATGAAAACTATTTAATGAATGTTATGGATTTATACTCATCATTGTGTAAGGGGAGAAATTAAAAAAGCATTAAATGTTTGATGAAAAATTGCTTTTTAAATGAAAATTTCTTAGAAATATGTTTGAAAAGACAATAAAAAATAAAAACGGAACTGAGATTTGAGAGAACTTTAATTGAATTATTTTGTAATTTATATTTAGATATTGATCCTTTAATAAAAATTTCATCATTTGATAATAAATGCTATTTGAATGATGATTTAGATCAGTTTGACATTTAGAATCAATCAGGAATTTATTTCTACGAAAAAAATGCTTCAAAATAATTGAAAAGAAACGAAGAATATAAGAAATTTATAAATTCAAAAGAGGCAAAAGCAGAACATCAATATTTGAAATAGTTTGCCTCGAAAATGCTTACTAGAAAGTAAATAAGTGATGTAAGGATTTATTATTTAGAACTATTCACTTAAATAGATTATCCTGACCATTTCAAAGTTCTAGAATTTAATAACAATATAATTTAACCTTTTAATTCTACAATGAAATAAATTAACATTAACTATTAAAGATTAGCCAATTATTAATTAGAATATTTTTTGGGAATTTTATAGATTGTAAAAAATAGTATTGATTTCGGATATAATTAATTGGATGAAAATTAAAGAATATTTGCAATATTACCAAATATTTTTGTAGCATTAATTTTACAATAAAGACCAGATGAAAAGATCTATAAATTTAACGATGATGAAAATTTTGAATGCAATTTATTTAAATTAAATTAATCTATTGAAAGCAATGTGTGGGTCACAACTTACTTACCAACTCTTCAATAGTTATAAGAATAAAAATTATCTAAGCATAAAAATTAAAATAAAAGCTAATAATAATCAGATTAAACAATTAAATAAGATATTTAATTTTAAAGAAATTGGATCCTTTAATTTTTGATTTGGACATATCAATATTGCAATGATGACTTATTAAAAATGAAAATTTATTTAGAAGGTCTTCAAATTTTAAAGATATTTAGTAATTTAAAATTAAATCTTTAAATATTAGAGTTCTTATTTAGTAAATAATAATAAAATGAATCAAATTAAAGTAATTCAAACTCTAAAATTCTTGATGAATTTGACTTGAATGAAATTCCAAAGTATGATTAAGGCTATTGGATACAAAAACAAAAACCTCCATTACAGAAAGCCATTTTCAATGTTTTTAAGGAACCAGATGGTAATAAGTTTAGTGCTTTATTGTTTTCTTGTTTACTTTCCTCAGAAAAAAGAAATAAATTAAATGAAGAATTGCTTTAAAGTTTGATACATAACTTTAATGCTCCCAAAAATTCAACATATGAAATCAAAGAAGTAGAAATTATTGATAATTTGATGGAACTAAAGTATTTTTCAATAATTAATGGAAATTCAAGTGCATTTTAGATTATTAGTCCTAAAGAAGCATAAATTTTAACAAAAAGAGCTATAAAATACATTCAAAGCACTAAAAGGGAAAAAAATGCTTAATAGCGTATTACACCATTTGAATAACTAAAGATCTATCAATCAAAAATAATTGAATAATTTGAGTAGTTCTTTAAATCAAATTCTTAAGAAGCGTAATATTTAAAATCATTTTAAAATATTATTAGAAATGCAGGAGTTCATTTGGTATTTCTATAATTTTTAATAAAACCCTAAACTGTGTGTAGTTCTCCTGATATAGTTTAATTTTATAAAAGTTTAATTGTATTTTTTGAATACTTCATTAAGAATAATGAAACCAATATTGAAATTTTAGCTTAAAACAGTTATTTGTATAAACTACTTGATTTAATTTAAATTGATCAATTAGGAGCTGAGGATTTGTTTTACATTCCAATTAAAGTTACTAAACTAATAGTTTAATTAGTATCCACAATTCCAAAAATCGAACATGATAACTTCATTCTGAATGTTTTTGATAGAATATAAAAATTAGGAGATGAATTATTGAAGAGTTAAGAGTTTTTTGCGAAAGCCATCAGTTTTAAAGATGATTAATAAGAAATGAAGATCACTCCAAGAAAATAACATGAGGATGCTGTGGCTTATTTTAGTTTAATCCAATATTTAAGAATCTTAAGATGTTTTACTAAAACTTTTGAAACTCCGGCTTAGCAATCCCCTCTCAATAAACATTTGATTTTAAGTTCCATTTTAAAAACTTAATTTTTGACAATAGTATTGTAACCAGTAAATTACTATAGTAAGATATTAATTCCTGATAAAATAATTGAAAATTAGAATGGAAATGATAATTTATATTACCATAGAATAAAGTTGCATGCTTAATTGATAATTCTAATTACAGAGTGTTGTTCATATAATAGATTAGGAATCTAAGAAATGTAAAGAATTATATTATACGAATAATTGAAATCGATTCTTTTAAATTCAGATGCTGAATACATTGTTAAGAGAGCTTACTTATAGTGCTTATTTGAATTATATATAAATAAAGCAAAAGAAGGAGAGTTTAGTAATGATACCATCGAAATTGAAGAAGTAAGAGACATTTTATCAAGAATAATTATACCTGAATTAGATTAGAAATAAATATGCAAACTATTAGAAGGAATCGCTAAATTAATAAACTTTGATAAGAATAAGAAGGTTACTCAAAGGGATTTGAGAGAATAGATGGTAAGGTAAAAGATGAATTATTTTGAAAAGAAATTATCTTTAGATTCAGCACCTGATAAAGTATTAGGAATTGTTAGAGATTGTAGTGAGTTTTGGACATATTTGAGGAAAAATGGAATTATTCACTTTTTAGTCTTCACTTACGATGAAATGAAGGATAGAATTGATATAGAAAACCTTGAAATTTCTAATTTATCGGATGAATTTGCAATTATCAAATAAAGTGTTTAGAAAATCAAAGAAATATTTAATGTTCTTGAAAGGGATTTTCGATTAAAAAAAGAAGACTTGGACTTAGATGATTATAGAGAACTAATTATTTCAATTGAAGAAATTATACCTCAAAGGAAAATTACTAAATTTGGAAAGAATTTCAGAATTGGATTTATACAAGAAAACAATTCAGATAAATTATTATTTAATAAATATGATACTTTAAAAGAAGATCAAACTGGAGATAAAAAGCTTCAAGAATAAGAGAATGTGGAGAGGATTGAAAACCAATTTAAGAGAAATTTTAAAATATATATGATGAGATACAATGTCAATATTGTACAATTTCTTCAATTTATTGAAAAAGATTCTTTAGAATTAACTGATTATGAAAAATCCAGAAAGATTCTCAAGACTTGCAACATTTATAAATAGTATATTTAATTAAAGGATATTGAAAGTATATATTAAAATGATGTTGCTAGAATCAAAAATTAAGAATCTGTGAATAATAGAAACAAGGTATTTGTGAATTGGGATTTGTTTAAATAAGCAATGAGAGAATATTTTGAAAGAAAATCTAATACAAATCATACTCCTTCTTATTAAATTTAAGTATATTAACGTTAATAAGAAAGTTTAGACAGCTTGAAAAAAGATTTTTAACTATCTACTAATAGACTAATTGCAAAATATTATAAAAAATTAGGAGGTTAGCTTGAATTAAGCGGAAATTTAATCTCTGAAGATGTGTAAATAGAATTATTGATAAAAACTTTAGAGAAGTAATAAACTAATGTATTTAACATAGATCATCTAAAAGACTTTTTGAAAAAATGTTAAGAAATATTTTTAAATAAAGAAATTTATCTAATCAAGTTATGCAGAATATTTTTATAGCTTAAAAGACCTACTCAAGATGAAATAGATTCTTTGGTTGAAGCAAAAGATGAACAATCTAAATAAGCTGTGAGAGAAAAAAAAGATATATATATAAAATTTTAAAGGGCTATGGCTGATGGTTAACTTGATATATTGGCATTAGATATGCTGAATTAAACAGATGATGATCAATATAAAATTGAAGCATTATCTTTTCTTATTCATTTATTAGATTTTGGAAATGAATATATATAAAGGAAATTTTACAAATTGTTACAGGGAGAAAATGTGAAATAAAAGTTTTTAATATTTTTAAGAAGATTCTTTTTGACTGATTTAGATGTAAAAATTAAAGAGTTAGAATTAATTGAAAATGATACTACTGAATATAAACTACTCTGTCTCAAAGTCCTATAATTACTCTAAGCTATGTGTGAAAATGTAAACATTGAATTTCAGAAATTTCTAGTATTTTAATATGATGATGATTCTTATTAAGCAAATATCAATATTGTAAATGAAGTTGCTAGTTTATTAGCTGATCTTTTAGAAAAAGGATATAAAGTATTTTATAAGTTATAAGATATCTACAGATAAGCTTTAGAGAGTTTAGTTGAATTTTCTACAGGTTATGTGGAAAATAAAAAAGAATTATGTAAAAACACAAGATTATTTACTTTACTAAATTCAATTTTGCAAAAATAAGACCTAACAAGCTTCAGTTAGCTTTATGAAGAAAACAAAATGATTTTAAAGGAAAGACAACTAATGAATTAATCATTGGAGGAAGAAGTAGTGATAGATACAAATCGGATTGGTTCAGAAGAAGGAAAAAAGAAATATGGATTATATTAGACATTGTAATCATTTATTAAACTACTCCTTTTATTGACCTAAGGAAGAGCGGATATTTAATCATTAGAATTTATTTTAAAAACTGTTGATATTAGTATTTTGATAAGAATATGCAAATCTATATATGAAGAAAGAATCAAATCAAAATAAAAGAACATAATTTTAGATAACATTTGTGATGAATCAGAAACAGGAATTCATAGATATTGTACTAATAGTTTATGCCATTTTGGATTAAGAACAGATGAAGATAATCTTTTAATATAAACTGGGTTTAATATATTTACCATATGTCTGAAATTATCAGAACATTTTCCACAGGATAAATAATTGGACTTGTTCAAATTTGATGAAGAGTAAGAAGAATAAGAAGACCTGTTGGATTTAGATGATATCCAAGAAGAGGAACAATAAAGAAAAAACATTCTGCCTATTTCAAAAATATTACCTTTAAACTAAGGAAGCTAATGTGGTTATAATTAAGAAGATGTTGATGGATTGTTGCATAAAGATGAAATGAAATTTAATGATTTAAGCTTTAAAAATATCATGATGGATGTAAGGAAGGACAAAAATTATTAATTTGATAGAACTCAAAGGTTTTTTAAATTTTATAGATAATTTACTGGAAGAATAGAGATACAAAATGAATTCAATTAATTAGAAAAAGTATACTTTTAAAAACCTTTTGTTTGCAATTTTATAACTCCAAATATTAAACAACATTTGATCTATGAAATCAACAGAGAAACAGATGAAGATAGAATGTTAGGATTGATTGAGTTTTCTGAATTCTATTAGGTTCAAATGAGGCATTCTTAATACATTAATAATAAAAAAGTTATGCATTTCGGTGCTGTGTATTGGAGATTGTTAAAGGATATATCTTTCCTTTTATGTCTAATATTTGTAATTCTACTTATATTTATGCATGATACTGTAATAAATAGTAAAATAGGATCTAATACTGAAGCCCCTGAAGATACTGATGTGACAACTGGAGAAAGCTTCGTTAGTTATTTAAATAATGTATAGAATTTTTATTTTATATTAGATAATTACTATCGTTTAATTGGTTTTAAATCTAATTATTGTGTTCTTTTGTGCCATTGAAAGATATCCTATTTCTATTACATATAATAGAGGCCAGACAAATGCAAAAAGAGTTTAAATCTTAAAAAAGGAAGCAGGATTTTAGATTTCATGGTTGACGATGAAATATTATAGTTTAATAGGATACTTTGAATCTGCATTTTAAGAAGATAAAGTGAATCACAATCCAATAAAGCAGTTAATTTTGGTGATATTTTTTGACTTTGATAATTTTTACAATGTAAGTTATATTCATCTATGCTAGATTTGCATTTTTGGCCTTACTGTATATGCTTTCTTTAACCCTTACATCTATGCTGTACTCTTATTAGATATCATCAAACGATCTGAAGATCTTTAAAATATCATTAGATCAATAACATCCAATGGTCGAAATTTAGCTATATTTTCATTCTTAGGATTAATTGGTTTATTAGTTTATGCTATAATTGCATTCTCTAATTTTGACTCAATGTTTGATGATGAAAGTGGAGTTTATGGCTAGACATTTATTCTTGCTGTTACTTCAACAATCAATTTTGGATTGAGAAATGGTGGTGGCTTAGGTGAATCTTTGACTAAATATCCTGATGCTTATGATGATCCCACAATATATTGGGGCAGATACTTCTTCGATTTTACTTTCTTTATCATTTTCAATATTCTTTTTATCTAAATCATATTCGGCATCATATTGGATACCTTTGGCGAATTAAGAGATGAAAGACAAGCTTTGGTTAAGGAAATCGAAGGAAAGTGCTTTATTTGTAGCTAAGAGAAAAATGATATTGATACAAAGTAACAATTTCAATTATCTTCATATTAGAGGTACAAAAGGTTGGCATTATCATATTTACTTAGAACATAATGTGTATCATATGTTATATTACATCATTTATATTAAAAATAAAGATGCGAATGATTGTAATTCTTTGGAGAAATATGTAAATAAATGTATACAAGAAAAAGAGACTAAATTTTTCCCATTTGGTCGAGCACTTTAAATAGAAGAATAAGGAGGAGAGGAAGATTACATGGATTAATAATGAATTTAATATTTATGCAACTTATTATATATTTATTATTCTATATAAATATCAAAAAGCAGTTTTCTTCGTCAATAAATTAAATACAATGAAAGAATTATGATGGTGGGAACACCAAATGGAAGTTTCTTAAATAAGAGGTGAAATTTAAAAAATATAAATATTCTATATAGATTTTTGGATATTATGAATATGAAGAAGTATCTAAATAAAATATTAAAACAAATATTGTATGGAGGAGAAAGTAACATATATCTATGCAAGATAGAATAAAATAGATAAATATTAACATATTTATTTTTATTATGATGATGACTCATTCTATAGAGTCAGTTAGAATTCTTTGTAATAATTCAGCCAAGTCTTTTCCGGTTAATTTATAATCTTTCCAATTATTCCAATCATTGCCAGCTGCTTTGATTAGTCTTTTATAAATAAAGAAATGACTTCCTACCCAACTAGATACCTTATCTTTTAGTTCATCTTGAGTATATTACTCAAGTCCCAAGAATTTGCCAAGTTCAATTGCTTCTTCGTTGCTTTCAAAGCAGTTTCTGGTCTCAAGTGGCAAAGACTAATGTTTTTAGATTGAGTTAATACATAGTAGAATTATTCAGCTTCGGCAATCAATGGATTAATTTCAGAAGTTGAGCCAATGTCTGCTTTTCTTAAGAAATAACCTGTAAATAAAAAGGCATCCTTGTGGTCTTAGTCAGAGCCGCATTTGGAGACTGTAAATGGTCCTTTTTTATTAAAATAGGACCAGACTCCTTCTAGTGCTTCTTGATTTGCATCTCTCTCAACAGTTGCCAACGCTGAAACGAATAATAAAGTTAGAATAATCTCTGATTTCATGATTATAATATTAATAATTATTTTTAAAATGGATGATAAGAAACGAAGAAATGAAGATAGAAGACTTAAATTGGATGTGATATAATCATATGGTAGTTTATGTTCAGCGAAATTTAAAGACAGCATAAGCATAATAGAGGGTAGTGAATGAACATATTAAGTTATTAGATGAATAAAGAAGATTACTATATCCAGTTGGTAAATTCATAGCCTAGAAGTTTATTGATAAACCTGATACTCAATTTATCAGACTATCGGATAACTTAGATATTGTTTCCTGCATGACTGTCGCTCCAAACAAGAGGTATTGAAAACACTATTTAATTTTATTAGGACATTAGCAGTTGCAGAAAAAATGAAAAATGAAACAGTTCCATAGTTAGTAATTTATAATTTGAAAGCTCATCCTAGTAAAATGGAAGCGGAGAAAAAACCGTATAAATATTTAGATACTAAATCATCAACATTTATTAGTATGGCATTTTCTCATACGGATTCAAGGTAATATTTAAATATTGAATCCCAATTAGATTCTTGCTTTGTTTGACAGGACCTCCTGATTATTTATTGATTTTTGTAGATTTGATTAGAATGAAGCATTTAGCTTTATCTGCAATAGGATAGGAACTAACCAGAATTTCGATCTCTCCTAAGGACAATCATATGGTGGCTGTAAGTGGAAAAAATTACTTTAAAATTTTAAGAGTTTAAGAAAACTCCTTTATTTCATTAACTGATTAAATTAAGAGATTGGCTCCGATTTAGACATTTACTGACCATGCATGGTTTGAAGAGAACAAAGTGATATTGGCAAATGACAAGGCTGAAATTTTCATCATTCATGATAATGATGTAAGACAATATATAAATAATGCTTTTAATGACATTAGAGGCCCTGGAGTTTCTTCTTTGATTGCTTTTTCAAAAGGTTTCTTGGTTGGATCAGATAGTGGACATTTTGCACTTTGGATTAGAGGTGACGATCATGATAAATAGAAGACAGAAGATGGTATTGAAGTTGTAATGGATTTACAATTCTTAAAAAAATGGAGATGCGAAAGAAAGAGTTAGGTTGTCAGTATGGATATAACAAAACAAGAAGATTTAGTTGCAGTAGCATTCTCAAACAATGATATCTGCACAATTGAAATGGGGCAAGTATTGCCAAACTCAACTGAAGTGTTTGGAATCATATAAAAATAATGAGAAATTCTTAAAGAGAGAAGTTAAATTTGATTTTTTATTTAATGGGTTTCATAATGCCCCAATTACACATTTAGATGTCTGTTTATAAAGACCATTGATAGTGACGGCAAGTAAGTATGACAGCACAATTAGAATATGGAATTATGCCTATCCTAGATGCGAATTGGCTCGTAAATTTTATTTAGGAGATGATGGTAATTAATAAGGTCTGGGAACAAAAGAAAATTAAAGTACAACCCAAGACATTTCACCTTTATGTTCAGTAGGTTTTCATCCAACAGGTTATTATTTGGCAGCAGGATTTTAAGATAAGTTACGTATTTTCCATGTTCTGCATAGTGAATTACGTGCTTATAAAGAAATGGCTGTGAAGTGTTGCACTTAAGTGAAATTTAGTCAAGGAGGTCATATGTTGGCAGTTGCATATCCAAGAGCTAAAAGCAATCATTATTATATTAATATCTATGATGCCTACACGATGGAATTCATGCACACTTTAAAAGGACACAGTAATCAAATAACTGATTTGATTTGGGGAATCAAAGATACCTTTTTGGCCAGTTGTGGATTAGATGGTAGTATCTTTGAGTGGAGTCCCAATGATTGGTCCAGGAAGGATTATGTTTATAATACTAATAAGTATACATCCTTGATTTATGATCCTCCAATTGGAATGTTGATAGCTGCAGGAACTGAAAGCACTAAAGATAAAACAGAACAAGACAAGATTGATACCAAATACATAGTTAGAGAATAGAGGATTGTTTAGAATGGAATAAGCACTGGCAAGGATCATCATTTCCATGATCTTGGCCAATAAAAATTAACTTAATTAGCTTATATTTAATCCTTATATAATTAATTTGGAATTATTGGAGGTACAGAAAATGGCTAAATCAAAATATATTCCTATATATTTAATCAGATGGCTTTTGAAACCATGCCTGTCCATCAAGGAGAGATTACTAGAATTAAATGCAGTCCAGATGGCAGATATGTGTTTTCAACTGGATCTGATGGTGCTCTTTTCATATATTAAGTCTCTGAAATTTCGAATGATGGTTAAATCTATGCCTCCAAGACTGGAGCAGAAGCTAAAGAATAGATGGATGATATAGATAAAATTAATCCTAAGGCTGGAGTTGTTGATGAAAATTTAGCTGATGTTCTGTTAGTCTCTAGAAATGAGATTGAAACCTATATTGCTGAAATGAAGAAACTACATAATGATTTGTAAGATCTTGATTAGAAGACAGATTTCAAAGTGTAGGAGGAGAAAAGAAAAGTTGAAAAGGAGAAATTAGAAATTGAAAAGTAAATGAATAATGAAATTGCTGCCTGGGCTGCTCGTTATGATTAGTTAAAGGCTTAAAAGTCATCTGCAGAAAAGGAATCTGCTAATTTATTTAAAAATGTAGAAAATAACCATTTAAAAGCTGTTGAAGAGTTAGAAAATTTATATGAAAGAAAGTTAGCATTTGAAAATGAAAAATACCTATAATTGGAATAGGATTTGATGGAGGAAAGAAGAAGAAATCAAGCTTAAGCCAAAGAATTTGAATCGAAACATACATCATATATTGATGAATTGAAAGAAAAGTTTTATAAGAATTTCTAAATCACAGCCAAGGCTTTGGAGAATAATTAGAATTAGGCAGATCAATTGAAGGCAACTTATGAAGAGATTTTAGCATAATAAGAAGAAGATCATGAATTTGAAATTAAAGATTTGAATGATAGATAGAAAAAAGAGATTGATAGGCTTAAATGTTTACTTGCTGAAAAAGACTCGAAGTTTAAATAAGAGCAGAAATTAGTATAGGAATTAAGATTAGAAAATGAAAAGTTAGACAAAAGATTGTAAGAGAAGGAACAAGCTTATTAGTTATTAGAAAAGAACCTTAAAGAGGCTGAAACCAAAATTGATGTTTAATGCAAGGATTTAGAAGATAAGGATGATTAATTGAAGAAAAAAGATAAAAAGATTTCAGAATACAAAGATAAAATTAATGTTTTACAAAAATCTAAACATGTTCTATCATTTAGAACCACTGAAATGAAGAAGTCACTAGAACCAAAGGAAGCTTAAATTGAAAAATTAAAGGAAGAATTATTTAGATTAGAAAGTGAATTTGCAAAGTAATTAAAAATAAATAGCGAATTAAACTCAAAAATCAATGAAGAAAGTAGCAAAACTAATGCTCTTACTCATGATTTAAATTTATAAATTTAAACTACAAAAAAGAAGGAAAATATCATTTAAAATATTACCAGAGACATTCACAATTGTGTTCATTATATTGATGATAAGGTAATATGATTTTATTATTTTAGGAATGGAAAAAAGAAATGACCAAATTGTATTAAAGATATGTGCTACAATAAGAAATTAAATAAAGTTCTAATGATCCTCGTTCTATTGAAGAAATGAATAGACATATTAATCATTTAGAAAAGAGTGCCATTCAAATTAATTCTAGTACAGAAAAAATGATGGTTAGAAGAGAAAAAGAAATCTATAAAAGAACTAGTGAGAATTAACAATTAATCCATGAATTAAATGAAATTAGGAAATAATGTAAGGATTATGAAACTGAAAAATCGAATTTGAAAATTGAGAATGACAAATATAAAAAAGAAAATGAAAAATTTAAATAAGAAATTAAAGTTTTACAAACTAAACTTGGTAAAAATATTGGAGAAGTATTTATATTCTTAAATAACCTAAGTAAAATGTAGAGATGATGAACGAAGACGTAATGTAATAATCTTAGTAACCAATATTGCCTTAAGCTTTGAATATCAACAAATAAGGAAGTGCCTAAGCTAGATTATAATCGCTCCCATAAAAGAATAATAAAATGGGTAAAATATTGAGAGGCCCCAATTTCGATAAATAAAAATTACAACCATTTGAATTCTAAAAGAACGTAGAATTGTAAAATTAATTGCAAATTGCACTTAACTAATTGCAAGCCAATGAATCGATGATTAAAAACTTCAAAAAGATTCTTAAAGAAAAAGGTATCGAGGATCCGTATGCTGATGCCGAGTAAGAACACAGTCAATTTGGAAGACCCTTAAGCTCTATTTTTGGTAGTAGAGTTTGATCAAGAAATTATTAAATATATATATTTAATATACAATAACCTTTAAATAATTTATCAGACTATTGAAATTAAATTTAATATCAGTGCATAAAGGTTCAGAGCTTTGGTTCTTAATATTGAGATACGTCAAATTAACTTTAGTAGTTGAGATTAGAAATTTTTCTTGAGACAACAATAGTTTAATTTAATTATACATTTATTGCTTTAAATTCTACTAAAAACTAATATCAATTAATTAGCAATAAACAGAAATATTGATATACAGAAAAGCTATAAACCATAATTAAAAGCCTTCTATTAAATATATTATAATATAAAAGGAAATAAATAAAATGATTATTTCAAAAAAAAAAATAAAAAAAAAATAAAACCTCACTAATGAATAGTTCAAAATAGCTAAGAATTCCAAAACCGTAAATCTAAATCAAGTAGAGTGATTGGAATTTACAATTGGAAAGATGTAGATTACATGCTTAAAATCCAATGATCAAAGCATTTTTCCTCGATTAAACCCTGCTTGAATCTCAATAAATTGGAATGCCAATATAAAGCCAAGCTTGATCAATCTCCTCACTCTGAGTTTAAAATACATAATAATTATTTTACTCATTTACATTAGTTTAAATGCTTTTTCTTAATTATCATTCACATTTAAAGTTGATTGATTGATGAGAATTAACCTTCATCTGTTAATCCTCCTACTTCCCCCTATTTCGCTATTATAATAGATGTAGATCTAAAAAAATTTAATTTATTAATTACCTGCCATTGGATTAAAACTTAAAACAGAATCTAAAAACAAAAAGTTCAATTGAAAAACAATGAAAAAAATATCGAAAGAATTAATGAGAAATATATAGCAATTAAATTTAGATCCACAAAAATAATTAAAAAATAACTTAAGCTAAAAAGTCTCAAATAACATTAATTAAAATTTTGTTGATGAGGAAAATAAGTAGTTAAAATTATTGAAAGAATATTTTATCATTAGTTAACATTTCACTTTTATTGTTTCTACATATATTAATTAGTAGAATTTAATAATTAATAGCATAATTTATAATTATTCTATAAAGGGGTTTAAGTAAGTTGATTAATTGTTTAGCGAACATCTGAAAAATAAGTATGAACTAGTTGTAAGAGACAAAGAAGATCATTTCTATTGTTGACTAATCAGGATTTGATAAAATGTTAATAGTTTAAATTTAGATGAAATATGATTTATCCATATATAATCGATTAGTTATGATTATAAATTTTATCTATATTTACATACTTGTAAATTATTACCATTCTTTTTTTAAATACATTAAATCAAGTAATATTTAACTAATTTACGTCCAGATAAGCGAGTAATTATTGTTAAGTATGAATAATGGGTGATTGAGGTTGAGAAGATGTTTATTTTAAGGAAGGGGAGGGATTAGTGAGTATGATATAAGTTTTGAGAAAATTAACAATTAATTGTAAATCGCTAGATTTAATTATAATTTGAATTAAGTTATCTAAATAGGTCAATTCATTAATTGATGTATGCTTAGAAAAAGCTTAAAGTTGAATTTTTATTTTTTTTAATTTATTAAAAATATGAATTCTCCCAGCAGTCCAAATAGGGTGATTAACAACCAATTCCGTTTGAAGAAAAAATTGTCAGCAGGGTCATATGGGGTGGTTTTTGAAGCAGAGGACATTATAAAAAATCAGATGGTTGCTGTGAAAATAGAGAAAAAGGAGAAGAATTCAACTTTGGATAGGGAAATACATATTTTGACAAGATTATAGGGTACTTAAGGAGTTCCTAAATTAATCTGGAGTGGAACTGACAATAATTCAAATGTTTTAGTGTAATAGTTATTGAGTAAGGATATCGGGGCTTATCTCAAAGAGTTTAGAAAGTTTTCACTAAAAACAGTGTTAATAATAACTGATTACTTATTATAAGTTATAAGGCGAATTCATAACAAATCAGTAGTGCACAGAGACTTGAAACCAGAAAATATAATGTACCATTCTAAACAGATATATATTGTGGATTTTGGGATTAGTAAGCTGTATAGAGATAATAATTTAAAGCATGTGTAATAATTTCGATTGATTTTAGTCCATTTAAAGATGGGAGATCTTTTGTGGGTACGACAAGGTATGCTCCTATAGCAGCGCATAAGGGATACGAAATAGGAAGGAAGGATGATTTGGAATCAATAATATATATTGATATTCTCATGTTGAAAGGGTAAACTAAAATGGTTAACTTAGAATTTAGATCTTTGCCATGGTAAAACATGTTAGGCTAGAATAACAAGGAACGCCAAAAATAGGTGGGTGAAAAGAAAATCAAAATGACACCTTAAGAAATTTGCATAGACTTGCCGATAGAATTTGCAAAAGCATTAGAGTACATAATGACAATAATTATAAAATAGATATATAAGATCCTTGTAATATTAGAGTGATCCTGACTATGACTACTTGATTTAGTTGTTTAGGAAATTGGCACAGTCTAGGAAGATTGATTACGATGATGTTTATGATTGGACAATTTAGAATAACAACCCTAATAGTATTAGTCAAAAATAAGAAAACCAAATTATATAGGTTGCCTCTTTGCAATAGTTTGAGAAGACACCTTTTTCTAAAACGAATAAATGGTAATGTTTTTGGATTATCGTAGTCATTCATTGAAAGTACCATCGACTCAGGATATTTTATAGGAGAGAAAGAAATCGTTTTAAAATATCTCGTAAATTTAGTTACTAAAACCGGATGATTTAAATAAGTCAATAGAAAATACTTATTAATTGAGTCAGATGGCAAATGAATGTGACTCAAAGTAGGATTACATATCTCAGGATGATGATGCCGTCGATACTTTGTTTACTAGATATAATCACTTAAAGAAATAGAATATAGAGATGTACATTCTCCTATTTAATTAGACATCACCCTTAGAATGAATAAAAGGCATCCAGTGGATTCAAAAATGTGTGAATGTAATGCTCAAAACTATTTATTTTATTTTCAATCTTATAAATCGTCTATTTGCATAAAGATATAATTAGATATAAAATGCAGTTTAATTTATATTTTGATTTAATCTTAGATATAAACCAAATATGCTATCATTTAGTTATGGATTGATGCTTCTCGGTATTGCTTTTTAGAGTTACTGAAAGTATTTTGGAAATGGTTGACTCCAAATCTTGTTCTATTTATCAAGATTTATTAAATACCATCTGCTTCTTCTAATTGTGAATTTGAACAAACTCCTTGTAGATTGATCAATCTCAAAATTTGAATGGTGGAACACAACCTGAATTAAGAAGCCAATTGTTGATTTGCCCTAACATATCAATGTTTCTATACAATCGAAACTGCATTTTTATTTATTAGGTAGGCTTAACAATCGAAGATGAATAAACAATGGTCTTGGCAAGGCTCAAAAATCCCCGCATATTAAATTTTAATATTTTTATATATAATTCTAAGTTTTATAGGACTATATTAATTAAAATGAGTGATAATGTTTTGGACGAATATGAGTCTCTTGAATTGAATAGTGAATCTCATGATTCTAAATTGATACCTCAGCCATAGCAATATGTACAAGAAGACTTAGAGGACATAATCAGATAATAGCCAATCTTTTTTGAATAAGAAATTCAATCTGGAAACTTTAATTTGTTGGTATTGCATACTCCTGAGAATTTGGATGAACTAGATTCCACAGGCTATGCATTAATTCATCATGCAATCTCATTCGAAAGATAGGACATTATCAAATACCTACTTGTCAAGGGTGCAAATCCTTTGAATAAATCTCAAATTGAATAAAGCTGTTTAATGATGGCTTGTCACTTTGGAAACCAAGAGTTGGTTTAGCTTTTTATAGAATTAGGAAACAAGATCAACGATTAAGATAATTTATAATTTACTCCTCTTCTTTATGCCACCAAATGTAACCACCACTTGATTGCACTCTACTTGATTGCTCTGCAAGCCAACACAGATGTCAAAGATAATGCTGGATGTACCATAATGCATTGGGCTGCCTATACAAATGATGTGTATATGCTCAAATATTTTGAAGGCGATAAATCCTATAATCAGCAGGATTCTAAGGGCAAGACTCCATTGATAAGAGCAATTTCTAATTATTCGAACGATGCTGTCGAATATTTGCTTAGGACATACCCAGACATTATGCCTAATAAGGAAATAGATTTAAAGACTTAAGCCATAAAAAAGATAGTTGAAACTGTGAAGTACCAATAATTCATAAAAAAGCACAATACGAGATTCGTTTAATATTCATTTATAGGTGTAGTTTATTTTATAATTGGGGTTCTTGTTGTGAACAATTTTTGGAGATTGCAAAATGATGACGTCTATGGATATAGCATTTCCTTAATTTCCTTAATTCTGACACTCTACAGTTTATTTTATTGCATTATATTTATATCTAAAACTACAAGCAGACAGGAGGAAGGCAAAAAGATATCTAAGGGTTTGGGACATCCCAAGATAAGTTATGAATGTCATCACCATGGGGATGGGGAACATAGACATCACATTTTGGAAGAGGAGATCAACTTGGGAGAAAATCAAGATGATGTGGAATATGGGAATTCATAGAATCTATCAGAATTGTTGAGAGCAGTCAAATTGCATTTTGAGAAGGATGAGCAATTTTTGACTTTCGAAATAACAAGGACTTGTCCAAAATGCAAAATAGTTTAAAAAGCACAAGTGTACCATTGTGATCATTGTAATTTATGTGTAAAAAATAATCTCATTTATCTAGGTCAAAGGATTTCAATTTCACTCCATCTACTTGAATAAATGCATAAACAACACAAATCATTTTTTCTATGTCATCTTATTGTTATCCTACTTCATAACGTTTGTAATTAATGTCTACACTGCATTTTATACATTATCGAATAATAATTTTAGTATTACTTTATTTTACTTCCTGCCCTTGTTTTCAAACATTAGTATTGTCGAATAAATCGCATATTATGGGATGATTTTTGGCATATACATCACGTCAATCAATTTAATTGTGTAGGTAAATTGCAGATCTATATTTAGGTTGTTTGCGTGTTTTGCAATATGACTGAACACGAGTTATTGAACACTGAACAATATAAGTATCTTTATGAACTTATACTAATTAATGGATTTTATTACATGAAACTAAGAAAAGTTGGGGATATATTTGAAAACGTAAAATCTTACATTTGGAATTAATATAGTGAATTAAGAATCTTGTGATATATTTAATTTAAAGTTACACATTTTATTACCTTAAGATACACCTCGATGAAAAATCCTAGAGATAATTAAATTTCTTTTTAGAATTTTGAGTGATGTATTTCAAATTAAATACTAAAATAATATATTATGTAATCAGAAGCAAGATAAAAGTAAAAGTTAGTCTTTTTGGGAAACTCGTTTGTGGGTAAAACAAGTATAATCGAACGATTTGTATAAAATACATTCGATCCAAAATCTCAGCCCACTGTTGGAATTGATTTCATAAGCAAAAATATGACTATTGATGGAAAAACTATGCGCTTATTGTTGTGGGACACTGCTGGATAAGAGAGATTTCATTCATTGATTCCTGGATATGTCAGAGATGCTTAATGCGCTGTTATCGTTTTTGATGTCACATGTAATATATTTTAATATTCTTAGCTAGACATTCATTCGAAAGTTTGGATAGATGGTTCAAAGAAGTGAAATAAACAAGAGGCAATGAAGCTCTCATTGTCATTCTAGGAAATAAAATAGATGCAGAAAGAGTGGTCAGTGCAGATGAAGCTAGGGAATATGCCATCAAAAAAGATATCCTCTATTATGAAGTGAGTGCCAAGACAGGTAAGGGAATCGAAGAAGCCATGGAATAAATTTGTTTGGCATTGCCCACTGAGCACTCTCTACTCATAACATAATCATAAGGTACTCTTATTTCAATTAACTTTTAGTTAATTAATCATAATTTGAACAGTAAACAGTGGCCTCCAACAGAAAACCCGTTCATCTAGATCAGAATGGACTCAAATAATTCTAATAACCAGCAGCAGTTAAAAATAATCAATGCTGTGCTAAATCTTAATGAAATATTTTTACCCTATTATATATATATATATAAATTAATAGTATTACATATGGATAACCTTCTCAATTGTAAATCTATTTTTCAACTATTTAGCTCAGAAAATTGAAGCCATGATTAATAATCGAATGAAAGACATACTTTAGAATAATTCTTCCAATAAGGAACTCTTTAATCTATTGACAGAGCAGCAATAAGAGATTTCTTAAGTTATTTTAGTTGATGACCCAGTTTACCAAAACTCTCATTATTATTACCCAATCAAATCCGGGAACATTACTGTACTAAGGAGATATGGCGATTTCGAATTGCTCTCAGAATATTTATTTAAAAAAAATCCTGAAGTTATATAAAAATTGCTTCCTCCCAAGGAATCGGGATTTTACTATTTAAAGAGCTATGTTCAAGAGAATCGAGAGGTTTTAAATTTAAGAAAGGAGAAATTTTAAATTTACCTCAATGATATCAAAAAGCAATTACCCAAGAATGATATTGTGATTAAATTCCTTGAAACACAAGAAAATTTTAGTCATATAATTTAAACTATTGACCCACAACTAATTCTTGAACAAGGATATTTTTAAAAAATTAAGAAATTATATGAAGCATCCTGGTTGATATAGCGAAACAAAGATGGAGAATTAAAAGACTTTTAGTAATTACTCTAAGCCAAAATTATGCATTTAGATTAAATGTAATAAATGCTATTTATTTTAGATAAACTTTTTTAGTAATTTTATATTTGAATTTACAACATAAATCAAAATCAACTTAAGTGTCACTACAGAACAAAGAAATTTAAGATTTAATTAACAATATTATTGATAATGAATAGCTCTACTAAAATGACATAATTTCTAACAAAATCGAAAGACTAACCAAAAAAATTAGTGAAGTTTTAGAGCTATTTCCTAATGTAAGACAAGATAAATAATAATACGAATCCTATGATAAATTATTGGAGGAATGTATTAAGTTGATAAAAAATATACTTTAAGAAATTTTGCAATGAATATAAAGTATTAAGTAGTACTAATTTAAATGCAATATCAATCTTATTAATTTATTTTATTTTTATCCTCCTCCTCATTATTACTTTCTATTTAAAGAATTTCAAAATCATCATCATCCTCCATATTGCTTTCTATCTATAAAATTTCAAATTCTTCTTTCTCCTCAATTTCCTTTTTCTCTTCTGGTACTTTATATTTAAGTTTCCCTCTTTCAATTGCTGCATCGAATATTACCTCCAATAATGTGGCATAAACTTCTCCTATAAATTCTCCTATAAGGCCAAACATCCAGCAGTTAGCACCAGTCCTACTCCTACTTTTACTTATTTCAAAAATATTTGTTTCTTAGTGTCCAATCAATTTATAAGCACATCCTTCTAAAGTTCCAAAAATAAATCCTGTTATGCTTCCAGCCATCCCTCCTGCTACACATCCTTACATCAAATTCCGTTTAGAAAAGTGGGGACCTATTGGTCTTATTACTTGTACATATCCTGCAACCAAACTTGATGCTGAAGCCACTCCAATACATGTGACTTTAGCAATAATATTGCTTCCTTGTGACTTATTTGTTTCTGAAATATTATTTTATTCTTTTTCTTAATTTTATTGAAGTATTAATTTCATCATATATATATACATTTAAATTTATTTTAATAATTCTATCATTTTTATATGGAACAATAGGATTGATAAGAAAAAATATAAATTTTATATATATATTTATATATAAAGTATTATATTATATAATTTTGGTTATTTCTGAACTATGTTTGTATAAACCATAAATAGATAATCAAAAGTGAATAATTTAATATAAAAAGAAGCTAGTAAATGATAATTATAAAAAGATTATTAAATGTGATGATGTATAGATTATATAGTTTTTCATTCCTTTTCAGAGCCAGATGATGCAGAATTTTGGGAATCGCTAGATTCATCTTGTTTCTTCTTTTTTTATTTTTTGTCCTTTTTTTTCTCGTTCTGTTTTTCCTTTTCCTTAGCATTCATGAGCATTAATTACTAAACTGCATCAGCCAATTAAGCTGGTTTTTTAACGAACCGATTTACACCTTTATTTAGTTATAATTTGAATAGGGACACAAGATCGTCATCTAAGAGTTTTACCAATTTAGGTGTGATGTCATCTTGGTGATCTTGTAGGGCTTGGAAGGCTTTCTAAGCTTCTAATGCCTTGTCTAGATCAGATAGTTCTGGCTTTAGGATGGAGCAATATTCATTTTCACTTGGTTTCATATGCAACCCTAATTTAGGTTTAGGCAAATAATCAAAAAGTTTGATTTAATCGGAATTCAATAAAATCAGCTTTAATTTATCGATTTCTTGTAGTTTTTTAATGATGTAAGTAATATCCAGAGTGTGGGTGATTTTGCCCATGGAGAAATTAATGAGGTCTCTTTTTCCTCCCTTTTTACATTGGCAACATCCAAAATAATCAAAAAATTTTAGATCTAGTTTGCTTTCCTATTCCTAGAAAAATTGGGTAATATCGTTAGAGATTTAATCTAGTAATTTAGATTTTTATTATTCATCATGATCTGCCACTTTGGACATCCTATTGAACTTTTCAAGTTAAACAGATTTAGATAAGATTTCCTTAACTTTTGTACTGCCCCTATTTTCAGGATGTATTTTATTGTCGTAATCTAATTCAAAATTGAATAGTTCATTTAATAAAGCCACTCTATATGACAAATTATTGAAAGGCATAATGAACAAGAGGGAACAAAGAAAGATGATTTCCCAGAAACCTCCAATATCTCCCAAGAATTGATAGACTCTTGGGTAGGATCGTTAAGTAACCAAGGTTTTTTGATCCAGTGAAATGTTGATTTCAAAGATATGTTTATCAGAATCTTTATCCAGGATAGTTTCGTAATAGTTGGAAATAGAAAGAATTGTTTCCTAATACTAGTCTTGAATGATGTATCCATTATCAGTTTGTGTTTGTTGTGGTTAAAGAATGATATTGAGTTTTTTGGCAAAGTTGGTCAGAGATGTAAGACTGAAGGTTTTGCCAATGAGAGATGCAGGTGTTTTGAAATTAGATATGTCTGTGTTGGCTGATGTCATTTTAAATATGAATTAATCACTATCTAATATATTTGGATATGTACATTAGGTACTAGGCTTAAATTAATCATATACATTGTAGTGCATTGTTTAACTATGATTTACAATGATTAGTCTTTGGAGGATTCCAAACCTCCCTCGATCACAATTTGACGAATGGAACTCCAGTCTAAACAATACCAGATTTGATCCGACTTATCGAAGTAAGCATTCAAAGAAGGATCACTAAATTAGAAATCGGTACATTTGGTCAGAGGGATTTCCTGAAAGATCTCACTATAAATAATTAATAATGTTACTACCTATCCACGCCTCCAAGTGCTCCCTCCAGAATGTAGGAATCCAGGAGATCGTATCCCTTCTAAGCGATGGCGATGCTGAAATTTTTAGGAGTCAAATAAAATGCATTTTGATGCTCCTAATATTGGGTATAGGTTATGACACTAGGGTTATTTCGAACTATGAGTGAAACCAGTCCACTATAGTAAACCAGAATCACAAGACTAACAAGAACAGTGGTGAGAAAAACACCCAAAAATGTTCTATGTCCTTACTCCTTCAACAGTAATAAACTCACAGGTCTCGTGTACACATTAAACTTTTTGAAGGCGTTGCTCAAAGATTATAGATTTGGCATCAAAGTGAGTTAAAAATAAATAATATCAAATATTGCTCAAGAGCCATTAAGATTTCAATATCACCTAATCCATCTACCTTTACTATGTCATATGCAATTGCACCTGTTTGGCCTATTCAATAAATTGCAATATCTTACTTTGTATTTCTCGTTGTATTCCTTTAACAAAAACAAAACACCGTCATTTATCTTCTTAATATCTTAAACACTGCTTGGATCAATCTACCAAATGAACCTCTTTTTCTTTCTGTCACAGTTGAAGAATTGTTAGTACATCAAAACAAACACTAATTATGCACCTCCAGACTCATACTCAAAGCTATCATAATAATAATAATCTTCTAATTTATTATTGATATTGACTAAGAATTGCATGATCTCAGCATCCCTAGCATTATAGTTTTTATATAGTTATTCTTTCTAATATATTACCCGGATGTCTCTGGTCCTCTTATCATTAGCCTTGTCATTCCAATATTGAGCAGTTGCTTTTAAACCATCAGTTGTTTTACTCACAAAATCAAACACTCCTGCAAATGGCTTAATAAAGAATCCAGCTGTCCCTTCAAGAACCCCAATAGTCAATCCTTTAATCCCTTTTCTCCTTGCTTAAGTAACAGGGATATCGAACACTCCAACAAAGGCTCTGTTCAATGATATATACAACAATCTCCCTCCTAAATAAATCCCAGATATAATTTAATTAGGCTTCACAACTCTAATTTATTCTCTCTACTGTTTATACTGTTTATCTAAACTGATATATGCCAGACTACCACTAATACTACCAGCAATCTTGCTCGTTGAATTTGATACTCCGCTTACTGTATTCTATACTAAACTGCCTGCCCCTCTCACTATACCTATGCTACCTTCAACTGGCCCCTTAATGAACCCTTCAAGTGGCTTATCAAATAGATCATAAACTCCTTTTGCTAAATGCTTTACCAATCCAACAGGATTGCCAAAGAATTCGATGGAACCTATTAATTTCAGGATCAAATTAAAGAGCATATCTTTATAATGAGTAGTTAATTTATTAAGAATGGCATTGGATGTATCAAACGAATTCTCCAAAAATATACCCCCCAATATCAGTGGAGCATCATCAATATTGCCTATAACAATACCTATAGTCTTAAAAATTTGCATCAGCATATTATAATGTAAATTCGTCTTCGCACTACTGTAGAAGGTCAAGTTAAAGTTCAAAGGAGATATCTCAATCTTGTTAATATATGTTGCTTATTGATCATTCAACTGGATCTCTAACTCCTGCCATTCTATTAAGTTCTATTGTCCAAAGGATCCTACTCCATATTTACTCTAAACCTTATTTGATAATGTTAAACTATTTGCTTATTGGAATATCTGCTATTCATCTTGGCTGATCGCAAATTCAAAGTCAAACTATTTCAATTACTCTTCACTTTGCCTATTGGAAATGAACGATAATGTAATCTATTTATAAACAGAATAGAGTATTTCGAGCATCTCAGATGTCAATCTTATTGTAGTAGGTTGTAAACAAGCAGTAAAGTTTTTAATTAATGAAATCGATTTGACTTAGGTGGATTGTTCAAGTACCAATGACAGATGAGGCTTATTAAACTCAAAGATCTCTTTTTAGGCAGTAGGAGTAAAAATAACAGGGAACATAGTCTTACTGGATGTATTATTATCAATGTTGATGTATTTCACTCTGAATTCAGACCTCTTACTCTGCGTTGTTTATAATAAATTGAATTCAAGTCCTTCGAAATATATGAAAATCAACTCTACTCTTTTAGTGTAACATTAATCTATCAAGGAAATGCCTACTTGATTTAAATTGACATCGAATTTTAGAATGTTAGTGTCATGTTAATTTTATTAGTCCTACACCTTTTATTAGAACTTTAATTTCCTACTAGCACCTTCCCAAAGTGAAATGATATAAAATTTGTACTGTTGTTATTCACTTATTAAACTTGAAATTATATACTCTTGAACTGCCTCTGCTTCTTCAAGATTGATATATATTGGATTTAATCTATAATGAGTGCTTAAATCTCCTTCAAATTAGAGGTGTATTGCTAACTCCCTTCTTTCGCAAGGATATTCCCATGAAAAGGCACATTGCTAATTATTATTTATATACAACTTGTATTCATTGAATTAATAGCGATGACTATACTTCTCATCTGAACAACAATATTGATAACAAATCAATGTCACTAATTCCAAATTATTAACTATTACATAAGGAGGATCCACCTAATTTATGTTGTTGATTTATGATTATTATTATTGATGAATAGAGTTTATTTATGTTTAACCAATCATTGAACTTAATGGATCTATTGATTTGCATTCTAAAATAATCAGGTAAACTATTTGATTGTCTATTTTTGTTATACAATTGAAATGTTTGGTTATTTATTAATTATTAACAGCTCTCATAGTAAAACATTAGAACCCATTTCCATTTGGATCAATTGGGTTAGTAGGTTTCCATTCTATATTATCATCTAGATAATGAATTGAGATATATTAATAGCGCAATGAATACCAAACTAAAGGTTTTCTATCCATTGAGTTGATCTCTAAATATTGATGAATTGATTCCTGCAACACATGAATAGTTTTTTAAGTTTGATTAACTATTATAAACCTTGGGGAAATAGTTAATACCTTAGTTACTAAAGGCTTTTGTTTGTCCACACACATTAACGAAATATTATAGCCCACCTCCATAATTTAATTTTAGCTATTTTATATCCGAACTGTTTGATTTCCTGTATAATTCAAGTTTAGAGTTTCCGAAAGTTGAACAGATCTCTCACTGATGGAAAACGATAGGTATTACTAGTCATTGAATAGTGTAATGTTATGAGTATCTTGCAACTCATTTTATTCAAATTCTTTTGTATGCTAACCAGCTATTAGAGTTGGACTACCCTTTTTTATATCTGTCATACCATAACTGTATACTTTAAAGGGCAATTCATTTACGATCATTTATTGGCAGTATATATAAAATACATTTTTGATCTGATCAATTAATAAGTATCCGTTTGTATTTCCGAAATTGTCACATAATTGAATATTGTCGACTTGAAAAGGACCAAATTTGGCATGATACAACATATGAATTCCTGAAATCTAGAAATACGGCAATTTGACTGTGATTGCTAATCTCCCTTTGGTTGAAATAGTATCTATTAATTTTTATTATTGTTTCAAAATTTATCCCTTCTCCTTCTTTTGTAAATTGTCATACTGATATTTATCAAGATGTTTCAGAGTGATATTAGTTAGATTTGACTATTCCTCCTCCATTTATTGTTGATATATTATGACAGCATCATTTGATAAGTCTTGTTCAGAGTCTCCATACAATTCAACTGAAATGGGGACTGGCAAACAATTCTTGATTTAAAATGGAGATTCCAAATAAATTAGAGTTTAATTTACATTTCTTTTAGAACATCTAATAATTGTATAACAACCATTATGCTATTGCTCATATTTCTAATCAAAATTATCTTATAAATATCTTAAATAGATGTAATTGCAATATTTTTAATGACCGTTAAATTTGAAATTGAAATATTGTCTAGTTCTATCAATTGGCACACTAAATGCTCTATAAGGTGCAATCTACGTTTCAAAAATATTTTATTCTATTTATCCTGGCATATCAAATAATTTTATGTCAATCAGTCTATCAGTTTGATTGAAGATAATTATTTCAGAGGAAATTAAAAGCAACTTTCTAGTGTCTTTAGGCACTACTTCCATGAATAGCATAAAAGTCATATCGGTGTATTTATTACTTGGCTTGATTGGACATCTGGTAACCTTGATGCAATCTAGATCTAGTGGATTTATTGGTTCAAACTCATATGTGTCATGTATAACCTTTATGGTAACCAATCTTTATTATTGTTATTGCAAGTCTTCTCTTTCTCTTCTGAAGATTTGATCAAAATCAGCATCAATCTCATAGTTAATAGATGAACTTGATTCCAATATGTACTTCTTATTTTTATTGGCTGTATCACTGATTTCAAGTTCAAATCCAGTTTCATTTCTGATGGTGTAAGGAGAAACATAATCAACATTATCTATTCTGTCATCTTAAAATATCTATTATTACTGAATGTTCGATATCTCCATCTCCTATTTCTAGGATATGAATGTTTTGTGAAATACACTGATCATCTGAGCAGATAAGTTGATATTCAAAATTTCTTATTCCTAAGTCATTTCCAAATAGATGATGCATTGAGGTTCTCCCTTAGGATTTAAAGAGACATCAACTGAAAAATTGCAACTCTCCAAGATTGGTTCCCAAACAGCAATTTTAGGGTTGTAAAATGAACTACTTAATTTAATGATCGTAGAATATATAGACTTCTAATTGATTTTTTAAAACTATAACTGAGTCTCTGATAATGTCACATCAAAGACTGGGACATATACCTCTCCTGCATCATTTATCACAACAACTTGTAACCCACTTATGATAACATCATATGAGTCATTGATTGGCTACTCTTAATTTATTATCTCCTCCTATTAATAAATAGGTTCACGAATAATATTCTATGTGCTTGATTTCAATTTATCAGAAATACTAGTCATTAATAGGAAATCTTAATATGAAAATTTACATATTGTTTTGTCTATATAAAATGAAAGCTTATTATTGTAATAGATAAACTACTTGTTAAATTCAACCTACAACTCATTTTTGAGACTTAAAAATAATGAGAATGGCATTATGATTTGTCTTTTTCTCACTGTTTTAAGATCAAAATTGATATAATCCACAAATTTGCATTTAAAAAATTCCAGATTCTTTAAATTAACTTAATGTTCAAAGGCATCTCCAATGATTTCCACTTAATTTTTATCTAATTGATCTCTCTTCAAATTTATAAGTATTTGCTCTGGATTCATAAACCTACATCTATTCCAAACATATGAAATGTCACCCTTTGTTCCAAGTATGAACTGACTGTCCAACCCTTAAAAACATAAACTAGAACCCAGGATCTTAATGATTACTGTGATACTAGGCATCTCTCCAAATTCTGTTTGAATGGGCCAACACTATTATTCTAATCTACTCCACAAACCCACATTCGTAAATACTGTAGGTTCCACTATCATTCTCACATCATTTAAATTTATGTGGCACCTCTTATCAGCACTAGGCTTTTGAATATGAAATATCATTGAAAATTAGCATTACTATTTGTTGAAATTTTCATCGAAAATGTACTTTGTGAATGGTTCTCTTTACTCTTTTGGTTTATAACCTTGAATCAATTGATTGACTTGGAATAGTTTCTATGAATCTGGGATTTAACCCAATTCTCCCAAAAACCCAAATTCATTATTGAATTTATCATAGTTATACATACTGATCCATTGACTAAATAAGTTCAAATAAACATCTGTCTCTTTTAGCCACTCTAGTCTCATTTATTTCATGTTGATTTACACCAATGGTTACTCAGATTTCTTGCTCAAAGCAAATATTGAGAGATTTTCAAAATCCAACCAAAATGATATTGGAGCAGGTTCAAATTAATTAACCACGTCAAAATCATGAATGTATAATTTATCTTTAAAATCGTCATGTGTAAAGTTATGAAATATCATTTTACAAATTTCTAAGTATTCCTTTCTGTATAATTTCAAAATCATAGGGGACATACAGGATCTAATTTTGATACTTCTATCCATTTCTACATTATCATATAAGTCTTTAATCTCAAAGTAATACAAAACTCTTTCAAAGGATAAATTAAATTCAAATAATGAGCTGACTTGATTGACCCCATTTTCATAATATTGAATTTACATATTGTGTCCTTCAATACAATATGCCTCATTCCAGGCTTCTTTGATACGACCATCAGGCATCCATTACTCATTTGATTATATTAGTTCAATACCTCCTCCTTTGATTAATCTACTCATATCTACCTCTTATTTATTATAAATTTTCAACACATCACAGTCCAATTAAAAATATTCCTAAAATTCAGGCCACCCTTTGAGAATAATCAATGGTTTAGTAAGCACAATTCTTATATCAATAAAAGTTGGGCAAATGAACTTTGACTAAATTAGATCTACGTCTCCCCAGACTCTTTTGACTTTTAAATTTTTGTTATTCATTCTTCTCTATTCACTATACTCTGTATTCATAGTCAATGACTCAGGTTCTCTGATCAAAGTTACTATTTGATTAACTATATAATCAATTTGTCTCATTAAAGGTTAATTTTGATAACAAGCAAATATGGGATTAATTTCAATCAACAAGAAAGTGTTTACTCTTTCTTGATTGGCTATAATTATTTCATCGTATCCACTGAATCTAAATCTGATTGCCCAGTCATCATAAATATCTCTCTTCCCTATTAATTTATATGGCTTGATCTAATCAAACTCTCTATTGCTATTTATAGTGAAGGGATAGTTTGTCATATCATAAAGACTAAAATCTTGCAATTGAGTATCCAAATATTAACTAAATTATAGTTGTTTAAAAGTAAATTAGACCTAGTCCATTTCGCATTTAAAGAGCAGACAATGACTGGTTCTATTAAAGAAATTTACTGATATGAAATTTATAGAAGTCTCTAATTCCATGAGTGTGTCTTTGCTGCTCTTCATTTGATATGATGATAGAATCTCATTCTCAACCCATTGATAATCATTCAGGAAATTCTAATGATCAATCAATGTATCAAACTTATGTTTCACTTTCAATTTGGATTAACCATATCTTTGGCACTTGTTCCATTCTCTTTTTAATCCATCAATCAACTTATTTTTTTTAATCTATTCCTAATCGCAATTATTTCCTCTATTCATTTGTTCTGCTTCAAAATCTCGAAGTCCTGCAAAATACCATTTTCTTGATTTCCTATCCGATATGATTCCTAATAGTGATTTGATCTTTAAAAAAGTATCAGGTTTCCAATTGATTTGCAACTGATCCACCTATATCTTTTGCTTCTTTGGTGTAATGTCTATTCTCAAAGCAGGTTGACTTTCAATCTAATTACTCAAAATGATCAAATCCTAGTATTAAGTATTTTGATAATCGAATATCCAATCTTAAATTGATAAATTTTTGATCTAGATTATTTGTTAAATTTACTACAATTTAATAGTTTAAAACTTTAAGTTATTTAATTTAAACAAAAATAAAAGATGCTCTTAATTAACACTGGGATAATTATTTTCCTTATATAATTTCAATTGTAATTTATTGATTAATATATCAATTTACATCTTGTCATTTTATTTAACCTTTATTTATTCATTTTATTTCTATTTAATTTCTTAGTAAGATTAATACTATTCTATTTACAATTTTATTTTCTTAATCCAATCTCGTAATTCAACTTGATTCTCACAAGCAAAAATATATTCTCCCGATTTATTTCTTATCTTAAAAGAGTATAATTAATCATCCACTTGCAACTATTTTAATGTAGAATTAAATAGACTTATTTGGGAATTTGCCATTAGAATTTTCTCTTAATCATAAAAATATAAATCAAAGTTACTTAACACTACATATTAACTACTCCATGTCTTAATGAGCTACCCTTACCTTTTCAAAAACCCATCCTTGACTTTGTATTTCAATATCAGCTATTTCTCTAATTGTAACTACTATAATATCTATCCCTCAGACAATTTAGGATAAATTGTTTCAGGTAAGTAAACTAAGTGTTTGTAGACCTTTTCATTTATCATAACATTGATTTCATTTAACTTCGCTTAAGCAATAACCAACGGAGTATTGTCATTATTTATTAACTCATTATGGATGCTCTACAATCTTTAGATTTATACTACAAGATTATAATCATTCAAGATCTGCAATGTTTGATTACCAAATCTCTCTGGATAATATAAAAACTTGAAATTGCTAATAGAGATCTCAAAATTCTCATATAAATCTTCAGGATTAATGGGTGTGGTACGAATGTAAAAGCTATCCATCTTGACCAGCCAAAACTCATTACTATTAATTGATAACTCCAAAATGGGTTCCAAAATCTTAGCATCAATTTTTAATTGGATGTTTGACTATAAAACATTTTTAAATGTAGATTCCGTTGTGTCTTGTATTTTCTCTATTTAATTCCATGTGGCTGTTTTCAATGTCTGTTCTACATAGTCTCCTTTCTTGACTTCTGTGATTTCCCTTATAATCCTAATGATACCAGGATTATAATTAATTGTTAAACTCTGCATCAGGAATCTAAAATCGAGTTTGCAAATCTCAGCAGTAGTTGTTTATGTTATAGATAACTTCAAAAACTCATTTGTTTATTAGGTGGGTTAACAAATAACTTCAAATTATGTATTTCTTATCAATTACAAACTGATGCTTTTAATGATTGTAGAAAATGCAAAATCCTTGTTCTCGCATTAAGCCCACTCTATTTCAATATATTCAAATTACTTGACAATTCCTTCATCCTACAATGGATTATTATCTTTAATTAATTGGATCTATGCCTTATTTAACTTGGCAATGAATTTTAACTTCAAAGAATCAGATGGTCTACTCACTAAACTTGTTTCTTCATTGTCTATAAACTCTTCCAATTATTTTAATTCAGTATCAGAAACTTCTTCTTGTGTTTATCCACCAAAAAAATTGAACCACCCCTTCTTTTATTTCTGTCTTTGATACTCTTACACTTTCAAATCTAACAAATGTTTTTTTTATGCTATTAGACTCCAAGATTCCAATTATTTAAAAGGAACTAATCTAATTGTTTGTTTAAATTGAAGTATTTGATCCACATCACCCAATTGCTCTATTTCTTTCCAATCATTCTTCAAAAACAAAAGGAAGACATCACAAAATTCTTGTTAATATTTATTGATATCCGATAGCATTATATCTTATTTATGCGACCAAACTCTCTTCTCATTATTTGAGATCAATTCCAAAAATTAAATTATTTAAATTAATTGAGTATGCTTTATGTTTATATTGATTTCTTCCAATTGCACATCTAAAAGATAATTGGCTTTATCAAATCTCTCCTTATGATTTATTATCAACTTACATAATGCACTAATTTAAATGACTTAATCGAAATTTGTGAGTTATTCAAAAGCGATATCATCTGATATAAAAGTTGTCTCTTTAGAATTCCAATACAATTGTAGTTACTACAACTTTATTAATTTATTTTTTGGCACTAACTTTGTGTCCTTATTGCTTCTATCTACAAAGGCAACAACAAATTCTTCATTAGTTGTCAAGGCTGTCAGCGAATCCATTTTAATACCCCAAGAATAGCGTTAATTTTCAAAACGAAAATGAATGTTTTACAGAGATATCTACAGATTATCAATCACTCTTAAGGTTAATTTCTCGAAATAACCAGTATTGTCTCTTTGATCCTTCCTTTTAATATTAATGCTCGATTTGACCTTGTCCAATAATCTAGTAAATTGTCTTTTAATTTATATAGAATCGTCATTATTCCACTGTTATTTAGGCATGGGAGTAAATACAATCAGAATATTTTCTAATACCACTTCAACAGGAGCAGATGACAATTTATTCCAGGGTATTTTTAAAATTAGTCTGCCTATTGAACTGAATTTCAATTCTAATGGTAATTCCAAATCAGCTAATATTTCCTACTTCAACGCCACATTTTCAATAACTACGTTTCCATTCCAAATTCCTAATTGTAAATTGGTTTAATCGAAGCCTGTGATGAATTTACCAAAATATGTGAATAAAATTCGCTAAAGAATTTTCTCAAACATTAATAAAATTATGAAAAGCAAGCCTAACTTGAATATAACTGTAAAGGGTGCCCAATTACTCCAAGATCTAGATCAATAAAAAGGCAAAGGAAAACAGGATCCTCAAGCCATAATTCAATTGGGAGCGCAGAAGTTCAAAACAAAAGCAGCAACTAATTAAGGAAAAGTCCCAATTTGGAATGAGACCTTTTAATTTACCTATGATCCCAAAAATTCGAACTTAACTGTCTCCGTCGTTGATGTTGATCTGCAAAAAAAAAACCCAGAAGAAATAATTGGAAAAGCAATCCTAGATTTATAAAATGTTGAGAATTCTCCTGATTGGTTGATTTCAGTCCCTTTGTATAAAAATTAAAACGACATGGGGTCATTGGAATTGGAGTTCGATTTCATAGGAAAGCAAAAACCAGTTGCCAAGAAAGACAAAAGCGAATTGGGTTCAGAAAGATAATTAGATAAATCAAATAATAATAATTCTATCTCCTCCAAATAGGGATCAAAATAGTAATAGGATAATAATTATGATTTTCAAACTGTTAATATAGAGACCCAACAGGCAGAATTGAAGAAATGGATATCATAAATACAAGAAAGAGAATACATAAATACTCTCAAGTACTTAGAGGATTCAAGACTACAGGCTGCTATAGAAAGGGCTTTGAATTAAGTTGCCGAACAAAATCCTAAAGATTAAATTGATTATTTTGCTGATTGTTTATTAAAATTTAAGTGATAATGACAAGCATTTCATACAATGCAAAAAAATTAAGACCTTTCAAAATTTAAAAGGATGCCTTGTAAAATGATCTTAATAAATTGTCACAAGAATATCAAGAGGAAGAAAAGTTAAATGATCTCTATTTCGATGAAATAGGGAGAGCTGAAAAAGTAATATCCCAAGATGATTTAGGAATTTGATGCATTATAAAAATATTTTGATCAGCACCAGAAATAGCATCAGGATAAGACTAGTGGCCCTATTACTTAGGAATCCCAGGGAATTGATGCTAAATTAGAACATGAAGTAACATAGACTCTAAAATTATTTCTCCTTAATATTAGTAAAAAAGAAACATTGGAATTTATCTAGGAAAAGGAATTATAAAAAAGATTATAGCGAATTCAAACCATCTAATTAACTATGAACCAAAAACCAGAAGATGAAAATGCAAAGGTTGAAGATGAGGAACTAGACAATGGATATTATATAACATTGAGAAATTAATCTAATTCTGTACAAGTCAAAGTTCCTGGTACAATTAAAACCTTTAGAGAATTGAAGTAAATTGTCAGATCTTGCTTTATGGCAGAAGACAATGAAATATTTTATACGGATTAGATGGGTAATTTACTATAATTTGATATGAACGTATTAAACGAATTATATCCCCCAATTTATGAATTACTCAGAAACTATGAACCTACTGTTGGAGTTCAGATTGTCAAACAAAAAAAACAAAAAGATGATAAAACCAACCTATCTCAACTCGAAGAGGTTTTATTCACAGAAGCATACCCTGATGGATTGACAAAAATTTTTAGGTAAACCAGAAGAATGGATAATAAAGTCAATTGGTCCTTGTATTTAGGATATTTAAACAAAGTTAAATATTTTTTTGAATCTTGTCTTTTTATCCTCTTACTGTTTTTATTTATATTTACAGAAATCAACCAAATCAAATTCGTTACTAATACCCAAATACTAGTTTCCTTCTAAAATTCATATCCTATTCAAAGATCTTACCCTTAACCTGTGTTCAATTTATCAACTCTAATTCATCAAACTCTGGCAGAAGAAAATGAGGATTAAAAATTTTACAATTACCCTTTAAAATCAGGGTTGCTGATTTAAAAATTAGTATAAGAAGAAAATATAGATGATTGTCATATTTTGAATGAAAATCAAAAAGAAATGTTCTTAGAAAATAATTAAAGCTGCTTAAATTTTGATAAGGTGTTTTCTGAAGATTTAGATGGGGATTATACTCAAACCGAGTTCGATCCATCTAAATATGACAGTTACTTTGGAGGATATGTTTGGGAGCTCAATCTCACAGATTAGAATAGTTTCTAGAATAGCATGGAGGAGATTCAATCTTAACAGTGGTTAAAATACAATATTAAATAATCATAATTCATTTTAAATTATTTTAATAGTCCAACTTAAAGGTTGATATAAGCTACAATCACAACTCTATACTTATTTAATGATGTAAAATATAGAATAGATTTAGGAACTACTCAATTATAATACTATGTAAACACAGGCTTTTGATTTGAACTCTTAATCAGATACAGAAGTACTTGCTCAGACTCTCATGTTCTATATTGCTATACTTCTACTCGTTCCTTCATTTTTTGGTATTGGACTCAATATTTATTTTCAGATTTTTTTGGATTTTACTTCATAGGAACTTAAAATGCCTTAATCCTGATCTACATACAATATATGGAACTTTTTAACAGAAGAAAAAAGATGCAGTCTAGAAAAAGAGATTTAGCACCACAGGAAGAAAGAGAATTTTAATAAAAGAAATTGATTTTAAGTGAATATTTCATCTTCAATCTAAAAGTCCTTTATGTAGTGATTAAAATTCCGCTTATATTTGACATCATTTGTAATTTGTATTTACATATGCTAGATATGTTAAGCAATGTTAGTATACTAATAAGAAGCACCATATCGAAATCATATCAAGATTAGTTAGATTTAATCGTTGTGGGTTCTAACTCATATTAAGATGTCTCAAAATTAATAACTCCCCTTTATACATCTAGAATTTATGACGGAATTCAAATTTTGTTCTTAATGATAGCCATAAATAGATTTTTAGGCAATTGGAGTCCATATCTAAAGTGTTATGGCTTGGTTATGATTAGGGTAAATGTTGATAGGGATATTATAGTTTAATAAAGAATCCTGGTTCTTACTTTTTGGTGTTGATATTTATTATTAGCATTTGCGCTATGTCTTGGAGTATCACATTATAAGGGAAGTTAGTAAATCATGATAATTTCTTTTATTCATTTCTTGGATTATTAAGATGCACTCTTAAGTACGGAATGCATAATGATATAGCAGAATAGGGATTTGATAATAATTACGTTAAGGAAATAAGTTATTCTTTCGATACAAGATATGTATTAATATTATTAAAGTAGATTCAATATGTCATTGTTATGGTACTTTCTATGATTATGGTACCAATATTTATTTCTTTGATGACACAATAAGTGCATAATACAAAAGAAGAAGCTAAATAAAAGATGATGGAATATAAAAAATGAATTATTGATAAATGCTATGCTAATGTACTTGTATGGATAATAAAAACTCATTTTTTCTTTGATTCGATTTTTTTGACGTAGAATTCTAATTCCTTTCCTTCAAGAATGTATCCATCAGCTCTACCTGATTATCCTGGTCTAGATGTGACTCTTACTAAAAGTCTTTGATTTTAGAATTGTTCTGCTACTAAATTATCAATAACTCTCTCCTTTATTCTTTGGTCTAATTTCTTTTATAAGGATCTTGATTTCTTGACTTCTGGTTAAGCTGGTTAATCCTTATGTTATTTTCAATTTTCTTACTTTCTTTTAACCCTTTTTAGCACCCAAATCAATATTGTATTTCTTCAAATACCATTATTTGAATGGAGTTGCATCAACTTATACAATAGCACCTCTTGTAAGAGTCTTTGTTCTCACTAATTCATTATTTGATGGATGATAAACAACTTCTACAATCTTGGCCTTTTTTGCAACACCTTCACTAGCCCAAGAAAAATTGCCTTCAGATAATCTAAGTGCTCTGAATTTGAAATTTCCCCCTCTGACTCTTAATCTTCTAACTCTCTTTTCACCAGATACTAATTTAGTCATAGCAGCTTGTCTTCCTTTCTCGAATGCTCTCTTCTTCTTATGGATTGGCATACGTCCTCCTGTAAGTCTTCTCTTGTGTCTGCTATCTCTTGAAATACCCATGAATAATAAAAAAAGATTTTATTTAATTTCAAATAACCACACAATTATGTTTATTATTGTATTATTATGAGTCCAATAACTGAAAGTCTTAAGCATGGCTAACAATCTAATATAAGATAAATTTAACTAAAATATAAAAAAATAGATCAATAGTGCAATCCAATGCTGAATGATCGATAATTTATTTATTTCTCTGTAATCCTTTAAACTAGATTATTCCTAGAAAAAAAATAGAAGTAAAATTAAATAGTTTCTATATTTTTCATTTTCAAAAGATTTATCAATCAAATCATTAAAATATTAGAATAATTGATATAAAATCATGATAGGATTAACTAAATATTTCTTTCTTTTAGAAAAAATATTATAAACAATAGTAATAATTTTTAGTATTAAAGAAGTTTATAATTTATAAATATGGATATAGAGTAAGTATAAAGATTAGAAATATTATCTTAATTTATTCGATTAATATCATATTTTAGACATCATATCTATGTAAATGCTTTTACTTTATTAATTTTAATCTATTTTTATTTCCCCATAATTATTAAATATATAATATAAACTTGATTAAATAACCCACTTAGCAAAAAAGGAAACAAAATCGAGATTTAATATTAAATTTTCGTATGTAATTTATCATTTCAAATAATAAATAAAAAGTTAGAAAAACAATTTTTAAATATTCGAAAAACAATAAAATACATAACCTTTTGATACATAGTCCATTGTTGAATTGAAACCAGATATATTGTTTTTAACATTTTTGAATAGTTTTAGTAACTCATAAGTAGTATATAATTAAAGGTTTTATATGAAGAGCGAAGAAACATTATCAATATTAAATCTTTGATTATGTTGAACAATTCTCACATAACAAACTTCAAAACTTGAACAACGCAGCTAATTTGAAAATAAGAGACATTATTGAAGATAAATATAATTAGGAATTTTAGATTCTACTATGAATTTAAAATTCAACCATTAAAAAGATGAAAGCAACCTCTAAGAAATCAAGAATATTACAGAAATATATTAAGGAATGTAAATTAGAAGCGCTAAAAATAACAGTAAACTAAAAAGAAAATTAATAAAAAAAGACTTTTATATTAAATTGCCGATATGCATTAGTTAATTTTAAATAGTAATAAATTTTATAAATAGCTAATATATTTAATTTTCTTTATATTTTCTTCTCTCAAATTTTATAAATGAATAAATATTGCTTTGATTAAAATTAATATAATAAAAATAAATGTCAGAAATTTAATAATAATAGCTCCACAGTTCCAAATTGGATCAAGAATCTGCTACCAATGCTAAAAATCATTTGCTTTTAGTTAATGTAATTCGATTATTAAATGTTTAGAATATTACAGATCTATCTAATGAATTGTTATAAAGCTATAAACATGAGATTGATCAATTAAAATAGGAGTTACATCTGATGAAACAGAGAATAACCAATAATAATGAAGAAATTAAGAATACAACATAGCCCACTCTTGATGCTATGCTTAGAGATTTGAGACAAGTATCAAATAAGAATGATCTAGGCAATAAATACATAAAAGGATGAGAATTCTAAATTGCAAAGTTAAATCACGGAATTAAAAAAAGAAAAAAGCTAAATTTAGCAATTAATAATAGCAGCAACATAAAAGGTAGCAGAACTCGAAAATTAAGTAGGAAACTATACGTCATCATGAATTTAATCATTATGCACATTCATAATCATTCAATTTGTTGTTAAAGAATGAAATGTAATCACTCTTCATCGGCAAAACTATTCATTTAATCTTTTTTCTTAATAAAAATATTCATTACTAAAAATAAACTTAAAATATGTATGAATTCTATTGTTAATTGAATAAGAGATCAATTATTATGTTTACTTAAATTAATAATTGATTTTTGTTTAGATAGTGAACATGGGTCTGTTTAATTTAAAATTATTTATAAATAAAAGAATAAAAAGATCAAAAATTATAAATGGTCTTAATAAGTCTTTCTTTTCCTTTTTAATTCTTTATCATACGAATTTCTTGCTAAAATATATTGGAAATAGACCATCAAAAAATTATCATAGTAATTTTGTTTTAATAATAATTCCTAACGCAATAGTTGCTGTAATCGTAGCTAAATATATATAATTTATTGAAAGGCCTTATTTTTCTTATATTTCATTTTTTGTAATTTGGGTACTTAAATAATTTCTTCAATTAAAGATAAATATTTTTATTATTTGGAATCATTACTTTCTTTCAATTTCAAATAATTTTGTGGAATATCAATCTTCTAATGAGCTTCTGTTACACTGTTAATAAATTATATTAGATCAATTTCGGTCTTTGATCTAATTTTCCTATATGTAATATTTGCTTTAATTCTTTTTAATAGCCTTTTAATTTTTTGCAGAGTCTCTTTTGTTTTTGATTTATACTTTATTTATTGTTCTGATTAAATTTCTAAATGTAAACACTCTAAGATTAATATAAAAATAAATTCCTCTGTTTAAGTCATCATTTTCATCTTTGAGCCTCTCAGTTTCTTGAGAAACAACCTGATTTTATTAATGATGGCCATGGCCTTATTTAAATAGTATCATAAAATTATTTTTTTAATTCTCATATCAGAATACCCTATTATAAATAAATTTGCTCCTATTTAGCCCCTAATTTTTATTCAATAAATCACTAATTCTCTTCGTTTTTAATTTATATTTCATTTTATATCTATTACAGCAATAGTCTTTATTATTATAAATAGTTGAATTATTCAGAGTAATATTTAATTAATATTTACTTTGAACAATACTTTACAATATTCAACTTATGATTTCATAAATATAATTTTTGATATAAAAATATTAATACATTCCAAGTAATAAAACATAGCAGTATCTTCCATTTGTAGTAGCTTTCAGGTAGGATAAATCATACAATTTTATAAGTATTAAAATTAAATATATAATACTTATATTGTATGAAAAAAATATTTTGATATGACAAACAGGATGAACTGGTTTAGCATATATTTAATTATCTAAATTAAGTAAGTTGTCCTTCTTTTCAAAAAAAAAGTGAGAAATTGAAAGAGATGATTTCGAAAATGAGCTGGTTGTGAAGTCTGTTTATAGAAGAGGAATCAATTAATGACTGATAAATATCTAAAGAAAACCTTTCCTTAAGATAATCAAAGTAAAAATGTTTGAAAAAGAGCAATAAAAATGAAGTTGAATTAAAGACATAATTCCTATCAAAATTAGGAATTTCAGAATTGGAAAGGAATTAAAAATAAAAAAAAGCAAAGAAGTAACCACAGTTATGGAATAATAAACTGAATAAAAGTTTATCTAATCGACATAATAATGGTATTTAATATAACCGAAATCAAATAGGATGAGGTTAAACTTAAAAAAAAAAGTTTAAAATTGTTTTTCCAAAAACTCAACAAGTCAAAAATTAGGTTAAAATGAGCAAGAGAGAGAAAGAGCAAGAAATAAATAAACTAAATATAAAAAAAAATATAATATATAAGCTAAATTAGAAATAAATAAAGAAGACTGGATATGAAAATTCCAGTTAGTATGAATCATCGCCATGATAAAAAAATCAATAGATAATGGCTAAAAACACTAATTTGAGATAAGTTGAAAAAAATATGTGGAAATTTTTTGAAGATTATAAGAGGTGGAAAATCAATGCATAATTTCTTTATAATAAATTTCTAAACATTCGATATTAATACTTATTTTATAAACAAATTTCCAATACAAATTATTCATACATAAAAGTATTGATATTCATTCTTATATCGATGACAGTACCTTAATGCGTAATTTAATAGTTATTTAAAATATTTCCTTTTGTACGCTTTGATTCTTATATCATTTGCACTTGGGCTCTTTCATAATCCATGATGAACAATAAACTGTATATACATATGATTTGTATTAATAGTGCTTAGAACATATTTAATAACTGGCATTTTCCACACCATAATTTATTATAAATTTCGATTTCAACATCTAATTGAGATTTCTGAGGCTTCTTATGAATTATAAATAAGTTAAAGTACTTTGTTGCCACGTGAATAATTCAAATTGAGAGATATTTAAAATTTGTAATATCTTTTGTTTCGTTTAATAAGTGCATAATATTAAACTTATGTTCAGGAATTATACAAAATACCAATGATTTCAAAAATTGGATCGTAGTAGAGGAAAATATATTGGATTTAACTTTTTAATTCAAAGTATATTTCATAATAAATAAACAACAATAATGAAAAAATTAATTTCTCGAAAAATTTCTATTCATATATATATGTATTTCAATATCCAATAAATCTTTAAAAATTTTGGTATTGTAAGTGTTGATTCATGTAAGTCATCATCCAAAAATGTTGCAAGTAAGTCGAGTCATAATTAAATTACAGTAGGGGTTGTATAGTTTGACCGTCGTTAGGAGTGTTCTGAGGGGCTTGGTCCAATTTAAATTCTTTTTTGGTCTCCGTATGTTCCTCTTTTAAAGAATTTTGTGTTTCCCTTTCAGAATTAGTATTGTTCAATAGTTTTCGTTGTCTTCTTTGTTTTTTTCCTATCCTGCCTTCATGTCTGTAAATCGATAGAATAGCTTTGGCTGTTGAAAATTTGATTCCAAATTGCTTTGCTGCTTGTCTTATTGTACATTTCTTTTCAGATACCCTTTTTATGAAGGCCTATCTAACTTAATTTGATATTTTGGCATATTTCATTAAATCTTGAATATTTATTTTTTATGTTCATTAATTTCCAATTGATTTTTAACTAGTTAAAATTTAAAGATACAGCATTTTAAATATTCATATATAAAATTTTGTAATTATATTTAAGAGCATAATTTATATAGAGATTAAAATGATGGAATTACATTTTTTTAGGTAAATGTGTTGTCTATGCTTTATTTTCAGCGTCTAGAAGTGGGTTGATTCCGTAATTTTAACCTTATTTTTATTTGCTTATGTTTAACTACTACATAAACATTGTAATAATGATTGGTTTGATTTAAATGTGGAATTTATTATAAACCCTCTCTTGTGATAAGTATATCAAATCGAATTGTTCTGATATTAATGGCCCAAAATTATGCATTTCTATTATTAAGGAGAAAATTCATGAGCTTTTCTTATAAAAAAAATTAAATGAATTATTAATTAGCATCTTGATTCTAATTAAAATAATTTTAGACTCTTATTCCTTTGCCATTAATAGGACTTGTTTTTATATTAGTTTACCTGTAATCTTTTACTGAATTATAAAGAATTTTACTGGGAACCCTTGCAAAATCTGATTTTTGGGATGATAAAGCCAATAAGAATAGACAAACAGAAACAATTATTTCATAAGCCTGAAAAGAAAAATTTGTGAAAAACAAAACTATAAATTAATCGAACATCATAAATTAAATTTTAACTAGAAAATGCTCTAAAGAAAATTATTAGAAATTTGACAAGATTTTTTATGACATTTGTTATACGAAAAGCATAGAAAAAATACCATAAATAAGATAAAGTATTACAAAATTGAATTTAATGAATTGATGATAAATAATATGTTTAGAATTAGAAAACTATTTTACTATGTTAATTCATTCTTCGTTTTTTTAAAGATTTCTCGAGCCCATGCCCATGACATCGTTGTATTATGATTATTATTTATAAGGTTAAAACTAATTTATTTTACTTTCCTATGTTAATTTCTGTAACTTCTGATTTGCACTTAACATGGAATCTTCATTTGGATTATTTCTAACTAAATAGATAAATTACTTTTTGCTAGAATTATTTTGTGACTACTAAATTTGTTATGATTATTAACCAGCATTTTATAATGGGTATCTTTTGATATTACTCTTATTTTGCGCAGTTCCTAAAGCAGGCAAATTAGTAGTATTTCTTTTTATTATTGTATTTTATTTAGATTAATTAGTAGTTTTAATACTACCATTGACTCCATTCTAAAATATAATAATAAAGTACTTGCATAACTTGTGGTCCTTTAGATGAGCTTCTCATTTACTTATCTTTTTCCTCTTTCTCTTTTTACCCTTTAGATCCGACTTCAATAGCTTTAGTTTGGCCTTCCTAATATGATTAAGCCAATCTGATTGCTGTAGATTTGGCAATTTTCTTTAATTATTGCGACCTGTTGTTAAATGCCCCTAAATAAGTAGTGAATGTGCTATTAACAGGCAATTTGATTGGGTTTCCTTTGCATATCAAATCAAATCCTCCTATTTATTCTTCATTTCCTGTCAACACTTTCTCCAAATCAATTATTGTAAATACATCATCCAATAAACCACACTTCAATTCAAAATCTACAGGAGTATTAGATGTCATAGAAGGACTTAAATTTCTATTTGATTGAATACCTTGCATTCACTTCCAATAGCCATGGTTTTAGTTATGCATCCAATAAAATATCGAATCCATATAACTCAAAGCAATGCTTGTCATTAATGATAATCTTTTGAACTGCTTGGAGTGATCTAATCATTAGCATTTAAATATTATAAAAGGTTTCAGCAACCTTCTCTTAGCCATATTTAGTCATCAAATAGAGTTTAAGGGTTTATAGATTCCACTTTCCACCTAGTTTTTCGTCATAATTGTCAGATGTCTTTTGAATGGCCACATTGGTTAAATGAACATCTAAGGAGTTTTGAATATACAAATAAATACATGTATTCGAAATATCTTCATTATCATAACGATGATGTGTAAATCTTGCAAAGCCCGTCCTATACAAGTATAATGTCAAGGGCTAATAAGATGTGCAAAGCAAATATATTCTCATGTCGAATTTCTTTCCTCCAATAAGGAGAGGGTCTGCTATGTATTTTTAAACTATATAGGCTTCAGCCTATGGATTATCTTAATTATATCTTAGAGTGTTCTTCCATTGGGATATTTGTTGGATTTTGTTGAAGATGAATATACCTTTTCCTTATGATTTACCAATCTTAACATAATATATTAATAGTACAGGCTTCATAATCCAAGCTGTTTTGGTATCACCGTTGTTGGATTACCTTTTGAATTCTTCAAAAAATATCGGGTATTCGCTGGGCAAGTGGAAGGTTAGAGGGAAGAAATTATAACTGTATTAATTAATGCAGTAATTACTTATTAGCTTCTTCATTTTTCCCTTCTCTTTCTAAATTTTTCTTATACCTTTTAAAATTCTTAATCATGAGATCTTTTCTTGTTAACTAATTATTAGTTTGTTAATACTTCGTAATGATTTCTGAAATGATTGATTTTTTGATTAGATTAAAGATGAGTATGATCCATTACTTCATGAATCCATTCCTTCTCAGCCCACATTATGTCCCAATCATCCCCATCTGTCTCCTTCCATAATCTCCTTTTAAACGCCTGATTTAATAATTGTTAAATACTTCCAATATGCAATTTCTGAAAGAAGTTTTGAATTTAAGGTTTGAGCTACAATTAATTCATAAACTAGTACTAATGGTTAGCATAATGCTCTTTTTTGATATACTTTCTAAAATATTCCGACATATTAACAAAAAATAGTTTATATTAAATAATATCAAATATGTTATAATCAGTTGGAAATATCACAAACTTAATAATTTAATCATATGCATATTTATATAATTGAATTCTCTTTTACTACATTCTCTAAACAATACCCAAAAACGTTTGTTAAATGGAGTACAATAAATAGTTATAAAGGCTTAGGTATCGAAAATGATTATAAAGCCTAATAATTTATATTGGGCATTAACTCTCTTCACAATTGTATCATAATTCAAATAATTTATTAAATATTTTGTTTTGATATCCCATGTAAAAATAAAAACATCAATAAATTTTATTGCCAATATTAATATTATTATGTACTCCTATGCTCCTTTAGGCGTTTCGTATGCTTCTCCTTTAGCAACATCAATTGCCAGACCAGTTCCAGGTAAAGACAATTAGACTAACGAATAGTTGGCTATGGAGCACCAGTCTCATATGTTTAACCTGTTTCATATGCAGCTCCAGTGACTTACGCTCCTCCTGTTAGTTATGCTCCTCCAGCCTATTCTCCTGTTAGAGGTGGATCAAGAGTTGAATACGTTCCATATCAAAAGCCAGTCGTAGAGTTGGAAGAGGAAGTCAGAACTGTCTAAGTAAATAATACATTAACACGTAGGTGCCAAGATAAAAATGGGTGACTGATTATTATCCAGTCGAATACCAAAAGGAATATATTCCTTAGGTGTCCTATGAGAAATAAATTGATTATGTGCCAGTTGAAAAGAATGTGCCAAGAGTTGATTATTTAGAATATGAAAGAGAGGTTCAATTTTAATTAATTCTTTATAGGTTAGAAGGGCTCCTCCTGCTCCAGTTTCATATGCATCACCACTTTCTTACAGTTATGCTGCACCAGTAGCCCCCTTGAGAACTAGCTATGTTGCTCCAACCTATGGATATGCTCCAAATTATAGCTATGTTGCACCAACATTTGGTTATGGATCAGTTTATAGATATTGATTGTAAATCAATATTATCATTTAATTTAATCTTCTTTAAATTAAATAACAAAAATAGTTATAAATTTTGATCATTGCTATTTATGACGATTTTTGACTATTTCTGTTAGTCTTTAATTTTCTTTGGACAACAAATGTAATTTTTCCTCAAGATTATTCATCTTTTATTAATCAATACCTATCATTTATTATAAGTATTGATTTTCGCACTCTAGTTCTTGGATTGTCTCTTTGTATTTATCACTAAAATCAAATATATCTATATACCTATGAAACTATCTATCTTCTTATTATGATACTTGATTAGTATTTTAACTTAACTATTATTTCAATTGATAATTCTCTCTAGCCAATAGCTCTAATTGATCATTCTGTTTTTTGATCTTTCTTTGCAATTCTAAACATTTCGATTCATCTCTAAATATGATAATGAAAATTACTGTTATTATTTTAGTTTGCTATCCAAAATTGAGCATTTACTTTTATATTTTTCGACTTCAATTTTTAATTGATTTTCCGTAAACTAAAATCTTTCATTTAATTCGCTTAACTTTTAATTCTCATTTAATACAATTTAAACTTTTTCTTCTAAATCATTTACTACTTTTTTAGACATAATGAGTTATTCATTGATTTATTTAAGATCTGTATTATTAGGCTATTAATATTTACTCATTTTCTATACATCCTCTAATTTTCTTATAATTTAGTTTTTTGATTATTATTAATCTTGAAGTGATTGATTTAATTGAATTTATTGATCCAAAACATGAGCCAATTTTTTATTTTCACTTACATAGTTATTATTCTATGATTCTAATTGTTTAATTCTCTATTTCAGATATTAATTTTCATCAGCCTTAAACGAAAAATGCTTTCCAGATAATTAATTTTCTTTATTATTGTTCTAACATGACTCACTCACATACAGCTTTTTATAGTTGTTGATATCTTTTAAAGGATGATTTGTATTGTTAGTTGTTGAATTAACTTATAAATCGAATGATAAATCCAATTAACATTTAGAAGGCGATGATCGAACAGCTAATGAATTGGATCTCACCTATTTCACTTCTGGAGCTTTCTAAAAAACTATCGGTCTAATCCTTTCATACTAACTCATTTTATTATTTTTAACGATATATATATATATAAATACTTCAAACAAATAAAAACCTGCTTAAATCAAAGGCTGCATACTCTGCTTTTTATTTTCCCTTCATTAATTAGTAGATAATCTCTGCACAACCATGACATTGACTCATTCCTCTAGAACCATGTCCTGCATTCACAAACACGTTTTTGTTTAGCTACAATTTACTCAGTATAATTTTGTCATCTGGAGTCAAGGGTCTGCAGCAATCCCTAACTGAAATGGATTTTGGATCCAAATCTACATTAAACTGCTCTTTCATCTACTTAATCAGAATCTAAGCTCCCCATTCATTAATAGGATCATCTGATTTATATTCTTTGTCTATGAGTTGACAACCTGAAATTCTTAACTTATTATTAAGATTCGTGATGGATAGAGTGGGCAATTTAAGTACCATTTAATCTAAGACAGATCCCTTGGCAAATTCAGGCAATTCAGATTCAATAACCCATCCTCTACAAGGCATGATAGGCAAAGTTGCACCCAACTTTTTGGCTATTTATTTACTATGCAATCCAGCACAAATTATAAATTTGTTTCCACATATGATACTAAAGATAATTTAATTTTACATACCCTTTATTAGTATTTATTCCAAAAACCTATCTATTATAATTTATAATGAATTCATTAAACTCTGTTCCATAAAGAATAGTAAATTCTTGAGGGTAATGTTTTTAACAATACTTCAAAGTGTTTATTGATAATTATTTCGTATCTAAATTATTTTCTTTATCTAATCTAATAACATAAGGGTAATTATTAAATAATTGCTTATCAAGTTCATGCTCATTATATTCAGTTTTATCCACCTCTGCAAATGCAATTCCTGCTTATTTAAATGATTGACTAATTCGTTTTCCGTATTCTGCAGATTTATAGAAACTCAATTCACCTTTAGCAGTTAATTGATTATCAAGCAAACCCAATTTTTTGATTTTTTCAAATTCCTATTCCTAAATCTCCCCCAACTTAGTCATTTCTTGAATTGATTTATCAAATTATTGATCAGATGTACTCAGCCTTAATGCATTAAATAACCATACGAAGGCTCCTGGTTCTAGAAGACAGTTAAAACTGAATCTTTGAGTTGCTGTATCAGTGGGATTGAGATAATTATCAAACATAGTTTTTATTGAATATTTGGATATTAGCGGATTGAATAAGTATGGATTGTAAATATTTCCATTAAAAGCACTGCATTTGGTTGAGACAAATTATTCCTTTTCTATTAATGTCACATGATAACCATTTTATAATAATTTTAATGCTTGACTCAATCCTATGATGCCTCCACCAATAATTACAACTGTTTACTTAACTTAGTTTCTTTTTGCATTAACTTCATGATATTTTAATATTTTCTTGTCCACTTCTATTTGTTTTTTTTTTTGGAGATCAACCAATTCTTATTCACCTAAAAATATATTCGACATATAGTCTCTATATTTAGTCATTTGATCTACAAATCCTAAACCAAGCAGGAATAACAAAATATTTCGTCCCTTTTTGGATTTGGGTTATTTGATTTCAACACAAAATTAATACAATTGCTTATTGCATAATATTTTTTTAATCATTAAAATTATTGCAAAGAAAATCAAAATGAATCTCTAATTTTATAAAAACTAATTGCGGGATCCTAATAAAATTTAGATATTTATAAAAATACAACTGGGCAATCCATTATAATAAATGAAACAGTTTATTTATAGTTTATATATCATGTTATATTGATATCTCCATTTGTAATACAATAGATTATAAAGATCTACTATCAACATTATTAAATGATTTCAAAGAGTGAGTAATATGTTATCTTATAAACAATTACATTTTTAACTCATATAATACTATAATTATATATGTAAACAGACTAGGTCGAACGACTTATGCGATCTAAAGGCAGCCAATATATCCCTAGAAATAGCTAGGCTTCATCTCCCTATGTGAGATAGGTCCCACTAATGAACAGTCAAGCGCATAATTATTTGCCTGCGTATTCGATATAAAGAGTCTAAACTTAATCTACTCATTCAGCTATGTATGAATAATCAGAATAATAGAACTCCATCAACAGAGAGAAATAACACTTAATTTATTTCCAAAATGCAATCTTCTTGTTAGCAATAATCTGTGTCCCCCATTAAAGTAATTTAATTGTCAACAGAAAGAACTCAATAAACTTAAGATCAAAACGATGTACAACGGATTGAGAAACCTTTGCTAGTGGTCTCTGTATCGGATATGGAAAATAGATATAAATAGAAATTATTGCAATTGGAATAGTTGATCAACAGATTATAGATCGAGAACCAAAGATTGAGGATTAGTGAACAAAATCTTAAGTCTATGGATTATATGACCAGAATTAATGAATTGGAACATATGGTTAAGAATTTTGAAGTTTAAGAGGATGGGTTAAAGAATGAAATTTAACGATTAAAATAAGAATTATTTGAATCAAGGGAAAGTTTTACTTTATTATAAAAATAATTACAGAATAAGAATGGCAACAACGAAGAAATTAGATAATTGAAAAAGTCAATTCAACAATTTGAAATGGACAATAAAGAATTCTAAAAACATTTAAGTAATAAGGATGCAGAGATAATGAAATTAAGAAATATTTTAAATGAAAAAGAAAATTGGATAGATTAATTAAATGATTAAATCTCAGAATTATAAATGGTCTAAGAAAACTATTCAAGAGTTGAAACAACTGTTATCTCTTTACAAGGAGAAGTTGATGTTTGGAGAAGGAAATTTAAGGAAAAGAATGAGGAGGCTTCAGAACTCAGTGAAAAGTTAATAATGGCAGAAACATCACTCGAAGCATTAAAAAAGAGATAAATTACTTAAATTAAGGAAGTCAATATTACAAAAAGTAATAGTAAGACCAGCAACAACATGATTTAATCAGTGGATACAACTAATAGATTGAATAGAGGATCTTAGTACTCTTAAAGATAATAACTATGATTTAATCGTATATATATAAAATATAATTATTGATAGATTAATTAATCAATTATTGTTATCTAAGCTCTTCCCTAATGTGTCAAAAGGAATAAAACAAGTAAAAATACTCCCTAAAAAGGAAGCTATGGAAAATAGAAGAAATGGAGCGATGATTGAATATTAGGAAATAATCATACACGACCATGGCATCAAAATGACACCCAGTCTTCCAATAGCTACTGCTGTGCCTAATCCTGTAGTTCTTAATTTGGTAGGATAAAGCTCAGTGGTTAATTGATAACTAATTTAAAATGAATATAATACCAGAAGATGTAGTTCATGGAGAGAAACAATTTTTGTAAAATTGCTAAAATAGCAAAATGGTGTTCATAATAATAAAGTTACAAGAAGGCAAATACAGATGCTATTAGAAACCCAAGTATTAATGAGTTCTTTCTACCCAGTCCTTTGATATCGATAATTAACGTAGCCAAAATTGCACCTAGAATATCACTTAGACAAGCATATACTAGTTATTACAACTATGATTAATCGTCTTTTAGTTAATAGAGTATTTAAGGCATGGTCATCAAATTTCCATAATAAGCAAAGCATAGTAAAAACCAAATACTCCACAAGACTAATGATACGTATAATCTGTCTCCATTGAGCATACTTTTAAAGGAAGCATGTTCTGTTTTTTTCGCAATACTGTTCATGTATAATGACCATATCACCAATTTATGTTCGTTCTCAATAGATAAATTAAACTCTGTAGTTTTATTGGTTTGTATCATCAATTTTATAGTTTGGAAGGCCTCATAATATTTGCCTTCTAATAGTAAGTATCTAGGAGATTCTTAAATGTAAATTAGAGACAATATCAAGGCAACCAATCCTGGCAATGAACCTAAAAAGGTTAACCATCTCCAACTTCCATTTATTCCATCTAAGATTAATGAAGCCGTGAAAAAACCGTACAATTGTCCTATTGCAACACTTAATGTTACAGATCCTGTCATTTAACCTCTTAAATTGTTTGGGGTGATTTCTTATAACAAAGTTACACAACATGGAGCAAAGAAACCTACAAAAATACCCATTAGTCCTCTCATTATCAGTAACTGATATACATTTGTACAAAGAATTGTGGCAAAGCAAATCAGAACTGTAAACAATGAACTAAAAATAAATGGTAACTTCCTTCCATATCTATCAGTAAATTGACCTGATAGCATAGATCCCACTAGAAATCCTATGAATATAAAACTTGTTTATAAAGACACTATAGATTCCGATATATCCCATTCTTTTTTTAAAATTGGTACCATTAGTGTGAAAATGGTGATTTGTGCTCCTTCCATCACCCCCAAAGTTATTGATACCAAATATTACATTATTTAAAATCTTCCAAACCCTATTTAAGTTAAGGTATCATCAAAATTCAGTATACTGTCTGACCTTATTATAGAATGGTCTTCCTTCTGAGACACAACTTATATTTCAGATTTTAGTTCATTTATTGTTGAATAATGTGATGCTTCTTATTGTTCTATTTCATTCATTTTGAATATATATTTATTTATTAAAATGAATATCAAAAAATAAGATCTAGTACAGGATCTTATTAAAGAAACACAGCTTCTTAAAGCGAAATTACAAATAGCGGAATAGAACATTTCAAATTTGAAACAAGTTTTGCAACTTTAAAGTAGAAATAATTCTAAATCACCTATTCATTAACAAAAAACTAATCAATTAAATAATTACTTCTCTCAATAATCGACCATTACCACTGTATCAAATGAGAACCTTCTTGATACTAAATCTATTCAATTAGTCAAATAATTATATAATCAAATTGATTAACTGAAATTTGAGAATGTGTAATAAAAAAATAGAATTGAAACATAAAACAAAACTATAAAACAATAAAATTAGGATCATCTAAAATTAAAAGAATTGTATGAAGAATAAACACAACTCATTATTAAACTAAGTAATATGAATTAATAGTTACTTGATGAAATCAACATTCATAAGGAGTAATATAAATAATAACAGAATATGATTGAACAATTAAATGATCAACTAAAAGTTTAGTAAATCACATTAAATTATCATGAAGTTTCATTTCAAGAACGACATACTTTGTCTTAACTCCAAGCCATCCCAGAAGAATAATAAAAAGAACCACAATCAAGATATGAAAGTGTCAAATTACCTATGGAAAATATATTGGCCTCAACAACTTTTCAAAATAAAACTGATTAAGAAATACAATGTCTAATAGATGAGGAATTGCCATATACTAAAAACAATATATTAGATTTATTAAGTAAGGCCGAATAGGAAATAAATCAATTACTTTAACTTTGATTATAACTTTATATAGTATTAACATAATATCATTAATTTTCAATTGTTATTGATAATCCACTATTGATCAAAATTAAATAAAACTGATTTAAACGTATAAATTTAAATTTTATGAATACAATAAACAGTATCTAATTATATATTATTTCATTATAGAAATCAAAGTTCTCAATATTGTTTTAAAAAATCATCTATAAATACTACTAAAAGAAAAAAATACAAATTCTATCAAAAATATATTAATAAACATAAAATACATATAGTATTTTATGAAAAAGCATATAGTTTAATGTACTAACACTTTTTATAGTATATTGAATTAGGAGAAGGATATTATTAAGGAATTTTGGGGTTACTCAACGGTACTAAGAATCAAATTATATAACGAATTTTAATTATTAATGCTATTTAAATATATTAAAATGAATAAATTTGAAAAATAATCACACAAAATAAATATATCATTATAATGTAAAATTTGGATCTTTAGTTTTTAAATTACGTTAAACAAAGTTAAATTTTAAAAAATAAATATTATTTAAAAAAAATGGGTCGATTCTATATATTTATATATATTTTTTATATTTAAACAACAAATTTTTCAACCTTATTACAATTGATGATAATAATAACATGCATTCTTATATATAGTAGTATACTATTCTATCTCATCGTCTGTTCTCTCTGGATCTGTCATAATGGCTTTAATGCATTCTGAACCAACTGTCAAATTACCGCATTTCACTTGATCTTAGGCAATTTTTAATTTTTATATGATATCCTTAAATATTTTATAATAATTAACATCTTTCGAAAATATTTATTCCATGGTTTATAATATAATGATAAATACAGTAGTCATTGGATCTTCCTGCTTAATTTCTTATCTAATTTCAACTTAAGGGTATTATGGTTAATAAGGGTTAATAATATTGGGAATCATTGGTTGTTAAATATCGACATCTCGTTATATTAAATTTGAATACCATGAGAATACTGGCAATTTTATCCATTTTTGCAATAATTTTAAGCATGATATTTGCATGGGACTAACCTCAAAGATATTTCATACTTTTAAAAGCAGGTTACTAAGGCATCATAGGTTTCATAATTTCCTAAAAAGGAGGAGGGACTGCTAAAACTGCGATAAGAGCAGACGGAATTGGATCTTATTGGTTATGAAATTCATTAATACCATTTATGGATCTCATTTCCTCATGTCCATGAGCGAATTGGCATTTGGCTCCTATGGCACATTGTCTCGTAGCTAATAATCTAATTGGTAGTACCTTGATAGTGTCTGCAAAGGGTTGTTTTGTATTTGGCATTAGGCATCCCTGCTTAAAATTAATTACCAAAGGGATACGACATTTTATATTAATAATAATAGCAAAATAATCATAAATAATAAAGTCTTCTTATAGAGGAATAGTAACTAATGGCTTTCTCTCTAGAAATCTACTAATCCAGCTTAAATGATTAGGGACTACTTCTTTTCTTCGGAGTATCATCAGAAAGGGTTTCGTGATATGTATAAACGGGTTTATCACTATTGAACGGTTGTCTTGGTGTCAATTTGTCTAAGACAGGTATCATCTTATCAGATTTAGGATAGACTACTGTATAATCAACATCATAAATTTAACCATTCTTTTACTACTATTTAACAAATGATATTCTTACCTCTTTAAACTTCATTTTAGAAGAACTAGATCGCGGTCTAATTATTGGATTTGGAGATCTACTATACTATGATTAAGGGTATTCTTAGTATTCAAATCTATGTTCATTAGGTCCATCTGACAAAGGGAATCTATTTAGATCTGGTTGATAATCTTGGGCTCTTTGCTTTCTTATTTCTTCCTGCTTCTTTTTGTCTATATATGACTTGCTAGTTTCACAATTATGTTTTAAGGATGGTTTCTAAATTTTAATGGTTCTTTTAATAGTTTTCGGAGACAAAGATCGATCGCTATTTATTTATTTAAAATGATCAGGATCATCAGTAAGAGGTGACCTTCTCTTTACTAAATGATATTTGGGATTATAAAATCCTTATCTGTCTAACTCCTTTTTAGATTCAACCCTTCCAACCTATTTAGAAAATGGTTAAATTTTTGGCTGAGAGTTTTCTTTTGGTGATAATTTTGGATTTTGTTTGACACTTTTATAGGGTCGTTTACTATGAGGAATATCATCAAAAATTGAAATTTCATAAGTTTTTTTTTTGTCCCCATTTATTATTGCATCTCTTTATTGTATCCAAGGGTAGAGCTCAATAGAAATTTTACCAGCTTTGGAATACATCATTATTTAATAATAAATATATACAAAAAACATTCTCATAGTTCTTTGTTGAATTAAATAATGAGTCAATTTTTTGAGTTTAGTATTATTTAAATTCATATTTAATTTCTACATCGACCAACCAATATTAATAATAAATTCTATATTTATGTAAACGGAATAATATTTTTTTGATTCAGCTATTACTAACAGAAAGAATTAATGGGTGAAAATACATTCAATAAAACGTCCAATCTCAACAATTAGATTATTTGAAGGAACTTTATTTATAAAGAGCAAGAAACATGATTTATATAAACCAAAGTTTTTTAAGTTATTCTCCGATAGACTTAACATTTACAAGGTAATTTGCCCAATATCATAATTCTAGAACTGCAGAGAATAGAAAGAAACAGCTGCCTTGTTTCTAACTAATGTGTATTTAGATCTAAGTTCATAAAATATTGTAGAAAAGGATGGTCATTCTATTGTACTATTCTCAGGGTCTAAAAAGTACTACTTTAGGGCAAAATCATAAGAATAAAAATAAAAATGGATTGAACATTTCATAAAGACGTGCATTCTTAATAATTATAGAGATATTTTTCTGAACCTTAAAGTAATTGGGAAAGGAACATATGCAAAGGTAAGTGTATGAATAAATAAGGTTCTCTTAGCATAAAGAAAAGTAAATTAAAGTAAATACGCTGTTAAAACCTTCTAAAAATCAGCGTTATTGGATAAAAATAATAAATAAAGAGTAAAAATATAACTGATATCAAAAGTAAGGACTACTTAATGAAATCGATTTGTTGCGTTCTTGTGATCATCCCAACATTATTAAATTATATGAAATCTATGAAAGTGGTGATTACATTTATTTAGTCATGGAATTGCTCGAAGGAGGAGAATTATTCGATCTCATTCTAGAAACTCAATCCTTTCAAGAGTCCAAAGTGGCTCTGATAATGTTCAAGATATTCGATGCTCTAGAATATTTGCATACCAAAGTACTATTATTCATTGATTAAATAAGAATATCATGCATCGAGATATTAAACCTGAGAATATACTACTAAAAGATAAATCTGAGAATTTTGAGATAAAAATTGCAGATTTTGGTTTAGCATCCTACACTGAAGCTGATCTTATTATCGCTAGATGTGGAACTCCTGGGTATGTTGCTCCTGAAATTTTCGAAGATAAAAAATATAATGAAAAAGTTGATGTCTTCAGTGCAGGAATCATCCTTTACATTTTGTATACCTTTAAATCATATTAGACTTTCTGGATAAGCACCCTTTTTTGGAAATAGTCTTGATGAAATAATGGAAAAAAACAGAGATTGTTAAATTAATTTTAAGGATCTTAAAGTCTCTGAGGATGCCTTAGATTTATTAAAGAAATCTTTAGAACCTAATCCAGAATGTAGAATTTCATCATTAGAAGCACTTTCTCATCCATTTATATCTCACTTATACAAGCGAGAATCTAATCATGCTGATGACATTAAGTTAAATAATGATGGCTCTAATGAGAAATTTAGTATCTTAGACAATATGAAAAAGTTTGGACAGTGTGATTTAAGGTCTAGGATATTAAAATGCAATTAAAATGAATTGATTTAATAAACACCCTTTTTAGGTGTAAGAGAATATGATCCTATTAAAGCATCTTCTGATAGTTGGTTATTGGAGAAATCAAGTATTAACGATTCAAATTAGTTATTTCGTTCTCCTAATATATAGTAATAATAATCAGATTCTGATTGTTCAATTTTAAGCTCTCCTGATTCGAAAAAGGAAACATCAAGATAATTATAATTTAGTGCACTTTAATAAATAACTTTTCGACAACCTCCTAATTAATCTCTTTATCCACCTTAAAGTTAATACAAATCATAATTGTAAATGAATTTGAAAAAAGCTAATTAAATCAGAGATCAACTGAAGAAATTAGGTTGATGATAATTATTGCAAGAAGATTATGATTGTATTTATTTAATAATCTAAAAAAATATTGAATTTTAATCATTTAAAAATGCAATATTGTATTTATTTTATGAGATATAATTATTATTTAGTTAAATGATCTTGAGTAGATTTTGATTAATTCAAATAAAATAAAAAAAACAAACTATTAAATTTGAATTAGAAAATTGTAAATTAAAATTTTTAAAAGTCAAATAGAGATAACCTAATTATGATCCTATCTTTTAATATAATAATTATTGAAATCTTGAATACTTCAACATTAGTATCCTAATAATTGTAATTCATATTACCCTTCCTATAGACTCAATATCTACTTATATATTTATATCTTTTCTGTTCTATCACTTTAAATTTACCTATCCTTTTAATTGAAATCAATTTTTTAATCAAAATAAGATCTCTCATTATAAAGTCCCATTTCTTACACTAATCCTTGGCGTAGCATCTATAGATTTTAATTAAAACCTATTTTTAGAATTCTTTGATGTTAATACTGTATGAGCGAAATTTCCAGCAACTTTATATCCTCCTACTTATCCTTGGTGCTGAATACATTTTGGTATAACTAATATGAAATTGCTGTTGAAATGTTACAGAATACTCTTACAAGTTTAAGTTTAGAATAGTAAAAAGAGTTTATAGGACATAAGACCACAAATAATCTAGTCATTTATTTCTGAACAGCTAATTTCTAACAAATGATCTGTGTAAAATGTTCTATTGGCATAATCTTAGGAAAGTTGGTTAAGTAATATAATGTATCATGTGAGTAATTGCGAGATTTAATGCCTATAAATGATCCCTAACTACTTGAATGATAAATACAACATTCGAGATCCAAATTTACACAAAAACGAAAAGCAAAAGATCTACTTAAATTGTATTTAAAAAGGATACAATTTCGAAATACTTTCAACATCAAGACTTGTTATGTTTGTTTATATTTATAATTATTGTTATGATTGGTAATTATTACGCATTATTAAAAAAATATATATACTTTAATTAAGTGCATTAACTTTCACACACCCTAATTCATGGTTGGATTTTCCTTTCTTGCTTTGAATTACTGAATCAGCTCTGCCAAAGGAGCGAGTTCCTTATCTTCAACTAGTTTGAATTCATCTAGATTCTATGGATATCAATACCAATGAAATATATGAAATGCTTGAAACAAGTATTCAAATGGTATTCCAATTCAAGTGCCATAATATGCTGAAAGTGGGAGTGATAAATATGTGCATAAACTCTAAACAATCTCTTAAAAATAACCTTAACGACAGATAAGAATGTTTTTGGAAAGGGAATTCCTTAATAAAATGTTTAAATTACCAATTTAACATGGGAACAAAGAATCATTATTGAGTTAGTTCTCCACCCAAGTCATTAAATAATCGATGTATTCCGAAGCAGAGACTTTGAGAGGAGTTTTAACATTCTATCCATCTGCCCACAGATATTCATATCTTGAAATAATGAATTCAAAAATTACTTGGGGCCAGCTGACATGATTGGACACAGTTCAGGAGTGCAGAATTCTACGAGTGTACCATATAGAATTGAAATCTCATTATAAAATTCGATTGTGTTGACAGCCAACCATTCATTTAAGTCTTCCCCATTTGGTAATTCAACTGCCAACAACATATTGCCTGAACCAAGAGTCATTTAGGCAATTTATTTTAATCCATATCCTCTCTAGTTTTTATCAATTTGCTTGAGTGGCTTGTAAGTCTTGGGATCAGCTGTTTGCATTTTGAATTTTAATATAAAAAGATAAAAAAAACAATTAAAAAGGAATGTATTAATACATAAATTATAAAGTATTTTGTTCATTAATTAATGACTTGGTCTATGATCTTAGTTTTAATTTATATAGTATACTTATGAAAGAATCACACTTATATTCCATCGATTGCAATAATATTGGTTAGGTATTCTTTGATCCTGGATGTCAGATTCCGTAAAATATAAAACGTAGACATTCTTAACAGTTGAAGCCTTCTATTTAACAGTTTCTATCATATCTTGTTCCTTCTGAGCTTAGAAGTTATTCTAATCGATATTAATTATTAGTATGTAATTGGAAGTTTAGAGAAAGTAAACTATGATCTTGAAATGGACATACCATTAATGATTGGACCATAATTTTAGATCGTCATATCATGCATAAGAAACTTGACAATGTGCACTCCATTTTTTTCTTGAATCCTCTTTACGGCTAAATCTAAACAAAGCTTGCTGAGTGTGTGAAATATTAATTAGTACCTTTTAATTGGAGATATCAACTCTTCATTGAAATCCTCACTACTATTTTTACGACTCTACATGCAAAACAAGGTTAATGATTGCTTCACATATTCGTTGATGTCTCCCAAAATCATAATATAATGACTAAATATATCATCTCCTGATTTCAAAACTATATCAGGAGGTAATTCTTAAGTGTCAATATAATCCACCTGTGGGGAGCTATAGTTATGTTCAAATCCTTCGATATCCTTGAGTACTTCCTCATCATCATCCACTTATTTACTCTTGTTTAACCAGTTTAATTTTTTATCATCATAGAATAGGTTGGTTTAATTCTATCCAATAGTTGCCAGCTCATTTTTGAATTATTTGTTACTTAAATATATTCTTCCAAATTATCTGAATCGAAAGCACAGCGTCTTTTTCTTTGCATCAATAAATAAATAATAATATTAATCTTTTAATCTCTCTAATTCATAAAGTATTAATTTTGTTTATTTTTTATTATCCATTCATTTCTAAGCCAGATTTGTAAAGAATTTATGTAAATACTACGAATCCACTTTTTTGATTTATCATCAGATTATTACTTAATTGATTTTACTTTAGATTAAATCAAATAAGTATTCACAAAATTCTGCAAAACCTAAAATTAAAAAAAACCTTTTATCAACTATTTGTAAGTTTAGGCTATCAAACACATATATTTTTTAGATGAATAAATCAAAATTCTTGTTATTAGGATAAGCATTACCTAAATAAGTTTCTCTTGACTAGCATTCATTATATTAGCACAATATTTTAAATATTTCTAATTTAAAGTGGATCTTAAAATCATTTTTAAAAGATCAATTATTGATTTAAATTTACAGGTTTATGTCTAAATTATTTAAATAAAAATTTGGAGATTTATCAAGAATTTAATAAATTAGCTATTGGTATTTATTTAAATTAATAAATTAAATTTCAAAAGAAATGACTCAAGAAACATTAAATTTATTATAAAGTTAAATCAGTTTGATTTCAAGTGATTTTATTATAAATATTAAATAATTCATACAATGTTGGTCAATAATCAAAATTAAGTATTTTCTCTGTGCTATTATATTTATTATAAAATAATACTCTTTTTAATATTCTAAGAGTTCAGAATATAAAACTGAAGATTAATCTAATTTGTTTGGGACAGTAGTTGCTGCAGTGCAACTTTTTCTTGATGGATATTTGGTTTATTGGGCTCTTGAATGATCTAAGATGTTGGAAACATCGGATATTGCAAAACTTGTACTATTATTACCAATATGATTAATGTTATTCTTTCTCCTTTTTTCAAATTAATTCATCCATTCTTAAGGTAATGGTTCACTACAATAATAATCAATATTTGGCAAATAGATTATTCCATATTTTTATAGTTTAATTCTTTCTACATTTATGCTTCCTTATTAGCTTTCAACTAATCCAATGCTCAAATCAGTTGACCATGATAAAATTTATTTAATTTGGATTCCTGAAAAATATTTTAAATATTCTTTAATTGTAACCTAAGAGCTTTTGAAATCCCCTAACTCACATTCCAATTCTCCTATGATCTCTTGATTGCATAATAGACCAATTTTCAAATGTGATAAAATGCAATTAATGTCTTGTCTATCGGCTGCAAAAAGATAAAACAATTTAGCATGGTCAACATTTAATACATCCTTTTGGTGATCGATGCTCTTTTTCATGTCTAATTAAAATCTAAAATAATTATAAATAGATTTACTTAATTTCTTAATTGAGAAAGCTGTAATAAATGTAATACTTAGATTAATTAAATTAGGCTTCAATTGGAATCTGAGACACTGACTTGATGTAGACCATTATTCTAAATCTTTTCATCTTAGGAATGGTTCCATAATTAATTTCAGGCAGATTTGGCATTAATTTTATTTATACTTCATTTAACATCTCCCAATCATGAGGTTTGATAAAATATTCCCCATTTCCATATATAGTGTTAGCCTATCTCTGAATAACATTGGGTCCTTTAACACGATAGTCCTATTAAGTAAGTGAAATAATGTTGTTTTTCTCATACACATCAATTCCTAATTTCTATGCCATCTTGAACTCCAGTTATATTAATTCATCACATGCCATAAATAATTAGTAGCAACTGTCACAAACATAATATTTATGAAATAACATAGCACTGTCAAGATGAGTAAAGTTTATTCTATTTCTAATTTATAAGTGTTTTAATTCAATATTTCTACTTAACAAATGCAAATCACACTCGATTAACATTTTTAAAGTTAATTAATGAGTTAATTCTTTGGCTGGGTATATCAATTCACAAAACTTGCAAACCTATGTCTTGGTAAAATTCCATTATTGATTGGAGTGAGAAGCTTGCTTTCTCTCAAAATCTGCAGGTATTTATTCATCGTGAGTAATATGTCTAGTAAAGATTTAATGAGAAGGATTCATCAGTTTGAATCCTCTTACATTAAGTAAATACCATTTGTTATCTAATCCCTTTGTAAAATCACAGCCGAGTTCATCAAACTCCACATTCATACTCTATCTGCAATAGAGTAACAGATTTTAAATGTAAGGGACGGTCTCTTCTATGAAACGACCGCCCTTGCACTGAATTATATTGGCTTATTTATATTTGCTGGCACTTGCTAGACATCTTTAGGCATACTCCCCTTCATCTTGAAATGTGAGTTTGTTGGTTATAACCCAAGCTGTAGTTTATCCATTTTTCCTCCAAATGGTTCTACAGATGTATGCCATAGGACCTTGGCATTTAATATATTTTTATAAACAAGTGATTTCTTACTTTACGCTCATGGCATTTGAAAATATCAGTTGAACATCCTTCTATAAAATTGGTTTTGTGTCATTTCCAATTAATTCCATATCTTTGTAGTGCGGTTTCTTTACAACTGCAATCAATTCATTTGGATCATTGCTTCCTTCTGTAAATTTTTATGCTGCATTTCTACTAGCAAATGAATCAGTTCTATAAACGTAACCATCTACACTACTGTATAACCATATTGCACTTAAATCTAGATCATTTAATATAATGGTATCTGGAATCCACATTTTCAATTTGCATTTTTGATTTGTCTCATCATATCTCTTAGCCATGTATTTAAAGAAGTAAATGTAAGGCATAAGAGTACTATGTGAATATTTATATTAACTGCCTAACATAGATAACTATTAATAAGTAGCAAGAAACTTTCGATAAGAATCCGAAACTATTTTATTGTGTCTTGAACCCTTCTTATCAGGACTTGATCGACTATAAGAAAATGACTGATTAAGCCTTTGTCCTTCTCTCATCAAGTATAAAAATTAATAATTTACATTCAATAATGACAAATAATAAAAAGAAAAAAACCAATTAAAACAAATCACATATCTCTGTCATCTTATTCAAAACCCTTAAACTTAATTGGGGATATCATTCTAAAGAATTATGTTCGATAAATTAGAACTATTAATATTTAAATCACTCATAGATCTATCACATAAATCGTTAATTTTTAATCCAAAAAATAGTTAAAATTACTTCACCCCTAAAATGTTCTTAAAATATAAAACTTTTATCTCCTTATAGTTACGATTTATTCTTATTAAAATAGAGGGTAAGTTCTTTCGAATAATTAAAGGTTATCTAGATATTTCAATTAAATTATCAAATAAAAGGGAAAGGCAGTATATAAAAATTAAAAATATTTTATATTTGAAAATAGTTTACATATCATCTAACATAAATAATTTCTATATTATTGCATCATCAATTAAGCTAATAACAGAACAGCTAAGTTGAAAATAGATGAACAATCATGCATTCAAATATGTATTAATTCATAAGGTTAAAGTAATTAAAATTAATTTTATATTTATTTGAGATGAAATAATCTAATCAAAAGCCAAATCAGTAAGAGCAACTTCTGAAATAATAGTTGTAAATCGAAGCTTTATTGTCAAAAGCACTTGAATATTTCATCAATCCAAAATAATAAAATGAATAATTAGTAGATTCTTTGCTTCAGATATAATTCTTTAAAAATAATTGTCCTGAGGGAACCCAACTTAAAGATTTTGTTATGCAAACAACAAAGCATGCAAAATATGAGTGTTTTTCTTACGGATAAATCATTTTCAACTATGGAGACTTCGGTGATAAGATGTACATTATACTGAAAGGATAAGCTGGGGTTTACATTCCAAAGTCACAAGAATAAATCTAAGAAGAGTTGGCTTAAGAAAATTTAAAAAAAAATAGGAGGATGCTTTTCTTAGATGACCCACTGTATGAAAATAGGGATAATCCTATTTACTATTAAGATGGCATATTTAGATTCCAAAAAGTATATCATCGTCTTATACACTATAGGTATTTTAATACATATCCGGATAATGCTTTGGAGATGTGGCCCTGACCTCTGATAAACCTAGAACAGCTAGTTTGATAGTTCTATCAGATATTTTGCATTGCATATCAATTAATCGAATTTAATATAAGCTAATTTGTGATAAGGCCATTTAAGAATAAAAAAAGGCTATGAGTTTATACTCCAAAATATTTCCTGGAATCTAGCCTTTTATTATCTAAAAATTTGTGTAGTATTTAAGACCTATCAAATTTACTTCGCAATCTATCCTATGGTAAGCAGGAGATGAACCTTAAAATCTATTAATTATCGTAAGTGGAAGAGTCGATATCTATACGAAATTAGATGATCAGAAACAATTAAAAAATAGAGTTATTCCTAATAATCTATTTAACATTGTTCTCAAGAAAGTTATAGTATGCATATTATTTTTATTTTAGCTAAGTTAAATAACAGATGGAGGTGTTGTAGGTTAAGAAGAACTTATAGAAGAATTACCTAAAAGAAAGTATAATTGCCAATGTGTTGATAATACTTCTGCCTATTATATGGAGGCAGAGGAATTTAGAAAAATTAGGAAGAATTTTCCATAAATTGTTAATCTCTTAAAAGAAATTTAAGAAAAAAATAATTAATATATATCCTAACGATACTAATAAATGATGTAGAGTATTTAAAATTGTTAAAATTCAATTGTTAATACAACATCAAATCAATAGACTCCAGTACCATTTGATGAACTTATAGATGTTTAAAAAAAACACATTGATTAATCGAAAGTCTTACGATCTGGAAATAAAAAACTCTTGACTCTCTCTTAAAGTGTGAGAAGAAACTAAAAAGCATTTCAATTAAAATACAAAGATAAGTTACAAAAAGATCTCCTTGTACCTAATTCTGAATTGCAATAAAATATATAAAAAGAATAAGAAAAGCTGTTTTATATGAACAATAGACATCTCCAATAAAAAAGTAAGTAAGAATTGAGTCTCTCTAATGAAATTAAAAACTTTAAATTAAATTTGTCTAAATCTTAATCCAAATTTAATTAAACCGAAGAGAACTTTGAGAATATAATTTCTTTTTAACATTAATATTAATTAACTGATGGATCTTCACTATCTCCATCCAAAATATTATAGTTCTATCAATCATCAAGAAGGGAATCTTATAAGAAATATCAAAATTTGCTAAATATTTAACCATCAAATAAACCAAATACACTCAATAAAAATATTTCTTTATCACTTCGCCATTTCAACAGTCTTCATTCTCAAAGTAATATAAAAAAACGGATATAAACTGATTAAAGCGATATTAATGAATAATAGCATCAATTGTTGTTTATTACATCTTGTAGAAACAAATACGAAAAATCTCCCAAATCATTCCCTAAGTTACTGTTAATAGAAGATGATAACAATTGATTTATAACCTTTCAATCTTTAAATAAAAATAGTTTACATTATAAAATTATTATTCGATCTTTTCAACTTTAACTTAAATGAGTGGATTTCAAAAATATTCTTAATTGTTTGTTGCTTCAATTTAGATTTATTTCATAATCTCATACCTAATATTAAGGTGTTTCGATTTTCAATTGAAACTTTAATTTAATTTTTCAATTTTATTAATTACTTTAATATTTTTGGCGATGAGTTGTGAATTACTAAAACAAAAATACCGACTGCGAATTAAGAAATAAATACTCAAATAGACAATTTATAATTTGGTCTCTTCTTGTAATAACATCCATGAATTAATATATTCAACAATATATGACTAATTTCTTGAGTTCTCATTTTAAGGAATCCTAGTATAGTTCTTTACTTTGTGAAGCCTAAATCTTGAGAAAACATATTAATTTGAATTCCCTACCATTCATGAATTCTAAATTTTATTATAACTGAGTTAAATAAATAATTTAAATTGATAAGAAATGAAAAGTCGATATGAAGAATATTATGAAACTAAAAACTAATTGCTTGGATAGGGGGCATTTTCATAAGTGTTTTTGGGCGTTAAAAAATCAAATCAATAAAAAGTTGCTGTTAAAATTAGTAATAGAAATCTTGCTATTTCTCAATAGGAGAAAAGAATCCTCTATCGATTGTCATAATTTAAACATTAAAATGTAGTTTAATTGTTTGATATTTTTGATTAACCTGAAGCTCTATTTATAGTTTAAGAATATTGCAATGGTGGTACATTATATGAAATGATGAATACTAAATAATTTACTGAAGAATAAATAGTAAGCATTGCACTTTAAATTGCAAACGGATTAAACTTTTTACATAGCAAAAATATTGTGCATAGAGACGTTAAACCTGAGAATATTTTGAGATAAATTGATGAATTAGGGGTTGAAACCTATAAAATAACGGATTTCGGTTTCAGTAGCGTGAAACTAGACAGAATGACGACAATTAAAGTTGGAACAGCCTATTACGTTGCTCCAGAAATATTGAAGGAACAAGAATATGACAAATCTGTGGATATTTGGGCATTAGGCTTAATTATTGATGAATTAATTCATAAAACTCCATTTTATAATGGGTTTACTGAAGAAGAAGTATTCAGTAAAATAAGAACCATCGATTATATTATAAGAGATAAGTAATATGCGGAACCTGCAAATTTTGATAATAAAAAGAGTTTAATCAAAAGCATATTAATAAATTCTATTTAAAAGGACCCTATATAAAGGAAAGACTTAAATTGGATTATATAGACCCTAAATGAGTATTATTAGCAAAGTCCACATTGTTTTATTTAAAAGGATAACAGAAAAATATCTCTAGATTCTCAAACTACATCATGTGAATAGCCATTAATTTCTTAAATACAAATGCATTCTGTTGATCAATAATAAGTAGAGGAATGCCCATATCATTCATAACCTGTAAAATATAAAATCACAGGGGGAGATGAAAATTCTATCACAAATGGCTGTAAAATATGCTTATAATGTTATGGGATATTTGATCATTTAGAGTTTCAATAATATTTGAGATAATCAAATGTTGAATTGATTTCATTTTCAATTGAATGTTATTTTTCAAAAAATGAAATAATTATTGAAGCACTTAAACTCCTTAACCAATTTAAACTACTGTAAGAGAAGGAGAAGTTGATTTCTGAATTGAGGAACATAGTTGAAAAACATAATAATATTTTGAGACTTGAGTATATATAATATAAGAATGATGTGGAATCTATGAATGTTAACGCGAAATGGCTAAGTGATGCCTTAAAAATAAATTAAAAAATATCCAAAGAAATGCCGAACAAAATAATCCTTTACTTAATTTCGAGATGTCAAGAAAGAAAAGAACTTTCACTTCTAGAATGCAAGCAATTCATTAAAGAATAACTTAAATCACTATAATAATACTTATTATCTTTATTATGAATACTATATATAAAAAATAATTAATAATTTCAAGAGAAGATTTCATTTTTAGCTTAAATAGTCAGAGATGAATATCTCTCTAGTATCTGCTGTTTATTAGCAAATAATCCTGTTCAATACTACACAATCTTTTGAAATCAACTCTCTATGGATTGGAACTATAGAGTTATTAATCTGTAGAACTTACAATATTACAAGAATAACCTAATTAATGTAAATAGGCTTGCATCACATATAAATATAAGTATAAGACTAAAATAAAAATAAAATAGATATAATATAGATATAAGGTAATATTATTTAAGGAAATTAAAAACAAAATCAATGTGCACCACCACAAGCAATTTGGTTAGTAAATTCCTATAATTACTTAAACTCAAGAATCAATGATTTTATCTAAAGAAATTAAATAAATTATTACTTCAAAAGAAAGTTAAGTCTTAAAAGATAATTTTGTGGAGTCAATGATACATGAAAATTCTGTTGTGCAAGCTTTCATTTCAGTCATTTTTTGATATTGACACTTATAAAGTATTGCCTTTGTTTCAGGGTTCAAAATATGATATCCAGAATAATTTAATCCAATAAACATATGGCTACTAATTTTAATATTAAAATTCTTTTAGATAAGTTAAATGGTTTATTTGTTGCATTCAACCAAAAATTATTACATTCCAAAAAGGGAGTGAGTTTTCAAGTAATTCATCAGCATTAACTAAGCTTATCCAGATATAGAATTGTTAAGACATTTTTGATTCTTTTATTATAATTTGTCTTTTTATAAATTTTTTAGCTCTTATTATAAAGCATTTATATTATAAACAATTTCTTTCAGCCAAACTTCATCTTTTTTCTTTTTTAAACTGTTCTTAGGGATTATTTTATACATAAGCTAAGAAAGCTAATCTTGAGAGGTGCCAGTTGAATAGAAGAATAATGCAACTATCAAACAAAATTGATTGAAATTGTATTGAAAATTTTCATTTCTTATTTCCCAAAGTATATCATTTATTAGATATAAAAGTCGTTATTGATCCTAACTGTAATCGGCTTCTTCTTATTTCCATTGCAAGTAGAAGTATTTTCTGAATACAAATTAGAATTTCTGTTAAACCGTTAATAACTTCTTGAAAGCATTTATCAAACCTGTGTTTTCATTTATGTGAGCATCCAATATAGATGACATTGTTTCATCATCATCAATAACTCGTTGATCTTTATTCTAATCTACAATGAATAATCTAAAATCAAGCCACTATTTTAATCCTACAAATTTAGCAACTTCATTTTTAATAAATAAAGTTAAGGTTTGCTTTTTGAATCCCACCATTATTTTTCTATCATCCATGAGACTTACCTCTATACAGTATGGTTATTTAGATGCCTCTTATCCAATCACTATTTAATTACCTTGTTCAATAGCCGTAATGTTCAATCTCTAGATAGAGGCTTTAGCTGCTTACATGATGTTTGTAGACTTTCCTTTCATAATCATTGATTAAAGTAAGTTAGGTTTAATGCCAAAAGAAAATTAACTCTACAAGACCATTTTCCTCATGTCATCATCTCCTAATTTATTGTTAGAATTCGGATTCTGTTCTAAAGGAATTTAAAAGAAATCTGGGTTTAGATTGAGCAGTTCCAAAACCTATTTTTAATATTCGATAGTGTTTTGACATTTTTAAGAATTCAACACTGAGGATATGAATTTTTCAATTAATAGTTTTCTCTCATCTATTACCTTTTCATCATTTGAAAGAAACCAATTCAATGTTTACAACACTGGCACTTTTAAACCTGAATCGTACTTATTGACAATCGTTTATAAGGAAACTATTTGGCTGTATCTTACAAATACCTTTGTTTAATATTCTTAAATGAAAATATTGGCTACATATACTGTATAAGGATTAAATTTTGAGTTTCTTATTTCAGTTCCAATAACAATCACTTTTATTTCATAATCACACTTTTAGTCTTTTTGAGTATTATTATTAGGTTCAGATATAAAACTTGCTTGTTTTTTTACATTTAGCATATTGGTTTATTTTTCTTTAAGTTACTGGATTATTTCTTATATCTTCGACATTAATGCCATTTTCGATTCGTTATCTTGATTAATCATGATGATAGATTCAGTCTTATTAACTACTTCAAAAAAATGCTCAAAATAATCTGTATTTTCTTTATCTTTCACATATGATTGATATGTTAAGTGGAGATGAGAAAAATACCCCTATTATCCATTTTACTTATTTTAGGCAAACAACAACAGATTATTAAATGCATATAAAATTATATTATTATGTAGTTTATCTGTATAAGTGGAGCAAAAGTCTTCAAAGCAAAATACTCTGCCAGGTTCAACAAGTATTATGTGCTATCCAAAGTAATTTTAAAGTTCCACCAATTTTAATTATTCTAAATAAGTTTTGATTTAATGATTATTTTTATCATTGATTTATTAGAAGAGCTTCAAACATTATTCAATATTGGTATGATCTGGATGTTCTTTATTAGTATGCTTTAATAAATCTTTGAATAATAAAATATATTTAGGTAACCTCTAAACAGGTTTAATAAGATAGCTTTCCAAATCTAAGTTGTTGAAGAAATTTGGTTGTCTCTCTAGCAAATCATTAAAAAACTTTTGATAAACCTAATTTGTGTTTGAGTAGTGATCTCGTATTTTTCGAGTAGCTTAATATTCTTTACAGTAATCGAAATAAAACCTAAAACCTGGCAACAAGACAACAATTTCATCCATAATCTTGGCATAAGGTTTTTCTTTAAAATTCTGAGTTTTAGATAAAAGAACTTTCAAAAATTCTTAGTTAAATTCACAAATACTATCCAGATTAAACATAATTTTCAAGTCATATTAAGAATCAATCAATTAGAAGAGAGGCTTTTATATTTGCTCTCTGATAGAGTTAAGATCGTTTACATAATTTTTTTCTGTGTATATTAACTCATTTATTATATTTACTCTGTAGCGATGCTATTTTTTAAGTTTTTTAAAAGGCTTGACAAATCTAAAATAATTTTGTATTCTTCTGACTTTACGAATGTATAGATCATCTTCTCTTATTATCACTGGTGTTTTATTGATGAAAACAATCTTAGACTTAAAGATCTCTTCCTGTTCGTCAATGTTCTATTATTAATTTAAAGATTATTGCTATTTGAATTGTTATTAAATTGATTAAGATAACTTACTCTGTATGACGCTCATCATTACTTTATTATCAGCCGTTATTTCTGTATCCAAATCTGGATGGGCTTCAATATTTAAAGCTACTTTATCGACTAGTTCTTCATCATCATCATCTGAATCTATTTGAGTAATTCTCACACTTTTAAATTAAGGCCTAGCATCTGATTCATCATTTGTAAAGTTCTATCTATGTTAACTGAAGGTTATCTAACTTTATCTTAAAACCTCCTCGAAATCTAATGGTTTTAAATTGTTGGCATCTACATCTTTTTCAACACTCTTTTATGAAATTTATACACGTTAGGGTAAAATAGTAGACTTCTTTAAACTGGTCCACACCTTAAATTCTACTTCTTCATCATTATTATCAGGATCTTTCTTATCGTCTTCTTCATCTGAATCAATAATTTGTGATTTGTATTTCCTCAAAGTTAAACAATAATTTACTTAATCCCAGATGGCTCTTAACAGTTAGACTTTTTGTAGGTGGAAAATTGTCTGCTTTTCAATAATTCCTTTTCATCTATTTCTTCTTTAATGATGTTTTCACTTAACTAATTTTGAATTTCCTAACTTTTTAACATTGAAGATTGATATACTAATTAAGATTGAATTATTATTATTTATAATTAAAATCATTCCTCCATATTTATTTCGAGTCTATTAATAATCATTTGGAATACCGATACTAATTGTATTATCATCTTATAATTAATTTCTAGCTAAGCCAATACTCTTAATTATCTTAATTAAAAATGGAAATATTTTGTTATTAAATTAGATAAATCATTCGGTCATACATAAAGTTGATACTACCATATTTAATTAAATTTGAAGTAAGTTTGTGCTGTCACACATCTCTCCAAATAATTTAACATACTTAAGTCCGTAATCAGTTAATTTGGTGCATTTGTCTTCAAATATTTCAATTACTGACTTTAGGCAATTCTAGTTTAAGGCAAAATGATAATCTCCAGTCAATTTCAATGATTATTGCAATTCACCAAACTAAATAAATGAGCAATATTTACGATAGTGTCAAAGTATGCTCTGGATTTGATTTCTTTTTCCAATTCAATGAAGTCTTCCAAATCACCTGTTTGATTGAATCTATTTTAATAGAATAACAATTTGTTGTCTCTTGAATCCCATCTGGAAACATTCTATATTAAATAATATTGTTTAATACCTCTTCATTCATAAAAAAGGCATCTTTAGGACACATCTTTCTTTTCTCTTAGAATCTACGTCCCCAAAAGAACTCTTTAATTGTATCACTTGTAAATGAGACATCACCCCATTGCATAACATTTGATAATAATGTGTGATCTCTGATAAATTCAAAATGTTCTTAGAGAGACTATGAAAAATCACCAAGATCCACATTTTCTAAGAAAGTGACTGAAAATTCATCCCCTAAACAAGTTCCTAGACTCTTTCCATTGACAACATCATCTGGTGGGCAATATGTTCCCCAAGATGATTCAAATGGATTGGCAGCAGATAATGCATAAATTCTATGATTTGTTGGTAGATTCACAAACATGGATCCAGATTCACAAGTTTCCAAATAGAATACTAGTTTGTTGTATCTGTCATTCTCATACATGTATTAAAAGGTTTCTATTAATTCTTATTCATAGAGATAACTAGTAGGAAAAGCAATTAAACCTGGAGATCCATGATCCGAGAAATATACAAAAATGTTGTCTTCTCTAGTAGAATTGATAAATTTATGACCATCAGGTAAGTGATCGTAATTTCCTTTCAAAACATTGAGGAAATTTGCTGGGTTGACGTCAGTCTTAGTGTAATCGATAACACAACCATCATACACATTTTCTGAAAATCCATCTTTATTTGGCTAGTTATATATAGCCCCTTTGTATATGTTTTATCTGTTCTATGCTATATCATCATATGCAAACACAATCACATTTTCTGGAGAATAACCATTTCTTATTAATGTTTTGTATGAATGACATACATCAGCTTGATGTCGATAGTTGTAGAATGCATTTGAACCTGAAACCAGCAATGCCCAATTCACAGCACTTACTTGGAACACTCCAATAGCCAACAATAACAAAATATATTTCATTAAAATAATGGTTATTTTAAATTTTTTTCTTCTTTTTCATTACTATGTTGACGTCATTGTGATCATAATATCAAAATAATGTAATAAAATAATTTATTATTAAGATCATTAGGGAATTTACAAAAGAATCTATAAAAAAGTAAATTTAATATAAATTTGATTGAAATTACAAAAAATGAATATCACTCATCGTTTTATTACTGTTCTTATTATTGTAGTAATTATTTTAGAAATACAATCTCACTTCTCAAGCTTTATTTTTATTGTTTCCAAATCATTTCTTTAGTTTAGTATGCTTTCAAAATTTATGCTGCATACAAATATAATTTGTTCAATTATTATGAATCAAAATATTATGAATGCGATTGCTATTGTTTATTTTCAGATAGATATATTTGTTTTTCTTATTTTTATTCTTGATTTCTTGCTGATCTGCATACAACCAATTTTGTCCCTTCTCCAGTTCCAGCCTCTAATTAAAGTATTGTAAATTACATTTTTAATAACTCCTCTTTTGAACATATTACCCTAATATCTCATTTAATGAGCTAAACACATTCATACCTTTAGGGTATTTGATTGATTTTTGAGATTATTGCGATTTCTAATTAGGACAATAATGCAATGGACTCATTTAATTGACATTCTTAGCACTCTAAGGATGTTTTTAAATGTCTGTGCTTTCCTCAACATTAATTTAAGGAGGTCTCTTTTTTTGAAAACTATTCCTAGCAGATAGTTGTTATTATGATAATAAAAGATAATTTAGACTGTGATGTGGTTTTAAATTGGATTTAACCGATTTCTCTTTGCTACTGTTGAGCACAGATATCAATTCATTTTTAACACTATAATTGGGTTCATTTGATAAAGATGGTTTAGAGATGAAATTTTTGAATTCATTATTATTAATCGATCTGCAATTCTTGCTATTCTGATTCGATTTAGGCTTTGCATCATTTTAACTTTATTTCTTACTAAATCATAAAATTCTTACATTATTTGAGGAATTCTAAGACAATAATTTAGAAAGTGCTGTTATAGCTTTAGGTGTTATTTACATAAATTTATTATATTATTGTAAAATACTATTCATCACTCAGTTTCTTCATCGTAATTCCATAATCCCTTGCTATTATTTTCAGCCTCTTGACTTGTCTTAAGCCATTCCTCTAATTTTTAAGGTAAAGGAGGAGCCTACACATATAAAACTATTTATATACTGCTTTATCAAGCTTAGCAAAGCCTTATGATAACAATAGAATGTTAAGTGATTTATTGGGTTGATTCTCTTTGGTCAAATAGGCAATAACTCCTTTGCTAACATCATCCTAATACTCAAAAGAAACGACAACTTCCTTTTCGAAGATTTAATCTCTGATGAATTATCCAACCTTTAAAATTACTCATATTAATACCTTGTTGCCTAATTCATGACTTATCGTAGGTCCATTAATATAGGCTAAATTGCATCTAATAGCTTAAGGAGGTAATGCAGCCAAATTCTCAGGAAGTTTTCTGATATCATTTTGTGAGACAATATCAACATTTCCATAATCAACGAATAAGACTTCGTATCTATTCTTTAATTCTCTTGTAATTTTAGCTCTATACCAGTTGCCATCAACAGAGAATTTAGCAACACAAAGCAAACCCTTTTTGAATGGTGGAACCAATTTATTAGCTTCAATAGCTGTAAATGATCCAAGACTCTTTTCAATTTATCCTAACAATTTATCTGTTGGGTCTTAGAAGTAAAGAGTATTGCTATCTGCGATTTCAACCAATATTAATTTTTTCAACTAAAATGTTAAGTTTATAAATTACTTCTCCATTCAACAGTTTGATTTCAGATCTAACAGGTACATCATCATCACCCTTTACAATAGTTAAATCTAATCCTTTGATATCCCATAAACCTTCTCTCTTCAATTTAGCCTTTGATTCAGCATCAGCAAATAATGCTTGATATGCGTGACTATTAGCCACTGGGTTAAATGTAACTGCTAATCCTAACTCAAGAAGTGTTAATCCTAAGTTGGTTCTTTATTTGCCAATGAAAACGTGTCCATGGGAAGATACCCTTTTTATCTATAGATGTCAATTCGATATCAACATCTCTTTGAAGAGCATTTTCTTTGACATATTACAAAGCAATATTTGAGAATTTTTAAAATTCTGGTAGATTTTACTCGTTTGGTAAACATTTGACTCCAGCAAGTACAACAATAGATGTAAAGTTTTATTCATGAAATTTCAATTTTAATCTTGATCCATTCAACACTAATTCAACAACTCCAGATAGTTTTCTTAATGTTCTTAAAGAATCAAAGGCATCTCTAGATCTTTATAAATTAGGATTAACAGATAAATCAGTGGTCTTAGGCAATTAAACTGGTTTACCATGGATTCCCTTTTTAGCTTTATTTGCAGATTCTTAAGCACCTGTTAATTCATCAATATATCTAGAAACTCCATCATCTCCTCTTGGAGGTTGAACAGTTGCATATCCTGCTCCAACTACTAAAGCTGCTAAATTTTAATCGCCATCTTCTGTTAATATGATGTTAACGAAGATCATATTTAATTCTTATTATAACTTTTTCTTATCATCTTCATCAGCTAATCCTTCAATATCCTTTGGTTTAATTTTCTTCTCGTATTCAACTTCCACTTTAACTGTTTTACCAATAGCATGTTTTCTAACAAATTCTTTAGCTTCATATCCAAATGGTTAAGTCTCCTTTAATGAATATTTTGGAGCCTTGACTGATGCCAATAACACTCTTGATTATTATCTATTGTTGACATTCATGACAGTCAATTGATCTCCTGAATGGACTTCAATAATTTTGGCTTAATATGTCTATTTGCCACCTTATAAGACAACTGCTTATTATTATTGTTATTATTTCATGGCATCTTTCCATATTCCAATTAATTTGATTTCAGCTTGACTTTAAGTCTCTTTCAATTCGTTGTATCTATTAAATTTGATTAAATATATATACCTCTTTTGATCATTGATTAATTAAAATGCATTTGGTGATAATCTAAAGTATCCCAAACTCACAAGTTCTTTCTTTACATCTAAATCTTTCTTTTTGATATCTACTCTCAATGACTAAAACTTTTCATCTTGTCCTTGGACTGTCAAAGTGACCTCTTATTGGAGAATCAACTCTTAGATTGTCCATTTAGCTCTATTTTACAACACTTATGAAACTGATGTTGGCATAAAGACTTCTCCATATGAGCATTTCACTAAGCCTTGTAATTCCGGGATGTAAGCATAAAATACAAACAATCCTTGTACATCTTCAACAAAACATTAGGTGTATTATTTAGGTTTGACATCCTTCAAATCAATTTTATTATATTTGACTAATTCTTCTCTTTTTGACCATATACCCTTTCCATTCTATTTAGCCAAATTTTATGCATTCTCATATTCCTGACTTGGCTTTCCTTATTGTCTTAATTATGCCAATCCTTCTCTTAATTACAATTCTCCAATATCTTATCCATTTTTAAAGATTCTTCCAATGACTTTATCATTTTAGTCTTTGATCTTGTGTTCGATTGTGAATTCAATTTATTATCCTAACACTTACTTTCTCAAGAACTCCCTTGCCAAAAATCCAAAGGATTCTTATTTTGGATTCTCCTTATCTGTCAATGAGAATTCTGGGGCTTGGATTCCTTACAAAGTCAAGAATTTGGTCATTGGCACTCCTGTCTCATTATTGACTGGTCCAGATATTAACACACAATTCGAGGATACTATTTGCTTTACTGCTCCTTATTTTTTTTCCATTTTAATTAATTTAATATACGTGGATTATTATTTAAGTTTAAATAAAGAGAAAAATAGGAATTATATTAGATCAAAAAGGTTAATATGATTGTCTAAACAGTTTCAATATTTGTGTCTTTGATATGATTTTCTAAGCAAATTCAATATTAGAGCTTTGCAACTTGGTCTAGACGTCCCTTTGCTATCGTGGAGTTCTTGAATAGGAGATTTCCACTTTAATAGATTAAATTTTTTTTTAAAGGATGGAAATTGAAAAGATTCAAAATTCTTACATTCATCATTCTTTATAAATGGTCTTGCATTTAACTACGAAATTAGTCTGTAGTAGGAATCAGATAGATTCAGAGTGATATTTGTGGAATGCGATTATTAATGTAGTTTTATTTCTCTTAGGAAAGAATACACCTAAAAGTCAACAGGCTTATTTTAAAAATGGGAATGTGCTAATCTCTCTAGATATGTCATGTATCTGCAGATGTATCTCACAACCAAGATGGCAGTAAGACTAATGACCAAAGCTGCAATTAATTGATATGTTAACAATTGAGTAATTTGAAGATTCTTCTATTCCTCTATCCAAATCAACTACCTTTCAAGATCCTCATCCTTCTCTATGTTCTTTAATCTTAATAACAAACATTTTTTACATAATCAATATCAGATTAGAAAATCGCAAAAACTTTGCAAATATCATCACATCCATCAACGTTATCTTGTTGTACCTACATAGGTGTAAGGAGTTCGAAGTTGTGCAATTGGATTCCGATATGTTGTAATCCATGTAAACCCTGACTGAATTCCAATCATTTTCATTAAAACCAGTAAGGGTTTCATTAAAAAAATAAACATTAGTTCTGTTTGGTTGAAAATACATTTATACATTGCCAATCAATATTAATCCATCCTTATTGAGAATCAGAAAGTTTCCCTAAAAAAACTTTTTGATTATTTGAAATTCAAATTAGGTGGCCACAATACCTTCGGTTATATCATTGGTAAGGTTTTTAGAAATAGTGACTTTATATTCATTTTCAAAATTATAGAATACGTCACTAAAAATATATTCAGAGGTATTCGCTTTTTTGATATGATTCAAGTAGAACGGCCTAGTAGCGATATTAAATGTGGAATAATAGCCTATCGCTTAGTAGGCTGAAAAATAGAATTGCTTACCAGATCCAATCGACCAATTCCCAATAATAAATTGTTCAGGGTCAAAAAGCAATAGCAACTCCTATAATAGACTTTAATGCTTCAAATGCAATTATAAGTCTTGTTATTAAATTGAATTTAATTCCTAGCCACTATTCAAATTCAAAATATTATAGCAAATATTCGATTTCCGATAATTTTGAGTCTAGTTTACTGGACATTAATCACTTTTCGATGTTATTAAGCTCAATTCTAATTATACAAATGTAAATAATTAAGCAAATTTATCAAGAGCTCGGTAATCTCAAATATAATGATATTGTACTTTTATTAATAACTTCAAAAAACAATTGCATTTGAGTCTCAAACTAATTTGATATTTCATTCTCTGTCAACTTGGTCGATATCTACTACGTAGTCAGAACTACTTTTTGGTATACAAGATTCTGAGTTACGATTAGAATAATTCCTATGAATAAAGTAGAGAATAGAGATAATAGCAAAAAGTAGAGCTTTAGCTAATTTCTCATTCTCCATTTTGAAATTGATCTGAACATATCAAAGAAAATATTTAAACTAATAAATTTTAATATATCACAACACATACTATTTTTCAATACTTTTGATATAATTATTTTTGATTTTATATTTTTTTATATTACTTCTTTTCCTTCTTAGAAAGTAATTCAAACTCACTTGTTTCCAATTCCCTCTCCTCTTGTGGTTGTAGTGCTCTGAATTCATTTCGGAAAATTGAATTTTCTTGTTAATTATTTTCCTATTGTTCCTAAACCTTATTTTCTAACTTATATCCTAACACATTTATCGATATAGACTCATCTCCAAGACAGATTAAATGGGTAAAATTATTTTCATCCATAATGAATTTGCATTTACTCTGGTTATGCTTCCCATTCAAAGAGGCAATCTAAATCTTTTTATCACTCGAAAGTCCATATATCTTTGCTTCACCTGTACCAACTAAAACTATTTAAGTGAATGTATAACAGAGCAGCCCATTTTACTCTTTAAAGGTGTATTTTTGTTTGTCTCTTAAAGAAATACCGAAAAATGTTTTTTTTATCATTTATTTAATTTAATGTCCTAATAAGAAGAAATTTAGCAAGTACCTCAAATTAAGCCATCTCCTGATTGCATTGAATTCAAACTCAATTTTTATCATCTTCATGGCATATAAAATTGTCCATTCTGTAATAAACCACAAACATAAACCATACCTAAAGAGCTTACTAATGAAGACATTGAAAAGTATTAAAACGAAGTGCTCTAAAAATAAAAAGATGTATTGCATCATCTCTATAAGATCAGCTATTAGTCGACATCGATCCAGAAGACCCTGATTAGATGATGGATTTATATGAAAAATATAGAGGCTGTCCTTGTTGCAAAGGATTCGTGTTGAATTGCGAAGGTGCCATTTGCGAACAATTAGGTTTGTGCTATTGCATCTAAAAAGACTTATAAGACCGTCAAAATTGATTTAAAAAATCAAAAATAATATTCATAACTAATCCCTTCCAATATAATATCAATATTAATAAATGATTAAAAGTTTTGACAAAATACTATATATCACATATTTTTTTTAATTTATGCATTTAAATAATTAAATAAATTTTATTGATAATGAAAGGCTTCCATCTGCTTAAATACACCTTACCCGGTGAATAACCAATCAGTTTGATATTATCCGAAAAAGAAAGAGGAAAATTGTTTCTTGGAAATTTAGATTGCCTACATAATTAATAAATTTTAGAAGTACATAACATAAATTCCATATTGTCAATCTGCACAGAAGAAAGTATTATATCTTAATACATAGAAATTTTGATGGGTCCGAAATATCAATAAGTTTATTTGGACATTCACGACAATATGAATTCTCAAATCAGTAATGTTTTTGAAAAATCTTACTTATTCATTGAAAATGCATTGAAATCTCAATAAAATGTTCTCGTTCATTGCGCAGCAGGAATCTCAAGATCAGCAACCCTTGTTTTGGCCTACCTCATGAAGAGTTATCAATACACCTTAGAACAAGCACTAAGATATCTAAAATAGAAGAGACCATACGTTCGACCCAATCCAGGATTTTTACTATAATTACTTGATTATGAAACGTATCTAAGTAGTATTAGTTTAGATTGCTATATGGAAGTATAACAAGCAATTTAGGGCCGGAACTGACACCCTTCGATGTTTAAAGGGATGCACAATATAAACCATAGCCTAAAGTAGAGTTAAGGAAGAGTCTCCCTCTGAAATAAATTCCTGGTCCATCTCCAGCAGCAAGAGTAGAAAGAAAAACACATACAGAAATACTGACAAGGGTTTCTTAATCACTATCTACTTTCTAACCAAAAGCCTTCAAGTCATGATTAAAATTGCTTGACTTATATTTGTTTTTTATATCTAATTATTATAATTTATTAATTCTATACACATATAAAGAAAATATCAATAAAGGATACTTTAGGAATAAATTAGTGATGAGAAGAGTTGTGCTGCCTATACATTCATGGAAATTTTGTTATCTTCTTCATCTGATTCTTGAGGATTTTCAGTTTCAGTAAGTTTCTTGTTAAATTAATTTTCAATGTCATAAAGTGACAAGGCTTTATTCAAATCAACTAATCCGTAGGATAACTGGATTGCCAATATACAAGATTTGAGGTTATCTAATAATATAATATTAATTCATACCTGCTTTAGAACTGAGACTCACTAATTACCAGTTATTTAATCCTCTAATTAGAGATTCTATTTTGACTTTATTTTGTTAGCTTAATGATGCGATTTGAATACTATCATTAGCTTGAATGTCCATTCCAAATCGAGAATTGAATAATCTTAATTGAGGATCCAATTATTGTTACTGAATTTTTAGAAGTTATGAGTTTTGGTTTCTTCGATGTAAAATAATGTCATTTTCTAAATGACTAATGATAGTTTTTTCAGTGTATTCTCTATTGGTTGCATCGTAATCTAAATCAATAGCGTTTCTGGCAAGCATCATAAGTGGCATTTGTTTGAAACTTAAGAATTCTTTCTGACGATTGAATTCTTATGCAATGCAGGCAGCCAATTACGGAGAAGGGACTGCTAAGATGTTGCGTTGCTGAGTCTTTATACTTTTGCCATCAAGCTAAAAATATAAAATTTAAGATTACTTTGATGAACCATTGGTGATATGGGTTGATTGGGTTTATGGCCATTTCTACAGTAGCTTCCTTGTAAGTTCTTTTTAAATGAGTCTGAGACTATATGGAGACCTATTCAGCGAATGCAAAGCGTATTATTAATCCTCTCATAAATTTTTATTATTGAATAATCATAATTTCAAACTATGATATTAAACATGGGTTATTAGACTAGGATGACGCAGTATTTATTATTAAATTCCCCTAATTATTTTTAATGTTGCAATTTTTAGTATACTGTATGCCTCATTTCATTGAACCAAAATTGCATTTTTTATAATTATTTGCATTTCTGCTGCAAAAAAGAGAATAGTATTATACAGACTTAAGACAAATTTGATGTATGTCGTTTTTGATTTACTTATACTAACATTAATATGTATGATTGACTCATTATCATTTGATTTTTATAAATGATTCATAAAAATAATAAATTTTTAGTTGGATTTTTATATTTTCAGTTTCACAAATCAAAAATTCTATTTTTCGAACTTTTTCTTCTTATTCATTTCAAAATTCTTTTAATAAGCATATAGTTGTGATCCATGATTTCATTTGCGTAGTACTTTCCAAATAATTTGTCTCTTAATTAGCTTATCTATTTGATAATTTTACATTTACATCCTTACCTAAAATATTAAATGCATATTCATCCTATAATCGATTATTTATGCTTTATTTGTCTTTTTTAATTAATTATCGCACACTCTCTTAATTAATTACAATAATAAAAATTAATGGATCTAGACTTCATTTTTTTCCCTGCTCCTAAAGAAATATCAACAGAACATGAATAAGGCCAAATATTATGGATTCCAAAGTACAAAAAATTATATCCAATTTTTAAAAATTATGTTCCTCGTACAAACAAAAAAAGAGGCGTGTACTTTAAATAAAGAGAATTAGAATCAGAAGATGATGAGCATTCCATCATTGAAGAACCTAGGTAATCCTCATTTAACTAAAGCAGTGAATGTCAATTATAGCCAATCCCTAACTTTCCTTGCAAACCTGCCACCTAGAGATAGCAAATAAGACAAACTAGTGAAATTAATTCACCATCTTTTGATTCTAATGAGGGAAGTCCTGATGTTTCATATAAATTGCAATAATTAAATATGCAATCCATTTAAATTCCTTCTAAAAAGTTTGAATTATGTAGGAAAATATCTAATTTTTATCCTAAAACTAAAGCCAAGAAAAGTTTCTGTTTTAGTCAGCCTCTCATTAAATTACCAAAATAATTATTGGATAAAAAGATAGAAAATTTTGTCCTAGAAGAACCAACTGTTCACAGATCAAATTCTAGAGAATCTAATCACATATTTGGACATATTCCGTGTATGTATGTAGATTCCAAGATTCACTCTCCTAATATTGTACTCTATTTCCATGCCAATTGTGAAGACATAACATAAGCATATTAGTTTCTTATTCATTTAAGAGATAACTTAAATGTATTTTTTATATTCAAACTCAGGTATCAGCTATAGCCATGGAATATCCAGGTTATGGTAAGTACAAAAATGAATAGCCTAATGCTGAATTCATTTTGAAAGATGCTGAATATGTTTACAACTATCTTACAAAACGATTAGGCTATAATGAAAATCGCATTATTATTTTTGGGAGGAGTATAGGCAGTGGACCAGCTACCTACATTGCAAGTAAATATAAACCGGCATGTCTTGCATTGATGTCTCCATTTACTTCCTTAAAAGCAGCTGTTAGAGATTATGTTGGATCCTGGGCCTAATATCTCATCAGACAGCGTTTTGACAATTTAGATTAAATTAAGAAAGTCAAGATACCTACTTTTATCTTACATGGCAAAGCGGATAACATTATTCCGTATACTTAAGCCCAAGAGTTATATAGTAGTTATTATATAGAATATTAGAAAATTGCATATCAAGAGAATGCATTATGCACTTAGCTGATGACATGGACCATATCAGTTATAAACTATATAAAGATCTAATCAATCCATTCACTGAATTCTTAATATAAATCAAATATTATTAGAACTGTTCTCAAGCACCTAAATTACCTACAGTTCTCTTTTACAATCCTACCATTGAATGAGTAATATGTATTATTATCTTTATTTTTTTTAATTTCTATATCATCTCCAATTATTAATTTGAAATTCAGATTAATTATTTCATTAAAACTGCGAATAATAATTAATAAATAATTTTTGTCTTTGGCTAATGTAGTTTATTTTAAATTATTCATCTCTAACCAATATCATATTTAATATATTAATCACAAGAAATAAACTAAATGAATTATTTTACTTTATATCCTTATATATTTGAATAATACATTTGAAATTAAAATACTAAAATTTTATATAATTAAGATGGGATGTTCAATAAATAAGAAATTATCTTCCTCCAAATAGACTACTAATACTAAGATCACAAACGATAACTTCGAGGAATATTTAAAGAGTGTGGGCTCATTAGCAGAATCTCACGAATTACGAAAAGCAAAGGTCTCTTATTAATTATAAAAAAATCCTATAATTCAAAGGAGAATGAACAAATCCAGAGAAAAACTTGATGAAATTTGTTAGGACAAGATTTTTTTAAACTGATTTCATATCTTTCTATAAAATTGAGTATAATATAAACAATGAATTTATTCAAAAAATCAATATAATTAATAGAACGAAGTAAGGTTTTCTCTTGCTAGCTCATATGCATAGAATCCTATAGCATTGGCATAAAAGGACCTCAAAATACAAACTGAATATCCTTTCCATATTGATCCTATTCCTTCTGAGATTATTTTTTTTCTTAAACAATCTAGAAAACCCCCATCATAAAATCTAACTTTATAAATTGCTTAATCTGATGGTTTTTAGCATTATAAAATTGTTTTTATGGTCTATATAATTATTAATTTAAAAATCTACATCCTAAGGATATCCTATTGTCCAGCACGAAACCCCAGCTAGGCCTCCAGAAATCAAGAGATTGGCCGTTGATGGTTCTGCTTTTTAAGACAAAGTGCACAACAAGTCCTTTATCAATTCATAGACAGCAAATTAAGCCGAATAACCTAGAATCTCCCTTTATTGAGTAGCACACATTCCTCGGAACAAAGATTTAAAACCCTCCTTTTAATATATCTAAAATTAAATTAATATAAAAACTTACTTATTATATGCAGTCTATTGGATTTTTATATATTTTCTCAGTAGATTACATTTGCAATTTGCACTTGGTCAACTCTATGGGACAAGAAAAAAAAGCAGCCGAGCTCCCTGCGATACTCCCACAAAAGGCTCTAATAATTAACGGTAGAAATATTACGTTTAAGAATAAGTTAGTTATTTATTCGAATTTCCTATAAAAAATGATTTCCAGAATTCGTAAACTGAAAACACAATGGCATTAGTGATTGGAATAGAAAGGATAGGAAATGACATTCCTTTGTAAAACCCTTTTGTTCCTTCATTTTGGAGAATTTTCTTCAAAGTTGATAGTACTCCATCATCAGACATTTGCATTCGAACTTTAACTGTGTCCAATGGATGACTTGATAAACAATTTGCTCTATTTAGAGTAATTAATTATCAAATACATTCCACTAACTGATCCAGCCGCTAAGTCAATAGAGATTTGTAGTCTGTTTTCATATGTCCACCTAATAAAATCAGACATTTATTTTTAAAAAGTAATAAATGGACAATCAATTTAAGTAATAACAGCATTTCATACGTCATAATTAACGAAGCTTATAAATCATATTACTAATTTGAATAAATAAATTATATGATAAAATCAACTAATTATTCCATGAACACAATAAGAACAATTACGTATTATTAATTTTCAAAAAAGAATTAATATAAAATTTATATCGGCAATGATCATGCAGGATTGGAATACAAAAATATAATAATTGATCATCTTAAATAGCAAGAATATGACATAATAAATAGAGGAACTAACACAAAACAAAGCTGTGATTACAATGAAATAGCCACAGAATTATGCTCTGATGTCTTGAGAGATAAGGGATTGGGAATCTTAATATGCGGAAGTGGAGTTGGAATGTCCATTATGTCAAATAAAGTCAAAGGTATCAGGTGCGGATAAATCAATGATTACAATTCTGCTAAATAAGCAGCTGAAATCGGTTGCAACGTAATAGCCTTAGGCTCAAGAATATTGGGAATAGAAGTAGCTAAATAAGTTATAGATGCATTTTTGAATTCATACTAAAATGTCCATACAGAGATAAATGAAACAATATCCTAAATTGAGCAGGACAATTTTAGAAAATGAAGTGACATATACATATAAATTATATGTTGAGAATATTTTATTATTTTATTTTACTTTCATCTCTTGGATAATTTACATTACTCATTTAATATATATTGGATAACTGTTATGCAACCTCTTACATCTCCGCTTATTTTAATAATACTCTCCCATCCTACATCCTATTTATCTTTTTCATATAATACAGAAGGGTAGGTCTTTATTGTAACATTGAAATCGTGACAATAACGAACCAACTATTTATGTATTAATTCAATAAGAGATTATTTAACAACAATTTTGGTCTTGAGTCCCTATTATTTCGACCTACGCCTATTAGACTTATTAGAACTAATTTGTTGTCAAAAATACCTAGATGATCTAGATCTTCTCAAATATTTTTATCGTTTATTTGATGACCTTGATCTCTGCCTTCTCTCTGAACTTGAGGAACTTGAGTAATGTCTACCTAATTAATTCTTCCACACTAACCTCTTTTGCTTCATGTCTTAGACCTGCACTGAGTTTTTGTATTATTATGCAAAGTTTTCATTTATGTACTTTCCATTTTCAAGGATCTTATTAATTATTTATATACAGGGCCTCCATTTTTGAAACATTCAATTTATTCCAAAATCAATATTGTTGCTTCCTATTTATTTTCCATTGATCCAGTCACTTATACCAAGCAATCTAAAATTCTTCAGAATTCTAACCTTAATTAGCATCCGTGTCATCCCTATCTGAAAGCACCTTTATCTACGCACCTTTAGCTTTGTTGGCTAATTCTTTGATCTAACATCCTTCTATTTTATATTAATAATGAATTCTTTACTCGCCCCGATTAATTTAGACGCAAAGTTAGCAGGCATTACTATCCTAATATCAAACTCATTCTTCTTAAATTACTGAGTCACTTTCTTTATAATATTTTAAATCGCCTCTTAAACATTAAATAATGTCCCATCAATTTATAGAACTCCTTCGTCCTTTTTCAGTTTATTTTTCTAATTAGCTTTTTTAATTCATACTTTTATTTTTATATCATTATTTCCTTTTCCCTTCAAATATTACAAAGTATTTCCTCTCTAAATCTTTATTTTTTAATATATATTCTATTATCACACTCTAAAATGCAAATTTGGCCTCTAATATTAATTAAAACTACTTTTGTCATAACTCTTCTAGGATCTAATGGCTCAGCTTTTTTGGTGTAATCTTCATTGGAGATTCCTCTTTCCTACAACTATTTTATGATCATTTTAATTGCATTAAAAATACGAGAAGACTCACCTATTAATGATATTGAGCTAATATTTACCAATAATTGTTACTGTTCTTAATTAAAATTCGTAGATTGGTTAATTAACGACAAGATGAACCTTAGTCTCTAATTTAATGTGCTCTATGTATTTTCCCTAAGTTCCAATCACACATGAGACAGTCCCTAGGCTATTTAATGAATTTACCTTCAGGAATCAACATTATTACTTCGAGGGTTTGTTTGTTTCTTTGTTCTATTAATTAAAGTATTTTATTAACTGCATCACATCTTGCATTTAATTTATTTTCATCAGGATCAATTACAGAAAATGCAGTGCCATCCAAAGCTGGAATTTGATTCTAAGGATTTAGTTTGATTGCACGAATATTATATAAACACTAAGATGTTATTATTGAATCAATTACTCGAACATTATCTAAAATTTGTTTCAAATCTTCTTAAGTGATAAATCGCTTTTCTATAAAAAAATCAATAGAAAATTGGTTCATTCTTTTCTGAACCTGCTAATGTGAAGGCGACTGCGAAGATTAGCCTGACAATCCCTAATCATAACATTGATCTTAAGACATTTAATATAAATATTTATATTATTCAAATAAGAATCTCTATATTGATATTCCTCATTATTTATACATTGCAGAATTATAAATATTAATACATAATATATATAAAGAGATGTTTGAAAAGATTGGCTCTAAACTCACTTATAGGACATTTGTTGGAAGTTCGAGTAACAAAAGTGAAGCTTGTGAATTATGCTAATAAACTTTTGATTGGTATTACTTAGTTTTACAAGTATCTAAGGAAACACAAATAACATTAATGCAAACGGTGTTAGAGGTATGTCTGCTATAATTGTGGCCCTGATAAGGCGATCATTCCATCTCACGATTTAAAAACTCCTCATAGAATTTGTAAAAATTGCAAAGATGATTCCAAACATTAAGCCTAGTAGATGGAAGTGGAAAAATGCAAGTTTGGCTAATTATCTGGAATAGGAAAAAGGTGGGCTTCTTTGGCTCAGGGAGATGAGTATAATTTGAAATGATTTTTAGTGTTGTAATTGAGAAAGTGTAAGAGGAATATTAAAATTCATTATCTAAAATTTTGAAAAATGCTAGTAATGAAACAAAAAATTAAATTTAAACCAATCTATAGAGATATTTTAAGGAGGTATTTGTATCGATTATAATCGATTTTAGAATAAAAAAAATTTAAATTATTCTTTATATGAATGGAATCATAAGATGTGTGTAGGAGAATCGGAAAGTTCCATATTATTAAAAATATCAAATGTTTTGCATTGTTTTTTTAAATCTAACCCTGTAAGATTAACAAGAAATCTTGTCTTTATAACCACATATATCTTGTATTTTTGTGATGAAGCCATTTGCTTGGCATTATTATTGTTTTTACACTAAAAAGTACTCCCTTAAAGGTTTCAATATCACAAATTAGATGCAGAAGAAAACAAACCAATTGATTAGGAGGTTACATTTCTAATGGACTGTATAAGGGACTAATCAAACTCTTAAATTGATTCTCTGACTAAGTCAAAAATAAAAGTATTTTTAGATACGCATTCATCTGATATTCTAACAACTCTTATGTTTAATTATATAGAATTTTATGTTGGCTATTTTCTCTTTAATCAACTACTCATCAATAAAGATGTATAAATGTATACTATTGAAATAGTTTTCCATTTATGAGAAATTCTTAGCCAATATCTGCTTGGAATTATAAAAGAGTTTTGCAGATGCATAAATCGATGAAATACCAATCCACATTATGAAGCATATTTAATTGGAGTAATTGACAACTTTCTTATAATTCGAAGACCAACAGAAAAGAAAGCATAGAACTAGTTTAACAAGTAAAGAATAATTAAGTCAATAATAATAAATATTTATATAATAAAAATAATAGGATTAAAAAGAATAATAACAATAACCAAGATAATCATTGAACAATAGTTCATTAGAATGTGTATTGGATTCATTTATTGGACTTGTAAAGGATAATTCTAATTCCAAGATTGAGTCTGTGATATAAAATGAAAAGTATGATGTCAATAAGAATTAAATTAAGGAGTTATATTAAGCAATTAAAAAGCAAAAGGAGGAGCTATTGAACTTGAGAAATTCAATAGCTTATGCAAAATAAGATAATGATGTGGAATCTGAAACTTATAATTCAAGAATCTCAAGAAGCTCTATAAAATCAGATAATGCTGATAAATAAATGATCTAATTATAAGAAAAGAACAATTTGATTATCGAATTGGAAGAAAAAGTATAATAATAATAGTAATTAATCCAAAGATACATTGATCAGCAATAATAGTTGGAAATGGATAATTAATTCACTGTAAGTAATTTGAAAGCTCAACTAAAAAGTTAATAGAATAGTTAATTGCTTAATTAATAATTAGAGGAAAAGTAAGAAATCAGCTAGAGAAATTTTGAATAGAAGGAAGAAAATTACAGAAATGAAATTTCTAAATTGCAATCTGACATTAGCAATTTAAAATTTGAAATCAACAATTTGTAAATTCAATTATAATAAACTTTAAAAAACAAAACGGAATTCGAAAGCTAATTAAAAGAGAAAATAAGTAGTGACTATGAATAAGAAATATTTAGATTAACAGAAGAAAGAGTTTCATTATTAAAAAAAACATCTATGTTATAACAGTAAAATTCATCTATGAGTATTAAATTGGAAGAAAAAGATTAAGAAACATTAGAATTAAAGTAATAGCTTGCTGAATTAAAAAAAAATGCTGAGGAAATGAGTTTATTATGTGCAAGAAAAAATGAGTAAACAGAGAAATTAAACAAACACATTGATGATCTAAACGTACAAATTTTGGGTTTGAAAAGAAAAGATTTTGATTAAAATTTTAATTAAACTCAAGTTTAACCCAATGTTATAAAAGAATTCTAAGAAAACAATATACAAATTAGAAATAATCTACTATAGAAAGAGAAAGAATTATTTAATTTAAAATAGAAGTTTGTAGAAGTTAATCAATTAAAGATCGAATACTTTGATTAGATGTAGAATTACGAAAGAATAAACAAAGAAATCAATCAAGCCCTAAAATAATATGAGGGGAAGGAAATACATTAATTAAAGTCTTTTTATGAAGAAAAAATCTCATTATTAGAATAAACTCATGAAGAGTAGATGAATAGGTTATTATCATAATTTTAACAAAATCCTCCAAAGGAGTAGGAGTAAAAAAGTACAACTTAGCAATAAGTATTCAGGGAAAGTTAGCCATTACAAGAAAAGCAAATAATTGATGAGCAACCTGAAAATTAAAGTATTGGATAAACTGATGATTGCACAATATTCTGAGATTATAGGTTATATTATAAAATGCATTTCATTACAATTTTTTGTATTCTGGATTTTCTTATAGCATAAGTTTATAAAATTATTCTTATAATTAATTTGCTTTTTTTCTTGATTAATCTTCGCATCCTTTCATACATTTTGGATCTTCATAGCATTTACCATGACAATCTTTATCATCTATTTCAATTTGATTGTATCTATTCCTAAGTGTTGTGGAATTCATATTCATCCTTGTATTGATATCATCAATGCATTATTGATATTTTAATGGATCCTCATTACTATTTTTATAACATAGAACTTTATGTTCTAATTATTGTTTCTTAATGTTATATAATTAATGTAATACCTGATACAAATTATAATGCCGATTATATTTATTTTTTAGTTCATTTGATATTTCTGTATAATATTCCATTTTTAATATAATTAATGGATTAATAACACAATTAGGATGAAGTACAACAAAAGGAAATATTATTAAAAACAGAAATACTTGATAAAGGATATGATCCTGAAAGATTTATAAACTTTATGGAACTCTAGAAAGACAACGGTACACTCCAAAAATAAATTTACGATTAGGTGGATAAGACATCGACATGTGGACATATCAAGAACTAATTTTAGCAATCACTTCATTTTAATAGTCAAGTTAACCATAATTAGATCAATAGTTTCAATCTTTTGCTTATGATAGAAAATCAGATATTGAGGACAAAAAGTTATCATATGTAGACTAGCATTAAGAAAGCTAAAATTCAACATTTTTAAATCAATAGAAAGAACAAGAATCATAACCAAATAAAGATTTGAATATTAAATTGGATTAATCGTAAATTCATTTATGCAAAGTCTAGGATAAAAAATAAATCTTGCAATCCAATGAAATAAACGTTTACATCACGAAATATCAGAGAATACCAGGAGGCATTTTTTCATCATCTTATTATTCATATACTGTTCAAACAGATCCGATAGGATGGACTGTTTCAAGGAGATATAGCGATTTCTTATGGTTGAGAGACTTGTTGTGCAAAATTTATCCTGGAAAAAGTGTAAATTCTTAAAATTTAAACTAGATTGCTCCAGTCTCAAAAAAATCAGTTCTTAAAAATGAAAATGAGATGTACATTAAAAAACGAATGAAATATTTAGAAGTAACACACATCTTATTCATTTAGAAATTCTTAAAATCAATATTTAAATGTGAATTATTGAGGCATGATAAATGGTTTTTTGCATTTCTATCATCAAAAGATGAAAAAGACTTTAAGTAAATCTAAAAGTTAAGTACTTAAGTCTAAAAAGTAACCAAATTAGAATAGATTATTTCAATGGATGGTAAGATTTAATTAGAAAATAATGAAAACATAAATGTGTATAATATAGAAGCTACATAACTTGTCAATTCAGTTGATATATGTTATAGAAAATTAAGAAAGTCATCTAAATAATTATTGCTTGATTTTGATTAATTATCAAATACTGTTTTTAATATGGGATCAACTTGTGCTGAGCTTTACTAATTATCAAATAAGTTTAATTAATCCATTCCCTTAGGTAAAATATCAAAATTAGATATATTAAACATATCAATGAATAATATGTTTGTTTAGTGGGGCGATAATTTGACAGCTCAAATCAAAATAGTGTAAGAAGAACTTTGCTATTTCTTTAAATTTCATCATCATTCAATTTTAATATTAAAAGAAGTAATCATCCCTCATATCTAAGTTTATGAAACAAAAAGAATAAGCTCAATAAGAATATGAAAGATTTAAATGTAGATTGGAGCAAAAGAAAAATAAATTATTTACAACGCAAGACTTAAGCAGATGGGAAATTCCTGCTATTTAACTTAAAGCCTTATAAGATAGCAATTTAACCTAAAACAAAGAAATAAGCTTTTAAATCATGCTACCGTAGGAAACTGAGGTTTAAGAAGATTTAAGAAAATTTTTAACTTATTATAATAACTAATAAAGTGTGGAAGTGACGAAACTTCTTGAGAACACAGTTTCTGAATTTTCAGAACATTTTAAAACATTTTGTAGTCTTCAAAAAGAGTAATTAGCAGAGGTAAACCTATGTTGTATATAAATTAGCAAAAGTTAATATGGGATCAAAGCATCTTAAACCTAACAAATCTGCAATTTCCTAAAGAACTAATTAAAAAATCTACTTGATTATTACAATTAAGAATTGAATTTATATAAAATATAATTTAATATGAATTTTGATATAAGAGAAAGAAAGATCAATTTTTCTCAAAAAATCACTGAATTTGGGGATAAAAAAGAAAAAGAGAAGAAGTAAAACAAAGATATTTCATTAAGAGTAGATGAGTTATTTGAGTAGGTAAGTTATATTAAGTTTATAAAAATATAAGATTGAATATAATCGAAACAAAGAATAAGAAAGTGACAGAGTATTTCCAATAATTGATAACATCTAAAGAAGATAATTTTAGTATTCAAAATATAGAACTGAAGTATTAAGTAATTCATGTAATAAAGATAATTTGGTATTAACAAAAGTGTTGAGTTCAATGCCTCTTTATAAATAAGAAAAAATATATGAGTTAAAAAAATAAGGGTTAAAAGAATTTTTTGAAAAATAGCACAACAAAACTAAAAATCTAAAACTTTAGTAGTAAGTTAAAAAAAAGGATTCTCAAATTGAAGAATAAACTAAATTGATAAATGATTATAAATAATTAGATACATCCTAAATTTAAAGTGATTCAGAACTTGTTATTAGAGCTGGATTGAGAATGAGAAGTCCAGATGAAACAATAACATTTTTAAAAAACCATTTTGGAGTAATCGTTAGATCACCTCAGAAATCTAAATTAAAAAGTAGAAAAGAATTAGATTATGAAGAGAGGCAGATGGAGAAAGATAGAAGAAAGCTTTATAATGTTAAGGATAAATTAGAAATTTATTATACAACTTTAGAAGGAACTAATCCTATGATAAAAAGAAAGTAAGAAGAGTAATAATAATTATTTAACTAATCACAAATGCTAGATTATTCAAAATCAAGTGATATAACTCCGATGAACGATAAGGAGGGGAGGAATAGTATTTTTAATAGAAACTAATATTATGTTGATCATTATAATAATATCAAGTTAGGAAATAATAATATGAAGGATGTGAAAATGAGAAGTACATTTTATAAGAGCCACTTGGCAAATGATTTAAATGATTGAGCATTGATATTTAATATTGTTTCTCTTATGTCAAAATTGTTATAAATTAAACATTAATTATATGAACAATTTAATAGTTCTAAAATACCTAAGATTTGTGATTTTTTATGTGAATGAGAATTAGTTGGAGAAATTCTGTTTAAAATGTTGAATTAGATAAAAATCAGACAATTAAAAGGATATTGTATAATAAATAGGATGAAAATTTGTAAGAATACATTTGGAATTAACTAATGGTATTTCAATAATTTATATGATGTATATAGCTAAAATATCAGAATAAAAATAACGATAATACTGAAAATCCCAAAGCAATTAAATATTAGTAGTTATCTACAGTATCATCAGTGTCGTTTACAGTGTTATTTGTCTAATTAGTTGTTGTAGTCGAACATTAGGTGCATTTTTATAAAGAAGTATTGTATGTGTATGTGTATTATGTTAATAAGTAACATTCACTAGGTCCATAGGCTTAAACATCAATTTCTTAGCAAACTCCATTAACAAGACTGCAGGTTCTAATTTATGAAGGAATCCAAGTGGAAATGTTAACACAATTATTGGTGGATTTAAATTAGATTTAGCAAGTTAAATCAACACATTTGTTTGAAGTTGTGTCCCAACTACATACCTTATTCATCTTATTGCACTGATTTTAATCCGCAGCAATAGAACAAGCTGAAAATAAAGCACATTTCTTAGTGGTTGCATTCCAAAGGCATGTTCCATCAGTTCCTGATATTTCACAAGACACTTGACTTGTATATGAAGCACAGTTTGTTTTAGCAATGCATTTTGTACCATCAGTGACACAATTATCAAGAATATTACAAATATTATTGGTGATATCGCTGCAAGCCATAAGCTAGCATTTGGTATTTGAAGTAGAGTATATGCATTTACCATCTGAACCGAGAGCAGTATTGCATAACTCCTTTGTTGAATAATTCTAACACTTGTCCATAGTATAACAGTTAGTTCCATTTGAAGTGCAAGTCATCATTTGGGTATTACAAATGGAATGTGTAGTTCCAGTTAAATCTTCACAGGTTTATGCTCTACAGGATCCATCCCATTTGCATATTCCAGTTGATGAGATTTTATTGTTTACAGAGACAGCACCTTTGATATCTAAATAACATTATTCTTATATTTTGTAATCTTTACAGGCAAGCAATTCAGTGCATTAAGTACCATCAGTAGTGCATCCATTATTAGCAGTATTACAATCAGTGTGAGTTTTAAGTTTAGCATCAGAGCATTTCTTAAAGGTAGTGCAAACTTTAACATCTTTATCATTTACTGTCATGATACATTTACCTTCAATTCCTAATAAGCAACCTCCATTAGTATTAGTTTGGCTGCATTCTGTAATAGACACACATTTGTTACCATCTGTGGTGCATTTATCACTTACCTTTTGGCATTCTTAATGTGTTTTGAATTTGATACTAGTGCAATCTCTATATAAATAGCATTATCCATTAACCCATAGACAAGGGCCATCTCCTCCCATTATGCAAGATTAAGCATTAAGATATTAACTACAATACGCAATTTCAAAGCATTTACCTAACCCATTAGTCGTGCATTTGCTGTTCTGCTTATTGCATGTTTTGTAATCACTTCCATTGAAATCAACACAAGATTAATTTCTACATTGTTAGATGGTATCATCCCAACTGCATACTTCTCCATGTTTCGAAGTATTACATGCAGCTTAGACATTTGCAGCTGAACAAGTAGATTTAGTTGTGCATCCTCCACCTAACTTAGTTGTGCAACCATCGTAATATTGTTAGCATTAAGTTTCAGTTGTTAACGAAGTGGGTGCAGTTGTACAATTTCTTAAAGTACAAGTCTTAGAAATTTCATTCCATTGGCAATAATTACCAAATATGTCCTTTTTGCACCCTTGTTCTGCAACAGCCTTATTACAATCTAACCTTTCTGTACACGTCTTTCCATTGGTTGTGCAATTTGAATTCTATTAACTGCATTACTCATCAGTGCTGAATTCATACTGAGCACATGTCTTTGTACTGCAGAAGTTACTATCGAAAGCGCAACCTTCAAATGGCAAACTGCTACAACTCGTGTTATTATATTCAGTTAATATGGCATTTTCACATGTCTTTATGATGCAATTGTTAGACAGATATACACATTTAGGATTGGAATTGCATACTGATGGATCTTAAATCTATTAACACTCAGGGAATTCGGTACATCCCAGATTTGTATTTGTATCTAGAGTGCAACCACTCATAAATACTTAACATTAGTCATGGGTTGTGGAAGTTGTCTCCAAAGAGCATTTCTTCTCAAAACATTTACCATTACTCCAATAACAAACCTTTGATAAATTACTAATAACGCATTATGATTCCTTGCTATAATTAGAACATGATGTCAATTCAATACACCCGTTGCCATTGCTATTCACAGTGCATTTTGTGCCTGTTGACAAATACTTATAGCAATCAGTGTGATTAGTAGCGTCACTGGTTGCACAAGACTTCTTTTGACATTGACTATTCTTATAAACACATTCATAACCATTTTTATCCAATTAATCACAATTTTTATCATTATATGCCGAACATTCATTCTTATTAGTACATCCTTCGCCTGAATTGTTCAGGATGCATCTTGGAATTGCTGTTTAACACTCTGATGATGATGTCAATGTATTGGGCAATTGAGTACAATCATCATTGTAACAATCCCCATCTACCCAAACACAATTACCTTTATTGTTATTTCTTTTGATGCAATACATTGAGTCACTATAACTACTGCATTCAGTTTCTAAAGTTAGTTCTACACAATTAACTACATTTTAAATAAAACAATATTTCTTAATCAAGTCATAAGATTATGCAGGTTTACAATATTCCTTTGGTAATAATGTACAAGTATTTGGTACATCCATACAAGAAGTGCTGCCATCATTGTTAATGCACTATATTGGAGTCTTATATGATAAACAATTGGTCTTTTGATTACTGCATTACTTAGTAACACATTTATTGGTTTTCCATTCGCATACATCTAAAGTACAGTTCTGTTGGATCGAACTATCCTCACATTTTTTTATTTCTGGAATACATCCCTGTTGTTAGTTATTTACTACACATCCAGTTAAATATTACTGACATTTTAAAGTGGTATTATATGAAATATCAGCTAGATTACATTATCTTTCAACGCAAGCATCATCTGACCATTAACATGCAGTAGCAACAGATTAAACACATTATGTTTTGTTTTTGTATAGACTGCATGTTTATAACATAATTGAACACCCTTATCCTGATGGAGCCAGAGTGCATGTGTTCTTATATAGGAAGCATTATTAATGAGTTGCATAAGAGAGTGGGGCAGTGAAACATGTTTTGGTGTAGCAAGTTTCACGATAATAGCATTGTTGATTCTATAAGCATATGGTATTATCTTAAACATTGTCACATGTGTAATTAATACAATTGTTACTTGATTAACTGTATGTGCATGTTTACATAAACTCATTACACTTGGAATGGTCAAGAGTAACAGGTTTTTAACTCTGAGACTCCTAATCAAATACAGTTTTAGGAATATTAGTGCATATTTTTAGTAAGCATTTTCCTTCATTCCAAAAACAAGGACGCTTTAATTTATCTTTAACACAACTTAGTTCTAATAGAATTTCCTCGCATGTATTGATAGTAACACATCCACCATTTTATTTTGGAATGCAAGATTCATTATAATAATCTTAACACCCATCAAGAGTAGTGACAAATACAGGGGCATTTTCACAAGTCCTATCTTCGCATCCTTATTTAAGCGAGTTAACAGTGCAGGTTTCTAAAAACTTACTACATTATTCATATGTGCTCAGATTCTAAGGAGCATTAGTACAAGTTTTATCTTTGCATTATTGAGCCACAGAATCCCAAAAACATTGTTCGCCTCTTATGTTGACTTTGCAAGCGTAGTCAATATTGGCAGTGGAACACTCCCCATTAGTCATACAACCACCACCTGACTTTGTTATGCAATCCTAACTAATTGATTAACAACCCACATTAGTAACAATTTCTTTGGTAGCATTGTTACATAATTTTTATTTGCAAAAGCCATCCACCCAAAAACAATCATTTCCTTATTGATCTTTAATACAAGCATTTCTAGTAGTTGCTGCATCACATGTCGATCTTTAGGCACAACCACCATTTATCTTAGTTGTGCATTACGGTAGAAATGATTTGCATAGTTCATCAGTTTTCAAGGTAGCAGGAGCGTTTTCACAAATTTTTACTTTACACAAAGGAGGATTCACAGAATTGTCCCAAAAACATTGAGATGATTGGTCTTTATTATAAAAACATTAGATCTCTAGAGTGATGTCAGAACAACCCTAATATGCATCCATACATCCACCACCTGGTTTTGCAGTACAAGTTGAAATCTAGGATCTACATTTAGCATCTGTATCCAAAGCAGAGGGTTAGGACTGACAATCCAGTGCCTTTGAGCATCTATTGATTTTCGTATCCCAATAACAATATCTTTAATTAACATCCATAAAACAAATGATTGGATCTGTGTAATCGACACATTCACTTAATTCTATACATTTCTTAAGATCAGATTTATAGCATCTCTTATTAATGCTCTTGCATTCCCTATCGGACGTTAATTTGTAAGCTGTGCATCCTGTAAAAAAAGTGCATTAACTGTTCACCCATTAACATACGTCATCTGATTGACATTGTTATTCATTTAAGTAACTGCAATAATTGATTGATTTAGTTTAAGTGATAGTTTTGACATCACACGTTTTATTCCAAGCACACCCACTATTTTTTATACAATCATTTTAAGTTAGCTATTAGCAAGTACATGGGGTTGTTGTTTCTATAGTACTGCAATAACATAACCCCAAGATGATGGTCAGAAGGCCTAAAACTGTTTTCATCTATATATATTAAATTTAATATTCATTATTTCTTAGGCAATAATCCCACATATACGCTTCTGTAGAATTCTGAAGCCAAAGAGGCTCCTGAAAGTGGACCAAATATGTATATCCAAATATTAATCAAACGATCCCAATTGCCATCTTATAACGACTCAAAAATGCCTAATCCAACTCCCATTGCTGGGTTCAAACAACCTATCATATCCAAATAATATGATACCTCCAGTATGAAATGTCAATATCCTTCCGAAGTATAGTGCTGTTGCTATAATCCCAATCCCTATCAAGTTGTTTTCAGTTAATTACGTTTATGGATGCACTTGAATATGAATAAACAAGCAAAATACAAAAGTCCCCAAAACCTTAATAGTTGTTACTATATATCATACTTCTCCACAGAAGTCTGCCACCATCCATTGTATTGGCTGTGTCTCAATGTATGGAGATGTGACTCTTCCCACAATCACAAAAGCAGCCAAAGCCCCTGCTATTGCACCACCCACTTGAGCTGCCCAATAGACTCTCATTGTAAATGCACTTATCTCATTCGAACTATAAAATGACATCGAAACTGCAGGATTCACATGTCCACCTGTAATCTTTCCGATTAAAAATATTGCTCCAAACAAATACACACTCAACATCACATCATTTCCTCTTGAACAAACTATCCCATAAGCAAAAAAAGCAGTTCCCAATGCTTCCCAAATTAATATTCTTATCAACTCACTGTAAGGCTTATCATCAATGGTATTTCTTAATCGAGATTCTAATGTTTCAATCTTTTTTAACAGTTCAACCTTTTCTTTATTCTAACCTTCAAATTAATGCTCATCTCCACTTCCTAAATTCTCCTTCTAAAATTTGCTATAATTGTAAGGCACTTCCTCTTATAAGAGCCTTTCAGCTGACATTAATTTTGTTAGATATTTATTAAATTATTTTTAGGATAAAATAATATTATTCATTCTAGTGTGTTGAATTTTCTCTTTTTTAAAACAATCTTAGTCTCATTTGCATATTCATATACTTAATAATTCTTCAATTTTATTTAGAATCAAAGTTTTATTATTTTTATAATCTTAAAGAATTTCATTTATAAAAATAGAATTATTTTTTATAATTATTTTGGTATCTTACTTTAGGGATAAGTGTAGAAAGAAATTCTACTAGTCCCTGCTTCAAATATGAACTAAATTCTTTTTATAAATACTCATCACTTCGAAAGCCATCTGATGGATTAGTTATCTTTCGAAAATTTAAAATGATTAGTTCAATAATGAATTTATTGCATAATTTATTATTTTGGCTATTTAAATCAAGTTCATTAATTTAAATGGAGAGAGAGGATTAAATTTTTATTATAATATAGCGAATTTCAATGTTGAGGTATATTAAAATATCTTTATTAATTAACAATTTCTGTTATGATACTACTCTTAGAGACCACTGGGAAAATCAATGTTGAAGTAAGGTCTTTGGTCAATATATAATAAACGACATAAATAAATTATTAAACATAATCACTATTATTTTCTAATTTAATTATCAAATACCTAATAAAGTCATTGTCTTTAATAATAATTATTTTTTAAATCAAAAGGGATGGATATTAGAATTCAAATAAATACACTTAATCAGATTGACTAACAATTAAACCTGAATTGTCAGAATCAGCTATTCCTGGAACATAATCATTTAATGTACAAACAATTGCGGGAATAAATATATTTGCTCTTAACGATATTGAAAAAAAGGAAAAATGATAAAATTTTAAGAATAGGGTTCATGACATTTGTGATCATTTCATTTATTTTCTTTGTATTATCGGTTTATATAAGGATCTCGCCTTTTTTGTTGGGGATGTTGATAAGTTACATTGTAGTGTTCTCCTTAGCAACAAAAGGAGATCGCTTAATCTAATATATTCAGTATCACTTTCAATTGATCAATAAATAAATTCTACAGATATCCTAAAGATTAGATCTGTTAAAGATGAAGGAGATATATTACAAATTGTACAGAGCAAAATATTATAATAGAATCTTGGAACTGCAACAAGTTATAGAACAATGAAAGTTAAAAATTATTATATACTAAACCTAATAAATTATGTTAAAGAAATTTTAGTACGACTTGTTCGTCGTAGGAGGAGGAGCAGGAGGCTTGGCTTCATCTAAAGCATCAGCACTATTGGGGAAAAAAGTGGGGATAGCTGATTACGCAACTCCAAGTCCTCATGCGACAACCTGGGGAACAGGAGGTACTTGCGTAAATGTTGGGTGTGTACCTACTAAATTAATGCCATTCTCAGCAAGGATGGGTGAAATACGTAAAGATTAGATAGCAGCTGGATATCGGGGAATAGAAAGTGAAGGGAAACATAATTGGAAATAATTGATTGAAACAGTACAGAAACATATAAAAGAATTGAATGTGCGCTAGGAAAGTTCTTTAAAGGATCATGGTATTGATTATTATAATAAATTTGCTAAATTTATTGATCGACATACAATAGAAGTAAGATTTAGATTGTGATATTGTATTATTGTAGCTCACTGATATGAAGGGAGAGAAAGAAACAATAAGTGCTAAGAACATCATAGTATGTGTTGGATCTAGGCCAATTCTGTACTAGGATCCAAAATTAGTGATAACATCAGAAGATGTATTTCAATAGACGAGTCCCCCAGGGAAGACTTTGGTTATAGGAGCTTCTTATGTGGGTTTGGAATGTGCTGGATTTATCCATGGTTTTGGTTTTGATACAACTGTATTAGTCAGAACAAGAGTAATGAGAAATTTCGATCAAGAGATGGCTTCAAAGGTTGAAGGATATATGACAGAGAATGGAATCAAATTTGTAAAGAGAGCCTTATTGCAATCTATTTCTGCTGTAGATAATGGGAAAAGGAGATTGGTAAAGTGGGTGCGTGATGGAGTAGTTGAAGAGGATATTTATGATACAGTATTATATGGTATTGGAAGACAAGCATCTACTAAATAGCTGAATTTAGAATCACTTGGTGTTAAGATTGATGCTAGAAATTATAAGATCATGGCTGATGAATACGATAGAACAACTGTAGATAATATTTATGCAATTGGAGATTGTTGTTTGAACAGATTAGAGTATACACCGATAGCTGTAATGGCTGGCAGGAAATTAGCCAAAAGACTTTATGGAAATAGTAATGAGATCATGGATTATGCTGATGTGGCTACTACTATCTACACTCCTATTGAGTATGGTTGTATTGGATTGTCAGAAGAAAGAGCAAAGTAAAAGTATGGGGATGATGGAATCAAAATTTATAGATCCCATTTTAAACCTTTACAATGGGGTTTCAGATAGAGAGATGATGCTAAATACTGTGGAGGCAAATTGATTGTTAATAAAGAGTCAGACAGAATCATCGGATTCCATTATGTTGGACCAGAGGCTGCTGAGGTGACTTAAGGATTTGCAGTGGCTATGAAAATGAAATGTACAAAGAAAGATTTTGATAACACTGTTCCTATTCATCCTAGTCTGGCAGAAGTATTATTAATAAGTATATACATAGGAAATGATTTTAATGAAATGACAATTTTAAATAAGTTTAATTTCTATCTTAAATAACATTTATTATTATATCAATTAACGTATTTGGGTGTTCTTGGTCTACCTTATGGAACATTCTTTTTGTCTTATGATTTTAGAATTTGAAATGAACACATCAACGTTTCATCCACACTCATCAATGCACCTATTTAATTATTATTAAATAAATTCTATACCTGAATTATCAAATTCCCCACAATAGTTTGGAGCTGAAAATAGTGTTACCAATTGCCTTTTTGCGAAAAATTCGTATCCTTCTTCTACAACTTAATGGGCTCTACAAACCAAATCCATATCATTTTTCTTCAAGAAATTAGCTATCACATCAGTTCCGAATATATAGGAAACTCCTCTCTCGTTATCTTTATGTTATTTTTATTTATAAATTACCTTACCAACCTTGAAGATCCTTCTCTGGATCTGACCATAATAAATCGCACAACAATCCTGTATCTGGTACTTCTATTGGTCTCATTATTCTGTGAATCTATTCCAAATTTGTTAACTCTGGTGAAAGACCTCCATGCATGCAAATGATTTTCTCATCTATCACTGCGCATACTGGCAAACAATTAAAACAATCAGTAAAGGTTTTCCACAATTTTATATTGTACCTTCTTTTGCATTCATCATAGAACCCATATATACGATTTATTTATGAGCATTCATGATTACCTCTCAATAAAAAGAAGTTTTCAGGGTATTTTACCTTATAAGCCAACAACAAACAGATTGTTTCTAATGATTGTCTCCCTCTATCAACATAATCTCCTAAAAATAAATAATTTGCCTCCGGTGGAAACCCTCCATATTCAAACAGCCTCAACAAATCGGTGTATTACCCATGTATATCACCTACATACATTCAACATTTTACCACATATCTTTATTGGAGCTTCCAATTCTAGCAACATTGGTTGACTTAAAAATATCTCTCTACTCTTTATACACAAAGAACGAATTTCATTTTCCGTTAGATTTACAGGCTTTCCTGATTTAGCTCCTTTGCTTTCTAAAAGTTTTTCAATTATCTTCATACTTTTAAATTACTTACTTTATCGACATCGATGTCCATTATTATTAATATAAATAAGAATAATATTGATTTTTCAATTATTTCTTTTATAATTTATTTTTTTATATATGATTCATTGAAATAACTGCCTATTTTCAATATTTGTCATCCAAATTCACTGATATTTATTATTGTTATATACTATATATATTGTGTTAAATGATATTTAATATTAAAGTATTTCATGATTATATATTTCTCTTCTTATTTTGCTAGTCCTCCTCCATCTAAATTAACTTAGCAACCTTATAATAATGATATTTCTCTGCCAATTACCTTGCTGTCCTACTTGCCTAAGATTTACTTTGTATTTTACATAATCAATAGCAAATAAATCCACATTATAATTTATCAGCTCCTAGCAAATATCGTAATAGTTTCGTTTTGCAGCCAAATGCAATCCAGTCTATCCAATCTACCTAATATATACAGATTTTACAATATCCTTTGCTTTAACTATAGTTTCATCAGATATCAACATCAGCTTTAAAGTTGATAAATCATTATTTTTTATTGCATTCAAATAGTCAATTTCCATTTAATCTAATTCCCTTACCACAACATGCTACCTCAAGCTGTTTAGTAATTTATTCTCCAATTGTTCATCCGAGAACTTGAGTTAGAGAATGGTTCTATGATTGTAATACTGTAAACTTACTCCATTAAATTCTTAGCCTGATCATTCTAATAATTTATTTCTGGAATTTCATGATTTAATATTTCCCTGTAAGTATACTTACTTCCAATATCTACATATTGATAAGGAATATTTAGGTCCTCATATTGAATGTCCTTGATTTCTGGTTCCTATCCTATTGTATTGCTGTAATATTTATTATAAAGATTAACTTATTCTTTAAAATCTTTAAAGGCACTAACACTAATCTTGTCTAAATTTTTCAAATCAGAATGTAACTTTTATTGATTTTCATTAAGCATACTCTTCTTTTTCATTTAAAATTGAGTTTCCCTCATTTTCTTCTCTTACATTTGCTTCTTTGTTTCCATCATATTAATTTATTTGCTCAAAGGATTAATGATCTTAAGCGATCCTTGGTTGTTCCGTATTAATTAATTATTGTTCCTCAGATCTTTAAGGTTTTAATAGAGTTCGAAATCCAATTCACTTTATTTCTTTTTCCCTGTCCTTTAATCAGGACTGGGCTTCTTCTTAATAAAATAGTCATTCTGAACTTTATGAACAAATGTTTCTGGAGTCACAAATTTATGCATAATAATATAAATTAATATTATAATGGAAATGAACCCTTCTAGTTTTCAACTAGAGCAATCAATTAACTCAAAATAAAAAATACCCCTTACTTACTAATCTAGAGTAATCTGCAGTACAAATGGTTAGAAATTTAAATAAATATTTTAATCAAACCTATTATTATATTAGTAATTCTTATGCAAACTCAGTATTCATAATAAAGAGCGAAGAGAATTAATTTGTTTAGTCAAGATGATAAAACTAATGTAATATCTAGAGAACAATTTCATTTTTTTAATATATTATCAAGATTTATAATAAGAAACAACGTGAAAAAAGTAAAATAGATATAGCTGAATAATATTCAAATGAGTTCTAATTATAATAGAAATCAAAAATAGAAAGAAATTTTGATTTATTATTACGTTAAGTTTCAATAATTATTGGTACTATATTTATAAGAAATATTTGAAACTAGAATAAAAAGAAATATGCTTATTATAAAAGTTGAGTAGTTAATAAATAGTAGACTTATAGACACTTTATTAATTTTCAAATCATGGCTTTTTCATTTTTTCTTTAATTTTCTAAAATTATGGATTATATTATTACATCATCTAATTCTTTCAATTTATTTTATCTTTCTTTCATGAATTGTTGTTTTTATTTGATAATTTCCTCTTAATTCTTCTTTTTTTTAACTTCAGGTATATTCTCATAATTTTTTTTGGTTAATGCAAACATTTCTTTTTCTTCAACCTAAATAAGTTCGAACATTACCTTTGCCTTTTATCCCATAGATAGCCGTTCCATTAATGGGCTTTTGGATTTTTTAACCTATTCTTTTCGATCACTGTTTTTGTCTTCATTTATAGGAGTTTGACTTCTATTTTACTATCGTTTGTTCCTTCCATATTCCATCATTTCTTTTCTTAAATTTGATTTATTCTTCTTTACTTCTTTATTTAACATTCACAATCCAGCTCTAATCTTCCTCTTATATAGGGGCTTGGACTGAGACTCTCCTTTCAAAATTATTTGTTTTCTTTCTTTAAGTGAAATACAATAGATTCTATAAAATATTAATCTATAATCAGCTAGACATTTTTTATTCGACCCATTATTTGTTCCTTCATCAAAATTAAATTCTAATTTTACACTTGGCTGTGATTTTTTGGGTATTTCTGGATTATGTACAATATAACTTTGATCTTATTAAGCAGATGAATTAATGATATCAAATTAAGAATGTTTTCTTGAAGTATCATTTCTATTTTGAATTTAACAATCTTTCTATGTGTTTTCTCTTTATAATTCAATAGAATCTTAATTAATTTATTGAAAGCTTTAATTTTTACTTTAGGAATTATAAGTTTAGATCTATAATTATTATTATGATTATTAAGAAATTAGATTTCTTTAAGATAGTTAAGTACCAAATGTTAAAGACTCCATACTTTATTTTTATTACTAAGGAGGTCTGATTAATGATTATTATGAAATAATTTATTTTGATTTATTACACAAAGATTCATTTTAAAAGGATTCGTTTATGGTGATGATTGATTAATCTTAAACTGATTTATCAGTCTAAATACCTTGAGATTGCTATTTTTTACCCTAAATTCTTTTAGGTGGAGACTTTGTTTCATCCTAATACTGTTGAGGAGGAATAGACTTTGATTATTATTATTGCTTTTCAGAGGACGTTATATTATTATTTATAACAATGGGTTGTTGCTATTGTTGTTATTGCTAAGTCTAGAATTGTTAAAGCAATTACTATTAAAACAGTAATCTTTAACTTTCTTGTTTTTCTAATTGTTATTTTAAAATCATGTTCTCATTTTACAAAGATAACATTTGTTATTAAACCAACAGCAATCCCATATTTTCACTTTAATCTAAATAAGGTTTACTATTCCTCTGCATATCATACCTATTTGTTCGTTATGTAGTGCAATTAGAAGGTTGATTTGACCTATGGCATTATGGCAATACTGGTTATTTTAAGGGGTGATAAAAACTGTTATTTGAGTTGCTGGATTATTATTCAATCCTTGACATATCAATGAAAATGGATTGTGCATCCTTAATTTAAGAATTTTAGGTCATAACACTTAGAGGAGCTTGATCTACTCTTTTTTTCATCTATTTAATAAATTCATTAGTATTTCTTTGGGGTGGAAAATTTTCTATGTTTGGTTTCTTCGAAGATGGTATTTATTATGGAGATCGATATTAGATTGCATTTTCTCTACTCATTCCCTATTCAAAATCAAATTATTAAAAAAATTAGGAGTTAAATAAATAAATTTCAATTATCATACACTCATTCAATTTAATTATACTTATCTTCTTAATCACTATCTTCTTACTATTCTAGCCATTAACCAAATTCATCTAATCTTTATTCCTCAACTTCCTTACTCTCAATATTGGATTTGAAATTTTATCTACCATCCCAATATTATATATTTATATTTCTTTGATTGAATTCTATTCCACTCAAATTAGATAAACAGATCTCAGCATCATACGCAGAATGAAATTTAACCTTAGCCACACCTCAATTTAATATATAATTATTACCTTAAGGATGATCTTTGAAGAACTCTAATTTTTGAACATATATCTATAGAGACTCTATTTTCAACAATAATTCCCCATATAATTAGTTCATAAATTCCGGATTTTAGGCTTATGTAGGACTATATAAATTCTTAAATATCAATATTTTTAGTCCTTTTCCATCATCTTCCTATCCTTCCTCTGCCAATTGTGTCATTTCTTTTTGTCTAGCTAATGCCTTTTAGAGTTTATCAACTTTCTTATTCTCCCTTTTTCTATATTATCCCTTTTATTCAAACACTGCTTCAGTTACTTTGACAATAACATTAGGCCTAATATGAAGTCCATCTAACATTTCTTTAGCTGTCTATACACTTTCAACCATTTTATACGAAATCAATCCATCACCTTTACAATTTCCATTTTAATCTCTATATATTTTAATTGTAGGTTATAAGGTTTCTGGGTTTATTCTGATAATTCCTGCCTTGCTAAAAAATACCTTCATTTCCTCCATAGTAATATCTTATGGTAAGCCTTCAACATATACATTTGTATTTATTTTTGGTGTGTACCATTAATTCTTTTTTTTTTCTTTTTCTTTTTGTGATTTTTTTCTATTCTTCTCTATTTTTTTCTTTAAAATTTCCACTCTTTATTCATCATTCAATTATTAGAATGATTCATCATCTTCCTGCTCTTCAACCTCTTCCTCTTTTTCTTTTTCATCCTATTATTAAATTTGCTATCCTTATTATTCTTCTGCTTTTATATCTTTACCACAAGTAATTTAAACCATTTCATGCTCTTATTCATCTAAAAAGAATTTTAACTCTTCTACTAAAAATATTGGTTTCCAATCAGTGAATCCTTCCTTATAAACGAATGTATCTAAATGTTAAGGTTATCATTTACGCGAAGTTATGATACTAGTTCTTAGCATAACATCAATATCCCTTACTGATATAGGTCCTTTGGTTTACTTTTCTGGCTCTTATTCGTTTGTGTCTACATAATACCATATTAATTCGTCTTCCATTTTAATAAAAATATTATTATTAAGTATTATTAAGATAATTAATAAAGAAATAATCGAAAATCAAAGTAAGACCCCTAATTTACCCAACGTTTATAATTCTAATTATTTATAATAGAAATTTTAAAGAGCATATTTAGTTTTATTTGGATATTATATATAATTATCGATATATTATTATTGTTTATCACTCTGAATCTATTAATTCAAATGATATCATACTATTTTCAATAATTTATTCAGCGACCCTATTAGGACAAGAGCATATTAAATTTAAATTTTAATTAAGTATAAAATCAATCAAAATATCATACAATTAAATTTATTTGAACAGCATTTTTATTCAATTTCATTTTCATTCTCAAGAATCGTTTAGAATTAACGTTATTTATTATTCTCTTCTAATTATTAAAGACCTACAGATTCAGTTTTATACATATTTAAATCATTTTTTTTCACGTTCTCAAATTCGGAATCTCCTTAACCATTAAGTACCTCTATTTCCTCCTAAATTAATTAATTTCCATTTTCTTCATGAACCAAAATTTTAAGATGACTACTGGAAGTTGCAGACTCTATCGACTTTTTCATACTTGTTGTCTTAGAGTGTTAATGTGATAGTCTCCCTAGTGATGAAAATTTTCTTAAATTTCTCCCCTTAAAATCTTATAGTCTCCTTAATCCGTATTAGTAGTCTTCGTAGCAATCATAGGTAACATGTTTCAACAATTCAGACACTTATGGTATCTGGGGAGGCCTAGATTAATCTATAAATGTGATACCAAAAGTTGTTAACATTTGAACATTCTCCATTATACTTTTCTTCTAATTGCTCTTTCAAAATGTATTATTGCAAATCATCTAGGTTGTTTATCAATTTAATTTTAGAGTGGATTTAGGTTTTGTTAGGGATGTAATTAAGAATTTGTTAAAAGTTTAATTGAGAATTTACGATAAGAAGATTATTTAAATTTCCACAAAAATTAATCATCAACTCCTTAATATTCTCGAAATTGAACTTCAATTATAAATAAGTCTTACATCAATTTCATAAAAATTGTATTCCTGATTTTGGCAATCGTAAATAATCGTCCAATTTTCAACAAAGTAAGGTATCAATACCTATCGCTTCACTGTTTCCAGTAAGTATTAAAAGGTTAAAAAGTTCTCATTTTCAAGATGCTTTATTATTATGACTGGCCTTGATTACTTATCTATTCCAAAAATATAAAAGTCTCCACTTTTTAATTGGTTAATGTTTGGTTCCAAGTTCTAATATAGATTCAACCAACCTAGATGAATTTATAAATTCTCTAAATATTTATTTTGAGGTACTTATAATGCCCCTTAAATAGAAAAATCAGCCGATATAAGCATTTTCAAATAGTCACTTGTCTTCCACGAATTGGGCAGAGACACTTAAATCTTTGATTTGAAATCTTCAATCGATTTGATTTCATATTCTTCGTAATCAACTTTTTCATAAATATTTCTAACTATCATTCCTTCTGTTCCAGATTTAATATAGAATTCTAGATTTTAAATCTTATTACATTACTTGAGTGTTTGTTAAGGAATTACTAACTCTTGGGTCTCAAATAACTTATATCTAGATACATGTATATAATTAATATATAAAGTTTATTTTAATTTTTAAATAATAATTCACTTAATCAAATTATGATTATTACAAAAAGCTGCCAGACAATATCAAATGTAATTCAAACTGTATTACTCAATTAACTAATAATATTCTAAATAATAAAATTGCTCTTACTTGAATTTCCATCAATGTAATTATAAATGAATATTGACAAAAACTTGAAAATTTAGCTCATTAAATAAACTATTCTATTCTAAGTAAAGATTTTAAGGATAGTGAATAATGCTTAATTAGAATTGTAGAATATATTTATTATTATTATTGTGTCATTATTTTACTGAAATTGGCATATAAATAGAATTTATAATATTTTATAAAAGTATATCAAATAAGCAATTTTGATGTATTTTTAAATATAAAAATATAATATTAATTTAACTAGTATTTTATTCAAATAACTAACTAATAAATTTGAAGGAGAATTTATTTAAATTAGCTAAAAGAGATAGAATCATCATATTGTAATTTGCATAATGAATAATTAAACAGCGATTAATTAAGTAAAATTTTATGATATGTAAAAGAAATCTCAGAATAAGTAAATTAGATTCAATAAATTTATTTATTGCAAACTCATATTTTGAAGTGTTTACACACTTTAAAATTCATAATTTAAAAACTATGATTATCCTTTCTATAATAATTAAATAAATTCTATTTCAATAATTACATGTCTATTTCTATAAAACGATTAAAACAATTATTATAAAATAATATAAGCAATAAATTTTATAAATGATTATGAAAATGATATTTCTTAGATATAAATTTTATAATAATTTATACATTACACCATATTTCCTTTAATATACCATGCTTCTTCCAGACTGATTTGAAAAATTCGATTTCTTCAGCACTATCAACAATAATTTCACTTTTTTATTGATAACCTGTGATTTCAGTGTCTAGAACTGAATGTTTTCCATTGAACGATTTTCATTCAGCCTTCTCTATTAAGAAGGATAGTGAGGCACATTTATAAAGATATTGGAAGTTTCGAAGGATTTTTTGCATTTCCAAAACATGAAAAGATTTCAACCTCCTTTAAGAAGATTTAGCAAATATCTGTAAAGTTGAATATTTATAAATATTATAAAATTATTAATTAATTCATTCTTATGGATTCTGATTATGATGATTAATTAGATGGTAAATTTTGAATTTGCTTCAATTTTAGTGAGAATAAAAGATTTGTTGTTATATGCATATATATGAAATTCAAATTAAATTGTCAATTGCTTTACAATATATTTGTCGCTATATTAAATTTTATGTATCCAAATGCAATTATTATAATCTCAGACATCAACTCAATTTTAGTTTTTTGATCAATAATTTAAAGATTTACTAGTATCTTTTGTTTTTAAACTAAATTAAAAATTTAATTAAAATCTATTTCCTCTTCTTTTCCAGACAAAATCCATTTTGGTAATTTTCCTTATTCTTTATAAATTTTTCCATGCTTTATCATTTGAATTTTTCCTTTCACTCAGCATGCTTCCAAAGCCATAAGTATTCGTAAGATTATCGATACATTTTGCATTTTTAGTTATTGTCTCTTAGAGTTATCTAATATTTTATGAGTAATTGTTAAGAATTCTTCATTATTTTCATAGAATCCATAGTTATCTCTTTATATTCAACCAATTGATTATAAGAACTTAGGGTAGTGAATACATTACTCTCCTGCAGTTCTTCTTATCTGTATCTAAAAGTTTATTTATTTCTTCAAAATAAACTCACACCCTCTAGAAAGTTCAATATTAGCTGTGAGTAGTCCTTATTATTATCTATATATACTAATAGGATGTTCAAATAACATTTAATGGAGAGCATCGGATAGCTCATTGATAATTTCGACAGTCCTGATTGCTTTTACGCTTTATATCTTTATTTTAGCATATCTCAATGGTAGATTATCTTGAGTGGATCGGTGCCTATGATTTCATCTGCCAATTCACCAGAATAATCATTTGAAACTACTTTTAATCCAATGTGATGTTCTGTAGCATCATTTGCTTGTATTTAAATGGGAGTCGTTAATTGAGGGCATCAATCAGAGCAAGACCCCATTCTGGGAATTCTCTATCTAATCAACTTAATTTCTCAATCGTGTTCTCTATACATAGGCAAATTGCATTTAAAACTATGACTCTTGTTTGCATATCAATTTCGGATCCCATAATTTCGAATGCTTCTCTGCCTCTATAAAACGTATACGGATCGTATCCAAAAAATACTTATATGAGCTGTGTCACACAAGAAAGCCCTGGCTCTACTGGTTCCATCAAACCTGCAAGTCCGGTTGAGGCTATTTGATTCATAGTCTTAATTTCAGCTAATTGAAGCTGAGTCTTAAATTCAGTCCCTGAAGTAGTAGTTGAGTATACCAACATCAGCAACGCCATCAATTATTACTAAGAGTATCTTCATAAATTAAATAATAATGAATTATAGCAGATCATATTAAGCAATGAGATAGTCTGGATAATCTGGGGCATTTTAAACAACATAATATGAAACCTAATAGATCCGTTATAAGGAAGAAACCATTTAAGTGACTCCTCAATAAGCAAATTGGGCTTCAACATAGTTACTTGGAAAAGTTGATGATAAAGATTTCATGGTTGTTCAGCGTACTAAAACTTATGAGAAATCAGAGGCAGAAAGACAACATCATTATGAAGAGTTGATCTAAGACAATTTAAGAATGAGGTAATTAAAATGCACATATTTAGAGAAGTCATCGAGTAATTAAAGAGGGAAGTAACCACTTATAAATCGAGTTCTAGCTCTGACGTGACCATTCTTAGAAAAGAGCTTTTAATTACATAATAAGAATTGGAGGCCACTTAGAAAGAATTAATGATGTTAAGAAGTGAAAGTGAGTTAAAAAGCAGACAAGAGATAGATAAGTTAATGATTGAGATTGAGTAATGGAAACGTAAATATTCCGAACTTGAATAAAAAGATAAAGACAATGCTGAATAATTAAAACAGCTAGCGTATTATTAAAATAAATTAAAATTATTTGAATTAGAAGCAAAAAAGAAATTTGAAAAATATCAAAGTGTTGATTTGATATCATAACAATTAAGTGATTAAGAATCATTGATTGAAGAATTACGATTAGAAATTCAAAGATGGAGGGAAAAATATGACGCTGCTATTATGGAAAGTTAAGAAATAAGAGTGAAATTATCTCAGAATGATAAAGTAAATACATTGGAGGCAGATATAGAAGCATTAATTCATGAATTGGGAGTATGGAAGGATAGATGTAGAGTATTAGAAGCACGACATTAAAATTCAGAAGAAGCGAAGTTATTGGCAAGAATAGATTAATTGAATCGTTTATTAGGAGAAAAAGAATAGGATATGCAAAGGACTCGTCTTACTATGAGTTAATAAATGACATAGTAAATGAATATGTAATAATCATCCAAAATGTCTCAACAATAATAATAAATTGCTGAATATGAAAGTTAATTAGATTTATTGAGAAGGTAATTGGAAGCTGCACAATCTAAAATTGATCAACAAAATCAGGAGATGGAAGGATATAGATTATCAGCTAATGTCTATAATTCAGAAAGATTTGAAGAAATAGAATAAGAAAAGTGGAAATTAGAAATTTAAATTGAACAATTAGAAAAGGATTGTGATACATTTATTTTGAGAATCAAAGAACTTGAAGAAACATATTCAGAATTATCAATTAAATATAATGAACAAAATGCAAAATATCTTAGATACAAAGACATTGTAGATTCAAACTCTTCAAAATATAAGAGCGTTGAAAATTTATCTAAAGAATTGTAAAATCTTTAATAAGAACTTGAAGTTTGGATGAATCGTTACTTTTAGACTGAAATTAGGTTGAAAGAATATGATTAATTGAGAATTGAATATGATGCTTTGATCAAGTAGGGAAGTAAATCTGTTACTAATGTAACAACTATTAACATTGAGAATGATATCCAATACATTACTTTGAAAAGGGAAAGAGATACCTATTAGAGATAAGTTTAAGAATTAGAAATGAAAATCAGAGAGTTGCAAACAACTTCTATTAGAAATTCATAAGATGATTCATTGAGAAGAGAAAGAGATAATTACTATAGACAGATTTCAGAATTAGAATTAAGAATCAAAGAATTGTAATCTCAATAATTTTCAACATAATAACTAAAATCAAGTTATGATGATTCAAAAGTTAGAGAGTTGGAAGCAAAACTCAAAGAACAATAGAATAGAATATCAGTTTATGAAACCAGAATTAGAGAATTTGAAATAAGAACTAAGGAGTATGAAACTAGGAATACTTAATCATTAATTGAAAAAACTGTAGTACTTACAGATGAACCAAAAATCAAAGAGTTAACTGAGATTATTTAATAAAAGAATTAAAGAATACTTGAATTAGAAATGACTTTAAGTTCTAATTCAAGTTCTGTTAATACAAACACTGTGTTGGTAATAAAGGAACAGGTAAGAACAAAAGAATTAAGAATAAGAGAACTAGAAACCTAAATTGAAACACTCTAATTAGAAGTAGAAAGATTATAAAATATTAAAAGAGACCAAGAATCTAGAATCAATATCATGATTTAAAAGGTATAGAACTATTATTATTATTTAGATTACTGAATATGAATCTCAAATCAATATTCTATAAGAAGTTAAATTAAGATAATCTAAAAGATCTCCTACATAACAATAACAATAATAATAAATTACTACCTCATCTACTGTTATTCAATAACAATAACCCATTGTTTAAACTACAAGTTATGTTTAATAGAGTACAACATCTAAGATTTATCAATCCTCTTCATAAAATCTACCTTCACCCACTCCCATTTCTTAGAATTACCAATATTAACCAATTTAGAATAGTACAACAACAACAACCAAATAAGTGATCATCACTAATGATTTTGAGAAGTAATGTATAAATCTATCTTAGAAATTTGTATCCAAAAGAAGATAATGTGTCCTCACAAATTGTTGATAGGATTGGATCTAGAGATTATACAAATTATTAAGCTCCTTAGATAATTGTTACATAATACAAACCGACAAATTGAATAAATAATAATATTGTTATAATTTGTGTCAACAACATCCAGTATCTTTGACTGTATTCTATTATTGATCTGGAGTGATACGAGGTCCTGTTTTTATTGGAACAGCCTCGCTACCCTTTGCAACCTTTGCTTTGATTTCATTTGCTAGTGTTATGAAAGCTTTCTCAACATTTGATGAATTCTTTGCAGAGGTTTCTGTCATTATTTTCATAGCTACCTATAAAACGTATGTTCAAAGAATCAGCAAGTTCTTTCCCCTCTTCGAATGTAACTTCTCTTTTGCTTTCCAAATCAACTTTATTGCCTACCAGCACTCTTACTACATTCTCGTTTGCATATTTTTCCACCTCTATTTGATTAATTGAATATTGTTACCAGCTAACCAATTTTCCACATCCTTGAATGATTACTTATCAGTCACATCATAAACTAATATTATTCCATGAGCTCCTTTATAATAAGAATTTGTTATTGTCTTGAATCTTTCTTGCCCTGCAGTGTCCCAAATCTAAATTTTGTTTTAAAACTACCTACAACTTTACTGTCTTCCCATTCAAATCAAAAGTACGAATTTTGAAATCTACACCTATGGTAGGCAAGAAACTCTCGTTGAATACATTATCAGCAAATCGAAGTAACAAAGACGATTTACCTACTGCTGAGTTTCCAATTAAAAGTATCTTGAAAAGGTAATCATATTCCTATTACATGCTCATTTTTATATTTAAATATTATTAACACAGAATAGAACAGATTCTATATAAATATGTATATAATCAAATCAAAATGATAAATTTATTTAAGTATAATTCTATTGATCAAATACATCTTTTTAAAATTTTATATTATTTCATTTTCTACAAATTTGGAAGATCTATCTTCACACTATGTTTATAATAACAATCATAATGATAATTTCATCATTAATCCTAGACAGTTTCGAAATTTATTAAGCTTTCACTATTTTTGGATGGCTTAATTCTATTTCTAAAATAACAAACTTCTAATTAAGAAATATTATTTATAATTATTGAAATAATTATTACAACTTTATCATTTTGGATACAATAATTGAACACTTATTTAAATAATAATTAGATTTCTTCATGAAAGTTTAAATTAAATGTAAAAATTACATTAATATTATGAATTCAAAGAATTCAAAAGTACTAAATCAAGCATTGAGATTATTCTAATCGGCTTAATTTGAAATTATGTTTTGGATAAATAAAAAATTATTTATATAATTCATTGTAATTTTTAAGGACTTAAGCTATCCGCTCTTTGATTTCTACTGAACTTACTTTTTTTCATTTAATCATCTTTTTAAGTTTTTAAAGTAAAACTAGATTATTTCTTGAGTTTCCCGTAGTTTTATTTATTCTGATTCTATTGTTAAGGATCTGTGTCAACATCTTGAGATTTGATTTTGACTTCTTTCACACTATTTTCAAATGACAACCCCTTTTCTGGATCGAAGCGAGGTGATATTGAGACGTATGAATTAGTTTTATTTTTTTTATCCGAATTCGATGTTTGAGATGTGAAAGAGGATTATCGACTAAGATTTGCTGATTTATTCATTCCGATTGCCGACTATTTCATAATTAAATAACTAATATTAATTATTACGGATTAATTTTCCGATATAAATAATCAATTCTCAAAACTTTTAAGCATTTTAAATACTGTATAAAATCATTTTATATTTATTTAGAACTTAATTATAAGTTATTTTAAAATAAAACTTTGAATTAAAATGAAAAATGTATTGGCTTATAAATATATTTAGTTAAATTAAAAAAATAGTTTGGAAATTAATATATTTAAATGTAATTATAATATTATTATCATAAAAATACCTTTAAAACACCAAGCATTTTAGAGTTTTAATTGAAATTGTATATCTTCATTTTGATTAACTTTCTATCAAACTCTAATTCAAAATTATAAAAATTGCTAGCATTTTAAAGACACAATTTGTTAATCAGCTTAAATTATTTAAATTCATTATTTGGAGCTTTATTGAACTTAAATATTGCTTAATAATATTGTTGTAGATCCTAAATTAATTTTAAATTAAAATTTGTTTTATAATTTAAGCTGAAGGAATAGAAGATTTATTTATAATTAATATTATAATTTATTACAAAATCTTTATTTAAAATTGAAAATTCAGATGAAATCTAATTCTAGTGTTGGTCTAAATTTACTTAATAAAAATTTACTTTTCCTAAATTATTTTGATAAGTTCAGAAATATTAAGAAAAATTTGGCATCAGCATCCTCAGTTTATTATCTATAGAGATTATTAAGATAGGATGCGAATTATCTCTAGTTCCTCAAGGTTGAACTAATATTTAATGATTGAGCTAATACTAATACAATAACAAATTATTATAGACAACTCTTAAAGTCAATATTATTTGAATTAGAAGTTTCACATAAGATGATTATTTTGCTACTTTATTTTCATAATCATATAAATAATTGGTCTTGAATTTGTTTTACAAATCCTTTTGGAATTTGTTATTATTTTTATGAACTATAAGTTGGCTGACTTCATTAGCAATTACCTCAATGAATAGAAACTATTGACTGACAAGTATACACGACTATTCAATCAGATCAAACAAGGAGATAGCAGTTTGAATAGAACCAGTAGTTCACTTTTAAATCTGAAAAAGAGGTCTCAAAACTAAGATTTTTTGTATAATTCTAACAAAGAAAAGTCAAATTGTTAATATTGTGGAAAATAATATACGAGCAAACTACCTTTGAGGAACCATATTGAGAAGTTTCACCTTCAAGATAATTATACATCCAAAAATGAAGTTTCAACAAAATAAAGCACACCTTATGAAGATTATGATCAAAGGAAGCAAGAATATTCAAGGGGAGAGGAAAGCTCAAATGAAGCAGATGAAGAGTTGAGATAAAAACTACTTAGGAATGTACAAGCTATTGAGAGAAGGGAAAATGGTGGCTAATAGGTGACTGGGAAATAAGACCAGGAATTTATTATCAGTGGATTGGATTCAGATTCAAGTTCAGATGAATAATGATTAATTAATTTGAATTTTGCAATCTTAATTACATAGTTTAATATTATTAAAAATTGGGTAATGCCACATTTATACTATTATAATTATAAATATATTCATTAAAAAGTATAACTTATGGATCAAGCAAATAAGCTATAATACCAATAATAAGTAGAGAAATACTTAGAAGGAAATAAGGTGTACAGCATCTTTGAAGACTTACTCAAATCTCTTATTATTAAAAAACCCGATGATCCAATTGAATTCCTAATCAATAAATTACAAGAACCAGAAAGTACTATTCAACATTCATTAAAGCAAAAAAAATATTCATAATTGGACCTCCTGGATCCAAATTACTTGAACTTTCCCTTACACTTGCTGAATACATGAAATTCCATTGTGTTTCCCTTGGTGATTTAATCAAAAAAGAGTTAAGCAAGAAATCCGAATTAGTAACTACATATTCTATCTATAGAGTTAATAAATTTAAGATTCTTTGGATAAGTTTCAGTATGTGAACGATGAAATTGCTATCAATATTGCTTTAAATCAAATTTAGCATTTGGAAAATGAAAAGAAGAGCTATATTTTTGAAGGGTTCCCTAAAACTAGAGTCTAAGGCTTAGCATTTTAAAAGGAAGGAATCATTCCTGATGCCTTTCTCATATTGGAAATGTCAGAGGAGCAGATCTATCAATGTTGTCTCAAAAAATTGGACACAGAACCATTCAACAAACTAAGTTAGAAGGAAGAATTAGCAAGAAATCATTCATTAGAATACCAGTTGAATCTTAAATAAGTTAAGGAAATCTATAAAAATCAGTATTTCTCTGTTGATGGAGAAAAACACTATGAACTCGAAGACATGGCAGTATTATATATACATAACCTTATTGTAGTAAAGACTCAAATATAAATTATATAACAATGCACCAACCAGAGCTGGAAGAATACTTGTCATTGGACCTCCAGGATCAGGTAGATCTACTTTAGCTAAACATTTATGTGCAAGATATGGATTTGTCTACATCTCAACAAGAGAATTAATATCAAATTTGGTTAATCAAAAAGGGACTACTGGCAAGGAAGCCTTCGAAAAAATTAATAAAGGAGATCTAGTAGATGATAGAATTATCAATGCTCTCATTAAGGAAAGAATAAATTAGACTGATTGTTAATTGTAAGGCTATGTACTTGATGGATATCCTAAAACCTAATAATAACTGGAAACATTAAATGAACTCAACATCTAGCCCACTTTAATTGTCATTATTGATGCTACTGATGACATCGTCTTAAGGAGACTAACCTAGCGTAGGACCGACCCTATATCTGGAAGAATCTACAATTCTATTGATGAAGCAGATAGAGAGGTCAAATCTAGATTGATAATAGCTCCTAATGAAAAAAGAGATGTTGTGCAATTAAGGTAATTTTTAATCGCAATTCATTTAGATTGAAAAGATGGGAGGATTTGAAATAACTAATTGATGGAACTGTAAAATATGCTTCAGTCATTTTCAAGACTTCAGGAGATGCTCCAATAAACAACATTATTGAATAAGTCTGTTATCATTTAGAGAAAATGAATTGATATATTTGTTAGATTATTATCATAATAATTTCTTATAAGGATAAGTTTTGTTATCGAATATTTTCAGTATTAATTATTATATTTATAAAGTGAATTTTAGGAAAAGAGTTTATTCAGATAATTTAAAATGTGTTGTTGTATATGCTATGAATTCTATTTACGTTCTTTTCTATCCTAAAAATAGATAAAATAAATTATGATTACATGTGACTACATTTTATTTAATACTCTGTAAAGATACCTTTATTTTAAATATTAATAAAATGAACCCGATTAAAATATAGTGTGCCATTATTCCTCTAGATAAAAGCATTAAAAAAAAGAAAATAAATTCTAAAAACAAAGACTCATCTCAAAATTCAATAGTTAAGCCAAAAGAGTTTGTGACCTCATTTATATTTCCAAAAAATATTAACTCGAGACAATACTTTAGAACCAAAGAAAATATACAATTTGCCTTAACCACATTCAATGAGAACACACTCGGAGAATTAGGGATCAATATATTCAGTATCGGATACTCTGTTAATTAAACTGAAGTCAGATAGGAGAAGATGGAATATCATTTTCAAGTGAGAGACTTTGAATTAGCTGATATATCTACAATATATCAGATGTTGAAATTAATGAAAATGGAAAAGGCATGTACGAATTTGAGCAAATACCTGTAAAGATATGAGTAAATCTCATCAATCCCCTTTTCTACATAATTCGAAATAAATTAAGTGGAAGAACTTGCTTCCAAGTATCCCTATGAATGCTATACATTTCGACATGAAAGAGATGAATCTGTGATACTAAAATATACTCATAATATAAAATTTCTCCATTTGATGGGTATTACAATTGACATGATTGAGGAGTATTTGAGAGAAACAAAAACACTTCCATGTGCTATTAGAGTCAACAATTATTTATAAATTTGGAATTAGGTATTTGAAGCTGTTTCTAACGACCAATAAATATTTGAAATGGAAGTGTAAAATTTTAATGGAAAAATATTCTATGTTAAAATTAAATAAGTTCAAATTTTTATAGAATAGGAAGGAAAACTGTATGGTTATTTATATTGGATATACCTAACTGATACAAACTAAAATTTAGCAATCTAAAATTATGAAGCATCATTAGAGAAGCTTTATCCAAAACCAAAGGAATGCCTTTACAAATAAATAAAATGATATTTTGTTTAAACTATATTTAAAGTTGATATTAAATCCCAATTTATTATAAAATAAAGTAATTAACGAATTTTATAATAATTGTTAGAGAGCCCATCACGTTTTTAATTTAACACCAATTCATTTCTCTGCTTATTTTTTAGCCATATTCTTCTAATGCTCATTCTAATTTTATAAAGTTTCGATTAAAATAATAGTTGAAATTATAAACCTCAAATAAATCAATTAAGTTTACTATTTAATGAATTATACTTTCTTTTAATAAAACAATCTATAATCATTTCAATTGATCAAATAATGACTTCACTTTCATATCCATACTATATTTTGGTATTTATATATATTTATTGATAAATAATGTAAATATAATATATATTTATATTGAGAATATATAAGAGAAATGTAAATTGCAGTATAGAATCAAAGTAGACATAAAAATTAATAAATATGTAAAAATAATAATAATTATTATTATATGATTATCGATTTTAACATTTTGATTTTTTTTATAATTTATATATTATGTCCAACTTGAAATCACTTATGAAAATGTCTCAATCATAACTTGCTTCTAAATGCTTGGCTCTAGAAGAATTGTTGGAGAGGTACTATTAATTTGAAACAGCCTATTACGACTTACAAAGCAAATATCAAATCTTATTAGATAAATATGAGAGCATTTGTAAAAAAGGCTAGTAAGCAAAGGACATTGATGTGTCTGAATGGCAATTAAATAAGAAAAACCAATCTGAAAATGAAATTGGAGACAGAATTGAAATTTATGCTTTGGAGGATATTGAAACAAAGCATTTTATTTAAAGTCTTTAAGACTAAAATTTGAGAATGTAAGAATAATTAAAATAAAACTAAATTGAATTTGAAATGTTGAAATTTAAGTAAATACATAAATGATATAAGATTTGATCAAACACACTCCTCTCCAGAATTAAATAATTAGGAAGGTATCATATCTACGTTGAAGAGTGAAATAAGTCGGCTTAATAAACTAGTAAATGAAATTAAATATTCCAGGTTTCATCGCTCAGATTAGATGTCAGTAATTTCAAAACAAGAGAAGTCGATGAAAATTGGCTCAGGTAACAATTGAATAATGAATAATTATTGAATCAAGAAATAATATTAAGTCCCTAATATGAATCAAATGAAGTAGCTGAGTTTTGAGTATTTTAATATGTTTACTAAAGATATTTTTGTAAATCACTCCAAAATCATCTTTTGAGGATTATTTGATTTAGTAATTACTTTCATGATTCAAAGTATAGTCTTTAAAGAATAATATTATTTTTACCTATTTCAAAAGCTTAGTATAAATAATTTAAAGCTCTTTGTGGCTGATTAAAATTTTAAGGATATATACATAATTATTTAGAGTTTGTAACTGATTAGATGGATAAAGATGAAACAAATATTGAGCATTTTGAATGTTTCTCATATTGTTTGCTGAAGATTTGATATTGCTTTTATTTAGCAAATCTAAAGTTATTGAAAATAACAATAGATGAATAGTGAAGATTAGATTTGGATAACAATATTTCTCTTTGGTTAAGTCAGATTAAGAATCTAGTATTAATTTCAAGCGTTTGAATGATAGATATGATGAGACTAAAATTATTGTAATTAATTTTAATTAATATCATTGGTGTAACCGACCAGAAGCTAAGCTCAATAAGGGTGGGGGAGGCGGGATTTCGTCTTTGATTTTAATTGAAAGTGGTTCCTCTTTGATTTTAGTTGAATTTAGAAATAGATTTTCATTTATATTCGAATCGCAGAACTCCTAATTATTCAAGGGTGTTTATAAATAATTTTATTGACCTTATTATTACGGGAGATTTTATGATTGTGAAAATTGCATATATAATCCTGAAGCATTCATAAAAGCCTATTGTTAAATGGATTGCTGAGTCTATTGACTAAATGTTAAAGGTGGTTGATATTGATGTTGTTATTACTAGATCGGTTTAACTTCTTGCTTTATCTATTTACCTTCTTAATTATTGTAAGCTGGAGAAATCTATATTATTTAATCTACTAATGCATTGTAATCCTGTTGAAACTCTTATTTCCCATCTTTTTGTATTCTCATTAATTTATTGTACAATTTATTCAAGACTCTGGGTACTATCTTCAATGCACAATTCAAATGTTTCTACCGCCACAAATCTAGTAATTGTTTCTTAAAGCTATAATAAATTTAATTGTGTTTTTTACTCTCTTTAACAATATTATTGAATATGATCTGTTATTAAGATTATTTCTTAATCATTGGAATCGTTGAAAAAACATTTGATTGTATATCCACAGCAAATAAGAAACAATAATAATTTTTTGAACCCTTCTACATTCTAATTCTAATTTAAATTATTTTATAATTAATTACTTCCTAGTTACTCAAGAAATCTGATTTAAAGTAAGGCTAGAAGTCTGAAATCAATTAATCCTCGTATCTCCATTTCTATTCTTCGATTGTGTGCAGAAAGAATATGATTTCTAACTCATTAAACATAAACTTTTTTGCCACACCTCTTAACATTTTAAATAATGGATATTGAGTGGCTATAGAGGCTGCTGTGTCTAATTGTGAAAATCTGCTCAGCAACAAATTCTAAATAAGAGTAATCTTCATTCGCGTATCTTATACTCCTGGAATCGTATTCCTTTTACAGCACTTATTTAGGTTTCCTCTATTCAACCACCTATATTTAAATACTCAAGTGTTACTTCTACGCTATTGAATAGACTCGCACCCAACTCTGAGTTCTAGGACATTACTATCTTTTTTCTCTATATTATCATCCACATGATATCCATGCTGAATTTGTCTGGAATAATCGCTAACTATATATGTCAAAATTTTGTTTGTTCATCTAAAAATTAAATGCATAATAAAAATATATGGTCAGGTATGAAAGGATGATAATAATTAATTAATTTACCTATGCTATCTGAGGAACTCTTAAAGGAAATGATCAGAAAATTAAATAATAATATTGAATTCTAATTATCTCTCTTTTATAGATACATTAGTAGAATATTAAACTTCTCATTTCACACTTAATTCAACTGTCGAAAAGCCTAAGATTCAACCAATTTTAATTTCTATGAACATTTTATCTTTTATTCCCATCGAAAGACCTTTTTCTATTATTTACATTAAATTCTTGTATTGGATTAGAAAATGTAATATATACTTAAAAATCAATTATAATATTGATTCTTATCTATCTACATTTTCTCATATTTCAATATCTCCTCACTAATTACTCAATGCAATAATGATAAAATATTTACAATTACTTTTATCATAATTAAGAACCAAAAATAGAATTATTTTTAATTCTATTCCACTAAGGTATGAAAACCTAAAGTTGATTTTAAGTAGTACATTCCTGATGACATGAATCATAATAAATAAGCTTACATATTATATTATTTTTTTGTTAGATAGAAATGTATAAATTACAAATCACATTTATTCAACCCTACGCTCTTCAGCTTTGTTAATCTCTTCTTGGATATCATTTTTTGCCTTTAAGCCCTTAGTAAATGTTCCCATGGCTGTATCTAACTATTTGTATAATATAACCATTACTTCATTTAATCTGTCTATCAAATTTTACTATACAATATCGTACTCTTTCGAGTTCTGCACTAATTTCTATAATGCTTCCCTTTCTTGATCGCTTTAAACTTAAACAGGTTACTATTCTTAATAGAATAATATTATGATCTACAATTGATGTTTGGATTTTTTGGATCTTAGTTTGAACCCATATATGGTTGTTAGACTTAGGGTTAGTTTTAATTTTGGTTCAGTTCTTATTAAGAATATTTTGCATCAGCAGGTGGTTTGGCTGAATTTGATCCCATCTAGAAAATAATATATATTTTATGAAATTAATAATATAAATTGTTAATTTTTTTTAGTTTAATATAGCAAATTATTTAAAATTTCAAGTCATTATAATTTTTGAGGGTCTAAAATTTAAAAGGGTTTGTCTAAGCAATTCCTAATAAATTATTCCCAATCTTGTGGTTTTATTTTGTTTTTTTCTACTTACCTCCATAAAATAGACACTGGAATTTTTTATGCTGGATTAGATTGAGGATAATGTAATTTAAGATTTAGAACCTTCGAATAGAAACATCTCTAAGCAAAGGATTTTGGATTAGAGTATTCATCAATACTTTCGGCGTATTGTTCACTAATATGTGTCAAAATTTCACTCTTTTAATGTTATTATGTTTATCCAAATTGAGATACAGGACTATTCTGAGAAAATTTAGTAATGTAAGTCATTCTCGGATCTGGTGATTAACAATAATCAAGTTTGTTCAAACGATTGAATACTTAAGGTGATGATTCCAATTTATTTTGTATTAAATTTTTTAAGTTGTTATTACTAGTTGATAAGGGTGAATCTGTGGTATTTTTGAAATTATTTGAGATGATATTAATGTTTTATTGAGGATAGAATTGTTGTTGTGATTATGTGGGTTTGAAGACCTTAAGGTTTAATTGATTTTGAATGATACTCATCCTTTGCATAACAAGTGAATGTATTCTCTCAATGTATAAGGATTAATTTATAGATTGGCTAGGTTCCTAACTCAAGCTTAGTAATTCCTTTTCAAATTCTTTCAAAGAAGCCTCTTCTACGCATCCTATTGTGTTGATTTAGGAAACCAATTCACAAATTCTGCATAATCTTTGCATATGCTAATACGGTTTGTTTTATAAATTAGCTTTTAATTTGGATAGTTTGAAATCATTCTCTTCGAAAAATAGATTTGTTTCTGCATATTTAAGCACTTTGTTAGATACCTGATTGCAAAACTAAGCATGATAATCAATCTTATCGAAGGGTATAAACTCTTCACAATTAATACAAGGAGCCAAAAGTGAACTTTTCTCTTTAGTTCTGATCGGAACGGTTGAGCTTTTCTTGGATCGGAACATCTTAATAATATTAATGAATAAAATAAATGATATTTAGAACAACTCTTTTTTTTAAATGAAAAGGATTTTTAATCTAATTGTGATTGAATAAGGAGCCTATTAATATCTAATTTGGTTTAATCTTTGATTTTTAATATTCTAAACTAGCCATTTTTCTACCAAAATTATATTAATAATATTAAGGTTCAATGAGAATAATAATTATCCTATGAAATTCTGAATATTATAGATGTCTTTTCTTTCATATTTATAGCAGTAATGACAGTTATGAAACAACAAAAATTTAATGAATCTTATTTAATTGTGTTAAGACTTTTGCGGTTAGATACAAAATCTGATGAGAATTCTCATACCTCTACATTTCTGTAAGATTGAATTCAGAACCATGAATATTTAGACAATATTGATAATTTATCCAAATAAGATAAAACAATAAAGGATTATAAGTAAATTTAGAAAAAGAGTAAACATCATCTTTAATTAAATTTAAAATCATAAGCCTGAATTACACAAAGAGTAAGACAAAATCTTAAATTTATAAACAAGAATTACTCTATTATATCCTTTAGTATTTCAGATTTCAGAACTGAAACAGCATTATCAAATATTAAATAATGTTATTTAAACTTTTCTCTCAAAAAGAAGATACCTATTTAGAATTATCCTCATTTTTATGCCTTCATCTAAATTCCTCTGAATAAACTAAAAAATCAATATTATCTATCCAATTCATATGATTGATATAATATTATTAATCTCTATGAAATATTTAATATATGTTATTTATTTTAATTTTACATATATACATATTGAGCATATAGGCTTCAAATTTTGAAATATAGGGACTACAATAGAAATTATCATAAGTATGGAAATTAAATTACCTTAGAAATTAGTATAATTTGATTAGAATAATGATCAAGATATCTTTAATTAACTAGAAGAAAAAATCTCATTTGATGATATTAATTTGCCATTTCCTCATTAATGCTTCAATGATTATAATTATTTACACAATTTATTAGAAATAGATGATCCCTAACTCTAGTATTTAGTTTTAGCATCTGGGTGTGTGATTGAGCATTAATACTTTGAAATACGGGAAGGATTTACTTAGATTCAATAATAAGAGATAAAATTTGGTTATTACCTAAGATAGACCGAAGAAGAGTTGCTTGTTATGGTGTTTCGCTCCTTTTATCATAAGGCATTTCTAGCTCATTAATGCAAATTTGATGGCTTTAGCAATTAGTGCATAAAAGGAAATAATGATCATATATTATAACTTGGTAGCAGTTGCAGTACCTTTTATAGCGATATTTTCTGTGGAGAATAGAAATTTGACTTTTATGAAACTTTGTAAATTTTTATGAAAGAGTATCACATTATTGCTATTTTTATTGCATTTAAGTATTACGATCAGTTGATCAAACTTAAATAAGATTAAATTTATAGAGTTTAAATCATAGTCTCATCAATAGTATTCCTGCTTATCTCTAATTGGCAATTTCTAGCATTAGTTTCAATAATGAGAGCTTCTTAATAAATCAACATGAAAACTAAATTATTTTAATTAGAAAAGTTAATACTGTATTTAACTTTGTTTCAAATATATACTAATAGTTTTATTTAATTGGGGTCGTTTAATGTTGAAAGATCCATAGCCGAAACAATTATTTACATTTATGTAATTCTATTCTTGCTCTAAATCCTAAGTATCTTTGTTTTCAAAAGAATTTCATTAGTCATAATCATTTATTTGGTGCAATATTATTTTGAATACATCAAAGCAATGATAAAATTGAACACTTTAGTGGATAATAGTTTTAAATTAGGAATGGTATTCTTGAACATTTTGATAGGAAATTTGCAGGAATTAGACATATTAACTTTTATTCAATTTAAGGATTCAATATTGCATGTTCTATTAGGTTATAAAGTGTATTATTTTATTTATGTCTATGCTGCAATTGTTATTTTAATGTTATTAAATAATGGACATCAATAACTAAAATTACAGAATAAATCATAACAATATAAAAGAATCAGTTATCTATTTTAATGTTTTGCTTAAATTTAACTATCATTCCTTTATTTGCCTTTAGCAATAATTTTGGCCTTACTGAATAAAATTAAAAACTATCAGTACACAATCATTTGCTTGGAAAACTTTTACCTCTTTTGGATTTGTTTTTTTTATTTTCCAACAGATTTTCCTTTTTTCTCCTTAATCACAGGGCTTATCTCACTTTTACTGGATTCAAATGAATTATTTTATTATCTCTATGTAGAAATAAAGAATATAGGAAAAGAAATAAAATTTGAAGATCTAAAAATGGCTATTATCATATCAGATTTTACATAATTGCTTAAAGTGTGATTCATAGTAAGAATATATAAATATATATTTGTTAATTATATTTTATCGTTAATACTCCTATTCAAATAATATAATGTATAATTAAAATTGTTATTATTCAATATCAAATTATCAAGTGTTTCTTGTACCTCCATTTGCGGGATAAGTTTATATTAAAAAATGAAAAAACTTTAAATTCTTTCCATTATTGATGGATTCCATTAATTAGATGATAATACAAAGTCTAATTTTCCTTAATTAAAAATTATTCTAACAAATTATAAGTATGAAGATAAGATATTTATTGCTAGAAATTAAGTAGAGATAAAACAATAATAAGATTTTTAAAATTAGTAAAACAATATAAACTTAGAAATTCGCTGATTGTCAACAACAGGATTTAGATTGAATTAATGCCAAATTAAATAAGCCATAATTTAGTAGAATAAATTAAAATAATAAGTATTGAGTATTAGATTTAGAATGCTATTTATGGCATATGCATATAGATATATACATTGAGAGTATTACAATATTTATAAATTCATACTTTTTAAGAGAGTTTAATAAATGATTCTTAAAATACTATATTGCATAATGTTTAGTTTCATACTTGTTGTTTTAATAAATCAGAACATTACAATTAAGATGCTAATGTTGTCTCTTGAGCCATTTTTCAAAGCAAACTGCAATAGCTCCTTTGTCATTTCATCAGAATTCTTAAGTCCTTTAGTTAAGTCAATTGCTTTCTAAAGAAATTAAGAGTTAGATAAACTAATACCTAGTCATCAACAACGTCCCACAACCCATCAGAAGCCATGATTAAATATTTGCACTAGGGTGTAATTTCCTACACTTTTAAGTCAGGCTTAACAGAAACACCTACAGTTTTTAAATCTAGATCTCCAAATGCTCTGGTTACTGCTAATTGGCCCATCACTCTACCTCTCACAATTGTGCCTCCTTCCCGCCTTTAGAAAGCATAATTAAATCATTAAACTTTACTTAACTCTAACTTATTCCTCAGGGTCTATTCCTTTGTGATCGACAGTCATTCTGACTGCTTTGCCATCTATATTCATAACTGCTCTGGTATCACCCAAATTTGCAATATAACATTTTCTTTTATTATCCTCCTTTCTTAATAAAGTCAAGCAACAGGTGGCACCTATTTCTGCAGCCCCTACTAATTTTAATTAATCATCCACCTTTTTGAATATTAATTCAAAATAATCGTTCGGTTTCAAAGTATTAAATTACTTGAAATCCCTCAGAAAGGTCTTTAGTTATATTTAAATTAAGCTACTTCAGGCAGAATTTTAGTAATGTATTCTACAACATCAGTCCCTCCATGACCATCAAAAACTGCAAATAGACAAGTAGTGCCATCCTCAAAACAATTATCTTTATAATAATGGGCTGATCTTATTTAGAGTATTGAATACAATCTTCCATTTGATTTCGAATAGGATAGTTGGTATCTTCTCTATAAGCATATTCTGAACAGCAAGCTAGTTTTTACAAAAATTCTGACTTGACTTTACTATTAATCATTGATTGATAAATTAAATATTTGTTTTAATCCCATAATAAGAAATAAAAAAAGTGTTATTTATTATTAAATAATATTCTGCCTAAATATAATGATGATTAGAACCGTGTTTCACATGATCTTAATGATTTCACTCGTTTTACTGATACTAATCTATCTATTTATATAAATTATATTAAGTTGATGAAAAAAATTAACACCATCTTTCGAATGAAAGCAATGATTTTAAAATTCGTGACTGAAAATCTCTTTTTATGAATATTAATCTCAACCAATTTATTAAATTATTCTTTCGATAGTATCCACTCATTCATAACTTAATAATTTAATATAAACAATCTAGCATAAGTATTTATGTAAAGCTTATCTTTCATAAAATATAGGCCCTATTATCATTATTTTATCTACTTTTAATGATAATAATTATATATTAATTTAAGAATATTTTGTAGTATTCAAAATTAATCTTAGTATGCTCATTAAACGTTGTAAATTCTACTAATTTAAAATTTTATTTTCCTTAATTTTTCTAAAAACTTAAAAAAAAATATTAGGAATTAATTATTCCATAGATGACTCTGATCTAATGCATTCGACATTTAGATATGGTATTACTATATTTAACTAATTTTTAGCAACCAGAATTTCGAAATCATGCTCAATTAATAAACAAAGGTAAATGATATTTTTGATCGAATTGTCAGTCTATGAATATTTTAATCCATCAATTAAATTGATTGAAAGGAATAAATCAAATTAATTATCTACATTTTTAATATATTAATGATATTAAATGTAATGCATTTAAATCGTAACTGATTCTTTCTACTATAAATTATTATAAAATTAAATTACAAACTAATATTATTAATACAATATGGATCCATAAACCAAACCAGATTAAGTTTTAAAGATCTTACTCCTTGGAAGCCCTTGTGTAGGTAAATCAGCTATCTTTGCGAGATACACCAATAATGACTTTATTGAAAATTATAGTCCTACACCAGGTCTGGATTTTCAATAAAGGCTTATAGAATTGAATGGTTTAAAGCTGAAGTTATCTGTAATTTTAAGGATTATATTTAGATTTTGGACACAGCAGGATCTGAGGAATTTTTGGAGACAACAAGTTAATATCTTAATGGTGCTCATGGAGTCTTTATAGTCTATGATGTAACTAATAGGAAGTCATTTGCTAATTGTTCTAAGTGGATTTAAGGTTGAAGTTTAAGAAAATATTAAATTAGTGGTTGATAATTATCCAAATAAAAGAATAGTAAAAATGCTGGTTGCCAACAAATCTGACAATGAAGATAAGAGAGAAGTAAAATACGAAGAAGGATATGAATTCGCTGATGAAAAAGAAATGCCTTTTATAGGTATTTTAAAGTTAATTTATCTTAGAAACCTCTGCATTAAGCGGTAGTAATATTACACAAGCAGTTTAGAATTTGTCCACCTCTATTTTAGTAAAATTAGGAGTAATCAAAGAATAAGCAGCTCCATAAGACTGATTGGATCAGAAATGATAAAAGTGAATTCATTAAAATATAAATCATAAAATTGTTAGAAATTATAAAAAGGATAAAATAATTATCTTTCTACCTTTTATCATTATATTTCTTATAAAAGAATGATAATTTGTAATTTGATTCTAATTTTCTGCTTATTTAATAATTAAGTCTACATATTTAATAAGACTTATTTTATATAGACTATTAATTGTGTAAAATACTCTAAATTATTATATTTATAACAATTTTCTAAATCAAACGCATATTTCTATATATAAATTTTTATTTCTGAATCATGAGGTTATTCCACGGTTAGAAAATTAAAAATAATTGGATTAGGGAGTTTATCCTATAACAAATGTTATTTTCAATGGTGGAATATCATAACCTTTTTTAAGTTGCGGATTCAACTATAAATGGAGAAACGAAATGAACTAAATATATAGATCTTTTATCTTGAATATTTAGATGCAGTATAATTTTAGGTAAATTAAATGAATCATTATTTGATGATATAATTTAATGTATTAAACAGAATTTATTGATATTGATTAAATAAATATTATCAATTAATATTATTTTAAAATAAAAAATGAGCAGAAAGTAAACTCGTCCTCTCTTGGTGTAGAAACCCAAAAATGATGATTTCCCTTTTGACATCAAAGATGTTAATATTCACGAGATTAAACAAATAGATTATTTTAGAATGTACAATTCCTTAAAAATGGTATTGGAAAAGCTAATTGAAGAACAAGTAATCGTATTAATGTTATTTAAGCCCCTGTAAAAGAAATTACAAGCAAATATCGATATTGCTTTTAAAGTCTTTTTGCAAAAGGATCAAACATCAGGTTAATAGCAAAAAGCCGGAAAAAGAAATTAGTCATAGACTTTTCAAAAATAAGAAGTGTTGTTGGTAGTGGATAGTTTATCCCAGATGGGATTTTCGGAAAAATAAATAAATGAAAGGCTGTAAATGAATTCAGGGTCATCTCTGAATGGAATACATTAAAATTCAGAAATTCAAGAGGGGGATTAATAATCAGGGAAAAAGTAAAATAAAGAGAAGTTAAAGTAAGGATAAGTGATTGATAAACAAAAGCTGCAATATGAGCAATAATTCCATAGTGATGATGAGTCTGATCAAAATTGAAGGAATGAAATATTATGTTTTAATTTTCCTCGTATAAATAATAACATATATGCATGACAACAATTTAATTAATTAAATAGGATGAGTTTCTTTTTTAATTAGTGAAATTTCCAATCGCAAATCATTAGTATATTTATTAATATGGATTCTAAGTAATATTATGACACAAAAATGAATTATGAATCGATTTTACCTAAATACATTTTGGAGGAGGTTAAACAGAGGATACTCTAGTAATATGAGGAAATAGATGAAAAAAAAGTTAATCCACAGTTGATAGATGTGTACACAGAGATGATTTAATCAGATGATATTGTCAAGTAACATTACGGAATCCTTGCCATAAGGAAATTAATTAGCGTTGATCATAATCCAATAGATATTTCATAATCTATAATCATGAACAATTTGGTTCCAACATTGATATAAATACTTGATTAGAATTCCAATTAACTTTTCATATTTGAAGCCATTTGGATTTTAACAAACATTGTAAGTGGAACAACTCAGCAAACACAAGTCGTTGTAAAATATGGTGGCATACCAACTATATTAAAGCATTTAGATTCTAAACATTTATCCATTATAGAATAAGTCTGCTGGGCCTTAGGGAATATAGCAGCAGACGTTGAAGAATATCGAAGCTAAATAATAGGACAGGGAGGATTATAAAGATGTATAGAAATAAGTGAATAGCTTTAACTAAGAAATAATAAGTCCTTAATAAAGATATGCTCCTGGACTATTAGTAATTTATGCAGAGGAAATCCCAATCCGCCCATTGAAGTAATTCTATTAACTTAATATTTAGAAATATAAAAAACAATTGATCAAATATTTCTCGAACATTATTGACCAATTTGATAGTAATGACACTCTGACTGATGTTTGTTGGGCATTGCATTACATAAGCAATAATAATAATGGATTGGATCCACAATAGGAGTTTATCAATACAGGAATGGTTCCAAAACTTATAACATTACTTAGATCCAATTAAGGTAATCCAATAATATTTCCCTGCGTGAGAATTATAGGGAATATTCTGAGAGGATCTGATACCTAAAAAGATTACGTGTTAAATCTTAATATTCTGGATGTCTTTGCTCACCTTATGAAGAGTACTCAACTAAAGAGTCTAAACAGGGAGGTATTGATTATGAGTGTAACCATTAGATTTGTTAGTGCATTTCTAATATCACTGCTGGCAACTATTATTAGATAAAGAAAGTGTTAGACAACAATGATATCATGAAAACAATGTTCACAATGTTTTAGTCAGCGGTTCCTGAAGTCCAAACGGAAATTGCTTGGGCGTTTTCAAATGTCACGAAAGAAATAAAGCAGTAGGATACTATGAGATTGGTTGAAATGGGAACACTGGAGATATTTGCAACTACATTGAATCTTCAAAGAACCTAAACTAAATTGAAATGGGAAATTCTCGGATCATTAGATACTATATTTATCAATTGTAACCAAATTAATCGATTTTAGTACGCTAACTTTATGGGACAGAGTAGAAGTACATATCCGAATTCTTTAGGATACATGATCAAATATAAAAATGTGAATTAGAAAATTAAGACTAATCCGAACTTTATTTTGAATAATATTTTGATAGGTGGAAACAAGAACGCCAAAATTGAATGGCACTTTATGTATAATTTTTTTAAAGTTTCTAATATCATATTAATTGTCTTTGTTTTTGCAGTCTATGTACTATCTTATACAATTTGAAATGAACATAAATATTTATTAATCTAAAATATGGGATTCGGCACTAATCCACTTTAGAATTAGAACCACGAAGATAAGAGTCAATATGCAATCACTGGAAGACCTTAATAGAACGATGTTCATTCAATTTATGTAAAAGGATCTCAACCTTGGTGGAGAAGATGGTGGGCTACTCGTGACATGTTTTAGGAGCATCATTGGGAAGTTCTGTATATAATTATACATCATATATCGTTAGCACATGTGCTAAGTATGCTTACAAAGGAGCTCTTACTGCAATATTATTCGGAGCTACCTACTAATTCAAGCAATTATCAGTGAATGCATTGGCAATCAATAAGGGAAGAGTATTTGGAAGCAAAAATGGATTCACAGGTCCAGCTTTCATTGCCCTTCGATAAGCATCTAGACATGGAGCTCTTGGTGCTTTCTTTGGAGTTACTTACTTTTTCTGGTTTTATTAACTTGTTTGTTCAAGAGGTCATGAACATACACTTAGTAGATATATTTATGGTCATGCAGCTTATGGAGCAGCATTGGCAGCATTTTTCAGCATCAGAAGATATGGACCAGGAGCTTTGTTGGGAGGACTAATTGGTAAGGAATATCATAATAGTGTAGGTTGGATTTATTACAATACAGCTCATGGCAATTTGTAGATTGGAAATAAGGCCGAACAGGGAATCACTTTTGAATTCAATGGATTAACACCTGAACAAAGAGAAGCTATAAGACAAAGAGATTTGATCAGTCATTTGAGCAGAACACCAGAATTCAAATTAAATTTATTCAATAAAGTATGAAAATTACACATATAAAATAATAATTTAATATAATGTCAAGACATTCCAAAAACAATACAGCCAACCCAGTATTTACATATGCGGAAAGGAAAATGGTTAAAGATTTCGGCACTTAAAACTCTCGTGTTGGCTCAGATTCATAAAGACCATTTGATTTTTGTTATCTATGTATAAGTAGAGTCATTGAACCTTTGACTTGTGAAAAGGGACACTTATTTTGTAGAGAATGCATCATCTAAAATATGGTATGCTATTCTCCATATGAAACAAGGTGAAACAAAAATAAGAGAATGAGAAACTAATTGCGGCTTACAATCAAAAGAAATAATAATAAGAGCACAAATAGCAATAATAAGATGAAGCATAACAAAAAGAAAAAGAATAAAATTTTGAAAAGTTAGACTATTAAAATGATGTCATTGAAAGAAGATAATTCAAATCTAAGGTAGAAGAAAAATTGTAAGGGTAATAATGAAATTTTGATTAATTTAGTTATATCAATTTGGAGGCAGAGTAAAAAAAGAAAGTCTTAGAGAAAATGCAACTCAAAGGAAAGGAAATGCTTACAATGTCGAAGAAGGATTTGACTTGCAAAAACTTCTGGGTTCCTGAGTCTCAACCTGAATAATAGGAAGAAAAATTAGAATAGCCTAAAAATATTTGCAGATGTCCTGCCAATAGAGATCACGAAATCAAACTTAAAAAATTGTATCCCGCTAAATTGAACGATAATAATGGTGAAACCAAGGAAGTTTTTTGTTATGCATGCAATAAAACGTTGAAATATTAAAAAATTGGAATGAGCAAACATTGTGGACATGTCATGTGTATGAGTTGTATCTCTAGTATTTGTCTACCAGACAAAAAGTGTATGGTTTGTAATAAAGACTTTGAAAAGAAAGACATCATCTAATTACAAGAAGCCCATTCTGGATTCGCTAGTCATAATTAAGTTGAAGTTAAAATATTTAATCCTGTGATGTTAATATGAATATTAGCTAAATCAAACAAATTTTGATGTATTGTTCTTTTTTGATTATCCCAAGTATTTGCTAGCATTTTAAGTACTTTGATTTTAACTGACACCAGCTGATGCCTTATTGATTTACACTAATAAGGAAGGATTCTTCAATTTTATCAAAGAGGCTATGTCATTCAATCTAAATAACATTGTGTTTCTCTATACCTATTCTAAACAAATTGCAACTTAGCCTTCATTAAATTATATCTAAATGAAACATTTTATCTAATTGTCTCTTCAGAAGCTGAGCTGAATTCTAATGACAGCATTTCCATAAATTTGTATTCTAAATTCTCAATAAAATCAAGTCTTGCCCCTCCATCCTATTGCATAAAGAACACGCAGAAGAAACTGAATCAATTTAAATTTGTACTGATTAGGCTCTTTGTGACATGAGTTTAATAACTTGATCAACATTTATAAAAATTGAGGATATTCAATGGTTAGTTTTTATTCCTCCCTTATTCTTTTATAATTGTCCTTATTTATGCTATGCTCAAATTAAATTATACATTGTAATGTAATTGAAAAACAAATCTGTTTCACTTGTTAACTCAATTTTCAAATTCTCGAATGCTTGTTATTCTCCCTAAATTTAATTATAACACAACTAACTTAAACTAAAATCTTCACTCTCACCAATTCTAATGTTCCAATCTCTTATGGACCTGTATTCGCATCCTGAACCCTAAATTATTATGATTCCTTCAAAATCTACCTTGTTTCTATGTGAATTTCCCTATCAAATTGTATTTTAAATCCTCCTTCTAAACTTGGATCAATGTCTTCTAAAGCTCCCAAATCTAACTGTGAATCGTCCATTTTATTTTATTTTTTATTATATCAAATTAAAAGTTAAAGTAAGAGAAATAATGCAATTATTAACAATATCTTAATTTAATAGATTTTTATAGTGTAGGGTACTATAATAAAATTGCACACTAATACTAAACTTAAGTGATTAGGTAATAAGAGAATATAATATACAAATATACATATATGCTTATTAAATTTATATTATAAGACTTAAGCATAAGTAATTAAATCAATAATCATCCATCAATAATTCGAATCTTAAATATAAAAATAATCATTAAAATTTTAATGCGGTGTTTTCATTAATATGAACATAAAACCTAAATATCATATTAAATTTACAATTTTGAGATTCTAACACTCTTTCAACTAGCATCTCCTTGCTTTTTAAAAATAGCTCCGATTGAGGTAGATAATTCATACCAATTACTTGTATTGAAGTATTTTAAACTTAACTTATTCTGATTTATAAAAACTCGCCATTGTTTTTCTTTAGAATTTCAAGTAGAAATATTATTAATGCATGCTTCATAGTTACAAATTTTATGTCCTCATTGCAAACTATGTTTATTGAATGTTTTGGAGTCTAAAATAATTGCACACACTTCTAAAGTAACTTCTTTATAGTGACTAACTTTAATTCGCAAACCTAAGACTATTAATAATATATCTCTATCAACGAAATTCTCAAATCCCTCAACAAAGGATGATGATTCTCCTTTAACAATGTTGCCAACACCTTATTTATAGGCATTATTTGTAAATGGAAAAATTCTTTATATATTTGTATCTACTACAAGTATTTCGTTTTTTACTCCTTTCTGATTGGATCTTCGGATTCAATTATTATTGCATAGATCACTTTTTCAAATTAATATGCTATCATCGAAATAGCGATCTTTTTGTTAAGATATTCAACGTTCAGATATTGATTGAATAAGCATAAATTATGATTATTTTCTATGCTTTTTATCGTCAAGCGTTAGATGTAAGCCTATAAAGATTCATTACCTAAAACCTTGGATTGATACATAAATGTTGTTAGAGGAGTCTCGGACTCAAAGTATTCCTTTAAGTGAGATGAGATCACTTGATATGCGTTCTCTTCTTAATTAAAGGAAAATAAAAAGTAAGGTTTCTTTAAAAATAAGGGAGTCATGATTTCTAATATATTATTTTACACATTTAATACCCCAAGTGCTGTCTTTTAGAGACAAAAAAAAAGAATTCCTGTATTACTTCTCAATTTCATATTATATGACGATGAAACTTAAACTTAATACAGTGGTGTAAACATATTGCTAAATATCCATACTTCCCTGATAGAGTTACACAATCAGTATTCTTGAGATAGTATGACTTATATTAGCCACGATACCTAATCTAAGATTATTCGCAAACATCAAGATATTATGTACCAACATTTGATTGCTTCCCAGAATATAACCATCGTAATATGTTTTAACAGTGGCAGGATTCTGGTATTCAAATGCTGTAAAGATCATATTGCAGATTAGTAAAGCAAGATTAGTGTACTTTCTAAATTTTAGGTATTTTCTTAAGAAAATGTATTATAATAATAGATAGCCTGCAATGGCTCCATTTTTTATGGCATTCTAATACTTTTGATTGATCAAATGAACAAAAAAGTTAATCATCAAAAGTAAGAATCCTCCTCCTGTAACATATGTTAGTGTTGGAAATTATAAGGTTTTACTTCTATGTATCAAATACTGTTCTTCAATTTTTGAGTCTTTAAATCTTAAACTGTATTTATGCATTATAATTAATGATAGTTTTTAAGTTATTTGAATACGAATGTTAAAAATAATTAACAAAAGATATCCCAAAAATGATATTGAAATTCGAGATATATAATTACATAAACAAATATATTTGTACTTTATTTTTTAAATCAATAGCTAAGACTGTGAAGATCAATTAACAATATTTAATTTATTTATTTTATAATAATTTAACATATTTTGGATAATTATCATCTTTTCTCTATCAAATAGTATTCTTATTAAATAATTTTGATATTTCCGAGCCTTAGAATTATTTTTAAAACATAACAACCTGAAAAATTTTTTATTATATTTAAGAATTTTTTGTATATTCACTAATGTAATTGAGTATAATTTAAGGGATATCTTACTTAAAATAATTATTGGTGTTTTGTGTACGCCAAAATTGCAATTTCTAAATTTCATAAAGTTTTTTAGAATTTTTTTTTCAACTCAAGGGTATCTTAAATAATACTTATAATATTCCAATTATTTTAGACAAATATTGTTACAGATTATCGAAATACTTTCGATTAGCTATTAATTATATGAATTCATCAAATCAATTGCTTTCACAAAATAATCATTAATCAAAAAGATATCGGAAATTTAATGTTTTTATGAAATCAGTGTAAAGCAATACAAATTGAATTTTAAAAGTATCAAGTTTAAAATTTGATAAAAATATGTCGCTTAGATAAAATAAAATATAAATAAACAACATTTTGAAAAGGTAAGAAATAAATTATAATTTAAGAATGAAATATTAATTTTTATTTTTTTTTTGTAGAAATAAAATAAATAATCATTGATGAAGAATTACAATGAAAAAGTTTGATTCAATAATGAATTCAAATCTGCTATTTGAATTACCTTTTTAGATTCTTTTCATTTCAAGATACATTGGGGCATTTTAATGTAGAATATAAACTATAAATATGAAAGTATTGCAAATAAAAACGCTGAATTGATATATAGGCGGAATTATTTTAACTTAATCATTTGTTTTAAGTTCAAGCATTTTCAGAATTCAATTATTTCAAACGATTCTAAGGTTTCTTTATAAAATTATATTTTTAATTGAATACAAAACAAATTATAGATTTCTACTAACATTAGATGTTAATATTAAGTTAGTAGAATTAATAATGAAGTTGCTAATTTTTATATCATAATTTAATAACAATATAATCTTATTTTTATTTAATTTATTTAACATATACTTTCAAGAATTGTTTTTGGATTAAAAAATTTCAAAGACTTGACGAGCTTTCTTCGAAATTTCTTTAGCAGGGTGCTTTAAATATTTATCAACCTTTTTCATAATTAAAGAATCTGCGATCAACTTTTTATATTGTTCTAATCTTCCATCATCATATTGAACTTAACTTAATTTAAAATCAAACCTCTATTTAACAACTCAAATATCCCTTCAAGAGTAACATTAATTACTACTTTTTAGTTCATATCTAAGAGGGATGACATCTTTTACAAGTATTAATGCTACATTAAGAGGTAATCTATATCTTATAGTTCTGCGTTGACAACACAATTTGACAATAAGAAAGATATTTATTCTATAATCTCTGGAGTTCCATTATCAAATGAAAGATAAACAGAATTAAAAAGTTAATCATTTCGAATAATTTATTTTACTTAATTTGAATTACCAGCAGCAATGTTGGATAGAGACCAACAAACCTAACTATAGACTTTATGTTACTTCTTTTTAGATAGCCTTAGTTTTATTATGAAGCAATTTCTCAAAGATTTAAATGGCTCCAAGTTTTAAGACTGCATCTGTTTACTCTTCATTGCCAGTTAAGATGTTTCCTACGGTTCTTAAGGCTGGAATCACAAGTTTTTGGTTTTCTGTTTGCATTAGTAGAATTAATTTTTGAGTAACTCTCTCTTTAATTAAAATGTGAATAAGATTTTCATCTTAACTTAAGTAACTCAAGCTCCAGCAAGCATCAATTAACATCTCCTCATCCTCTGTTCCTACTAAAATTTAACAAAGAATTGACAGCAAATCTATACAAAACTAATTCTTTAATATCATAATTACTATTTTCTTCGGAGCTGACTTCCCTCTGACTAAATTAGAAAAGGCCCAGACTAATTTTTTCAAGATATTAGGATTCTTATTCCCATTTTACCTGCCTTTGTATATCTGAGCTAAATGAATAAAGGGTTATAGAACTCCATTCTATAATAGCATATCTCTGAACTTCAAGTTATCTCCTGCTATGTTTGCCAATCCCCAAACTCCCAATTCTATAATTTCATCATGTTCTGATTCAAGTGCCGAAAACAGAATATTAATTCCATCATTATCTAGAATTGTCTATATCTATTTCTAAGTTCCAAATACAATATTACAAATAATCCAAAGAGCCTCATACTTTACCAATGGAATATTTGTATTTTTAGCGATGTCAAAGATTTTCACATGAACTCTTTTTTGAAGAAACATCTCAATCATTTATTCAGTTGGAACTGCTATTTGAGCATTACTCAACAGTTTTCGACATCGATTTAATCCGCTGTATTAGGTAACGATATCATCTGAATTAACATTATAAATATATTCTTCAAACTTTTCTGACTCTGATTCTTGTTTAGATAAATTGTCCGCACAAGACTTAAGTGCTTACTTAATTTCATCAGGTAAAGATTCAGGGATTAGTTTCAATAATTGATCATCACTTTACTCTTGAATTGGACCAAGATCTCTTTCGAAGTCACTCATTCACTAAAATATAAATAAATCTGATATTTTGTTAGAATTCTGATAAAAGGTTTTTTAATAATGGAAGAGATATTTCTTTCATTATTTTATTTAATTTTATAATTATCCTTATACTATCAATAACTTTTCCGAATTGCAAAATATGTTTAGAATATAACTTTCTAGTTTTTCTTTTTAGAAATTACTTATGTTATACTTGAATTATAATTTTCAAAAATAATTAAGAAAAATTTTACAAAGTAGGTAGGTGGGTGATTATAAAACCATTACTAAGTTTCAAACCCATTTTATTAATCATTTTAATCTAGTGAGAATAATATTCAAGATATATCAATAAATTAGAGTTTGCTATCAAATTAAATGCATTAACATGATAATTAATATAAAATTGAAACTAAATTTATAATCAAATCAATGAATAAAGTATTTATGTATAACACTTTGCATTTGCAACTAGTAGAACCAATTCTATTTCACAGTTAGCTTATCTATAATTTAGGATATCAATAATTTGTTGTTATAAATTTACATCAACATGAATATCATCAATTTTTTTATATCCTAATTAATGTTAAGTAAACTAATAGATTTTAATTCGTTCTTGAATAGTGAATAGTGGAAGGTCCTTTAGATGCTTCATTTTTTTATTTAGCTTATGTGCCAACTTAGGAAAATAATCTCTGATTTAAGAAAATCCATTTATATTCCAGGTAAAATCTTCTGTTTACTCTTCGAAGTGAGGATCAATAGGTGAGCATTGAAAAGGTAAATACTCCTCACCTAATTGGATAGCTATAGTCTGCTCACATTACATTAGACTAAAAAGTGTATATATAAGTATGAGTTATTGTCGATTGAAATAGTGAGTAAGATCGTCAGGTTTTTGCATTACTTCCAATTTCTACAGGGAAACTAGTAATTTCTTATATTTTTCACCAGCATCATCATAATCTTTCCATAGTCTAGTTAAAGTAAGACATTATTTAGTGGCACAAGAACAAACAAAATTTAAAGTGTTGTAGTCTATATATGTTTGATTGATGGATTTCTTGAATATAGAGATGGAGGTTTTGTAGTACTTAGCATAAAATATAAGTTTGCATTGGTAGTCTAAGATGCTTCGATTAAACAACCTATAGGAGTCTGATATCAATTTTTAAAGAGTTTTATTTGAAACTGGTTATTTGAAATCAATCAAGGTATTGTTGTTGAGTTGTAGAGAGGAGAGAACCTTGTATAATTTATGAGTTTTCTCCTTATCTATTGTGAATAACTCAATTAAATCCAAATAGGGGGCTTCTTCTGAAATTTTCTACATAGTCTATAATACTTAATTCTTCAGTTTAGGGCATGAAATAATGAAATTTTCAAATTCCATTTTAAGATCCATACTAAATTGAAGTCGATCATCCTAGTCTTCGGGCCATTTGTATGGTACCATATCTTATATAGTTTATTCATTAATCATAAAAAATAAGATTATTATAAAAAAGAAATTTTCGATATTTTGAAGGGGAACTTAAGCAAACATAGATCGAGGATTTCGGAGACTTGAGTTCTTAAAATGCTAGTCAATAATATTCAGAATAATAATTCACTATAAAATAATTAAAAATTGATCCTAATTTTTAATTTACTAATATGTGTAAATGGAAGTATATATATTTTCTAATTATAATAATAGTTATTAAATTCATGAGTTATCACAGATTCCATATTAAAATGATGCCATCCTCATTGGTGGCTAGAAATTGTAAAGGGTATAACTTGATATTAATACATGGTGATGAATGAAAATGATTCTCTAAAGTGTATACACATTTTCCACTTTATATATCCCAAATTTTGATTGTATTATCCCAACTAGCTGTTGCAAGCAATCCTGTATTGGATAGGAGACCTAGGGTCCATATCGGTTAGTCGTGAGATGAAAATTGCTTGATCAATTTATAATCATTCTCAGTGTTCCACAATTTTATAATTTTGTCATAACCAGTAGAAATGAGTAACTTCCCGTCTAGAGAATATTCAACAGCATATCCCCCATATTCATTATCATGAGCCATCCATTATTTGAGGATCTTGCCTTTGAACCATACAATCAAAGTCTTATCCTTACCTGTAGATGCAACGTGTTTGTTGTTGACAGCTAAACCATAAACGCTGTCCCAATGCCCTATGTATTCTTTGTAATTCTTGATTCCATTCTTTTTAAGTTTCCAGACTCTTAGTTTGTAATCATCACTGGCTGTATATAGGTATTTAGAGATGAATTGCAATCTGTTGATTTAATTAAGATGCTAAGCTTTTAAGATGATTGGACTTTGTTCGAAATCATTGCAACTCCAAACATAGACTTCATATGGACATGAACCAGCTGCAGCTAATCTGAGTCCATCAGAAGAGAATTTGACAGCAAAGATTTCTAGGAATGAGGTTTTAAAGGTTTTAACAATAAGTTCTGAGATTGGATCTATTAAGAGGAGAGTATCAGGATGTCCTCCAATAGCAATTAAAGTGCCATCTTATTTAATATCAAGAGAATAAATGTGAACAAGTCCTGAACATTTGATTTTCTTAGGATGACTATTGAATATTTAAAGTGCTTCAGTTGAATTAGTTGTAAATGTAATTTAATCTAAAAGTACTTTTTGTACGAGATCAAACCTTTTGATTTAAACTAATGATTCATCTGATAGAGTGATATAATCTTTGAATGAAAAAACTGTAATGTCTGAAGTTAAAAAATAAGATTTTAACAACAACTATTTGACTCCTTTGGTTAAAATTTACATAGAAGTAGTAGTTACTATACTCTGATTCTGTAGGAGTTGTTAAGCAAAGTCGTTGAGATCGACAGGAGATTTGAGACGATGTTAATGCAATTTCTCCAACTCTTATTCGATGAGAATATTGAATTGTGCCTGCAATCTTTTAATATGTGCCTTGATGGTCTTTATACTGTGTTGAAGAATCTCATTGAGTTTAGTGATGTGTGTTTTGAATTAAGCTAAATTTTCTTGGTGTTGCTGATACGCCAATCGTTCAGCTTCAATCAAATCAATTACGCGATGTCCTTAATGCAACTTATTATAACAATCTGTACACAAAGCTCTGAATTGAAGAGTGCATTGGCTGTCTATGCACAAATACTTGATGCGCATATCGAATTCTTGATGCTCTTGCAGGTAGCACATTTTGCTCCTGCCTAATTGTTTTAATTGCATTAATTAAAATGAATCTCTCTAGAGAATTCTTTACACAAATCGCACGTATTGAATCTAAGAATTCCATTTCAACAATTGACACCCTAATAGCCATGTATTCCAAATGCGTCGAATTTTATGACTAACACCAAGACCCCATCAAATACTATTTTTTAGAAAAGATCCAATACACACTATCGCAAGATCACACAATCGAACATATCACCAGAAATTCTAATCGAGCTGCAACAACAAGAGTTTCTATATCCAAATTGGATCCAGAAATTCTCAATACTTCAATTAGATCTAAACAAACAATCCACAAAATTAATTTCCAATCTCAACTTAATCAAGAGACACAAAATTAACAACTCAACACTTTGCTTGAATCCCATCATGCCAATACAGTTCAAAAGGATGCAATAATTAGAGAGAATATACATCAATAGAATCTGTAGTTTAGAGATCGGTTAAAGCAGAGACAATCACAAAGTATTACACGGTCCATGAGTCAATGTCCCTCTTACGATGCAATAATTTATTAAACATGATTATTATTGATGATAATTTTTCATCATTTAATTTCATTTTATCTTTTTTCTACCAATCTTTCGACTTAAGACAAGAGGACTAATTCTTATCTTCTGGCAGCTGAGGCATTCTCATATTCACTGTTGAAGGTAGTGCAAAGAGCAGTGGCATCATCCAACAATTTTTGGTTTCTTTACTTCTTGTTGCTAGCAGCTTAGGAGATGGCAGTTTAAGTTGCAACACATCCATTCAAATCGGTGATTTAATCCTCAAGTCTGGTCTTGGATTTCTCTAGTCTGACGATGTTCTTATCAATTCTTTCCTTTTAGTTGTTGTATAAGACAATAGCTTAATTGTTTTCAGCTGTGAATTGATTGTATGCATCTTCGATGTTGTTTCTAAATATATTTATGGATAGAGTACCTCAAAGTTTACAATAATTGGATCAATCTCTCAACATCAGCTGAGCTAACTTATTCAGCCAAAGAAATTCTGGCCAATGAAGCCAAAACTGCAGCATATGATCCTGTTCTCTTCAAACTAACTGAGTGTTACATCATTTGACCTGTGGCATCAGCTAATTCGATCAAACTGGCATCACCAACGCTGAATTTCTTGGCCAAATAAACTGATTCATCGATAACTCTCAATGCATCTTAGAAGATGACGGCCATCTTGTTGAAGTTCTCTTATTCTGTCTTTCTGACTTCTTGGATCAATGACAAGTGTTATTAGTTCATGGTGAGTTGGTCTTCTGTCATACCGAATTCAGCCTTTGCCTTTTATCTTTAGAATGAGCATAAGTTCAATTGGTTGGTTGAGGCACTCAAGATCTTGCTGGCATCTTGAATTTATCCCTTTCTGAAAGCTGATTCAGAATCGCATTCATTCTTTTATCTGGCATACAAGTCATCATGAGCAATTTATTCTGATGTGACTGAAGTTCTGAAGTCTTACAACATTGTGTTGATTGTGTCGAAGGGACCTCCTGCAGCTAGTTTGGATTCGATTTACATCATAATTTCCATGATGTTTCTGTTGGGGATATGATGTTTGCTGAACATATCAATCTAGAAACCCTAGACAGACACTAAAACAACCAAGAGCACAGTCAATGTTGATTTCATAATTTTATTATTTAATTTTTCAAAAACGAATTCATTTTTTATATTCAATAATTAATATCACAAGTCCAAAGCAATCTCATTACATCTTCATTCTTGTAGAATTGCCAACTTCGTAGAGCATTTATCTTGGATATACTGTTATAATAAAAAGATTCAAATAATCAACAGATTATCCAAATAAATTAAAAACATGATAATTATTTTTATGGTGCTTACTTGTAAGTAAGGGTAAAGGTTTGCACTTTGACATTTGTTAAGTTCACCAAATTATTTTAAATAATGTTGAAATTCTACACTTGCTGAGTAATAAATCCTTTTTAATTTCTGATTGTTTAATTCATCATCTTAAGTGGATTTCATGATGCTCAATTAAACATTTGTTTTTCAATAATTAAGATTTTATATAACTTTTTATGCTTAAATTTCAAAAACCTTAAACTTGCACAAAACATCTAACCACATAAGTAATAGAGCGCTTCGATTTTTTTGGAATCCTTCCTCAATTTAGAATTTTGAAGAGGCAAAAGTTCTCTACTCCCTTAGGCTAAATTCTAACCATATTAATTTGCTTCGCTTATTTATATTACATCGCCCATGAATTATTAGATTTGTCAAATCGAGATAACCCTCGGGTAGTATTCTCAGAACTTCAACCATCAAACACGTCTGTATGAATCAATAATGTATTTAGCCCTTGTACTTTGGGAATAATAATTTTACATTTGTGTTGACAATCGCAAATCCACAATTAAGTTCGTTGCAAACGTTAAACAAATATTTCACTTTGAATGTACAAAATTGTCTAAGAAATCGTTATTTAAATGCAGAAGGAGTTTCCCAAATAGATTATAAGTATGATCCCTAAAGTATTAATCAGCTGCTCCAATATACCATTAGAGCCATGTCAAATGGAAAAGCACTTTTCATCACAATATCAGCAGGACTATTTTCAAAAATTTAAACTTCAATATATGTATTGTCCATCCATCGACTATTGGCAATAATACCCTTTGGTATCAATTAATAGTATGGTTGTAGCAACTCCAAGGATATAGTCAGGAAGATCGATTTTAATTTTTGACAGTAACTTTTAGCATATGCAAAAATACTACCAATTATTAAGGCTGTGCTCCTTTGGAAGAAATCAACAGCTAGATGTAAACAGGCTTTTTTGTAAGTACATCCAAATCATACTCTTAGGTCATGTATTTAAGCGACACCTTAATCCAAATGCACTCTCCCTCTAAACCATATGAAGATGTCATCTCCATTTAATATTCCCCATTTTCCTTAACCAACTCAAAGTCCATACATTCCACCTTCAAAGTCACTGAAACTACTACCGATTATGGTATTTTGCAGACTGACAATCTTTTGGATACTGCCATTATGCAATCCACCATCAAAGAGGACAATGTACCTTATAATCAGTAATATCTGGTCCAAAATTCTATCTTCTTAGAACAGAGAAGAAATCAATATCAAAGGAGTTATCTTAAACTCTACACTCTGTTGGGATAAATTGGAGGTCTGTGGTAAATCACGATCATTTTTTTCAATTGTCTATTCTATCCTGTCTTGTTCTCTTCAATGAATCTAGCTATGGCCAACAAAATCTTTAGATTTGAAAGCAAGGAATCCCTTGATCTAGATATATTGTCAGTGGCCAAATCGGTTCCGATTGGAAATCAATTAAATAAAAGCGATGTCAAAGATTACCCTGGGGATGTTCAGAAATCAGAAAACATTTAAATTAGAAAGTCTTTTGCTGAATTCTCAAAAACTTAATAGGAAATCAAAAAATTCTTAAGAAAAAAAAAGTCTTCGTTAAATTTTACTCTAATTGACAATCTCAAATTCTTATTGGGTTTCAAAAAGGACAAATAACGACAATTAAAATATGCTATGAATAAAATAATTAATAAATTAGATATTTGTTAGTTGATCACAAAATTCAATGAATTGGATAAGTTGAAACATATCTTATTAAACAAAGATCAATTGGCTCTATTTAATTATATACCAAAACCTATGATACCTTATGATATGTTTGATGATAATTTCGAAAAAAAAATAAAGGAATTAGAATAAAAGCAAGAATATAAATTCATTTTGGAAAATGAAAAACCAGATGTACTCAGATTGGATGATGCTTATGAGGCCTATTCAAAATTAATTAAAAAGCAAGAACTCACTTAAACTGATGAGGCCATACTATAATTTATGGATGATGACATTAAACGATTGTTTTCTAGAATATACTCCAATTAATTGGAAATGCTATGCTAAAATCTTTAATCGTCTCAAATATTCATGAAAAATAATACTGAAAGAGTTGATATCCAAGATGAACCCCATATCCAATTGGTTTTTGGTAGTATTACAAGCAGATAGTATTGAGAATGAATTTTATTATTTTGGCAATTCGTTTTTATATACCAATCACAATCAAAATTAGGTTCTTCTGTATTGTGAAGTGACTGTTTGTGATGTCTATTGGATACCACTTTAACGAGGACCCTCAGATGCTCTAATATTTGTTGGTGTTTAGTTAGTTAGATATCTGATGCATAAATCTTCAAGATCTTAATAGGTTATCTTTCCATCTTGATTTCTATCTAACACTCTATAAAAATATATCAATCATTTTCAACTTATAAAAAGAGTCAATATCTCCTCTGGCTGGTGAGAAAATTCGATTAAATGATTTATAGACATCCACAATCATTGGAACTACTTCAACATTATCAATTTATCCATTCCTATCTCTATCGTAAGTATCAAACAGTCTTCTTGCAACAGCCTATATTCTATATTGACAAACTAACCTTGGCTCCTTCAACATCAGTCAATCCTAAATTTAGTGGTTTTTGATCCTATCCACTAACTACCTAAGTCTTAACAACTGACTCGTAAGTGTTTGAGTATTACATTATTTTAATATTTTATTTAATATTATTTTAGTTAATTTATATTAGTTGAGTATTTGAATTAATACTGAAATATATCTTTCCCTTTTTTTACAATCTACAGCTGATAGTTTAATCTTATATTCTTTAAATTTTGAATTTCGAATTTCTACATTATGTCATTAAATCTTCGTACAACAAAAATATCTTGATCATACCTCTGGCTAATAAGGAGTCTCAGTATATATATATAATTATAGATAATATTAAATTAATCAATCCAATTGTTAGTATTTATGCTAATTCTCAAAATTAAAATGAGAAGATGGAGACTTTTAAAATTCAAATGAAAAATCTAAGTTTTCGTAAGAAAATATTACATTAAGTCTCAAAATGAGTGCTATCTATTAGGGTTTATTAGCATTCCTTAAATTGTTCAGTTTTGGGAATCTGCTTTAAACCATAGATAAACATAGTCGTAGTATTTTTTTGATTTATGCATATCTATACTTGTTAATTCTTCTCAACCAATTTAAATAATTCAAATAGAAATAAGATTAAAGTGGGTTTTATAGTAACAAATCGAATTTATTCACAGCAATCAATCTTTATTTTAGTAGTAGGATTTTCGAATATTTTTGAACATTTGAGTAATAATTTTTTCATTTTTACTAATTATAATTTTTGATTTGATAATTATTTATAATATACTTCATAAAGGGATATTCTAAGATCCCTTAGTAAAGGGCTAAAGGTATCTTATAAATAAACACCTAGAACTTTATTGATTTGCAAAATCTAAGTATTAAGTAAGGTTCTACAATTTTATAAAGCTTAGTTTAATTTAATATTGGTTTGATTTATGAGTGGATCTTCTGAGTCTATAGTAATAGTGTAAATCAACTGTTCAAACTTACAACACACTATAGAAACCTTCAGTTTCTTCATCTAATATTCAATATCCATCTGATTGTTAAATAAACATGAGGATTACTTCTTATGTTCCGTTGTAATAGTTTTTTTAATTAAATATTGCTCGAGCGTCTGCTATTTTACTCTTGATTTAAACAAGAAAGTACTAAGAGGTTTTTCGGAGTTAAAGAATTCCTTTTAGGAACTCATTATGGTTTCATACATATAAGTATCACGATTGAAAGTGAAAATGAAAAATGGCTTTTTCAGCAGTAGTGGAACTAGGATCTCTATTTGATTATTTATAATTATTAATACCCCAACTGTTGTCTTTGAATTGTAGAAGAAATGATTGTCGATATTGTTTTTCAATTTGATATTAAATGACCATGAAACTCAATGTCACAATAATGGAATAAAAGTATTATTAGGCAGAAAGGTTGTCCGAATCTTCAACAACTATGACAACTCTTACAATTGTTAATACCATATTGCTAAAGATACCTAATTCCAAATTACAAGCAAACATCAGAATTGTATGCACCAGCATTTGATTAGATCCAAGTAAATAACCATCGTAATAATCATAGGATGGATAGATTATGATTTCAAAAACCAATGAAGCGAAATTTGTCATCATTAATGCCAAATTGCAATAGCTCAATTTAAGTGCTTCATATTTTCTCAAAACCATATATTGGAATAATAAATATGTCATAACGCCTCCTGTAATTAATGCATTTGTGTAATTGACATCTACCAGATTCACAATTGTATTTGCAAGTAATAATATACAGCCGCCAATAGTCAAATATGTTAGTACAGGAAACTATATAACCTTAACTTTATGGATTAAATATTATTTTTCTAAAAGTCGATCTTTAAATCGAGTGCCATATTTATTCATCTGATAAATATATAATTAACAAATTGAACCTTAAATTTATTATAAAATTAGTATTAAGTTTAATTTATTCCTTTTCTGAGGATCATTCAATGTAAATTACTTCTACTGATTACTTTAAAAATAGTCTATATTAAAATTTAAATTGAAAATATATCTTTATTTACAGTTTTAATTTAACTCTTTAGAATCTTAGTTGGTTTAAATTAATAAAATTATAATAAATGATTCATATTATCTTTTGAGGGAGAAAACCATAATTAAGACACTTTGATTTTGAAAAGTAAAAGGAAATTACACACCATTTTTTAAAACTATTTTGGTAAAAATTAATGGAAATTTTTAGATTTTTAAATTGAAGAATTTAACATAATTAATTTTAATATTCTGGTAATGAAATCTTAGCCATCCATAATGCCTAGAATTTTAGATATCAAAAGTATTTTTAATGTTTTGAGATAATAAGTTGAAATTTTTAAAAACCTCAAAAACTATCATCAAATAAAAAAGAAATTGTGAATTTAATTACTCTATTTCAAAATGATGGGGTGTGATATTAATGTTTTAGTTAAACTGTATAAATATTCTATGAAGATCAATAGTTTTTTTTGACTTGTTTCGATGTAGGTCTAATAGAACTTGCTTTCTTCAATAAATTTTATTCATTGATGCTAGTTAACTAAAAGTTTGTGTTCTTCCAATCAAAAAAAATGTAGTCGTCAAGCTAGGATAAATTGAAATCATTACATTATCCTCAACTACATTTATTTTTAATAGATTTTATTTGTTGTCATCGTTGCACACTTTTGAATATTGCGATTATTATTCTTAGAACTCTAATCTAAATCTCATTATTTATAGATACATTGAAGGATTTTATCATGTTGAGAAGAAACTAATCTTTATGATGAATTCAGCTTTACCGATTAAAATACTTCCTTCGTAAACAATTAAATGTTCTGGAAGTTCGGCATATCTCCATTCTATTAGATAATATCGCTAATTGTTATGTATTATTTACTAAGTTGGAAGTGCAGGAGTTGTAGGTTCTTATTTTTCCTCTAAGAGAAGACTTGATTAATTTTCGCTCAAATCTAGGAAATATACTATTGAATTCATCATACTTATGGGGTCGTCTGGTAACTTCCCTGTCACCTAAGCGATAGTTTTCTTTTTTAAACTTGGATGTGTAAGATTGGAACCATCCAATTTGGAAGCTTAGCAATTCGCAGAAGCCATTGGATAAGGCTAAACATAATCCTAAATGACTTCTTCTCCAGTTGATTGATTCTCTTATTTACATACTGCCACTCCCATATGAACTTTATTTTAATTATAATTTCATTAAATACACATTCAAAACATCTATGATTACAAAAATGCCCTTGAGAATTGCAAGAACCTTGTTTCCCTTGAACCTTCCTGGATCTCAAATCAGTCTTCCACAATCATTAATTGAAATAAGTATAAGGAATGTTTATTTAAAGATCAGCTACTTTAACTTAAAGAAAAGGAAAATTTGTTTGAAACCGTTACAATAAACAATAATCCCTAATTATGTGAATAACTGAGATGGAATGGTTTCAAATTCAAAGATTTTGAAGACCAATTAAGAATAGAACTAAGTAAAAATGTAGAAAATGTTTAAATTTTAATTTGTATTGATTTCTAAAACAGATAATAATCAATCGAGACAGACATTATTGATAGTTAAATAGTCCAAATTCAAGGTTCTTCAGAAATCTCCCTTAGTTCTTTATAAAGAACCTCATCTCCATTTAGTATTTATCTGACCAAAGGAAATGGAATCATCTCGTGTTATGAATGTCTGGCCCTCAATGGGAAGGTAAAACAATATGGTAAAAGTAGATAACAATTGAAATGATTTCGATTATTGATGACATCGAAGAACATAAACAAATATCTAGAGAATGTAGAGGATTGGAAGATTATAATGGAAGCAATCATCTCATCGATGAATCTGTACAATATTTGATAATAAACAAAGATATAACAGGAAATGTTGAATTACTTAAAGACTTTTGAAATAGATTCAGAACTTGCTCAATTTGTACAACATATTCAACTATAAAAAGAGCAAGTTCTAAATGAAATTTATTTGAAATCCAAGGCTGTACTTCATGATTGACATAATTAGCAAATTATCTATTAATATTACACAAAACTTCTCTATTCTATTTGACTAGTTGTTTCTTATCACATTATAGTTCAATAATTATATAATTATTTTTAATATATACAATGAAATATATTTTATTTATTATCAATAATGTCCGTAGTGGAACTTCCAGATGTAATTACTTACAATTATTAATAAGATTAGACTCTATTCACACAAATCTCGTACCAGATCTAAAAAGAGCGATTTCGAGAAATATCGTAACTCAGCTGTCCTCAAATCTGTTGACAAATTGATTAAACATAATAGTCTGTGCTCAGTTTTAGGCTAAGACAGCGACTATTATCCTAAACAATTGGAAGATCAAAAAGTAGCTCTTATTGAATATATTCTCAATAGAAAGTTGATGAAGCTTAAGAAGTGCATGCTAATTTGACAGAATTAAAAAAAAGTTGCGATTACATGAAAATGTCTGGAAACAATAAAGACAAAGATATTGATAAAATGAGAAAGGATATAGATCAAATGAGTTATCAAATTGAATAGTATAATCAAAGATAAAAGGAATTAGAGAGATAAGAAAATGATTACTCATCTAAATTATAAGAATAATAAAAATTATTAAGTCAAAGCAATTATGATAAGAAGATTTTTGAACACATGTTGACAAGAATGAAAACAGATTAAGTAAATTATTAATTAAGAGCAAATCAATATGAAAGACATCTTAGATAAGCATTTTTAGCATGTTAATCATCGAGTTAAAAGTATTAGAACATATATACATTTATAGAGCTTTAGAAATTTAGGTTTTGCATTAAAAAACAATGTTGGCCCTGAAAGAAGTGGCTGATGGAATTAAACAATAAAATAGAAATAGGGAAAAAAATATTTCTAGATTCAAAAATGAACTAAAATAAAAATAAGATGTTGAACACAAAAGAGATGAGAGAATTAAAAGACAACAAGAGATTGCAGAGGTTGCTGCTAATGATATTAGAGATGGAGCATTAAAAAAATGGAGAAAGTTATTATTAGTTCACAAATTCTTGAATTCATTCCTGAAAAGTAAAATGCAAAGAGGAATAGCTTAATATCATCATTTAGAAATAGCCTTCTAAAAAATAAAGGCTTCAACAGGCATTTCAGATGCCAATGAAATTGTTTAGAAATTTATCGGCAGAGAATAAACATACTCTCATTTACTGATATCTATATCAGATTATGAAAAGAAAATAAATAATTTAAAATAGGAAAATTAAGACTTAAGAAACAATTTTACTCATTTAAAACAAGAATACAACGACTTGGACAAAGAATTCTCAGTTGAAAACAATAAACAAAGAAATGAACAAACTGATTAAGATAAAATGGTCATAGAAGTAGAAGAAAAAGCAACAATTTCAGGACTGCTTCAAAATAAATTGAATACTTGGATTGCTAGAAACTTGAAGAAGTTAGCATAACGCAAAGATAAAGGGTTTCAAGGCATTATTGATGCTATCAAGGAAAAATTACTTAATTTATCATAAACTGTAAATTTAAGATTTTATTGTATAGTAATAATAAGAATTACTAAATAAATCTATATTCAGTTCTGTCTTAGAATTGAATGACTAGGAATTTTTAAAAAGAAATGTCAGGATCAAACCAAAACAATAGAATTCTCATTTGCATTCAAATAACTCTTAAGATTATTCGGTTTTACCTAATGATGATGAAATTTTTAATGAATTGCCGAGCAAAGATGAAGAATAAGAGGAACAAGAAGAAGATAATCTATTGAATTAATTGAGAGAGGAAGTAAAAGGGAAGGTTTTGAAGAAGTGACTAACAAATTTGAAATTAATTATTCCATAATTTTACAATTCACATTCTATTCTGTTTAAATTAGATGTTCCTTGTTAAGATATTTATAACAAAGTCGAGTGCAATTGTTAAGAATAAAGACATTTTGAATATAAAAGGAAAAAGCATCGATTAATGTATGAATTTCATTTCTGTCCTTTTTCATCATCTGAATAAAAAACGTCATGTTGTTATTATTTTTGAACAACCAAATGTTATTTAACTTATTCTTTGCTTACTTTCTTTACAGAGACTGACTCCTATTCAGAATCTTCGTCATCGTAATCAACTGTGCTTCGATGATGCGTTGAAATTTAAACATAATGCACTTGCAATCTCTCTGATATTTGACGATAAGAGAAGCCTAGAGAATTTAAGTGCTCAACCAATTGCCAAAACTCTTGTTTTTAATATGTATAAGGAGAACTTCTTCTCCCCACTAGTTTTTGAGGCGGAGGAGGATTTAAGTCTTTTTCAATAAAGACCCTGTAAATGGCATCAACATTAGTTTGTACTTTTTGTTGGAGAGTCTGTTTTAATAAAAATGTATTTTACCTGATCTGGTATTAATTACTCTATAAACATTTGCATTGAATTGTACATTCTATAGAAGTCTATGGCTTTTATATCTTGAGTATTCGCGTTTTTGATGTCAAAAGGAAAATCCCCGTTTTCTGGCTTAGGTATAAATAACGGGCGGGTTTATTTATTTCTCATTAAAATTTTTAATCAAATTTGAGATTGTGCTTGATTGTTCATTAAATGAAGAAATCTAATTATGGTAAAATTAATTATATATATATATGTTTTAAGAGAATATAATCATAAATTTTATAAATACTGCTATGGTTATATAATTGATTCTCACTCTAAAGTCAATTATCTTCTATGTGCAACCTAATTTATATTAATACTAGAAATTATTATGTCAATAATTCATATATGAACTATTTTCATAATCTGTGAAGTAATAACATGGAAATATGAATACACACTAAGTATAATTTTGTAAATTAATAAATGTTTTAATTAATAAATTTTAACTTATGCATAGCACTCCAATTTCTCTATTAAATTTTGATTAGACTTAAGTCAGAGATCCTATAATCGACTCCCCAAGATCAATTGAGGCTTGTAGAAGGTAAGGAATTAGGCCTGAATAACTGGTTAAGAAAGGCTTAAAAGAATTGAAAAGAGAAAAAAATTTAAATTTGGATGAGCAAGGTTGGAAAATATTCCTTTAGCATGAAGAAGATAAAAGATAAGCCAGAGTTTCAGTAGTAATAGCAGAGAGAGAAGAGATTATTTAACAATAGAAGGATGAATATGAGGATGAAAAGTTTGAGATGAGTGATGAAGAAAAAGAAAGAAAGAGAATGGAGATGAATAAAAATAGAAGATAGAAATAAATACAAAAGGCCTTGAATTAGGAAATGAAAACTTAAGAATTGTAGCAACAAATACTTAAAAAAGATTTGGATTTGAAAGAGAGACAAGAAGAGTAACGGTATGAAATGGAACAAAGAAGGAAGGATAAAAAGATTGATCAATAATTTAAGAAATAATAAATAGAGTATCAAGAAAATCAAAGAAAATAGAAATAATTTGCAGAATAAGATAGATTGAAATATGAAACCAGTCATTAAACAACACCATTGCAGAGAATCTTATAAGAGAAAGAACTCAAGAAGTAAAAGAATAAAAGGGATAAATAACTAAAGAAAGCGTAGTTAGAGAGAGAAGAAAAGGAGAGAGTGCATCAATAAATGCTTGAATAATTGTATGAAGCAAAACTATTAAAAATGGAATAAAGAGAAGCTAGACGTCAAGTCTTATTAGAAGAAGAGAAAGAACTTAGATAACAATTGATTTAAGAAAAATAGGAGGAAGCAAATTATAGAAGGGATGAAAATAAAAGAAGGGTTTAGCATTAGTAAAATCAAGTTTATTTGAACTTTTAATAAAAACAATTGGTTGCTGAAGAAAAATTGATAGCTAAATAAAAGGAGATTGAACAATTGAATAAGGAATTGGATATGAAACGAGATTTCCAAAAATTAAAAAGAGAAGAAATGTAAAAAAAGAATATAGAATAGCAAGATAAAAGGAAAGGGGATTTGATTATCAAATTCAAAGCAATTGAAGATAGATTTAGAATTAATGAAATGGATAGAGAATTAACATTACATTAAAAGAGATAACTTTAAGAGGAGAGAGAACACTATAGATAATAAGTAATACTGAGTAAAATAATTTTAGCTATTAATAAAAAATGAATAGGAATTAGAAAAAAAGTGTGAAAAGATTAGTATGGAAAGAGAAGCAAAAGAACTATAAGCACTCAAAGTATTGAAAGAAAGAGATGAGATGATTAAAGAAAAACATCTTAAAGAATAGCTAAAAAAACAAGAATAAGAAGAAGCTTAGGAAAGAATGATGAGAATGAGAGACTTTGAAAGAGCGTAATTGAAAAAGAAAGTTGAGGAGAAATCTTAAAGAAGAGACCAATTAATTAAAGAAAAAATAGCATATGAGAAACAAAAGTAATAGTACAAAAAAGCTCAAATTATGGAAAAAGAAAAGCTTAAGAAAGATTTGGCGGAACTATTAAAAGAGCAATAACAATAAGAACCTAATCACCCAGGTGTATAACAAAGGAAAAGACCTGAAAGTGCCCCTTCTAAAAATAAAGGATAAAATGATTAGTAACATAAAAATAAACCTATTGTTATGGCTCCCTTTGATATTGTGACTAAAGAGAAACAAATATAAGAATTAAAAATTAAATAAAATCATGAATTGTTAAATGTAACTATTTAAATAAATTAAATTTAGCTTTTGTAAGAAGAAGATAATAAAGAACTTGATAGATAAAAATTATTAAAGCAAGTTGATGATCCAATCGAAAGAATGCGACTTGAAAAAATATTAGAATTTGAAAGAGCTCAAACATAAGATCGACTAGCATTATTAGATAATAAACATCAAAAAGAATTAGAAAAATTTGAATGAACTATACTTTGCACATCATTTATTAATATATTCATTATAACTAATTAATTATTTGGGTACTTGATGTTGATGATTATAATTTAAATTTTTATATATAATAATGTAAGTGGAAATTCCCAGTATATCATAAACAAGATTAAGCACAAAAAAGTTAAGTTTGAGATTTAGAATTGATAGATATGGTCATCCAATCTTGAGAGGATTTAAGTTGCATTCAATTACATTTATTGATGATGTAGTTGCAGGAACTGCTGTTCATCAGACATATCTTGTTGACTGTTGGAAACATCATAATTATAATGATGCTAGAAAAGATCAATCAAAATGTTGTGAAATAAGCTGAGTAATGATTATTATATGACTAAATATCACAAATACTTTACTAAATTTTTCTACGATTTTGGATTATTTTGAAATCAATTAATTAATCAGACGCAAAGTCAATATAAAAGAATGCAAGAACCAAAAAAATTAATCACATTAGATTAGATATACATATGAGATCATTCTATAGCTTTTGATCACAAAACTTGATCAAAATGCGTATTCTCTATCTGTCTTAATATTGTCAACAATCCACTTATGTAGTAACATTTAGTCTATAGATATTCTATGATCTGGACTCTACTGTAATCCTCTTATTACAAAATCTTTCAAAGCTGGAGAAAAGAAATTAGGGAGGTCAAATTTATTCTAATATAAGAAAATAACAATACTTTTAATATATTTTCCATAATAGTATCATCATCTCTTGGAAATTCTGAAAATGGAGTGTTTCCAGCTACCAGTTCGTAAGCTAGAATAGCAATTTACCAAGCATCACATCTTTCATCGTAGCCTTCATCTTTTATGACTTCTGGGGCAATGTAATCTACGGTTCCACAGAAGGTATTTCTTCTATCTTCATACTTAGGTATTTCTCGAACACAACCCAAATCACACAGTTTAATGTAATTCTAAATGTTTGTTATAAATAAGTACTAGAGACAATAAAATATTTTCTGTTTTTAAATCTCTATGCATAAATCCCTAATTGTGCATATATTAAATAGCTGACAGAATTTACATTATAAAATTACTGGCTTCCTTCTCACTGAATCTTTTATTAGGTTGTTTATATTGATGTTGGAATAATTCGCCATTATTGCAAAATTCTAACATCATGTAAATGTATTGTTAATCATAACTCTATCCAAACATTTTGACTATATTAGGATGTGATAATTTAGATTGGATAGTAATTTCTCTTGCTAATTATTACTGCATTTCATGATCAATAACTGTTTATTTTTTTATAATTTTCAATGCAAAAATCAGACCAGTTCTATTATCTATTGCCATGTGAACATCACTAAATTTTCCTCTTCCTAAAAATGAACTTATTTTTAATTTCAATTTATTTTCTATTTAGATATAGAGTGGGTTGGTTTATTTTTGGATTTGACTTTGAGAGTTAGCTTTTTTTGATTGAAGTTCATCTAATAGCTTTTTAGCATAATTATTGTTCATACTCACGTAATTAATAGAACTTGTGTTGTTTATTATTGTTGGGTTTTTAAGAGCATTTGAACCAAATTTGAGATTACCAAATGCATTTTGGCTCAAACTCTTACAAGCTTCTAATTTAGGTTGAGCCTTGAATGGAGAATTCAGTTTACAAGTGACATTTACTTTCTGTAATTTCATCCTGGATGATAAACCAGCAGTTGTAGAGGTTGACTCTTTAGTTGAGCGTTGTTCAGGTTACTTTTTGTTTAAGTTCATACTGATATTGTTTTTCAGCAATACTAAGTTTTCTTAGAGAGTCTTAGATTTGTCAATTAATTTATTCCAATCCTTTTCCATTTATTCCCTTTGCTTTTTGACGTTCGGAGATGGCTAGCGTATTTATTAACACACCTAAGGATCTTCTATAGTAATGTTCAATTCTTTAGATGTTTTACGAAATGCAATGTTGCTATGCACTGGTGAATTGAATTTCATTGATGGGCCGTAGACTATTTGAGAAGCTGGGTATTAAAGCATTTGTTTATTTTCTGAAGCATCCCTTGTCTATAATGTCTACATGATGTTTGGCAATTTTATACTTTGTCTCTTGATGTTTGTTGTTGTGAGAAATACACAGCAGATGTGGCACCAAATTAATTGTGGTACTTAATTTAACTTTGATTGGGTTGAAACATCTTCAAATTTTAATATATAATATTGCTATAACACAAAAATGTTTAATCTTTGTTGTTGCTATTCTTATAATTAAATAAATTTTATTTAATTGCCAAAAAAAAGGGTTGTCAACACGAGGACTTCCCAAGCGGTCCCCCACCTTAGTACTAACCTCGCCTTAAGCCGCTTAACTTCGGAGTTCGAATGGGATCCGGTGCTTTAGGCTTAGTATGGCCGACAACGATATTTACTATATGCTCTCTCTTTTATATCACATCTTTTATTTAAAAATATACTTAAAATTAGATTAAAATATATAACCAAAATAAGTTTATTATCTTCTTTTAATGTTAGTAAATCACACAAATAATTGTTTTAAAAGCATAAATAATGAATATTCTAAAAGAAGTATTCAAAAATAACAAATAAAGAAATTTTTAAACAATAAAATAGATTTTTTTTAAGAAATAATTATATAGTTTACAAATAAAATGTGGAGATTTACAAAAAGCCAAATAGCTGATTTTGTTCATTATCGTTAACAGCAATTGCCAGATGGATACACATAAAATGAAGAAATGAATATCATAAATCATTATTGCTGCAGTTTGCTGGCAACTTTATTTAAGAATGAAAAGAACTCATAGTTGACTCTTATTTCCTATGCTGCAGTACTATTTAAGCGATATTATATGATAAAAACAATATTTGAATAATCTGGAATGCATTAAATGCTATTATGTTGCAGTTATTTAGGAATGAAGTTGAATGGAGTAATATAATAATACATTTTAGCTTTCATAACAATCAATTGCAATTCAGGCACAATAACTCAAAAGGAAACCAAAACATGAACGTTTTCATCATTATGGAGATGAGTTTTATGCTAAATATGAAATTTTGATAGTTCAAGCTTTGGGCTATGACATTGATGTAAAACCAATTTATCCCATAATTTAATCTGCAATCTTTATTTATCAAATAAAAGATCTTTTAGAATAATCTCTATTCATTAGATATGAGAAGAAAATAGAAGAATACTTTTTGAAATCACTGTAGGGTTTTACGATATTTACTTATAAGGAAAGCGAGATTGCTTTTGCAATTGTAGAATGCAGTCTGCAATCAATCTTTTAAGAAATTCTATCACCACATATATCCTTATCTTTAGGCGGTATCAAGCCTTTAAAACAACTGACATTCGAAAAAATAAAGAAATATTGCTAAGAAAATAAATAGAATGGCACTTTGATAATCGAATAGATAGATTAAAGAGATATATCGATAGCGAATCATTGTTAGTAAATTCAGGAGGTGGTTCATTTGCTTCAGGAAATCAAAGACACTTCAAAAGAGTTTGAGAAGAATTATGAACGATACAAGTAATAAAGGTAGGCTGTTTTTTCACTCCCAATGAGCGTAGAATTCTTGGATGTGAAAAAATAAGTAGCCTATAATTGAATATTATATAAATCATTATTATTCTTACATTTCAATATCTAAGAGATTGTTAAGTAGTGGGAAGTTTCTATCTACTAAGGCTAAATTTTCAATTTGAAAATATCTAATCATGATTTATGTAATTACCTTCTTCCATGCAGAGGGTAAAACATTGACCATAACTATGGTAAATCATTGACCCAACTCAATGAAAATACTGGCAAATAGTAACATCGTGGTCTATCAATAGTTGGTGTGTAATATGAAAGCGGATTCCATCCCAAACTCGGAATTTCATAAAGGGAAATGAATAGAAAAAATGTACCCAAACATGCATATGATAAGGTCTGCATTGCAAGTGAATAGAAACCATAACCTAATATTAATTAATGTATTTTCTACTTGTTGATCTAACATACCAAAGGAATAAGTAATAAAAAATAATGGTGAATTTGGGTACAAAGTAAATGGAGGATCTCGTTCTCAAAAATAATAATGAAGCAAACTCATTCACTGTAACTAACCTTTAGATTGTAATTAAATGATACCCAAAAAAGTTGTCTTCCAAACCGAATGGAACCTGATTTTTGAATAATAAGTAGCTTCCTATTATCACTGAGGACAAGTAGATGAAGTATGTTAAAAACAGCATAAATGCAAAAGCTAAGATTAGTTATTTCTTTGATTTTTATGTTCTATCTAGAATATTTAGATATAATCCAATCCAAGGGAATGCACGGGCCAAAAAGATTGGGAATATTTGTCTGTTTCCTATGAGATAGGATACTTCAACTAAATATAATATTGAAAATAATTGATACGCATAATGATTATGATGACTGGAGCACAAATAATTGTAATTTTAATGTAGAGTGACGAAATTGCTGAAGAAATGAACACTCCCAATGTTATAATTGTAAACTTCCATAAATGTTTTACAGTTTTCGCTAAGTAATTTTAAGGGACTTCCCTTTCCTTCCAAATGAATGTTTGATTTGTTGCGTTATTTATCACATAAATATCTGAATAGACTGAGTAGGCAACATCATGCAAGAATAAAGTTTCTAAGTTTGTAGTAAATGAGAGTAACTTTTAGAGACTACTATCGAAGTAGTTGTTATAATCTATAGAAATGTTAATTATTGTGAAATTGTGTGCTTGGAGCTATTCTGTTTTTAAGTGCAATAATTCTTAAATGCTAGAATACTTCATCATTAATATTGTATTATCCTCGTCTGTTATTGAAAAATGATAGATGTTATCTTTAGCATCTGGATCAAATTAGATTTAATTAATAGTTCTATTACTCAATCCCCAAATTATAAGCAAGTTTATTGACACTATGCACAACAAGATCTTACTGCAAATGCTAGTCACTTTAGGTGCTTATTCATGAGTCAAAATTCTTTCTTAAACTCGGTGCAATGTTTTTTCTAATTCCATTAAATAAATTAATTTATCATTTAAATGAATATTTTTTTTTAGAGAAAAGGAAATAAAAATATGTGTCCTACCAAATTAATGAAGGTCCCTAACTCACTTGTTAATTGTATCATATCTAGTGTCAGTTGTAAAATTAGAAGAATATAGTTTAAATTTTAAGTGCTCGATGATGACGAATACAGTTAAAAATAAGCATTGTAAAAAAAGGATATTCTTATTAAATGTTTAAAAAAAGATTAGTAAATGATATTCATATTTATGAACTATATTTAATTAAATTAATATATATGAGTTCTTAAGAAAGCGATTCAGAATATTAAGAGTTTGTTACCACATTTTACCATTTGGTGCAAGATATAAATGAATGTAATGATATTGACTACTAATTTAGATTGTGCTACAAAATCAAAAGAAGGTAGAACTGCTAGATTTCTTAAATAAGCAAAAGCGCGAAGAAGTATAAATATTTCTATAATGTTTTATAGAAGTAAATCAAGTCATCTTTCGAATGCCGGAAAATCCAGATCAAAATGTTTCAGAAATCATCTCTTACAATAAAAATTAGGCAGAGAAATTAGTTAAACCTATGAGACATCAAACGAAAAATTTAGAAAATTCACAAGTAGAACCTTATATCTCCAATGTCCATTTAATTCTCAGGTAAATCTAAATTTAGTATTCGAGGGATCTCAAACTGAAATAGCAAATACTTCGAAATGCGTAGAAATAAGTGTATTTGAATTTGATTGAATAATATAAATAAAAGTCAAAGAAATCACAACCTAGAAATTGTTGTTTGCATATGTATACATCCTAAAATATACAAAATTATTAGATACTTAGCTGAGAAAATTTACTAAGAAAAAATGAAAGAAACAGCCACATGCTTAAAATTCCATGAAGGCCCTAAAATTGTTATTCCTCTATTCAAGAATACAGCATAAACAAGAAAGGGAAGCATGGAATGACAATACAATTTTCGTTAACTTATCTTTTTGTAAAAATCCTTGTTTTTAATACATCTTATTTTTATTGTTAAATTTAAAATTTAATTAGGCTGTGAAATTGTATGTAAGACAAAGAAAATCAATATCCTAGATCCAAAGCTATTGCTAATAACATGTCAGTTGCTCTATGCACTTTCTTTTCATTTACATATATATATTATCTGGTATCAACCTCCCAATCTAATTACCCTACCAATTTTTGAGCAGGTTCATCTTTACCTTTCTTCACATTTTTCTTATCATCCTTTTTTTTAACATCCTTTCCCTTCCCTTTACTCTACTCCTTTTTTTATTCAATCAAAGCTTACTAGGCTTTTTTCTCCTCCAACTCTGCATCTTTTTCTTTTTGAATCATTTCCATCTTAGCTTAAACTAAATCCTATTCATTTTCCAGTGGAAACCAATGTTCAGCTGAGTTTTTGGTTTCCTCCTTAAATAATCTGTATTTTTTATTAAATTGCTTATTGTAACCTCTCAACCAATCACATGTAATTTTACAAACTCCTAATACCTTTATAGTTTGTTCAGGCAATTCATCTTAGCCTAAGACTGGCCTTTTTTCCCCGTCATCAGCCTAATTTTAGGTAGAATATGAATTGTTACAATAAACATCTTTGGTTCCTCAACTGAAACAGAAACTAAAAACCCTTGTTCAACTGCATCTCTTATATCAACATCAGGATTAAAAAGTTATTCAAAAGAAAATTCAAAATCAATTCTTCCTATTTCATTTTCAATCGTTGCAGTCTCATATAATAATTCTTTGGTTTTTAGTTCAATTCCAAATAAGTTTGCTGTAATAGCATACTTACTTTAAAATAATTTACTATTTTGTTCCATTAAAGGGTAGGAGTATTTATCCAATAAAATTCCTTCCAGATTTTCTAAAGTCTATATTTTTAATGTAATTTTGAATTATCTTAATTCATTTAAATTGATTTTAGGTTCCTCAATAGGAATAATAACTTAAGGTTATTGAACTACAACTGGATCTGGTTATTTTCCTGGTTTTCCTCCTTTTTTATTTTTATCAGCCAACAATTTTTGCTATTGTTCAAACTCTTCCTATTATTTTCTCAAGGCTTCTTATTTTTTAGCTTGCTTTTCTTTCTCTGCTTATTCCAATCTATTTTTGATTTCCAAGAAACTCTATTCATCAAAGCTTCTCAAATTCAGAAGGTTGTCAACAATGTAAATAAAGTATTGAGGCATCAAAACTAAAGGATTTCCATAAAGGGAAAGCATTTTTAAATTAGAAATCTTTTTACAAGCCTCTACTGAATATTCTAAATCACATAACTAGTTGTGAGACAGATCCAAACCTATCAATTAAGGCAAGAACTTAGGAATAGTTTGGATTGCATCATCATTCAACAAACAATACCCTAAACCTAGATACTATAAGTTATGCTTCAATAAATTCAAAGTTGTAATTGGATTGTTAAAGAGATGTAGTTCTACTAATTATTAAGGAAGATGTTGAACAACTTCAATTTTGTTATGATTTAATCTTAATAGTAGCAAATTTTTGAATTGTAACAATTGGTTATCCATTTATGTTATATCTTCAGAATCAAATACTATATTTGTATAAGTTTCAATCATATATTCTTTATTGCAAATAAAATCAGCAAATCCATTCTCAGATATGTTTTTATAAATCTTCTCATTATCTGGAGACCTACATTTTCACCTATTAATTACCATTGTGTAACTTAATCTAAATTGATATTCATTTCATCTTCAGTCAACTCATACAATTTAAATTGTTTCAATGGCATCTTCTCTAAGAGAATTTCCATCCTCATATCCTCCCTCACCTTTCTCCAAAACACATTTGAAAATTGATTTTTTTACATTTAGACAACTATAATAATAATAATTTATGTTATTTTTTATAAGATAGTATAATTCATTATTATTTACGTAATGATGACTGTCTATTTGATGAACGAATATATGCTTAATATATATTTTTAGATGCTTATTCTTGTGGTCCAATAGTTTATCCACTATATGCGGTTTCTAAGTTCTGATATTTGTGCAATAATTCTTAAATTGTATTCTCTTTTTATGTGATGATATTTATGGAATCTCTATTTTCCTATTCAAGAATTCTGATTTAAGTATTGAAGGCTGCTTTCAAATTTTCTATTTGATAATGGTGCGATTATTCAAGCTTTGCTCTCAAATCTTCGCGTTCTTTCAATTTATCTCTTTCTTGCAAAACCAATCTAGTCTTTAATTATTCAATCTCGTCGATTAAAGCTTTGAACTCTCTTTCTGGAATCTATCTAATCTAAGAATCGGCCAATTCTTTTTGTTTTCTCAACTCTTAATGCAAAATATCAACCTTATTTTCCAGATTTCTGATTTTATCTTTGAAAATAAATTCATTTTATTGCCATTTGACTTTCCATTCTTCCTATTCAAATGAAGCTATCTTTTCTAACTCCTTTATTTGCTCGTTTAAAGTTTAGTTTTATTATCTTAAATGTTATAAATCTTCCTCCAAAGCTTATTTTATTAAAATAAATTATTAAATCTGAGTCTCCACTTCCTTATTCTTTACTACCTCTTTCTCTGCTTAGAGTTATAATTCATTTTCTAACTTAACCACTTATTGTTTATAAACATTTTCAATTTCTAATGAAGATTATTTTGTTTTAAACAATTCTGATTCCACTTATTACAAATCCTTTTACTTCGTTTATTCAATTTATGCCGATCTCTATTTTAAAATCTCATTATCCTTTTTTAATAATTCTAATTGTCTCTCATAATTGTCTCTTAATTAAGTTCTTTCAACAATTAATTCTTAGATTTCCTTTGATAAATTTTCATTTTTCTTTTAATAAGTTACTATTTCTTTTTCCAAAGTAAATATACTTTATTCGTAATTCTTACTTAGAGATTGCAAACTAAACTTTTATTCATCCAACAACTACTGCTATAATTAAGTCATTTAATCTCTATGGATGATCTCTTGCTTCTAATACTTAGATTTCTAACTATCAAATTAAACATTAAGTTCATTGATCTAATTTTCATAAGATGCTTTCAATTTCATATTTTATTGAAGCAATGTTTCAATTTCATTATTTTTAATTTCCAACAATCCTCTTAATTTATCAATCTCTGATTCAACAACTGAAATCTAACTAGAATGAGTTTTTCTTAGATTATCCAAATTTTAAGAATGAAATGTCTCTATCTTAAATCTCATCTGTTCCAACTCTCTATTAAATATAATAATATGATACTTTTATCTATCCAATTCAATCTGATTTATCTTATGTCTCAAATTATCATTCTCACTCAGAAGTCTTTGTGATTCATTCTCATGTTCTAATCTCATTCTCTGTAATTTACTCACTAAATCATCAATCTCTAAATCCTTGTCTTGCAAAGTTTCTCTAACTAATTACTTATCATTCAATCTTTTCTCATATTCAAATTGATCTATCTTATCTAGCAACCTTTGAACTTCCTTTGATAATTGTTGTAATTCCAACTCATAATTGTTTCTCATCTACATACTCGAGGATAGCTGTTGTTCATATTTCTATTTCCATAATTCAGCCTCACTTCTCTTTTATATCATTTATTTCGTCATTTTCTCTAATTCTACATGTAAATCGTTATTAAATTATGTGTCCGCCTTCCCAGAGTGAGTAAGAACATTGCTAAATCTAACATCCATTCTCTATAATTAAGCCTCAAGATCTCGAATTCGTTGTCTATAGGGTTCAACATCATCATACTGTTTGTATCCACTCATGTCGGTTAATTTTTAATATTAATAATAAAAACATTCTTTAATCAAAATATCAAAACAAAAAACTCAAAATCTAATTATTAAGATTTTATTTCTTGAAATATTTAATTTGTAAATTAATCTTCTTAAAACTCGAAGACTAAACTTTATCAACTACATTAATTTCATTCTCACTAAAACGATCTCTAAAATTTGAAATTTTATTGCTGAATCTCTTTTCTTTTATTCCATGATCTGCTCTCTCATATTGTATAAAGTACTTATTTACTAATTAAACTGATTTTTCTATTTTATTTATTTGAAGTATTTTTTTAGTATTAAACAGTTAAAATACAAAATAATTTAGCTTATTATTAATATTTTGCTTAAAATTTCTCTTAGACTTAATTTTTTTCAATTAAAATGCTTAAAGCGGATTAATTTTGATCACAAAATTTGAGACGATATAAGAATTCAGTTGAAACATTTTATTATGCAATTTACGCTAAAATATTTTTCAATTAACTATTTAGAATTGTTAGTATATCCTTTAGTTTATAGGTAAAGTAAAATTTGAATGAAAGATGTTCATTGTAATTGAAAAACTATGTCTTTTCTTTAAGCTGACTTCCTTTCTAATTTGAACTATAAATTTAATAAAAATATTAAAGAATCCTTGGATTTGCTCTATAAATTTACTCTAATAGATGTAGTATTGTTGGTTATCCCTTTTTGCGATAGGCTTCATTGTGGTTTAGTCTGTGAATCAAATGATGTTTTTTTAAAAACCCCAATGTGTCTTTGATCATTATTGAATTATGTTTGCTAATTTGTTATTCATTTATTGTCTGCTAATGCAAAGGTTGAAAGTGCATGAAATCTATAAGTTGAGAAAAAGCAAAAGAAGAAAATAAAAATTATTATAATAAATGGACAAGCAGTCTCGTTTAAATTAGGAACAGATTCTGAAATGTATTCGAAATCATCGAGATTTGAATGAAATCTTGACAAAATAAAAAGATCACAGTTCACAGGAATTATTTGATGACATTGACAAGGCGACAATGAACTAATCGAATGAAAGTAAACAAAGTTAAGAGAGCAAATCTTACAGTGATTAAATAGACAGGGCCATCCAAATGTTTACAGGTAATGTCATTAAACATGAAATATCAATAGAACCTAAAGTAATATTGTATGCAAAAGAAGATAATTTGTCATCGGACCAAATGATGGAGCAGATTTCTGAGGTTTTTAAAAATAAGTCGTTTGACTAAAAAGTGGGTTCAAATCTATCAACAGAAATTTCGAATGAGGCTTGTTTGCAATTGGGATCCTCTTGCCAATCATTGTTAACAAGTGGTTCTGAAACTGAAAGAAGGAAGAGGAAAACCATACCAGATGAAGAATCCCATTATTTTGTTGTGAGAATTGACAAAGTAATGAATTAAATGGATGAAAGAACCACAATAATGATAAAAAATATTCCTAATAAATATACAGTGCAAATGCTTTAAGATTTAATTGATCATAGTCACAGGAATTATTATGACTTTTTATATCTTCCAATAGACTTCAAGGTATTTAATAAGATTAGTATGCATATAGAATAAGTGCAACATGGGCTATGCATTTATCAACTTTGTGCATCCTTTTTACATAATTTAATTTTATAAGGATTTTCATGATAATGGATGGCCTCATTTCAACAGCGAGAAGGTAGAGTTCCCAATTATTGATTATAGATCTGCGAATTAAGATATGCCAGAATTTAGGGACGTTAAGCCTTGGTTTAGCATTTTTAATTTTCAAGCGTGATGAACTAAAAGGTTCTATTCCAATTAATTATTTAAGGACAAGAAACTCAAACCAGTAATAGTGCCCCAAAGTGAATTATCAAGAATTCACCAATTAATTTAAGTAAGTCACTAAACTATCTTTTAAGCGTTAAAAATAATGATACAGATGATATCTATTTTTTTCACATCTTTTTGGTGTTTTTATATATATATATAATTAACTAATCAATAATTGTTTATGGCTTTTCCTGGATTCAAAATATTAAAGGTTTCAATAGATCTAACAGCATTTAATTACTTTGCAAAATCTGCTAATGTGGGTTTGTATTGGCTCCCCCTCAAAACCAGCACTGATTCCTTTCCACTCCCTACAATACTTTCAGTCATCTTGCCCTTAGCCTTTAACAATTTGTTCAGCATGGATTTGATTTCAGTTTTCAATTCATTTGCTGTTTATAAATTGGTATTTTCGATTTCATTCTAGATATATATAAGGATTTTTACTTTTGTAGTTTTTAATTCTTTGGTTAATTATTTCAATTAGATGGCTAAATTTTATCTCTCTTGCGGTGAAACACTCTCTATTTGCATACTATAATCTTTCAAGAAATCAGTATTAATTTCCATCACATTGGAATTTCTACAATTCAATAATTCCGGTTTGTTCTAAGTTTTTGATCTTTATTTGTTGATTTCTCTGCTAGTATTCTGACTGCAAGTTCTGCTCTTCACACTTACAATACAGCCAAATTAATTATCCCCAACATTTTCCTTATTGGTTTAGCATTCAATCCTTTTTCTCAACTCCATCACCTTGACTTAATGCAATTGGTTTTTTTATTGATAAATGGATTCTAACTATTGGATTTAATATTTTAGTTCGGTATTTTCATTCTCCAATTTCATCATCGCCATGGAACTCTTCTTCTTAGCTTCAATCAGTTCTCTTGAATACTCTTCCAGAGTGCTTTAGATTTCTTTATATACTTTACACTAAAGTATAATTAATTTAATCTAATTACATTGGTTCTTCCCTCCCCTTAACTCCATGCTTGCATTATAGTATCATTAAACTTCTTCTAATGTTCTTCTCTTTCTTTGATTTCTTGGATCTACATAAATAGAAACTGATTCCTCTATTCAAGCATGGCTTTTTCACTTTTCCAATCGTTGAGTGACATAATTTTAAAATAATTAACGATATAATCACAGTTTCTTAAATTTAATAACTTCAACTCATAAAACCACAACTTACAAATTATTTCTAAGCACAAGTAGCCATAAACAAGAATAAATAGATCAATAAGAAACAATCAACTTTAAGAGGGTTTAGATAACTCTTTGTATTGTTGAACTATTACTCTAAATTATTGAAGTCTTATTGGAAAGGCTATGAAGAAGATGTGTATATGTAAATGTGGGAACACATTAGATAGAGTACGATAATTGCTATTGGGGTTATTTATTATTTAAAACAATAATTATGAATAAATAATTATGTAATAAAATAACAGCAAAGTAATTGTTTTGAAATAAAACTAAGAAGCAAAGCTAGTTAATGCATTGTATGAAATGATGTATTTGAATAAACAATTGGAAGAGAGAAAAATACAATTAGAACAAAATGATGATTTTGATTTGAATCAATTTTATGCATTCTTTGATACTTTTAATTAGAGAAAGATAACAAGACTAGATTTTGAGCTAGGATGTATGTCTTTAGGGATAAAAGCTAAGAAATCATAAATAAATTTGTTGTTTTAAAGGTTTTCAGAGGATAATTCATTTCTTACATATTAAGAATTCGTTAATGTTATTTCGTGTAGTAACGATCCTCTTGTCAGAATTGTAACCAAGATAAGTGTCAAAACAATGGCAAAGTTTAAAGAATTGATTGCGTAAATACTGTTAACCGAGGAAAAAATATAATTAGTTAAAGAGAGATTAGCAGAAAATTCTGAATTCAGTCTAGAATTGGCCTTCTTGTTTTTTGACAAATTGAAAGTAGGAACAATTACAATAGACGAGTTTAGAGAAGTATTTGAATCCTACAATATACAAATTACAAACTAAGAAATAGAATCTCTGATTTCAATTTATACCAAAAAAGAATCAAGAGTGAGTTACGGAAGCTTTATTTCAGGTATGAATCCAATACAATGATAAATATACACTATTAAAAAATGTCATTTCTTATAAATCTTTGGTTTCTATTAAGTTTCTAACACCTATTGTGACAAACTGGTACTTTAAGACCCTTGAGTTTTGAGAGGTTTGTCTAATTATTGAACATTCGGAGATTTAAAGAATAAAGTTTTCAATTTCATCTAATCAAGTTCACTAGGATTCTTTCCATGAACTCTTGAAGTCAAACATTACCTCTGTAATGGTGAATGAACCCTCTGCCTCTAAAGCTTTATTATTTATTGTTTTCTAAAATGATTAATAAGAATATATTACTATTCAACAACCACATCAGCAAGTTTAGACAATGCTAATTCGATATTTTTTATTTTCTCTGTGTATTCGCAGCATTTTTTTAGAGTAGTAATTTCAATTTAACTACTCATCACTTTAACCTTATTTCCCATTCTTGTCATCATACTATTTATTTATTCTACATTTTATTTTCTCATATCCTTTATGAAAGTTGTCAAACCCAATTCCAACTAATCCAACAAAGATCTGACTGATGCTTCCTCTTCTTAAATTGGAATATTGAATTATAATAATAGGCCATTTAACTATTCTTTGTAACTCTCTATTTCTTAAAAAAAGCTCTAATTCTATTTTTATGATTATTCAAACTTTTATTTTAATTTCATATAATCTTTCTTTAAGTTTTCATTTTATTACTTCAATTAATCCATAGTTTATCTGTTATTGATGGTTGTATTAGTATTTGTAGTTGTAACATTTTATTATTTGACATCATAATTTGCATTAGTATTATTGCGTTGCTTTTGCCTTAACACATCATGAAAAGTGACATATTTGCTAGACTTAGGATCATAGAATTATGGCAATTGCTTATTCAGAGGAGATAGAGATTTTGTGTATTTTTTTTGAGTCATTGTTTAAGGTTGAAGATCGGATTACTTTTCACTTGCCTTTTCATCAAACAAATCAATATCATCGATTTATTGATTTCGCTTTTTGCATATTTCCGATTGACTGTATGTTTGTTCTGATCTGCAATGACAATTTTCTAATTATTTGAATGATATGTACTCTCAACTACATTCAATATTTTTAATTGTAATCCTTCAAACACTGGATTGCCAAACAAATTAATGATATTAATTTTAGTTTATGTTTCTAGATAATGCACTTCAGCCACATTTTTTAACTCATTACATTCTAAATCAACTTCTACCAATTGAGGTAAGTTCTTAAGTTATTCAATTGTTTTAATCTAGAATATCTTTATTCTTACCTTGTTATTTTTCAGAAATATATGAGTTAATTGTGTCAGATTACTAAACCAATGGACACTCTGCAATAAATTGTTGGATAAATCAATCTGTTTCAGATTTTTGAGATGGGAGATATCTAAATATATTAAGATTTCTTCAATACTTGACAAATTCTGAAGCAAATTATTATTGATTTCCAAAGTTATAAGGGAGGATGGCAATAACCACATCTATTCGATATTATTGAATGATAAATTTAGATGCTAAACTTTCAGCTATTGAATGTATGTTTATTCGCCCTTGAAATTGTTACCCTGCAAATTTATTATTGTCTAATTAGTATTGAATTATGTGATTACGTAATTGTTTAGATTCAAGGACTAATCCAGCATTTCAAGGTTCTTAAATGAGAGATCAATGCTCATCAAATGGCACCAAATTTAAAATTTAAATAATATTAATATATTCAAGGTTTGCAACAAATGATATTTTAAATATATTGACAAATTCTACTTATTCTCGATTGGACTTTGGCGTGACTTATTAATTCGTTAATGTTAATGTCAAACACGACTGGACAAAGATTCAAAGACTTTAATACTACATTTAGATGTTGCAACTATGTGTCTCCAAATACCTCTTTGTGCAAATTACTTATATTCTATATTACTACAAGAATAAATTACAATCAATTCTTTGGGATTGTGAATAACCAGCAAATGAATTTATAATGATATTTTCAGCTATTTGTAGAGATTTAAAAATTGCAACAAGTCCATTTGTTTTTCTTCAATAGGTTTAAGACCTGATTTTTAAAGAGTAATACCTGCAGAGTCTTTCACACAATTTCATGTCTCTTATTTATCTATAGATTTCTTCGTAGTGTTGGGTGACAAAAGAGTCTTCTTCAGATACGATATTCATTATTGTTATAATTTTTATTTAAAATATTCTTATAATACATCTTCATATCGTTTTGGTTTCTCATATTTCAACTGTCTATTACTGATGCTTCCCTTCAGATTCTCAAGTTTCAATTTGATTCTAGCATTCTCTTTTTTGATATCGTCCCCCTCTTGATTTCTTTTCTTCAATCTGGGCAAAGAAACATTCGTCTTATCAATGGAGGGACTCTAATGAATTTTCTCAATGGTTTCTTTTATCTTATGGTTCGAAATGGCCAATTACTATTTATATTGCAATTGTTCAAAGTGATTAACCCTTTGTTTTTGCAGTTTCACGGATTGTGCTACAATTGATAAAACTGAATACATAATTTAACTAAAACCTTGGATTCTTGCATTTTTTGATTCTTCCTGCACTTAATCGCCTTTAATGCATTCATGTGTCCGAGAAAGTAGGCTTAATACATACTATCATTTAATTAATTTGATTGTTTCATATATATGAAATGAATTTTAATATTAATTATTTTAGAATGGGCAATGTTTTGGCTGGAATGTACATCTATTAGATTTATTCTGAATCAAAGTACCCAATCAAATCTCTATTCCTACTATCAGTATGCAAAATCATATTCTTTTTGTATGGGTGTTCATCTTCAGTTTAGATTCTTTCACAATTCTTGCCATATTAAGCACAGATATCGCATTCTGATGATTACAACTTAAATGATAACTTGCCCCCAATCATTTTCATCTTGATGTAATTCCTTTCAATTTTTTATCTGAACATCTCCAAATTGAAGTCATCCGATGAAGGACTTTTGTGTCTCGGTTCCTGAGTTCTTCGGTGATACAATGTGATTTATTGCATCCCAATATTTTTGATGTGATCATTCTACTACAAGACTCCATCAAGGTATCTGTTCATAAATATTACAGACATTTCCATATCTTAGATTCCATTGTATCCCTTCGAAATCAAATAATAAGCTTTCAATTCATATTCTTGTTCCGAGTAATACCAACTTAGTTTTAACAATTTCTTACCAATCACTAATAACTTTTCGAACTATCTCAATCTGTTCAAAAGCAATCCAATTCTATAATACACCATCATTTTACATTAAAATAGCTAATGTTTATTTGCCATATCATTCATATATCTATATTGTTGCAAAGATCCTCTGTTGTGTCCATAGGTTTCTTGAATTATCGCTATGAGAAAAGTAAACAGTAATCCTAAAGAAACACACTGCGATTTACATTTATTCTAGAGAACTATAAGATATATTTCAATTCGATCATAATCCGATCCTAACATATTCATCAAATCTATTGACAGATTTAGGATATCTTGACTTTTGGTTGACTTATGTTTAGCTGCAATCGCCAACTTATCTAGTTCAAAGACAACAGAGTTGAGTAAGATTTTAGAAGATTACTTAATGGATTGACTTTCAAGCATATTATTTGGCTATGACATTTTCATAGGTGATCGTTTAAATCGAATTTGATGACTACTTCTTTTAACTCTACTTTTTATGAAGTGATTTGATTCTAAACGAGGAAGAGTACCATCATTTGTCGTATTAATTGTATTAATAGTAGTAGAATTTATTGATTTTATTGAGATATTTGAGGCAATCCTTTATCTTTCCAAATCTGTTGATAATCTTATATTTTTTCGCATAATTGTTATTATATATAATATATCATTATTAATGCATATTGTTTTTCAAGGTGGAAAATTCTCTCGAATGGAAAATATCCACGTTAAGCTGCTTTGAAAATTTGATATCCATTTAGATTTTTGTAACTCCTCTGCATTTGTTTAGAACTTCTGGATTTTAATTTGATTTGTGATGTCACTCTCAAGAAGGCCAAATAGTTTAGATTGGTGTTTCATCGGAAGAATAGAATATTGATTATCTAAGATGTACTTTTCTTAAATACTGGAAATGCTGCTGCAAAGCCATCGGGTTGAATTGAAACGATCTGTCAAGGTTCCTTGTAAGAAATGGGAGCATCATCTATTCGTTACTTATTATATTATTTTATATCAATAATATAGAGTTTCGTTTTGGTTCAAATTGAATTGTACATTGGAGCTTTTCTTCTTGTTTTCTTTGCGTTTATCATTTGAGACTTTAACTCCCTTGCTATTAAAGATTGTGTTGTGGTATGTGTGCTTAAGTAGTTCTTTCTCAGCCTAATTGAAAGTGTGTAACATATCCTAATAAGCGAACACGATTTTTCTCCATATTCCATCCTTTAAGTAGCCGAATCATAACCATACTTAGATTGATTCACCAGTTGGTTAATTTTTCTTTCTAAAATAAATCACAAGAGCAATGGTAAATGATATAATCAAAATATATCTAAAGATCGAAGATTGTTCATTGGTCTCCATTTACTGTTAATATTAATGATTTTAAAATCTGCTAAAGAAAACGATTCTGTTCCCACCAAAACACTCTCTAATATAACGAGACTGCTAAAAAACAAGGCTCAGACCAATAATCAAAACCCAGAACCATCTTTACTTAATGAATATAAATTAGAAGCTTAGATTGGACAAGGGTAATTTGCTTAAGTTCGAATTTGTCGATCGAAAGACAATGGACAGCGTTTTGCCATGAAAATATATTAGAAGAGTAAGTTAGATCAGAAAACCTTGAATGGAATTCACAGAGAGATTGCAATTCTTAAATAGTTGGAACATCAGAATATCGTTAAAATACATAATTCTTTAGAAGATGATAAATGTGTACTAAATTATTATATTTAGATTTACCTCATGCTTAATTTTGCTTCATCTGTATCACTAGCAGAATTTACCAAAGACAGGTAGTTATCAGAATAACAAATTAAAATTATATTCAAGTAGTTGATGTTGGCTGTACAATATTTGCACTCAAAGAGTATATCACATAGAGATATAAAATTGGAAAATATTCTATATAGTTAACAAATAGTTTTGATTGACTTCGGATTTGCCATTCAAACAGATAAGTTATGTTCAGTTTAATGTGGAACTCCAAATTATATGGCTCCTGAGTTGCTAATCAAATAACCATACAATCCATTTGCAGCAGACATCTGGGCATGTGGAGTTGTATTGCATTAATTATTAGTTGGAGAATTCCCAAAGAATCACAAAATATCAAATTCCATATGTGGACCATTGTAAAGAATTCTATTGTCCTGTCTAGACAAGAATGCAGAAAGAAGATGGACTGCAGATAAAGTAGTGAATGAACTTAATCAGATTACTTATTAATGAATATTAAATTATAAATAATTTCTATTGTGTTAAACAAATATGAATCTCCTCTTTAGATAGGTTGTCAATCCAAGCAATCAAAAATAGTAGCCATTGCTATAAACTATGTTACACATATTAAAGAAATGGGTGGTGATGAACCACTCAAAAAACCAGTCATATTCTAAAAACCATTTACCTCCCTCTTTGTACCTTCCAGATGGAAATGGCAATTGCCTAAGCATAATCATGAAATCGAAGCATTCATATTTATACTGTCCAGCTTGGATTTATGGTTGCCAAGAATGGAAAGAATAGCCAAAAGGAAAAATGGCAGAATATATAGGAGGCTATTTCTTGGCATTTGATTTAACTGAAATGAAAGCTCATTTCAAAAAATAAGGTTTTCCATGGGATTTGGCTAAGGGTTAAGACAATTTTTATCCCAATTACAGATTTAATTGCAAAAAGTAAAAGTTAAGGATCCAAATAATCTTTTATTATTGTATTTGATGAAAGCAATTCTTTTGATTTTATTTTGAGCCTTTGAACAATTTTGAAGAAAATCTATTTCAAAATCAAAAATGATTAAGGAATGCTTATTCTTGAGCTGTGTAATTAGAAGGATTTAGGGTAAATTTAAAAAGTAAGGAGTAAAGGAATAGACTTGGTAATTTCTTTATTCTTGTGATTAGATTGATTGAAATTAGAATTATATGGATAAGGTGTTATTACTGTCTCTAAGAAAAGTTAATCGATTTGTTTTATAAACATGTAGATTCATGAATTTTATCAAATTTAAAATAATTTGAATTTGATTTTTGTTGATTACTCTGAACTAATGATTCCTTAGAGGATTTAGAAAATTTAATTTAGATTCAGTGGTAATATAATATAATCTAAAATAACTATAAAATTAACTACTTTAATAATAATTGCTTTTTGATATTAGAGGATCATATGGTTATAATGCTTACAGAATTAAGAATTAATTCGATAAAATCATAATCAATTGGAACTAACTAATGTTAAATGTTTATTCTAATGAAAAAGTATTGGAATATTTTTTAAAACATAATCCTTCAAATGAAACAGGAAATCAAGTTTGAGTGGCAGATAGTGTAGTGATATATATGAAATTTGATCAATTATATTATCATTATTTTTTAGATTATTGTTAATTTTTATCTTCTAAGATCTTCTTTAAGAATTATGGAATACGTTATTAATTTTGCTCCAAAGTTCTTAACATTATGTACTAAATACTTCTTGAATTCAATAATCATTTTCTAACCTCTTAACAGATCTCTTAAGATTTCTGATCTCTATTTATATTCAATGCTTCTCTAAATTTCTTTTGGTAATTTAATTTCAAATGGGTCATATTAAGCATTTCCAATATGCATGTTTTTATAGAAGTGCAATGGGTCTAAAGTAAGAGACTTAGCTTACCTGAATAAGATTCTTAAGTCATAGTAACCTTTTGAATATACCTCTGATCATAAGGGACATACCATTTATCATAATACTGCTTATCATCTAACTTAAGATAAGGAAGAGATGGCTACTTGGTTCGAATAACTTTGGGACGTACTTTAATGTTCTGCTTCTATTCTTGTAACATACATTCAGAATTTACTTAAGGTAGGTTTTTAATCCGGCTCTGTCATTTGTATTTCGCTTCGTTGCATCCTTTTCAAGATGGATCGTTAAGCATTCTAATCCAACTAAGTTAAAAAATCTGGTCCTTCAGATTTCAAACGCTTAGATAAAAGAAAAGGAGGTGAAATGGATTGGAAATGATTTGAGATAGTTGATTTTTACATTTTCAATTATATAAATTGATTAATATTAATTAATAATTCCTCAATAACTCAATGAGGTATAACTTAATTACTTTTTTCATGTTCCTAACTAATTTCTTCCAAACTCTTTCCTTTTGTTTCTGGTATTAGAAATGTAAATGCTAATCCAATCATCATGAAGATTGCAAATGTTAGCATAATTGCTTTGAAACTGTCAGCTCCTAATCCTAAAAACCACACTTAAGAGATTATTGCTCCTAATTTACCAGCCGCAGCAGATATTCCATGACAAGTAGAACGATATCTAGTCGGAAACACTTCTCCAGGTATAATAAAAGTAGTAGCATTTGGACCAAAATTGTTAAAAAGATTCGCTAAAGTATAAAGTGTAATAAATAAAAATTGTCCCAGTATATCCTTACACAAACCCATTACAAAAAATAAAATTGTCAATGCCACAAATCCCATAATCTAAATCTTCTTTCTTCCCCATTTATCCACAAAAAGAACTGTCAACCAATATCCAGGAACAGTTCCTAAGGCTGAAGTAATCAGATTCCCATATATTGCCTATTTCAAAATCTCATATTGGCTAAGATTAGATCCTCCTCCAAATCCTATCTATTTTAAAATTGTTGATTAATTTAGATTGATTCCATAAAATCCAACATCCAATGCAAACCAAGCCATAGCAGTACCCAATAACACTTTGCCATTTCTCCACTTAGATAAATACTATTTTAATTCTCTAAAAGATGGTTTCTGCTCCTTTGATGTCTTTTCTTCTTAACTTGAATCAGCATACAAAGTATCATCTTTCTATAAAACCTATTAAATATTTCTTGCTCCTTTTTCAACATCCCCTTTAATGTCCATTGTGAACCTTGGTGTCTCAGGAATCGTCATTCGAAAATATATAGCCACTAAGCCTGGTACTGCTCCAAAAGCTACTATTATTCTCCAAATATGATCCACCTAAAGATAATTCAATGGATCCCCATTATTCAACTAATTGTTAAAGGAGAACAGAACTATTAAGGAAACAATACTCCCTGTCAAAATTCCGAATCCTTACATTGCAAACACAGCTGCTATCATAGCTCCTCTATTTTTAGTATTTGCAAATTCAGAAGTTATAATTGCAGATAAAGGGTAATCTCCTCCAATCCCAATACCTAAAAAGAATCTCCAAATGATAAGCATCCCTACTACTGTCAATCCATTAGGTGAAGCTGTATTAGATGCAAATGCAGAAGTGATCGTTGTGAACACTATGATTAGCAATTCAGTTCCATACATCTTCTTCCTTCCCAATAAGTCTGCTAAGTATCCAAATAATAACTATCCAATCAAAGTTCCAATCAAGGCAGACTGTTTTAATAAAGTTTCAGATACAGGATACAATTTATCAGCTTTTTTTATTATTGTATCTCCATCCCTTACTTCATCGTGATAATAAACCATTCCTATCATTATTACAGCTAATTGGATTATGAATAAGTCATAAGCATCTGTGAAAAATCCGATTCCTGAAACCAAGCATGCTTTGATATGGAACCATCCAAATTTCGCGTTGTTTAATGCATCTAAGGCTTCTTTTTTATCTAACAAAGGATCCTACTACATTTCGATTATTATAAGAGTGTCATCATTGTAGGTATTTTAATGGTATTTTTATAATATGTCATGTGACTCATATTTCGATTGTATTATTTATACTAAATTGTATAGCTAAATTATTAATTAATTAGTATTTTTCAATTCGCACTATTAATTTGTCAATTAATTTTATAGAATAAATTACATTTCAGCCGTCTCAAATATCCACTACCATATAGTTTAAATATATGAATTAATTTAAATTAATTAAATAGATTAAATAAATATAAAATTCTGAATATCAGTAATATAAATGTGGATATATTATAACAACATCAATAATGAATTACTATTAAATTAATATTTAATTAGTGTATTATATATAATTGTAATATTCTTAGATCTTGGAATGTTAGATGGTTAATGCTTAAAAAAGGATAAATAAGAAATTTCAATTCAATCTCTAGATTCCTCATTTAATAAGAACAATACGTAACTTTCTCTTCATTGATACGAACTTATGAACACCACCAAATTCAAAAAGGAAAATACAAGTGAAGAAAAATTCGAAATGGTCACTGCATAAGCTTTCACAGATAATCAAATTTCTATTTTGGATAAAACCATAAAGTTTGGAAAGGAATAATTTAAAAAAGTATGTAAAATGTTTAAATGATTCGGTCTGATTGATGTTTTGCTGCATCTTAAATCGAAAGACTATATGATTCAATGAATTTCTTAATAGTTTCAACCTTGACTAACCAAATAAAGAAATCAGTAGAAGACAGCACAACAACAATAGACATCATTTGGTAGTGTTTTCGGCTTTATTGATGAATTTTTATCTCAATGAGATATTCTATAGCATTATTAAAAAAGCATATCACTGCAAACTCTAGTTCCTTTGGAAAGATTACTCGAAAATGCTTATATTTTAAGCTTTTTTATAATAAGATATTAAACTTCAAAATTGATTTTGTTATGTATTTATATCTTTTGATTTGCGAATATTGAATTTTATTTAATCAATATTTTCTTGTAATTAAATATTCAATGTTTCTTGCAATTTAAGGTTCCCATTTGTCTCCGTTTTCCAAAAGTTTAAATTTGTCATAGAATAAATCTTCATGTTGATAGGTTGTATATTCATAATTTGGACCCTTGAATATTATTTTTATGAATTACTTCCACAATTGCATCAACAGGACATGCCTCTTGGCAAAATCCACAATAAATGCACTTAGTCATATCAATATCGTATCTCACAGTACGTCTAATAAATTCGTAAATGAAAATACCTTGAATTATCAGGCCTTGGTTCTGTTTCTATAGTTATAGCTCTAGCTGGACAAGCACTTTAGCATAATTTGCATGCTATGCATCTAAGATTTCAGATTTCTGTAAATACCTCTCCTCTCCTGTTGGATATCTTCTTAATGCATGTTCTCCTCTAAACAATGGAGACAGAGGGCCTTTTTCATATGGATAATTGATGGTCCATTCAGGCTCGAAACAATAAAGGACACCGCAAAACCAAAAATGGTAGAGGTATTCTGGTTGTGTAAAATTTTGATATGCTGTTTCCCAAACATCTGTCCAATCCAATTCATCTGGCATGAACTTTCCTAAACAATCTCACACTACTAACATACCTTGATAGTAGTGCATCTAAACATTATTCTCCTAATCTTTATCAAAATCAAGAATGCTTGAATTGAATTAAGGAGTGGCAAATTTGCTATTTGGATCCTAAGAATTTGCAACATGATAGTTTACAGAATTCTTAATATAAACTAAATATTCATCTCTTTTCATTACCACAAAATCGTGCTTATCTTGATTTCTAAAGCAATTTAGTCAACATAAATATTTATATTAAATAATAATTTTATAAACTCTTTTACTTTCTACACCATTGTGATGTCCAACCTTATATCTAAGAAGAGAGACCATAAGATTTTAGATTCAATCATTTACATAGGTTTCTGATTACCTTTCTGAGAGATAAAAGAAATTAATAAGTTAATTTATTTATCTATTGATATCTTTATGTTCTGAATTAATAGTAATGTTGAAGTAGTGTTAGTGCTACTTATAATGAGTATAGAACATATCAGAATTTAAGATAAATGATTAATTTATTTAAATAAAATTCTAGAATTTTCCTTAGATTTTTAACTTCCTCTCTGGTTCTAAATAAATATAATAATCTATAAAATACCAGCATGTCAAATAAAGAACAAGACTATTATGAGATTTTAGGAGTAAGCAAAACAGCTTCTGACGAAGAAATTAAAAAGGCTTATAGAAAATTAGCCATCAAGTGGCATCCAGTATGTTTTTTAATAACAATTTTAGGATAAAAACCCTAATAATAAAGAAGAAGCCTAAGAGAAGTTTAAGAAAATTGGGGAAGCCTATTCAGTATTATCAGATAAGGATAAACGAGCTATTTATGATATCTATGGTCATGATGGGTATGGCAATCTAATCTTATATTTTTAGTTTAAAAAATGGTGGCGGTGCCGGTTCATTTAAAGGATTTCATGGTTTTGGTGGTTTTGGAGATGGATTTGACGCCTTCAAGTAATTTGAGAGTTTCTTTTAAAACTTTGGAATGGATGATGATGATTTTGGGTTTTTCTTTGGAAGAAAAGGCAACAAAAAGAACAGTAACAATTCTCAAAGAAGTCCATTTGGGTTTGGTGGATTTGGAGGTTTTGGTGATGATGACTTTATGGGCATGGGAGGAGGTTCATTTTCATCATTTTCATCTTCAAACTTCGGAGGTGGATTTGGAGGATCAACTTCCGTCTCTACTTCAACAACAATTCAGTATGAATAAATATTAAATGACTTAGAAATGGTCGTAAAGTCACAGTTACAAGAAAGACCACTACAAAGGCTGACGGAACCACAGAAGTAGTTGAAACAATAGATAATGGAGGAAGAAAAGAAGAGAAAAGATACTAATTAGAAAATGGATAAAGAACCGATGGATCAAGATCTATTAAACATTGATAACTAAATTTTATATTCTCCTTTCATTTATTTATTCTAAATTCTATAATCTACATTGATTTAGAAAATAATATTAATAATGTTTTCACTTTCAAAATCACTTATGAATTATTAATAACTTATTAAATAAATTAAAATAACTTAATAATTTATTATTAATAATTAAGATTTAATAAAAAATAAAATTAGAAATTTAGAAAAATTGTATACCTGGTTATTAAGCTTAATATTATGAAGAAAAAGAAATCTAGCAAAATACCTTTGGCTAATAAATTCTTAAATATTCAATAATAAACTCAATACTTAAGATTAATATTAGAAAAAGTAATGATTAGGATGAATTAAATTAAATAAGGAAAATAAGGAGATTGATATTGATGCATTTTGTTATCAATTAAAAAATCCTAATGCTAATATCTAAGCAAGATGAATCTTTTATATAAATCTTTATTTTAATATATGGATGCGTGTAAGGAGTTTTAATATTACAGTAAAGCTAATGTGTTAACAGCCAGATCCTTTTATATATAATCATAATAATTAAACCAAAAATGCTTAGTTATACAGACCGTAAAATAACTTCTATGAGGTTCTTGAAAAGGAGGAATTTTATTATCAACAAAGAAAAATATATCCTAATATAGAGGAGCTCAGGAATAAATCAGCTAAATATTTAATGTCCCTCAGATGTATTTAGAAAAATATAAATATGCAAAGTTGTATTTAGTGATATTTTCTTACATAATGACGATTTAAGGATGAAAATAATAAATTTTAAATTATAACTATGGGCAGAAGAAATAAATTCAGAAATAAAACTTTAGAGCACCGAAAGTGAACTAAATTCTTCATAAATGATACATTTATTAATTGCAATATAAACAATTATCAATAATTTTGATTTGCATATTCAATTCTTATATCATCAATTGGATGGGTTTCAGGAGTGGCTGTTTCATCTTCCTTGTACATCTTAATAGATTTGTCACATTCACCAGTCAAAAATCTAAAATATATTCAGATATTACCTCATTTAACTCTGATCAAATGTACAACAAAATATACCATTTTCAGCTGCAATAGAACCAGGTTAAGCGATAGTATTAATCTATTAGAAGTTGTATCCTGATTTCCAATCCCAGAAATACAACGATCCATTGTCTGCAGCACTTGCCAATACATTATTTCTATTTATAGCTACCGAATTGATCATGGCATTATGACCAGATATATTCCTCAAAAATGTACCTTCAGGACATTTCCAAACCTTGAGATTGTCAGATGCTGCTGAACAAAATGTATATTCTAATGGATGGAAAGCCATGGCTCTAACTGATTTCTTATGATTAGTTAAAGTAGATATGCATTTTCCAGAAGTCATATCCCATAATTTGATCATGGAATCTTAAGATCCACTTACAATTTAAGGTTCAAATTCTTAACAAATTATTGAATCAATTGTGTTTGTGTGTCCTTCTAACACATGTATTTATTATCTGGCTCTAATATCCCATACTCTGCATACAGAATCTCTTCCACCACTTACTAATACATCTAAAGTTGGATGCAAAGCTAAACTATACACTCCTGACAAATGTCCATGATAATCTCTGATCATCTTATTTTATTCTAGATCCCAACATTTCACAGTTTTATCTTCTGCACAACTAAACAAATATGGATGTCTAGCACTAACTATCACAGATCTTATAGTTGAGATATGACCCGTGAAGGTTAATTTTAAATTTCCTGTTGCCAAATCCCAAAACTTAATAGTTCGATCACTTGAACCTGTAACAAAAAACTAATTTCCAGGATCCACAGCTATGCATCTTACCCATCCATGATGTCCACTTATAACTCTCATTAATTTCCAAGGAGCATGCCATTCTGGTTTAATTATTTTCTTTATTTTTTAAACCATCACTGTTCCCAATCTGGCTGGCTCAATTACAGATAATTGATGCTCATTTGGATTTACAGCAACTAATGATTTATTTTAAGCTTATTATTTATCATTTTAAATATAAGTGTTATTGGTTTGAGTTGCTGAAGTCTTTTCATCAAATTTTAAAAATTATTGTGGTAATTTAGATAATTTAGTTTCCTTCTACTTGTCTTTTTAATAATCTTCTATGATTTTGTCAATTTATCTTTTATTCTCAGGTTTTTTTTAGTCTTTTATTTCAGTTTGTATATTCTCAAATTCCTAATGCAAAGAATCAGCCAACTCATTACTTTTAGTGACATTTGAATATTCATAATTTACTTTTGTGTTTATTTTGAGTTTCAATGTTTCATAAAATTCTGGTACTCCTTTACCTTATTAAGCCTAAAATAACTTTTTCGAGCTCAAAACCAAATCTTCACAATTAGATTCCAAAGTTGGGTAAAGAGTCTTCAATTCTTCAATCATTATTTATATTATAATTAACTATAATATAAATCAAGCAAATATTATAAATAGGCAGACAAATGGTTAAATATCGGTGTTTTCAATCTAAATAGCATAGATCAAGATTTGTTTTAATTCATTTAATATCCTCCTTTCATGAAATTTTAAGGTATATATGATCTTCAAAAGAAATATTGTTTAAATGATTGCCTTTCATATTTAAATTAATTAAGATTACTGATATCATATAATTAACTAAGTCTTTACAAGTTTATTTGGGAATCAATATTCCGTTTTATTACAATAAAATAATATAATAAATTATTCTTTTTAATCTCATCGATATTTTACATATGTAAGGATTTTTGGACATCTCAGGAATTCAGTCTAATGAAAAGACTATGTTACTTGATATTTCAGCAATACCTTTAAAGGAGGATCATCTGGATGATGAACTCATTCATTAATAGTTAATGATTTTGTAATCATAAGAAGCTATCAGAGAAAAAGACAATGATGAAGATGTAGTAAAGCATGCCAGATAACTGAAAAAAAAAGTGATTAACTCATTAGAAAATTATTCGAAAATGCTAACTAGCAAAGATAATTCTATAAAGAAAGTTATTAAAAATGATTTACAAATAATCAATGAAGAATATTAGGAATTATTATAAATTGTTGATGAAGTTGAATCAATATCAAATGAAGTTCAGATGATAATTAAATTGGTAGGAGAGTTTTTAGAGAAAATGAGTTTTAAATAGAATGAAAAAAGAGACATATAATATTCAAAAACAATGTCAGAAAAATTATAAAGGGGTCCCATAAGAGCGAATACTTTCTAAGGTCATTCTTATGATTGCTATCAAAAATAAAGATTATTTCCATCATAATAATTATAACAATAATAACAATTAAGCAATAACTCTTGTGAATCGGATGAAAGCACTATAGCTAGTAATAAAACATTAAGTGCTTTAAATAATAAGATCTCTTCTTTGATTTAATAATTATCATAAAATGATCAGTATTAGAGAATAACTCATTACGCTTAAGAAATCTTGAATAGTTCTGATAATATGGAAACCTTTAAATTACTACGATAGCTCTCCAAATAATTTGAAGATCCAGAAGTTAAGAAATTAGTTAAAGCTTGTTATCTAAGATCTCTAGTTTAAGAATAATCTTAGAATAATACTTCGAAAAGAGAATTCTATGATTTAGTAATCAAAATCAAAAGCCAAGTACCCGAAAACAATAAAATACATTCAATGATGATAAGCTCATTGTATGATGACATAATAAAAAAAGGAGTGCCAAATACAGAGTGGGAAAACTATATGAAATAATTATGCAATTGAATATAATACTTTTATTAATAATTTAAGATCCTTTAAAATAGTTACAGCTGATAAAACAGCCATATCAAGAATGTATTATTTTTAATATACAATTATAACATTAATTTCTTCACTTTTATAGATGATATTTATAAAATTTTAGAATCAATACAGAATAATAAACAAATTGATCTAAAATTATGCGGTAATTCATAAAGTGTTTTTACTAATTATGTATTACTAATATTAATTATTTTAATCATGAAATCAATCTCTTATTTGTGTTTAAGGCAAGGATAAGCCGATAAAAATCAAGTTTATACTCTAGCTCCATATATAAATTGAAACTAAAATATAGTGGATTCTATATCTATTCTATTTCAATTTTTAATTTCCGTTTAAGAGCCAGAAAATTAACACTAGATATTGACTATATGTCAATTTTAACAAATAACATTAAATAGATTGTAAATTAATGATAAATCTATCGAAAATTATAATGCTAGGATATTTTAACAATTTTCACTTAAAACCGAAGAATTATTATACATCAACCGTCCAATCCTTCAACTATTTGATAGAAGTATCATTAAAATTGAATCTTAAACTGCCAAATATATGCTTATTTTATTTATTAATTTAACATAAATTTATTTAATCATTTATTTTAGTTGATATATCTTATTGCTTTATATAAAATGCATTATTTAATATCTAAGACAGTAAATAGTGATTATTATTCTTCTGACAGATTCTCTTCCTTTTCTCCCAAACAATATTATCTCAAATAACTATGTAGTATTAAAATACCTAATTATTACAATTCTTTTACCTTAAAGCCAATTGACAAATTTTAATAAAGGTGAACTAAGTTTTGCTAATACTACTAAATCAAACTTTGGGCTTTTTAGAATTTATTTGATTAAATTCACTTTTTGTCTTGATAACGTTTCAGGGGGAAATTCTGAAATTTGTGACCATGAATTTGACTAAAGCAGGAAAGATTTTAGTGTAGCCCAATAATTAGTATTGTTTTTTTAAGGAATGTCAAATAAAATTAAAAAAGGTTTGCAAAAAATTTCAAATGCTTATGTTGGATGATTAAATGCTTTCAATTCACTAAAGTCACTAATTGTAAATTATTGAACTAATTAGACAGCTTTATCCTTTTGTAACCCTAGTTTTGGTCTCAATTTTTGTATACTTTGAAGAGTTTATTTATTTTATTTTTCAAAAGCTCTTATGATATTTGCTTCATTTTCTATTCTTAATTATAGATGAGTAATATAGAGTTTCTTCGATTATGAAGATGTACAAGCAAAGTTGATTAAATCAGAATAATTTAAGTAATTTAAAATTTTAGTAGTAAAGATGGTATCAAATTATAAGAAGTCATATTCTGGTATTTTCTCAATTTAATATATGTTCATGCTTTCAAATATGGCTGTTATTTCAGTTAATATTTCTAGAGTCTTTTCTCTTGAATCAAGACTACCCTTAAAATTTGAGTAAACCTAAAAAAATTATTAATTCAGCCTTTATGCTATTTCTGACTTTTAATTTTAATCAAAGTACTCTAAAGATTAATTGATTATATTTCTCATATTTAATGTTGATAGCTTACCCAATGTAAAAAGAATATTTAAGTATTTAATACACTCATTGTATAAATACACAACAGTTTCATTAGAATCAAATTAAGTTGGTAATATTGTATGTTAAATGATAATAAATAGTTTTAAATATAAGTAGAGAGGATAAAGGATTTGGAAATTATATGAAATTTTTGGATTATTTTGGACAAGTGTGCTTAGATTTTATAATGCATGAGCTGCCAATTAAATTTATTATTTTTTTTTGTTAAAAGGATTCAAATGAGCTTTCGTGACTCTTATTAATTGTTTTTACGCTAAAACGCTTCTAAGAGTGTTTAAATTATGTAATTATGTATAAGCAGTATTGATATAGAAAGTAAATTCATCATCACATTACTTAATATATTCAAAATTGTTAAATTGAACTAGTTCTTAATGTTTATCAATTAAAAATGTATAGGCCATATCAAATAAAGGATTAAAGAATCCTAATTCATTTTAAAGATATTTATCTCTCTAAAATTATCGATTCTAATAAAGTTTGGCAAATTCAAAAGCTTATATGCTGAAAACAAGCCTATCCTCTAATTAAAGCTCGCATTCCGCCTTAAACTATTTGTTGATTAATCGATTTTGTAATAATGTTTAATCATCACAATAACTCAAACAAAGTATCAAAATGTTTATTCTATCCATATAACATTTACTATCTGATAAACTTTATGATTCTAAACTTGCTTTGTTTGCAGAAAAATTAAGAAATAGTTGAAATTTTTAATCTTAATGAATTACTCTTTTCCAAAAATTAATTAAATCTGAATGATATTTGTAATAATATGAAATCTAATTAAACTAATGTTGTTCACTTTAAGCAGCACTTCCAATTGTAAAGATATTTTCTAAGTAATACAATGAGATTAATGATTAACATAGAAGTATTGTATTATGTAATTCAGTTGAGAATTTCTTAGCTATTTTTTCATCGATTCGACTAAACTAATCAATATTTTGAATGATATTCTCATATTTTAAACCTTGTTTGAGATTTACTTTTTTAAATTGCTCAAAACTTGAAATATTAGCTTTTCTTTATCCTTAGAAGATAAGCAACAACACATCAAATATATATTCATATTATTGGGGTATTGAGCGAACCTTCTTTAAGACTTCAAAATCTCTATAATACTTTGAGATATTCTTTTTTGCTTAAATATGATCAAACTCAAACCATTTGGCTTTGGGCAAGAATGAATATAAATAATCTTTTAAAGATGCAAGGTAATATGAAGAGAAGAGATGATGTGCCAATGACTTTTCCTCTTTCACTAAATATTACTTGACATATTGCTTTATTGATTCTTAGATTACTGAGTTCACACCTCTGAAAGATATTAGATCTTTTAAATTCAGGTATGGTAATATTAACTAATTAACAATAATGAATACCTCTTATAGGCAATCTCTAGAAAATATCTCTTTGCATTAGGGAGACTAGACTTTCACAACGATCTAGCTGGAAGTCCTTTTATTTTTAATTGTTTTTTAGACACTTTCATCTTTAGAGTAATCCACATATTTGAATTATTATTATTCTTATTTTTGAACTCTTTCGATTTATTATGCTGTATCAATAAGTGATTAGGCAAGTTACGATGAGATGGTTGAATTTGCTTTCAATTCTTGATGGAGTTGGATGATTATACTAACGGATTGATGGAGCAGTTAATTTTTCATCATTTATTTTTATGAACTATTAATTTGTAATATAATTCATTAATATTATTTTAAAATCTCAACAAATTCCCGAATGAAGGTATTGATCCAATTTGAATATTATTCAATAGACTCTACTTAATCTTTATAGGAGTTAGCGGTGAAATTGGGAAGGTTAACACCTTCGTTTGATCTCAGATGTAAAACAGCTTATTCGGGCTCATTTTCCTAACATATAAATACTTTATTACAATTTCATTCATAAGTACATAATCACCCAATAAAAGTTCTTATATCAATTGCATATCAAAGATCATCTTATGATTTTTTTTGTCAGACTTTAATTTCTCAACGATAGATTCAACAATATTGTTGATATTGAATTAATTATCTTCCTCTTATTAGCTCATGGCCAAGAGGGAATAGAAACATTCAACAATTACTTTATATGTATAGGTGAATTAGGGAGATAAATACCTTATGAGTGACAAGAGGCCTTATTTTGTCTCATTTGTAACACATTCCAACTTTAGGTCTATTTGATCTCCATCATTATTAGATAGAAATAGATAGGTTGTTTATTCTGAGTACCCTAAGTGCTACAAGATGGCAGCATTTTTTTCCTTAGTTGAATATGATAATGATACCTTAAGTTTTTTCTTGAATTCCTTCTTAAATTTTTTATAGGATTTGAGATTAGTCTTTCCAAAAAGATCTAGAAACTCCTTTTTAACCGTTTCTGCTGGTTTTCCTGTTTTTACTTTAAGGATCATGTTTCCTTTTTTGCAAAGGTATATCAAACATCTCATAGAAATATCAGTACAAAACCATATGTTTTTCATACTGCTCTTGATAACTTGAAATTGATCAATAGGTAATTAGGAAATCGAGGGTTTCCCTGGTCTTCCAGGATTCCAATTAGTTTGCTTTTGTACCTTATTCTTGATTTTTTTTGATTTTTTGCTTATGGAAGATAAACTTTCAGGCTTGATCTCTGAATCTTCGCTATTAAACTGAACCTGAGAATCAGAATTGCTCGACATTTTACTTAATAATTTTATTATATAAAATCTATCTGAACTAAATCAAATTTATAAAAAAAAAAATTAGCCAAACGAAGGGGGTCACCTTTTTCTGAATGTATTTAAATGGAAAACCTATCTTTTTCCAATTTATTCACTGTTTCAAAATTTCTATAATATAATTATTTGTTTGAGTAATAAATCATTAATTATATAATAATTATACAATGAAAAATACGATAAAATATATATGTTTGCTTGATTCAAAAAATGTTCCTATTATTTGTAGGAATTATGAAAACTTTGATGAAGCCTTTATAGAATTGATTATCAATACATAATGCGATTTGATTGAGCTTGCTTATCAAATTTCGCCTAATAATGGTTATATGGGATAAATCGGAATTTTGAATGAATTGAAAATATTTGGATTCATGAGTATGACCGAGAACAAGATAATAATGATTTGTACAAAGGAGGAAAAGAGACCCAAGGATCTGTTGAAATAGATCTATGATTTGTATAAATCTTATATTTTGAATCCTTTTTTCGAAGAAAAGAATCTCTAAGACCTATTGAAAAAAATTGATGATTGTGTTAATTCTTATAATTATAATGATGAGTGAGAGAAAGTAATATTTATTAAAATAATTGAATTTTTATAAAAATTAATGAATGCATAATTGCTTCACTATAAATTGGAATAGTTGGAAGTCAAGGGTAGTTCAAAATTCGAAGTCGTTTTTGCTGCCCCTGATACCCAACAAGAATAATATTCAAGATATACATTGAGGGCATGGTGGATTGTATTATAGGCGCATCGAGATAAACCATATGCAACTAGAATAGATTTGTATGAAAGGGCCTTTAAATACATTCCAAATTGTTATAAATTATGGTTCAATTATTTGAAGGAATAACTAGAAGATTTGGGAGGTAGAAGCACATTCTTATCAAATAAATTTGAGGAAATGATTACCTATTTTGAAAAAGCACTAGTATATATGCACAAAATGCCTAATATCTGGTTGATGTATGCTGAATATTGCGCATCATTGTAGAAATATACACAAACTAGAAATGTGTATGATCGAGCCCTTTAATCATTACCAGTCACTCAACATCATAGAATTTGGAAAGCTTATTGTTAATGGGTATGAATTATAATTAAATTTACAGATATCGAAAACAGAATCAATAACGACTGCAATTTCTATATATAATAGATATATTAAGATAAATCCAGATTATAAAGAAGAATATTTAGATTACTTAGTATCAAAGCAATTGTGGGGAAAGGCATGCTAAATTTTAGTAGATATCTTAAATGATGATCAATTTAATTCTGCAAGTGGAAAAACCAAATATGACTTTATGAAATATTTATGCGAAATCATTGCTAGACATCCTAATGATTTACCAATTGATGCAGCATCAATAATGAAATTTGGAATTAAGAAATATTCAGATGAGATTGGATAATTATGGATAAAATTAGCTGACTATTACATAAAAACAGGTTAATTTGAATAAGCTAGAGATACATTTGAAGATGCAGTCAATAATGTGTTAACAGTTAAAGATTTTAGTTTGGTTTTTAATGCATATGTCAAATATGAAGAAACAATTATCTAAATGCTGGAAGATTTTGATGAGAATGATGAAAATCAGGATGATATTGATGATACAATATTATCAACTAAATTGGATTAATTACTAAAAATAAAGTCATCATAAGATGATGAAGTCTAAATAGAAGATGAGTTATTATTAAAAATGGACAGATTGGATGAACTTTTGGAAAGAAGACCCATACTTTTGAATTCATGTATATTGAGATAAAACAAATATAATGTTGAGGAATGGTTAAAAAGAATTGTATTAGTCAAAGGAGATGAAAGAATGGCTTTGAAAACCTTCACTGAAGCACTTGAAATTGTTGAACCTAATCTAGCAGATAATGGAAAGTTGAGTGATATTTGGATAGCTTATGCTAAATATTATAGAGATAAGGGTGATTGGAAAACTTGCAATTAAATCTTCCATAAGGGATCAAAAATAGAATTCAAAAATATTGAAGAACATGTCAATCTATGGTCATAATGGGTTGAAACATTACTTATAGATGGATTTGTGAATGATTCTCTTACTGTAATTAAGTAAGGGTTATTTAAAAAGTATGTAAAGAAATTAGATAAAATGACTCCATCAGAAATGGTGCCCTATTCATTACAATTATGGCAACTCTATCTAGATTTAGAGAGGAACTTTGGAAATTTTAAATCATTGCGTGCAGCTTATAAACGCATGGTCGAATTAAAAGTTGTGACTCCTTTTATTATCATTAATTATGCTCAACTTTTGGAAGATAATGCATTCTATGAGGAGTCCTTTAAGGTTTTTGAGGCTGGAGTCTAATTATTCGATTGGCCAGCTTTGTATGACTTATGGATTGTTTACATAACTAAATTTATTTAAAGGTATAGGGGTCAAAAAATAGAAAGAACTAGAAACCTCTTTGAAACTGTTATCGAATAAGTGCCAAAAGATGTAATATTTATTATGATATTAGAAAAATCGAATATTTTATTTAATGTATGGAGAATTTGAGGAACAATATGGATTATTAAATCATGCTATTGAAATTTATGATAGAATGGTATTTAATGTTGAATACCAGGATAAAATGGAAGCGTAAGATATATCATTTATTTAGTTATAATATTTATATAGCCAAGGTAGCATTATATTTGGGTATTACGAAAACTAGACCTGTATTTGAGAGTGCAATTGAAAATTTATAAGAGGCAGAATTAATTCAAATGGGATTAAGATTAGCTTAATTGGAGAGAAAATTTGGGGAAATAGACAGAGCAAGAGCAGTCTATATACATATTTCTTAATTCAGTGATCCAAGATTCGATGATTTTGGATTATGGAAAACTTGGGAGAATTTTGAATTGCATCATGGAAATGAAGATACTTATAAAGAATTCAGAAGAATATCAAAAAGTGTGGTGGCCAAATTCAGTTTAATGCCTCCGGATCCAAAAAAGATTAAAGAGAGAGTAGAGAAGGGATAATTAGGGTAAGTATGAAAGAATATCAATTTTATATTCATATTTTATTTTAATATAAATAAAAGAATTAGTAGCAAATATTTGATATAAATAATAATATAAAATTTACAGTTAATATGGAGTTGATCAATTAGAAATGCCATAAATATAACGAAGGATGGTCTGAAAGAGAATTATTAGCTAAACAAAGTATGAATATAATTTTTACTTTAAGAATTGTCGACCAGATTAACAATTTTAACTTTGCTTTTCGCAATAGGATTAATCGTAGTTTCCTTAGTGTTTTTCAATCAATATTCTTTCACTATAATGATACTTTTGTTAATGTCAGCAATATTCTCATTGATTTTATGTGTAAGAATCTATGTTAATTTGAATTTAGGGTATCATTTTTTATTGGTTTAATACAACAACAGTAAGAACATAAGATGATCATTAGTAAACACATGAAGTCTTGGATGTGGATTAAAGATTCTCCATTGTAGTATTTTTGGGATCATTCTTAAACATTTTATTTAACTGTTTTTTATTAGTGTTCATAGTATTTTGGTATAGGATTGGGAAAGATTTTTATTTAGCAAGACATTATGATAGTTAAACAACTCCCACATAATACATGAGTTATTACACTTATGGATTATACATAGCAATTCCAATTGTGATCTTAATTAGTTTAATGTTAATGTACGTAGCATTTACTAGTTATATCACAATTCAATAGAAGAATTAGTTGAGAGTGTGCATCTATGTTTTTTCTTTAACAACAATCATCATAGCTTCATTTGCACTCCTTTATTCAAATTAAGTGTTAGCAGATTTGGCAACTCCATACTCTCCTATTGCACCTAATCGTGCATTCACAATCTTTTATATTTTAGCTGTTGGAGCAATAATCACAGCATTAATATCTTTTTTATTGACATTTATATACAGGAATGATCTTTTTGAAACAGTAGGTTATGCTAATCTTATCATAATCTTTTTGATTGCTGCTTGTTCATTTCATGTCATCAGACTCAGTGAATAAGTCAGAACAACTTATATCAATGATTGCACTCAATAAATGAGAAATACTCATGAGAGTTGGATGTAAGAAAATGCCTAATGCAAAAAATATTTAGAAAAAATATAATGTGAACCTCAGAATTAAGCAATATCATGGGAAACAGATTCAACTTAGAAATGCCTGAACATATCTTGTTGTAATGCATTTTCTGATTCGATGTCATAAAATTTATTCAAAGCTGGCTTCTCAATCTTATTACTTGTAATCAGTGGATTTGCCTTGTCTATGGCTTTATTGCAGGTTGATACAAGTGTGAAAACTTAATAAATCCCAAATAGAACTTTAGATTGGATATTTGTTTTATTAGCGATAATAATTTTCATCTTTTCATTTTTATTAGTGTTTTCTGTACCAACATTACCCCCTTAGATGGATAATATCATTATTGAAAACTAAAAGGTAATCAAAGAAAATAAAAGTCCTCTTGTGTATCCTACAGGAATTGAGAATGTAACAGGATGTGAACCATTGATTAATGTTTTCAAATAGTAAAACAATAACAAAGATATCGATCTAAAAGGAAACTCTAGAGTTACGATCTTGGCTCCAAAAATGCAAGTCGTGGTCACTGAATATGTAAATTCTCCCAATGTATCATACATTCCTAAATTGATGATAAAGAATATTCTATATCCTTAAGCAAATGAAAACACAGATGGCATGTTCGGAGTTTAAGGTAATAAAGATGAAATTAAAAACATCTTATAAAATCATGTACAAATTTGCAGTGAAGGAGAAAAAAAGATACAAATCGATATTTATGAAATTGAAACGGCAAAAAATACTAGGTTATTGTGGCAAAGACATAGAACACATGAAGAAGAAAAGAAATTCTCTTAAAATCAGAAAGAATATATTAATAATCTTAAATTTACAAATCTTTAGGTCAATATAGTGGATATTTAAACTGGTTAAGAATTAAATGATGTCATTTTATATTTCTATAAAAACGAAGACGATTGCGGAAGAGTTAAACCTATCCCATCAAGATTGAGTAATATTTATTTAAGATTATTTTAGTTACTGTAGATTAGGACAGTGTTTTATATAATATGGTTGTCAAAGAATACTATTTTGGAGCTGAGAAAAAAGGGTATTATTTATATTGTAATAAATTCAAAAACACTCAGGAAACCAAAAGCTTGGAAGTGACAATGATTCCAAGATCCACAATAAAGGGTTAGTTTACTGTTGTATTGGAAACTCCAAAGCATAATAAATTTGAACTGCTACTAGGTGCTTCATACACAGAATGTACAGTTGGTTTTTTCAATGAAAATTGTGGGGGTTTGAAATTCTATGGAAGTGAGAATGCTCAAGCAATCTATGTCAATCAATTGGCCGAAAGAAAATACACTTTCTTTGTTGCATTTGACCCAATAGATCCAAAACTAAAAGAATTAAATATTAAAAAATAACAAGGACATTCTATTGACACATCAGCTATTGATAATGATCCAATTTTTAAAGAAATCAAACCTGTCATAACTCTTTATGCATCTGAACAAGAAAGACCCATTATTAGATACTAATTACCTTAAGTTAGCAATCTTAAGAATGAGCCTAATCTGACTTGGTTAGTCCTTTGTGTAGATGGAAGCATAGGTGACATTTCATAAAAATCACCAGCTTAATTTTGGACTTATTAAGCTAATCCAAATAAATTATAAAGACCAAGTAATTCCAAAGAAATCTACCCATAGATATGCAACAATATATGATAATAATTTTCATAAATCATATTAAAACTAATATTTAGTATTTATAATTAATCCAATCCTTATATAAACACTTAAAAATAAACTTAGAGGATAAAAAAGGTTGTTAAATTGGTTTCATTAGGTAAAAAAAGAATTAATAATCTAAATTACTTAAGAATATTATTAAATAGCCTGAGTATTTCATAATATTATTATTTTAATAATTAAAACATTTTCATCTTTATGTCATCCATCACAAGTTGTAAATGTATTAATGTCAATTTGTTTTTATATTATAATTCTTTACTTTGATTCCTCTGAAACTATCTGATTAAATTTGATCTACTCAAACGATAACTTAAGCTTTCCTTTTCTAAAATTAATTATTCTAGAGCTTTGTTAAAGATGGTTATACTTCAAAAAATAAATAGAAAAAATTACACGCAATTGATCTGAGATAAATCAAAGCTTATGTACTTAAAAAATAGGAGAAAACAGATAATGTTCAAAATATGAGAATATTGCCATTCTGATCATGTGATCAATATTTCTTTCTTTGGTTTTAAAATTTTGTTTAAAATAGAAATGTAGTTATTTAAAACTTGAGAAGATCTAAATTAACATCAAATTCACTTTCTTTATTTTATTATTCCTTTATTCTTAAGTAAACAATCGACTTCTTGCTAGTTATCCAATCAAACCAATAAGATGATATTTTTGTGTTATTAAATCGGATATAATAATATATACAGAAATATGAGGTCTTAGCTCAGAAATTATAGCAAATCTGGTTTGATGCTTGATTCTAAGTTGTAATTATTACAACCACTTTAAGAACATACATAAAGCGATTTTACTTCTGCAACTATGCATAATATTGAACTATAATATTATGAATACGACATTTATTCTAGTAATCAATCTAAATTGAATCCTCGATTACTTTTTAGAGAAGCGAAGAGAAAAGATAGTTATTTTAACTTCCATTAAGAAACAGCCATCAATATTACTTTCCTGTTTTTGCAGTTTCTTAAAGAAAACAAATCCTTAGTTCGAAAATTTCTTTTCGCAAATGTGGTATTGGATGTAGTTTTAAGAATTGCCATATTTACTTTGCTTTGCTTAAAATTATCAACGCATACTAAAATTACAATCTACTTTATTACATTATTCCAAATTTCGAGAGTATTCCATATGTGTTGTACTATTAAGCTGTTATTTATGGATTAATTTAATTTATAGAATAGATCTTTTATTCCAATTAGTCATTTGTATAGAAAAAACTTCATTACAGAGGAAGAACCTAGAGAATGTGATTTGAAACCTCTAAATTATAAAAATAATATTTTGAGTTGTCGAACAATCCTATTTGTATTATTGCCAGTAGAATTTTGTTTTCTCTGCATTCCCAAAAAGTAGATAAAAAATATTACTAATACCATAATGATTAGCAGCTACATTTTGAAGAGCATAGAGGTAATAATTTATGACGCACCTCTACTTATATTAATGTCATTACATGATGGTTTATCTGGGTATATAAATTTGAAAAACTCGAGTTTGATATTTATATTACTGATTGCAGATATTTTAAAATATGTCATATTAAATATATATTTGGTAATTTTCAGCGAGACAGGATAAAACAACACCATAAAATTTTGATTCAGTATATCACTTTAATATAGTTTTGATCTATTATGAATTGTTTAACATTATATTATTAGTATTTTTTAGAGTTTTTTAAATTTATTAGTTATAAAATAAAATATAACCTTTATGATTTAATCATTATATTTTGCAAAAAAATAAAATTATCAAGAAAGTTTAGGTTTTCGACTACTTTTGAGCTTTTGAAAAGATTCTATTTGATTCTTGAATATTTCAAATCCAGAAAAAACTTACTTTGTTAATAAATTATATAAAGTCTAATTACTATTGGTCATTATTAATCGCTGAAAGTTCATGAACAATAATTTTAATTAAATCTTAAACATGAATAATCAAGAAACCTACACTCATTCAACAACTAAGTACAAACCAATACCAGGAAATGAACGCATTTAGATTGTAAAGGCTTTAGTCAATAGTAAAATGAGTCCTTCTTAAGTAAAATAAACATGATTCCAAAAGGTATCAGATCTAACAGGGTATAATCTCTCGACAATAAAGGCCATATACCGAGTCTACAAATAGGAAGGTAGAATGTGGAAGAAAGAAAAAAGAGATCAGCTTGTTAAAGTTATCTAAAATTTTGCTATTTGTTTGATTGACGAGGCGTAAGAATTACCTAATTTTTAGCACTAATACCATCTAATTGATGGCAGTCAAATCAACAAAAAGTGATCAAATTAAGAATAATAATGATCTTGAGATTCTAGAAGATAAGACTCATGAGAACTCCATTAAATTTTTTAAGGAGAATGAATCTAAACTTTCATTAATCATAAAAGATTAGAATCAAAAGGAAGAACTTAAGAAACAATTTCAAACACTAAATATAACAGAATTTTAAGATATCAGTAAATCAGCTTTAAAACCAAAACATAGTTTAAAATGGAAAAAGATAAAAAAGTACTTTTAAAAACGACAACTAGATTATCATTACATTGAGTCTTGTGGGTTAAATCAATTAGAATATGAAAATATGAATACCTCGGAGAAAGTAACAGTCCTGAGGAATATACTTGAATCTCAAATGAATTTAATGATTTAAAATTTAAGCAAATTTTGATAAATAAATAATTATTAAAATAATCCTCTCTAATCAAAAAAGCAAATAATTAAAATTTGTTGGTCTGATTGCTCTAAACACCTCACTGAAAAGAATAAAACCTAAATTAATTTAGAATCCACTATTTTGTAATTTTAGGCCATAGACTGATTAAAATAACAAATGAATATAATTATATTAAAAGACTCATTAGAACGCAGCCAGTCTATTATTCATTGATCTTGAAAGTATAATTTATTAAATTGGTTGTCTTTCACTTTATATAATTGAAAATTAGCCCGCAACTATTGAAGAGGAACTTAAATTTCTGACCTTCATTATTTGTGCTCCTTCTTCCTCAAACAAATTCTCCCTGCAGAGTGGACAAGTTTGTTATTTTTGTAACCATTCATTCAAACATTATTCATGAAAAATATGCTTACAAGAAGTTTATCTGCATTACTAATTTTCCAGTAAATCTAAACACACTATACATTCTTCATCTTTTGCAGGAGTCACAATTGCCAGTTACCCAACAATATCCATTTTTGGTTGATGATCAATTGAATATTTTAACTTGCTTATCTAAATATATTAGCATCTCCTCCTTACTATAAATATTACAATTAATAAAATTATAAAGGCTACTACGCTAAGAATAGTCACTAATATGAAGTCTTAAAATGTGATCTCTTGACTTTTTAAATCAAAAGTCATTGAATATCTTTCTTAATTTGTATAGTTATTTGTAAAAATAAAAAAGAAGGAATAGCTAACCTAAGAACTGCTATAAGATTAATAAAATGGTGAAAAATCAATTGTAGTAGATCCATTTAAGGAATTGTTATAAAGGATATTTTGATTTTGAATACTTGTGGATATGTTTTGATATGGTAAAACTAGATAGAGCTGAATTTCAATAGCATGATTACTTGACAAAATCATATTTTTTGTCTATCTCTATCTTAATTAATAGAAATTACCCTTGGTCATTGATCAAATCTGACTATTGATACTGCAGTAATAAATACGAAGTTTCAAATTAATGTAATTCAATGTTATATTATTGAATGTTATAATAGCTTTCTATTTCAAATTAGCATCTTGATCTAATAAATTCATAACTAGATCTTATACCCAAAAAATGATTCATAACACTGGCAACTATTATTGATGCAATTTCCATTCTTAGAGCATTACTTAGGACATACTTTTTAATTTATTTATTGGATTTTGAAATTCGTCTCAGGTATTATAACTATTTCTAATTCGTAGTATGATCCTAATTTCAATTTATAATAAAGTTGTAGGTATTTTTCATAATTTTCAATGGCTTCGCTCTATTTTACATTATGTTCATAGATCTGAATTTTCATTTATACCCATTCCTCTGCTTCATTCTCTACTAACAAATATTGATTTGTTGCATTAAATTAGTACAGAATGCATTAAACTCCAACCAGCAAAAAGAGATATCCTAAGTTCATTAAAATATAAAATATTCAATTTGTTTATTATCAAAATCAATTTTCTTTATCATCATATCTGTTTAATTCACTCTCCAATATACCCACCAACTATATAATAATTTGAAAACTAATTTTAAAAATAATCAATATATAATTCTTATTTATTATGAAATCTAATGAATTAAAGTTGAAATCAAAGAATATTAGTGACTTTGTGGATATATTCATACAAAAAAATATGCAAGGAGAAGAAGTTTAACTACCTATTTTATGCTAATTGTCAAAATGTATTATTGATATACCTGTAAGACATTCCAACTTTGCATTAATTAAATGTATATTCGATTTAAACATTTGGTTAGAATATTGCCAAAAATACAAAAGAGGTGAAATGTATTCTATTTAGTTTTGATTAAATAGGATGATGGTTTGTCCTGGATGCAAAAAATAAATAATTTCAACTGATTATGGTGTAGATTACAAACTCTACCATGCTTTGGAAGCTTTTAAATTATTTAAGATATAATATAGAAGAATGAATCCCAATAAATATATTGAATAGAATGAACTATTTTATTAAGCATCTTACTCCAACCCAGTTTATAAAGTTAAAGTTAAGAATAACAAAAAAGCACTAGATTTTGAAAAAGTAATTATTCCAGGAACTTATCCTATTTTTGGGATTTAAAAAAGACATCTTCTTCAAATTACAAACCAAACAATTCAAAAAAAAAAAATTCATGATGAAATAGCCCAAACCATTGAAAAATTGTCCCAGTATTTCAATCGAAAATTGTATTTTCTTTCAAAGGAAAGATCAATAACAAAGTTACAATAGTTAATATACCCTAAGAAAAATGAAGTTCGGAATTTATTCAAAAATTCTATTAAATTAATTTCATTAGGAAAAAAATCTTTAAAAAATGATTTCATTTTTGCATTAAAAACAATATAAGGATTAGCAAATAGAATTAAATCACTTGTAAATATTGATTTCAATCTAGTTAATTGTATATTACGTGTATTATGATGTTTGGCAGGAATACAATTTAGAATATAATTCAAATCCTATTGATATTTTAGAACAACAATTATGCATTAAAGAATTTGGTGAAGGAAAAGATCATTAATTATATATAATAGGAGGAATATATACTACGGATAGATTCAAATAGAGTTCATAGTTTTTAAGAATTCAATTTCCAAGTAATCCATATGAGAAAAAAGAAGCTTAGTTAGAGATTTTACCAAATTTACCCATAGAAGGGTATAATTTTATGGGCACATAATATAAAGGGTATTAATAATTTGTACAATTCTAGAAAAATATATGTCTTCTATGGCTAAACAAGAAAAGTAATTAATGATGTGATTATTAATGAACTATTGAATACTACCTATGCTTTTAGAAGTAATAAATGGGAAAAACTTGATATTCTATTAGAAAATAGATTTGATGGAAGTTTTTTCATATCTCAAGACCCAATTTTTGATAAATTAGTAATATTTTATGGAGGTATATCTCATTATCCTGATGGAATACCTAACCAACTTTGTACATAATAAAACAGAATCTAAATATTTTCTTGCAAGGAAGAAAATTTATTAGGAAATTAATAAAAATATTTTGAACCTGAATTTTCGAAAAAGCCTGAAGATTAATATTAATAAAAAGTTCTATGCTCTCCTCTTTTCTCTTGTTCATATTATGGTAGAAACCAATTGATTTTGTCAGGAGAAAATCTCAAGAAACCACTGAATGCAGATTCAAAATTTGGAAAGAGAGAGATATATACTCTTGATTGGGAAAATGGGAGATTTAAGTTAAATGAAATATTTTCACTAGAACCTCTTCAATAACTTCTTACAATAGTTAAAGCGAGTAGATAATAAGGATCATTTTAGCCAGTGGAAGACTTTGAAGGATGCATTGCCTATGGGAATTATTATACAATATTTCACACTCAGAGTGAAAATAAATCCCAACAAAAAATTCAAAGTATCACTTAACTCCTAAAAATTGATCTTACAAATAGTCAGTGTAAATTTAAAACATATATAACTAGTTAGAATATATTAATATTAGGATAATGATCAATCAGTTTAGAAATCGAAGAAATTAATAGAAAAATTTGAAATTAGAGAAAATATTATTTTATGATATTACATTGAAGTTTGATATTATATTTAAGCTCTCTCCTATTTTTTACTTCTATTAAACGAATTAAAATCAAAAAACTGAAGCTAATTTCTACAATCGCTGATTTTTTGTATATTTCAAATTTAATTTTGCTTATTTGTTACAATAATTAATTGAAAATGCTTATTGGAAAATGATGAAAAAATATGTTAAATATAAATTGATGTTCCATATATACGCTATTTTATTAACATACTAACAGAATTTAGCAGATTTAAACTTAGATATAAGTCTGATGTATTGTTAATGAGTTTCAAACAGAATAAGATTTTAAAGAATGATTCTATCCATTTGAATAAGATAAAATAAATCTCAATCATTTTTTACTAATCTTTACTTTTTTATTTATTCTTTTATTTCCTTGACTTAGTATTAAGAATACCAATCATTGCTGTTTGTTTTCAATATTTCCTCATAACATTTTAAGGCATCATTCAATTAATTTAAGAACTTAAATGCTTGGCCTTCAAATGTCAATTAAATTCTTACCGCAATAATGCCATGCTCTTTCAGATCCTGAATCTTAACTCAAGATTTATTAGCAACATTAAACAGCTTATTCCAATAATCCTTACTACATTAAGATTTAGGCTAAAATTTATTCTAATTTTTACCTTTCTGTACATTCACATCTCTATTTGCTTTATTATTAGACAGAATTATGTCTAAACATTTTACAGCTTCCTTAATTTTATTTTGCTTGACTAAAACTCGAGCTAAAAATCAAAAGCAAAAATATACCTTTTTCCACACTTGGCTCTGCCTTGTTTTATTCTTAAGTAATTATTTCATCCCAACATTTAACAGCCTGATCATATCTTTGAAGAAATTCTAGAGTTCTGGCTTTTTTCATATTAGATGTTCTTATACCTTTCTATATCTGAGCATAAATTTCTTTTGGTTCAAAATTTAAAATCTTGTCACAACACTTGAGAGCCTTTTCATAATTTTTTAACTCTATTAACAACTTAACTATTTATTTAATTTATCTAAAACCTTTTGCTAAATAAGCATATTTATTCGTAGAGTCAATTTCGATTACTTTCTTATAACATTCTATAGCCGATTGTGGCTCGTTAATTTATGAAAATAATAAAGCTATCAATACTCAAAGAAGATACCTTTTTGTAAATACGCATACTTTTCATAAGGATCAAAGCTCAATAATTAGTCGCAACATTTAAGAGCCAATTCAAATTTGTTTTATTTTTATAATAGTTTGGCTTTTTCTACATAGATAAATTTATTTTTTCGATCAAAAGCCAATAGTTAGTCATAATATTTAAGTGCCTTCGATATTTATTGAATTTAATTTTGAAGTTAAGCTGATTAATATAATCTTTAATACATAATTCTTGAATTGCATCATTATTTTTTGAATTCTTTGATAAAATAGCTTCATAAGCTTTAATGGCATCTTCGATCTTTTATTATTTACACAATATTTTTGCTTAATTCAATAAAATAAAAATACCTTTTTCAAAATATGCCTAAGTAAAGCTACCGTCAATAGATATAGCTTAATTACAGCATTCTAAGGCCTCCTCAATTTTTTAAAGGCTAACTAAATTTTTTGCTAGACATCAATAATGTTATTCTACCTTTTTCAATTAAGGCTTCCACACATGTTGGATTTTTTTCTAATATTTTCTCGTATTTCATGATTTGATCCTCAAATACATAACCTTTCATTAATGAACTTAATATACATCTTCTTTGAACTAAGTTAGCAAGATTCAAATCAAAATTGGTTACAAGTTGTGAATCATCAAATTCTTTTTTGATTTAATTTAAATTTTCAATTTCTTCCAGATTTTCTTACTGTTGATTCGCATCTGTTTCAACATGGGTTGATGTTAGCATGGTAGGATCAATTCCGCTATTTGAATGGGAATACATTAAATATGAAACTAGTTTTTGTGAATTCTATAATAAATAATGAAGAAATGTTGGAAATTTTTGAGATTAGAATAAGATTATTATTATATATTTTGGGTTTAATATATATATTCAATGTTAGAAAGATTAAATTTAAACTAGTTACTTAGAAGTATCTCTTTTATTGAAACACATATTTGAACAACATTCATTTCATTATTGTATGGTTCTTTCATTTTGCTTCTAATGTTTCGAAAGTTATAGTAAATAATTGTAATGATTAGAATTTACATAACTTTTACATCATGGAATAATTGCTAAACTATTTTTCTTAATGGAAAAAATGTATAATCTAAATAATTGTTATTTGAATCTGAAAAAAAGTAAACAAGGAAAGTCTTAAATAAAGCATTCAGATGATGATCACAGGTTTGTATTGAAACAAAGGCATGAAACTTTATCAGATTGGATGTCAAAAAAAACTATCGAATCAGAGAGAGTACCAAAGCCAAGAGCAAAATCATAGTATTGTACCATCTCTAAAATTTAAAAACAGGCAACAGCATCTTTTTATGATTCTTATAAGCAAGCATTTCTTAAATTCAAGCTGAAAGTATTTATATTTTATTCATTATAAGCCTAGAATAAACAATTCAAATTAACCACCTTAATTGGCTTCAAGTGCATTTGGCAAAATTAATGATTCAGCATACATTTCAAAATCTATAGATTATGCTGATCTGTAAACGAAATCAACTAAATCAAATAAAAAGAGAACTCCGATAATTACAAGAAATAATCCATAATTTTAATCAATATTTGAAAGGATGAAAAAGGTATTAGATTAAAAGAAAAAAAAAGAAAAAAAATTACTCCAATAGATCGCAATGTTATAATCAGAAATTGTTAATTTAAAGTAGTAGCAATATTGATTATTTAATTATATATTATTATAACCAGAGAGAATACAAAATTAATTCTAGAATTGAGACGAATTGGTGAATGTCATTATGTATCAATATCGATTAAAAGAAGATGATTTATTAATATTGACACATAATTTATACAATATCGCCTATCTTGGGAGCATTTCAGTACATAAGTTTATAAAAATTAACAAAATTTTTACATAATTCTCAACCACAACACTTTGGTTATTGGCAATTGCAATAGACCTTGTCTTTTATCCCCTACAAACACTATTGGATTTCATCCGTAAAATATTGCAATTAAAACGTTTTCATATATTTTATGCTTGATTTTCTAGTCCATTTTGAAATGCAACATCTTATTGAATGATGAGATAAGTGTTTTCAATATTATTTGGAAATTAGACCCCTTAAATAATTGTTTTGTCTCAATTTTGATTTGAATTCCAAATGTTGATAAAAATTAAAAAATGTTAAAAAAATTAATTTGAAAGAATAAGCAGATACCCAAATTACAAGAAGGAATTGCTTATTCATCAAATAAAATAGAAATTCGTCATAAAATTAATTTTGAGAGAACTTCTATATTATCTAATAAATAGAATGTTTAAAAATACTACTTCCAATGTTTTTCAAGTTCACATATTTTAAAGACATAATAATAAACTAAATTATTGGTGAAATTATTGGATATTAATTTAATCATCTCTGTTAATATAAAACTGAATTTTTGAATCTCAGAAAGGCTTATTGTAGAAAATTTCAAGGAATTTAATCAAACAGTTTTATATCTCTGTTTATTTCAATTTTATTCAGGATAAAATTTACGATTTAAGAAAGAGGCTTTGTTGTTTTATTGTTTCTATATGTGTTTTTAATTTTTGTTTTCTATTTTTTATATTTTAGATATACCTTGTGTATTTCTAATGTCTATATTTACGAATTCTTAAATTATAGTCTTCCTTCACTTTTATAATAAAGATGACTAAGCATAGAATATCTTTAGTGATCAAGAAATTAATCTAATCCTTCACTGAAGATTTGCTCTATTGGAAATACACGCTTTGGCTGTAGGAAATATTATATATTAATACCAATATTTTGTTATTGGTCAGTAATAAGTTTTAATTTCATATTTGATTAAAAAAATTGTATAAGGTACTAGAAATGTTGTTTAATTAATAAAAATGTAATTTCTGTAAAACGATTTGAGCAAACTCTCAAATTCAGTCAATTTTCTAATTATTCAAGTTCAAATTCTTCTACCTATTTGAATTTAAAATTTTAGTTTTGGACAATAGATTTTGTTTTGTTTCTACTTCCTTGGGTGTTGCTTTTTTTACAAAAATTTGCCTTCTAGGATCATCCTACAATTTCTATTTAATACTGAAATTTCATCATTATAAAGTTAAACTGTTTTTAATGTCATTATATAACTAACTGTTGAGTAATATATATTATAACAATTCTGGTTCTTTGCTCAAGGATGTAAAATGCAATACCATAGCTTAGTCGTTGATATTTTTGTGCAGTCTTTGAATAGCGTACAGGCAATTTACAGAGTTATCTGCTGGTATGTGAGTATCCAAATTTTCTAAGAACCTTCCTTCTCTTTGCATAGTATTTGCTAGCTAATTATTTGAAGCTTATATGGAAATGAAGTTTGTGCTTTAAAATACTTTATCGCTTGTATCAAGGTATTAAATACGAGAGGTTCATATATTTAGTAAATTCTCCTTATAACCATAAAGCAAAACTATGCACACTTCTCAAATGAATGTGAATGCTACTGCACTGCTTGGTCAGATAATTGTACTCACAAAAAAGACTGCTGTTAGCAGCACACAGGCTGTTAGTGTAGTATTGGTTTAATCTCTAAAGAAGACCTTGAGCTCACAGTTGTGTTCATTATAGCCAACTAAATTAAGATAGTTGCTTAATCGATATTATTATCTAGATATGAGAGAAGTGCAAATTAGGGTTAAGGCTCTGACACCCTGACAAATGACTTTATGAATTGAGAATAATAATTGTATTCAATGCTTCTTTGAATTTCATTCTATTGTTAATTTTGATCGTCCGCTTCGTGCACACATTGTGATGGAGATTCAGTTGGCAAAAACTGTTTTCATAACAAGCAATTATGAAAATTTTACTTGCTTGTACATGATTTACATAAACGCTGCTTGTTTTCGCGACGCTAATGAGAAGAGTGTTACTGAGTAAATAAATCAGCTTTTAGATAAATTCTTAAGAAACAATATTTGTCTTTCTATTGATAACGCCTAATCCATTTATAGCGTGATTTATATTAACTAGTGGATACGCGATTTGTGTAATTATTATGACTACCCTGAGGTTTTATCAAACCTTTATACTTGAATCAGTAATTGCCTCTGAAAATGTGTGTGAGGTTTAAATCATGTAAATTCAAAATCTTGTTATGTAAAGCTAATTGCTCTATTAATTATTGATGATCAGTAAGATTAATAATCTTAAATTGAATATGAAAATGATTAACCCTATCAATAAAACCAATTAAATAAGAAAAGAATCACAAAAACTGATCAATTATTTCTCTAATACAAGTTATCGATTGTAGGTGCTGATTGAAACAAATTATTCAGATATTTTTCTTCACTAATATTCTTTAAATTGATGATTAAGGCTAATTAATTATCCATCGACTGCCATAATATGATTTAAAGAAATTAATGAACATGGCTATATGTAGCATTCCAATTTCCATTAGGCAAAGAAATTAACAATTTCTAATATATCAAGAAAAATAATTTCCAATAATATTTGAGAAATTATTCAAGATAGAATTAACTCTTAAATGTAAAAGCAGGTCAAAATCTACATCTAAAATTAAATATTTCTAATAAAAATAAAATGTTTCATTACATCAGTCTCAAATATATCAACTTAAGTTTATTTTGTATTTATACCGATGTAGATTTATTATTTAAAATTTGATAAAATGTTATCTCAAATGTCTTAAATGGATTCCATTTTACGTGGAGGTGGTTGCGGAACTTCAAAAATAAACCCTCTATCATCAGAAATCTCAAAGTCAGATAATTAAGATCTTTATAATTTCTTTAATAAATTTAATTTTTATGTTGAGATAATTTGCACTAAGGCTGTTATTGCTGTTGATTAGTCAGAGAATTAAGAAATAATGATAGCTCTGTAATGGTTTACTTATTAAGAAGAAAAAATTTACAAACTTAACAAGAATGCTTAAAGCGTAGCGGAATCTTACAACTTAATTTTAGAGGGTATTAAAAAGTTGTTGAAAAGTTGTTTGATCTACATTAGAACAGATTCATTTAAATGTTTATACATATTATAGACAACAGCGTCTCTATCTAAAGTTGTATTTAGCTTTCATGTGATGAATGAGGAGAGATTTATGAAATGTGATTTATAACAGGAATTTTTGGACATCTCTGATGAATTAGGATAACATGTGAAAATAGAGAAGAATGATTTAATTCAAAATCAAATGGAACTCTTTCTTTTTTTAACAAAAACTTCTTTCTAGATATCACCAAATAATAGTAATCAAAGGAAAGAAATTTTAGAAGGATTTTTAAGTGGGATCATTGTTTCGATGATTTAAATGAGGCCAAATGAACAATTGCTTGAATCATTGTTCAAGGGAGCTTGTTATCTTTATTATTCATATGTTGTTGATAAAAATAGAAAATAGTTTGAAGTTTATTTTACAATAGATATGTTGCAATGGGAGATAATAAGTTATTTTAACAATGAAAGATTTTAAGATCTAGACGAAATAATTTTACGTGTTGAGGTAATATATGATTAAATTGTGAAAAATTCAAATGAATGGAAATATCATTATCTTTGGGTTTAAATGGTTGGGAAAATCTTATAATATAATCCTTTATTAACAAAACACAAATTAATCCTGCGGTTTGGGTTTGGGTTTGGGTTTGGGTTTTGGGTTTG